GACAGGCATGTCAGTGTATGTCAACAAGAGAAGAGGATCTGGCTACGATAGCCATACGGGCATCGCCGGGTGGAGAAGAACCTACAGTCAGCCCAAGATGCTTTGGGAGCAGCCAAACGCTCTCTCGAGTCTTGAAGGACGGCGGCTCGGCTAACCTCGTCAGGCTTGCCCTCGCGAGCACCAGACTTGTAGGCCTTGACATCTTCGACAGCACGCTCGGTGTCACGGGCAACGTCAAAAGTGTACCGAGGAGTCTCAGGAATGGTGAGACGGAAGTAGAGGGCGATACAGCCCGGAACTGCACCGAAACCAATGATAACACGCCACATTTTGTCGACAGCTAACAAACAAACACCGTCGCATCTGTCGACCGTCTTTGCAGTCTCGAGAGATTCTTTGAAGCCGGTAGTGACGATAAGAGCAACGATAGCCGCTGTGAATTGACCAATACCCTGCATGGCAAAGACGGAACCCATCATGGCACCTCTCCACTTGGTTGTGGCGAATCTAGACAATGGTCAGATATAGACATCAGAAGGGAAACGAATTCTAGAGACTTACTCAGAGGTTATTATGGAACTGAGGGGATAGTCTCCTCCAATGCCAATACCCATCATGACACGCCAGAAGATGATAAGACCAACGATGGAGATAGCGGCGGAGCTGGAGGAAAGAGCTTGTGCAAGAGTGGCAAAAATGATGAGGATGAGTTCGAGACCATACATTCTCTTCCGGCCCACGACGTCAGCGAGCCATCCAAAGCCGACTTGACCGAGAACGGTGCCACCAGAGGTTGCTACTTTGATGGCAGTGTCAGCAGTGGAAGGGATCTTGCCAGGGTTCGTCGGGGCATTTTGCCAGTAGACGACACCCAACATGGCGGTTACCAAGTTGATGGCGAAGATGTCGTAGGCATCGGTGAAGAAGCCAATACCAGCGACGACGATAGCTCGGACATGGTACCATCCAAAGGGGGCCTTGTCGATCTCAGCCAGTGCCAGTCTTCTTCGCTCATTGGGGTCTTGGATGTGGGCGAAGTCGTTGTGGAAATTGTGGAAGGCAGCGTTGCCGCCTGATGTCTTGAGAGCCGCCATGGAGGACGCAACGGCAACGGCAACGACAGTATCGACTGAGAGGTTGAACGTTGAAGATGAGGCAACGGCCAAGACACCTAAGCAACGGGAGGAGAAGGCTTGGGCTGAAATAAGAAGATTAGGGATATGGCAATGGGCTTGCAGAAGTCGTCTTACATATACCCTTGGCCCTGTGCAAAATGTCAGCAGCGAGGGAGTGGAGATCGGCTGTGAGGGAGCTAACTCAGTGAGAGCGCAGGCTCCGTGGCTGGCTTCGCGGGAGGGTTGCAGCGCAGATGAGTAGGTGATTGGCGAAGACGAATGAGAGCGGGACAGAAAGGCACGGTCTGGCAAAAGAAGAGAAGTGTGGGATTGGCGTTGAAGCACAAGCTGGAATGAGAGAAATTGTGGATGCGAAGGCCAAAGCAGACAGCATGTGGTGAACGCATTGAGGAGTGGTTCCTCTGATACGACTTTTCAAGACCAGGAATGATTGGAAGTAACGTCTTAGGGCGAGTTCACCAGCCCGTGACGCGGATTCATGATCTGATCGTGGTCAAATCACGAGAAGGCTCTGGCCAACGTGCTCGTGAAACTGTGAAGAACCAGACCCTCCTACGTCAAAAGCTACAAGGTCTATAACCGATGATAAGGTTTAATGCACACCCCAAGTCTAGATCTACAAATTCTGGTGAGATTATTCCCTATGTTCAGATAGTTATGCACGGATATCAGCCAGGGAAAAGAAAAGATATGCCCAGACATGTGGCAATGCTTGATGAATGCTTGATAAATAGGCGAATGGTCTAATAACTTGGCATGAATTGCCCCCAGATCTTTTTACTCTGCCGAATTTACGGCATCTTTGAGTCAGAAAAATTCGAATGGGATTGAAATTTGATGGAACGAAGAAGGACAGGAGTCTGTAATAGGAAGGCACATGCATATGGAGGAAAGACCCATTCAGGCACGTTCCTATTTGATTGGCTGTCAATCAACGTTGGTTGGAGAGCACTCCGAAGGCGAAGGAACTGAGATTTGCGGCAGGTCCCACCCAACCCTGGTAGTAACCAAAAAAAAGACACAGATCGAAGGTAATCTATGCTGAAAATCGGACCGAGTGTCCGGTAGATGTCAGGCTCACCCATTGAGAGAGACATGAAGCATTAGTGCATCATGTGAGCAGAAGGTGAATTTACTCAAAATGACAAAAACAATCAACAGCCAGGATTCCCAAATGGTCACCCACTTTAGTACTAACTGACCGGCATATGGCTTAAGTATGGCTGAGCGAACGGGAAGCCCTGTTTTCCATATCCTATGGTCGATTGCGATAGGAAATTGTGGAGTATAAAATATATTCACAAAATCTTGGGACTATGAGAAAATGATGTCGTTGGGACCCACCATATCACGGCCCGTGCACAAACAGGATAGACTGAATATAACCTCTTGTACCTCTGTCAGTCCACCGCTATACCAAGCCATATTGTTCCAACATGGTCTTTGATTGCCAGCAAGAGGGCGTGTGGGTTAAATGTTGAACGTTGTTTTACTATGGTGAGCAAGAGCAAAGTTGTATGCATGCCGCTTCCCCAATGCCTATCTCAGGTATCGACATCGTAACTATTCACAGATCTCTCTACTCTATTTCAGAACAGTATTTGCAGGTCACAAACGCCCAGTTCTGGCTCAAATTCTACATCTGGGCATTCACTTTCCTCTGTGTGGTCAGTGTGTTGATTATCATTATCTTAAATGCCATTTTTGGCTTGCCATGTCTCCTGCAGGGCGCCTTGGTATATGTAGGATAAAGGTATAATAGTTGCAATAATGAAATCGCAGATACATCAGTCGTCATAGAGAATATCCCGCCATGGGTCGAAACGGGTGGGGAATGCAAGGGTCGAGTCGAGGAGACTACCACTGAGCCGGTAACGGATAGTTCCTACAAGGGTTCATGTGTTCTAGGTTAAGGGATATGTTATTGATGTAGGCGATTAGAACCCCCGGCTTCCGAATGACCGTGGTCATGGCCCGGTAGCTCTGGACGGCCTTCTAGCCCTGGATAAGTCGGGTCTGTGGTGATTGCGTCCATTTCAGCGCGAGGAAACGGTTGGTGTTGTGGTTGATTTGAAAAATCCCTTGTTGGCTGTTCATACAATGTTGTGCCTGGAAGCTCATGTTTTTCATAGGGCTTGCTTGCTGCTGTCGAGTTGGATGTCTCATTTGCAGTCGAATGGGTTTTAGTGGCCCTCCGACGTCTGGATAAATACCACAGTGCTCCTAGGACTAGCAGCAGTCCAACGGCCGCACCTGCAACGATTCCCCCAATTGCGCCCCCGGAAAGGCCAGATCCTGATCCGGAAGAGGACGGGCTCGAAGAAGTCGGTCTCGAACTACTAGTGCTAATGCTGTTATGTTCGGGGGAAGCGCCTGCGCTGTTTGCGCTTCCTGTTGGCGAGGCAGCTATCCCAGGTCCACTGGTTGTTGTTGTTCTTGCGACGGTGCCCGTATTGGCTGTACTAGTCTGCGAAGCAGTCGAAGTTGTGACACCAGCACCGGTCTCAGCAGGACCTTCGAGGTTATTGACTAGCGTGACGGGAATGAAGACAATGGCAGTGCCGCTTAGGCTAGTGGAAGCGGAAGTGGTAATAATTGCAGTATTGGTACTCGTATCGGACCCAGTCAATTGATCCGAGTCGACGCTAACCAGGTAAGCAGGACCAATATAAGTCTCTGCACAGAGTGCAGATACGCTAGCCTCAAGGCTACACTGTAGAATCGCCGTAATATCCTGGAATGACTCCTCAGCATGGAAGGTCGAGGGTCCCACAGTCACGGTAATGGGATCAGAAAAGCCACAATCCAAATTGCTCGAGCCTGTTTGGCAAGCTATGGCAATAGTGGTTTGGGAGGTATCCTAGGAGTTACTATAGATCAGTTTGACCGACCTATAGTGGAGAAGGAGAGAAAGAGAGAAAGAGAGGTTGTGCTTGAGCTTACTGAAGTCATGATAGATCCGATGAACTGAACTGTGCTGGCGCCAGGGAAGAAGACATCGATAATAGAGGACGACTGAGCGACAACAACACTAGCGAGTGTGGTCGCGACAAGTATAGGCTTCTTCATAGTAGCTATTTCAAGATACTATGGTCGGAAATCTCAAACATGACCGAGGACCAAGTGATGAAAAAGATGACAGCCTTTCTCTGAACGAAAGGACAAGAAGAAATGGATGATCCTACTCTGTGATTCGAGATGCCATTGCGGCTCATTTTGTGGCTTTCATGGGCAACCACTCATCCCAACTAGGGACAGCCGTCGCCTTTCATTATTGTCAGTTGCCACTGCAAGCCATTTTGTGGCTTTCTTGGTCAGTCCAACCATGGACAGCCATCTCATTTCATCGTCGGTTACCACTGCAGTAGCCCCAAAGATTGGCAAAGTACGATGAATGGCCAAGCAAAGAGGGGCCAGATTCGAAGACCTTCAGCCTTTATAAGCAAGTACTGACCAAGCGTACTTCAGCCAGGTAATGCTTGGCGGATTGAGCTCAGCCTAATGAGCCGTAGTATAAAATATCGTGCCGATCCAGACTTGACATGGCATTGGAGCTTATGCAGAGACCTGTTTGACTGGCGGCTTCTAGATCTTTGCGAGTGTTGGCAGTATTTCGATCAGCCTTGTTTGAAAGTTCTTTTCGCCCCTTGGTTGGGTTTGTGTAGAAGTCGCCTTCAACCCAGTCTGGGTATAGAAGATCTGGAGAATTGAGCAATTTGTATCTGTAGGAGCATTGTTGGTAACCGTCATCATGAACACTATCGAGGCTGTCGTATACGGTGGAAACGATGCCAAATTCCAGGGAATGGAGAGACAACCGACTTATACATCTGTGCTTTAGAATCGTCCTAGTCATTTTGGGGCTTGGGAACAAATATCTTGGCATTGAACAGTATATAATTTCGTTGAATCATTTGAACTCTATACATTTTCCCCCTATTTAGTTAGGCATTGAAGAGACCTTGTTGATGGCCGATCGCTCCCTAAGCCTGTCAACTTCCAATTCTTCTCTCATTCACGTACATTAACTGTATTTCTAGCCTATATGCATCCTCCTTAGCCTCTTTGAGGCTCTCTGAGATATGGAAAGACGCTGAGTAGCCGTGAGAAGGCAAATCGCGATGAAAATGCCCCTTCTCCTGCCTCGCCCTCCCTCCTAGACATTGCCTGTACAAGCAGGAACTCATTCGGTCTTTACAGATCCGCTCGCTTTGTTCTTGGCCACGCGGGCTCGGCCAGCATTCAATGCACCCTCAAGGCCAAATTGAGTCTTGATGCCCTCAATACGATGTGTCGAGTTGATGTTCTTGACCAGGGTGATCTGGAAGCAGGTCGCACTGCCTTGTCGGGAGATGATGGTCGAGTAGGCCAGGAAGTATTCCCAGATTCGGTACCATCTGACGCCGTACTTGGCCTTGACTTTGTCAGAGTTGGCAATCCAGTTTCGATACCATCTCCACAAGGTGGCCGAATAGTGGACTCCGATGGTGTCGATGCCCTTGACTTCGAATCCAGCTCCCTCGAGGGTGTCCACCACGAAGCCAAGAGGAGTTGAAGCGTCGGCACCAGGGAAGATGTACTTGTTCATGAACAGACCCCACTCGAGATCTTCATATTGCCAATACTTGCGCAGACCAGCAATCTGAAGGAAGAAGACACCGTCGTCATCCAACATGTCATGGACCTGGCGGAAGAAGGAGCTCAGATGACGAACACCGACGTGTTCGGCCATCTCCAAACAAGTGATGCGCTTGAAGCCACCCTCAGGCACGGGGATATCACGATAGTCCATGCAGAGAATCTTGCTTTGTTCCTCGGGAACTCCAACTTTTCTCATTCCACCATTGCCCCAGGCGGTCTGGTTGCGACCCAAGGTCACTCCAGTCACGTGAGCACCGTAATTGACGCTGGCGTATTTGGCCAAAGTACCCCATCCACAGCCGATATCGAGCATTGTGTCACCAGGCTGGAGGTCAATCTTCTCACAGACAATGGCCAGTTTGTTGTCCTGAAGCTCTTCCAGAGTCTCCTCGCGGTTGATGTCGGAAATGATACCGGAAGTGTAGATCATACGAGGACCCAGGAACCAGGAGTAGAAATCATCACCACGGTCGTAGTGGTCTCGAACCTGTTCTTCATCTTGCGAACGAGTGTGCAGAAGCAATTCAGGAATGAAACCTGTGAAGAAGTGTTTGAACAAGCCCATGGTGAATCGGAAGTTGGCCCAATCATGTCGATATTCGAGAATCTCCAAGCAGTCTCCCTTCAAGTCGACCTTTTCATCAAAGTACATCTCGGAGAAGGTCTCGATGGGGATCTTGTTCTTGCCGTAATACTTGTCTCGGTCTTCCTGGCTGCGGAAGTTCAAGTAGTGTTCAATGGGCAGGCCTGGGAACTTGGCCTTTTCATTCTTGCGTGGAGAGATGCTGGATGCAACAGTCCAGAAGGTCATGAGGATAGGGACGGCGGTAAGGAGGGCAACGAAGATGGTGGTGTAGAAACCTCCTCCCACGTATCGGGCTAGGTACCAGGGGACCACGAGCAAGAGAGCGATCATGACATAGTTGTTGAACGAGTCACTGCCGGCATCGTCTGCTGGAAGAGGTGCATTTTTGATGGCAGGATACTAGTAACCCAGCTTGCGTCAGTGATTTGTTCACCCTTGAGACGTATCTGAGAGAGACTGCGGTGTACGGTGTACGTGCAACTTACCTTAGTGGTGCGGACACCGCTGTTGGGAGAGGGGATTTGCTCTGGTGCAGCCGCAGGAGTCTCGATGAACTCAAAGTCCGAGAAGGACTCTGGATTTTTTTGAATCATGCTTGTTGCAGTCAATTGAATCTCTGCAAACACATGAATTGACAATGGTACGCAGGTTGTTGGAACGGAAGAGTGGGAATCTCCAGGATAGGAATATTTTGTGCCTTTTGTGCCACAGTAGGACAATCTACAAGCACCTCAAAGTCAAAAATGGCGGTGGAGGTTCCACCATCAAGACAACGGGGAGGGGAAAGTGTTGGAGGTGGATGCTGAGGCACGGGAGGGGATCTTAGGCCCCTTGGCCCGCCAATGGGCATCAAATACAGCCTGAGACTGAGACGCCACGCCTAAATGGAGCTCAGCCAGCCTATAACAGCCTCCCCAAGTCCCTCCTTAAGCATGCCAAACAGCATCTGCAAGCCTAAAAGCCACACCATACGGCAGCTTATCTGAGCCTTCGATGGCTTCAAGGCCTCAATCCTTAGAAAAGTGTTCGTGCCCCTCGACCTCCTTTTCTTTGGCTGCTGCCTGCACAGCATATTCAAACTATTACACTGTCAATTATGCTTGATTGATGGTCTCTTAAGTAACCAAAATAGGCAGCTGTATTCTTGTAATTGCCTTTTTGATAATTGAGGCTCTGTGCAACTCCTTTCCATTCCTCTCGCGTACCTGCATAAGTGTCCTATTCATCTTTTCAGGGGTCCAATGCACAACCATGGGGCTGACACGCACGAAGTATCATGCCACTCCCCCAGCTATGACAACTATCCAGGACAGATACGCACGCATGGTCATAATTTAGTAGATGCACAGGATCACAACCTCTCTCGGGTGATCCATCTAACATCTTGATCTACGACGTAAAGTATCTCGTAATTTGCTGGAGTGTCTCCACAACATCCAGACCCATTAGCCACGCATCATCAATGATATCCAGCACCAGGCACCAGGCAAAAACAATGTCTTGATTCAATCATCATCTATCTTTCCAGCGAAATCACCCAACAAAATGTCATCAGGTGCCGGGCCACGGTTGTTTCGGACTAGGACCAAATGTTAGATTCATCTCACGTCACTTTAGTCACGACTGCTCAGCACTCACCCCATTCAGTTTCGACTCGGAAAAAAATCCACATCCATCGTCGAATGACTTCCAACAACTCCATCAAGAAAATCCCGCCTTCTAGGTCGTTGAAATGGTCCAGATGTGCCGACAGTTTGAAACTCCACGTACATCTTAGCAGCAAGTCGATCACAATCGCAGTATAATACATTTGGTGGGCATGGAAATAACGATGCCGCCGGAGCCCGTAAGGATGTTCAGGGTTATTGCGTTCCCAACTCGACGACAGTAATGTCAAGTCCCAATCCTTGGCCACGTCCCAGTAGAATGAATAGAAGGAGTTGATCATAACGAAGAATAGCCTGCAGTAATTAGCCTCGTGTAAACCCTTGCACGCCTCCACAAAATGACTTACCATAGTCTAAACAGTTCCGCCTCACTCATATGAAATGTCTCAGGATTGTACCCTCTCTGCACTGCACTCAAGATGATGACCGGAAACGCAGTGGCATATTTCAAGGCGTTGGCCAAATGCTGACCACCCCAGCCCGAAGTCGCCGTCCTGTTGCGCCGAACCCGGGAATACTCAATCAAACACTGTCTCAACCGGATCATGCTGGGGATGGCAATGATAAATGGCACCAAAAATACACCACCACAGCCTCGATCCGGCTTTGCTGTACTGACGGTTTTCCTCGAGAAGAGCATACATGTCGAGACAAACAGGTCGCCCATGACTTTGGCATAACTGGTAAGAACGTCGGCGAGAATGATGTCGCCAAATTTGCCATCTTGGACCTCTGCCAGTCCACCCACACTAATTCTCTTCAAGGTGGTCAAGAAATGCAACCGACCGGATCTCGACATGCGCTTGACGGGGAGGACGAAGCACAGGACAATTAAAAACAGGTATGACTGCGGCAAGATCTGCCAGGAGAGAACAGCATGTTTGTCACCACGCGTGATGGCCCAAAAGAGAAGCAGGGACGCTGCGAGTGGAATCGAGAGGATAGTGGCTAATCGATAGGTCGAGTGGTGATGTAGGATGCTATTGGGGCCTTGTCGAGAAGGATATCTGATCAACGCAGGGACATCCTATTTATGTCAGTGCATGCGTTTTTCAAACAATCAGGAACATGGGACTCAAGTACAATTTTGACCAAATGTAAATAATGCAAGTTCACACCCCATGCCCAAATTCCAAGAACGACAATGATGGCCACTCGGTAGGGCAATGGAAGCACACGACTAAAAGAGTCGATCTCTGGCTCAACGGCCGGGTCTCCGTCCATGTTTCTGCAGCTGTGCAACACGCGAAACAACCATGCTTCGCGTGTCTGGGGACTTTCTAAATGAGTGTTAAAGGTGGGCTGCGGCGAGGTTGGCCAGGATATGTCGCCCTTTTCAGTCGCAGTATAGGGCGAGACACAATTGTTGAATGTTGGAATCTGGGCTGGACTTCATGGTTGGAGTCGAGAACACGTGGAGTTCCAGGCAGGGGAGAGCCTTTGGTTGACGAGCGGAGCATTACATTGTGTGATGCAAGTATCTACTGTGGATCAGATGATACAATTGTTTCTCATTATCCGAGCCGAGGCTGACTGCTCGCGAGGCTACGACTCTACTTACGTCCTCTCTCTGCTTCTACACACCTACAACTTAGCAATCAAACCGCATATACTTCAAGAAGTCACAGCCATGACATGATAGTCTAATACTAATCACCTCATCGCCTTACCTCTTACACCCTCAACAACAGCCGACATGTCATCACCATCCTCTTCCTCCCCTTCCTCTCCACCATCCATCCCCCCTCCCCCATCATCATCATCCTCATCAACCACACCCGTCCCCGACCGCCGTCCCCTCCCCATGGAATACCCATTCGCACCATCCCCAGATATATTACGCACGCACCAAAAAGACGCATACATGACCGGCCAGATATCCAGCCAAGCCAGCACCATCCTCCGCGCTCTTCTCGGCGCCAGATTCGCACACAAATACTCCAACGCCACAAACAACCTCTCCGAACTCCTCTACCTATCTCTCACAACCCTCCTCGGCAACCGAACCCTAGGCGAAGAATACTGCGACGTAGTGCAAATTGAAGACGACACATTACGCCTCGCCGGCCTAGGAAGAAGAGTGGGATACATCTCAAGTATTGTATTCGCACCATGGATTCTAAGCAAATCTCTACCAGCGCTACGGAGACGGTTACGTGAGAAACTGGAACGTAATCTCCAACAAGCTAAGGGAAGTAGTGCATGGAGACGAGCGTCGAGTCGCTCGTTACGCATTCAGGAATATATACTCAAGCATCTTGATACGTTGACGAGTCCGAATCCCGTGTATGCGGTGTCGTTGGCGATTTTCTACTTCACGGGAGCGTACTATCATCTGTCAAAACGACTGTTTGGGTTACGCTATGTTTTTACGAAATCGATCGACGCTGGCGAGCAGCGTGTTGGATATGAGGTGTTGGGTGTCTTGCTCATCTTGCAGATGGCTGTTCAGGCGGTCCTACATGTCCGTGAAACGTATCTACAGGCATCGGAGGGAGACAGTTTATCGCATGCGGGTGGCGCACCAACCACAGTTGTCATTGGTGCCGGTGTCGAAGTCCCTGTTGGATCCTCGTTTGACACTTCCGCGTCACAGTTACTCGCCGACGTCGAGGTTCCATCGCAATTGCCAAAGGGCCTAGCGGCCAATACCGCTACTCCGGTTCTTGAGACCCCGCGCTACGACACGTCCAATGACGAGACCATGGCCTGGATCGCCGACGGCCAACAGCGGAAATGTACCCTGTGTTTGGAGTCGTTCCGAGACCCCAGTGTCACTACTTGTGGTCATGTCTTCTGTTGGACTTGTGTTCAGGATTGGGTCAAGGAGAAGGCAGAATGTCCTTTATGTAGACAGAGTGTGCTACCACAGAAGATTCTACCTCTAAGATAGCTTTCGCATACTGTATTCAGCCTGACAATGAATATATCCATAATACTGTCTCAGAAGAACTTGGCTAGGATGAAGATGCCGTCGTTTCCATTGCTCATGATTATTATTTTAGATATATGATATTCATGAAAAGCTGCTCAGGAGATAGATCAATGACCAAAATTGGGCTACGTCCAATGGCCACCCCGAACGCCGATTCTGTTCTTAATGCACATACACCCACACACTTTCTCTCCTTCTCTTACAAATCACAAAGTGCAAAATCCATATGACACGTCTTGATGGACCGACGGATAGAAGCCTCAGGCCTCCTCCTTCTTTCTCTCAACAGGACTAGCGTCATCAGCTTCACCATCGCTGATCAAGCCTTCTAGCTCAAACTCCTCCGCATCACGGACCTGTTGGCTGTCGGTCCCACGATGTCGAGGCAATCTCACGCTGCCGTTGGCGGGGCCCGTGGGAAGAGCGATATGTCCGTTGCCAATGGCGCCGCCATTGATGTGGCTTGGTTTCCTTGCATGACTTCCGCTTGGACCGCCGCTAACATCACCAGGCAAGGTGATGCTGCGACTGCGACTATGCGAGCTGCGCATGCCGTTGCTTTCATCGTCGGGCCACGTGTGGCTGGCGTAGATGTAGAGTAGTATGTTGACAAACAGGTACAACATGAAAGCAATAGAATACAGGATGAGGATGTAGCTGACGTGAGTCACATCTGCGTCTGAGAGATATCTCATTTGTTCCTCGGTGGCGCCCATAAAGAGGAATCCAGAAGCATAAAGGAGCTGTGATTAGAGTGTCAGTGGGAACAGTTTGAACGAAAAGTGGATTGTTGAGACTTACAAATGGTGGGAGGTGTTGCCAACTGTTGACTTCACCGCCTCCTCGGCTGTCTTTGAGGAGGAATGACACCTCGATGATCCTACCAGCACCGGCAGCCATGAGAGTGTAGCCAAAGACGGTATGGACCATGGTGCTTAGTGGGATATCCTGCGGGTGGGCACTCATTGCCCAGCCTGTCAGCAGGATCACCACTCCAGGAAGAATGTTTCTCTTGGGCCGGCCGGTCCTTGATCTCGATAGCCAAACTCCCAACAAGCCTGCGCACCACCATACAATACCCATGCTGGTATGCTGAAGGTCGTTCTTGACCCAAGGATGACCCCATCGATGTTCGGTGAAAGTATTAACACAGCCCCAAGCGGCAATGATGATGGAGTCGAAGAATTCCTGGCTCCTCCCGGTGGTCCGTAACCATGCCTGCCCCACGAGCAGCAACAATGTCATGATGATACCATACCCGATGAAGGCAGAGCCCATGATGAAATGAGCCAGGCACTGGCCGAGATGATCCCCGCGACAATAGCCCATAGCGACAATGCCGCCAAATAACATCTGGACCCAACTGACAATCGGCATGAGTTTTCCAATCCAGCCATGGATGAGGACCACGCCGCGTCGGCCACTCTTCCCAACTTTCCCACCAAAGACTCGTCCGACCCATCCGCTCTTGTTTTCCAGGTGCAGTTTCAATCCTACTCCGAGTCCAACCTGAACAATCAACATGAGGACCAAACTGTTGGCAAAACTGGCGTGAACATTGGGATGGCGGAACTGGCGACCTTTGTGCATATGGCCAAGGAAGTAGGCCACGGTGGCAACGATGGTTCCCACAATCTGTACAGGGACATGCCAGCGACTGCGCACAATACCGAGGACCATGCCATAAGGGAAGATGAGGCCAAAGGACAAAACCATCAACAGAATATGAATCCACAGGCGAGAGTCGAGTGGGTCAGGCGAGATGGCTTCGCCTTCAGGGATTTTGTCAGGATGTCCGCCATGGGCCCAGGTCGTAGATGTGAAGAGGACGACGGAGAGTAATGAGGAGAAGAGAAGGTTGGTTGAGAATCGGAGGGGTTGAGGGTTCTTCATGGTGGCGAGGTAAGTGGGTGGTGCGGAGGGATTCGCAGGACGAGCGAGTGTTGTAGTTGTGTCAATCAAGGCGCAGCTGATTCCAAAGACGTGCGACTCAACGGCAAGGCATCCTCAGAGATAGCGACGCGTGGAATGGTCAGCGTCTTGTCGACGACTTTCGATAAGGACAAGGAGGTTGTGGCCAAAGGGAGGAGGAATCAAAGTATGGGTACCTAGGCAGGATAATACTAACTTCGTGAAGGTTGCAAATCATCAAACCACTCGTAATTAATTGGGTGGTGCGCCGAGTGACCCAGGCGGCACCTCCGGGGGGGGGAAGGAGGAGTCTGGCCCCCCAATCGATGTATTGTTCAATAATGCGATAGTATGAGGTACCCACAGACACCAACTACAGTGGCACCTGCTACCCGGCAGATCCGCCAACACATCTTCTCTCACCCTCCTCCAAATATGATTTATTATGCATATAGTCAATCCTTGACCTCATTCTACACAATCTTACTGAATACTCACAATCTCAAAGCAAAACTAAACACGGTGGGCTGATAACGCTTATAATGACACTAAAACTATAAATACCCATGTGCATACGAATAAGTCAATACCACACGACCTGTCCCATGGACAAACAACTATGCTCCTTTGTCGTTCTGTACTTCGACAGAAGCCCATGCATCAACCAAACATCGATTCAAACGTAAAGACAGACAGCCCTTGAGCCTCTTTTGACAATGCAGAATCATAGTTCAGTTTTTGCCTTCTTTGGTGGGATGGCAAGAGGGACAGGTGCAGAACTGTATGCACGAGCCGATCCGAAAAGGCTGACGAGATATCGACTCCAACGGAAAGGAGCCACCTTGGCTGCGGAAGATTCTGGTGTCGGTGTCGAGTCGGATTCATTTGTCGTGGCTGTCTCATTTCGCTGGTCAGTCTTGACCGCAACACGGTAAGATTGTTCGGGTTCATCGCCCACGCATTGCGAAACCGGGACAGCTGTGTATGGTCAGTCGTTGGTGGCTTGAGAATCTACAAAATACTCACGAAAGAATCCCTTTTCCTGTGCACGGTTGATGATGTGTTTGGTTAAGTCAATGGCAGACTTGCGGATGGTGTCGTGTTGGATGATAATGGCGCTGCCCGTTTCCGGATCAATTGCATCAAAAGATGCATCAAACTCACGGATCATGGCGTCAAGATCGTTCTCATGTCGATAGTCAGAACTGTCAATGGACCAGCCAATGACGTGGTAGCCGAGGTCGCCCAAATCCTTGAGACATCCCGAGCTTTCGTTGCATTGAACATATGGTGGTCTCACATAGTTGGAATACTTGCCAATGATGTTGAACAAAGCTTGCTCAAGCTTGACCATCTCCGACCAACGTTGGGAAGAGGTGAGGTTGTCGAGATTGCGATGTGACCATGTGTGTGACGCCACTTGATGTCCTTCGTCAACCATGCGAAGGATGAGCTCTCTCCATTTATCAGTCTGGTCAATGGCCCCCTTGCCACCGCTGACTCCCGTCACAAAGAAGGTGGCTCGAACGTTATAGTCCTGAAGGACATCAAGCAAGTCTGCCGTGTTTTCTGATGGACCGTCGTCGAAGCTGAGGCCGAGGACTCTGGGGACCTGGCAGGTACGAATGAACTTGCCATATGGAACCACACCTACATGAGAACGGTCGTCGGCAGAAGAGTTAAAGTATTCAGTTTCTTGGGGCTTGATGTCCGAATCGCAGAAGCCGTATTTGTGCTGGCACTTGTCTGGCACTGCACAGAAGTCTTTTCCCACGCCCTGGTCCTTGTCAGCTCATAAAACGCGGCTGCGGAAGATGGGATCATACACAATAGCCATTCATCGAGCAACATTGATTGTTGGGGCATTTCTTCGAGCCATATTGGGCTCCGCAGCGAGTTGAAGTCGAGTTTGTGGAGCTTGTGGACGTTGTTGAAGTGCAGTTGCCAAACAGTGCCTGGCACCCGCTCTCACAGTAATCTTTACCGGTACCCTGAGCAAGTTAGAGACTGACGACCATCCAGAGCAGTATGTACTGACACATTTTCCATCTTTCGAGCAACAGTCACCTGTACTGCAATGGGATCCTTCAGAGTTGGAACCGTTGCCTTTGTGATTGGTTCCACAAAGCTTGACCTTGGGTGGTTTGTTCCCAGAGGAGGCGAGATCACATTTGCTAGATGACAGCCTGATTAGTGATGCTGGTTGATAGTGTAACAATTGACACATACCCGTATCCGTCTTGACATCCAACACCGCAGTACAGGCTTCCATCACCTGAGGGTCAATGTTAGTCACGATGGCGAGATGGAGCTGAGAAAAGTGGTACCGCAGAAGCCCTAGGTGAGGTTAGCGAGGTTAGGAATGGTCCAGAAATGAAGACTTACATGCTTTGAGCAACACCAACCCGAGTTGAGGTCATTGGGATTACAAGTGCCAAGGTCTTTGCCACAACGAGGTTCTGTGTCCACAGCTCTCACAAAGCCGTGGGAAAGAAGAGGGGACATGGCGAGCCCGGCATTGTCGATTGAGTCCAGGGAGTTGTCGGAGACCACCTGGGGTGCAGCCGAGACCAACTGGGGCTACCAGTGGATTGCTGCAACAATGGCGAGATGAGTGATATGCATGGTGATTCAGTTGATGAGAATCGTGGGATGGAGAGATAATGAGATGAACGAAAGGAATAAATATTGCCACTGGCAAGAGAATGCTGATGTACTAAAGCAAGCAGCACTTGAAGAGCACAAGCAAGTGTGAGTCCAAAAGTTGATGTGATGCTGATGGGAAGAGTTGAAGACGGGAGAAGAGAAGAAGGAGAAGAGAAAGAGGAATATGAGAGGAACTGGAGGAGCAGGCAACGACAACGTTCCTTCCCATCTTCCTGGCTTTTTAGTACCTGCCAATAATGACCTCGATCTGTTTTAAAAAGGAAGGAGGTGCATCAGGCTACTCGGCTGAGCAACGAGACAAGCCTTGATCCGTACTGTGCGTACCGTAATTGTCAATTGGTCATCTAGAAAGGATATATTCTTCCGACTCCATGCAGTCAGCAACCCTCGTCATTGATCACATTAGTTCTAGTTGAATGACCCAGGTTGTTCATTCGGCTTCTTCTCTTCGTTCGGGGTTCCAGGAACGGAATGGAAGGAACGAGCAGGTGAGGAGGTCCGTCCACCATCACGACTATTACGCTCGTCACCAGCATTCAGAGAAATCCGATCAAAGCCATCAGAAGGATGCTCTGTCACAGCAACAGGAGACACCACCCTTTCGGGATTGCGAGGTGGCAGTGCTGGCGGTGGTCGTTTGGGAACATCCACCATCCTTGCCTTGGCCATGACTGGCACTGCCGTAGAGATTTCAGCGTCCGAGTCAACATCAGAGAAAGACTCGCTTCGGTCGTTCCCTTGATCATCGTCCTCATTGACAAGCTGGCTGTGCTTGCGTGGAGCTTCGGTCGTCCTCTTCTCATCTCGTCTGGGGCTGTGATCTGTGGATTTCGTCTTCTCGTCCTCGTCTGTCTGTGTTCCCCTGTCAATGCTTGCCAGACTATTGGTGCTATCTCGCCACTTCCGACTTCTAACAGATCCATCGACACTTTGCCTGTTAAAATGAGAGTAAATGGGACTTGTAGGTGAGGGCCTGAATTCAAAGGCCTCGGCACTCGGTCTCTGATGCGTACCAGCCTCTCTGATGTTTAATCCTTCGGCTTCGAGGGCTTTGACGCCAAATGGGTCCGGGTCGTCCTCAGCAGGTATACCAAAGGTAGATGCTAGGCACAAGGATTAGCCAATTGCAAGGGAATGACTGGGTCAGTTCTTACTGTCAGAGATCAGTTCCATATCGCTGGGAGCAACTCCATCGGGGAGCAAGGCGTCGTCCACTTCGTCTCCTTGAGCGGCTTTGAGGGTGTCGAGAAGGACCTGATACTGAGCGACTGGAGGATGTCGCAGTTTTCCCACGAGGATATCTGAAACACCAACCCTCTCGCCATAGAAGCGCTCATTTTCGTCGGTTCTTTCTATTACTAGCTGACCTTCCATGGCCACACCGGCATAAAAGCCACGGGACTTGACGTAGGACCAGATAGGTGCCTGTCGTTTGACGACTTCTGTGTCAAGGGTGCCGCCCATTCCCACGGGGCCGGCAGCAACGCCGACCTCGGCGCCCAGAGTACATCTCACTTTTGTGAAGGCTTCTAAGGCCTTGTACGTGTTGATGACCAGAACAGCGTCGTAGATGTCGACACCAACAAGAAATCCAAAGGACAGGTTCTGAATATGGATACCGCTGGGGGGACTCCATTCGCGGGTTTCTGGGTGTCTTGCAACGAGAACACCTGCGCCGCCGGATCCGCCAATTACCCACCCTGTCCGCATGGTGGTGAATATAGCCAACCCGACGCATTCCTGGATGACTTTGGTAGGGATTTTCTTTATCACTCTCTGTTTTCCTTGAGGGATTCCGTCTGCGGTGGCCTCTCGATCGGCTATCTTCTGTGCCTGTTTTTGATCGACTTCCTCATAGAAGCCATCCTTAGCAAAGCCTCTTAGAATTCGAGCAGCCTTTTCAGATTCCTTGTCCAGCGTAGTAGGCCAAAAAGCCTCTGCGCCAACTCGATTGGAGAATCGATTGACGGGGGCGCCGAGCTTGTCGACAACTGCGTATGCCTTGTTCCATCCTGGTTTGAGACCCTTTTCATAGGCTGTGTTTGAGTAGCCTTTGGTACGCTGCCATAGCGTAGGGCCGGCTTTGGGTGTTTGTCCTGTCGAAGAATTGGTTGCCATTGTAGACAATGTAGGGAGTTGGGTGGAAGGGTCAACCGAGGAGGGAGGGACGCCGCGCACAAAGCCAGCGTCACAAGGGTATGGCGCCAAAAGAGATGAACGCAGATGGCATTACTTGGTGTTGGCACTGCAAAAGCAGTAGGATGAGGACGTAGTTGCGTCGACCAGGCTCAGACTTGAACGATCAATGTCAGAACATGGATGCGCAAGCCGGTGAGAGCCGGGGATCAGTTGGTGGACAATTGTAGCGTCGCAGACGTACCTGGTACCCATAGTGGGATGCTAGTACCTGGAAGCCTGGCTACGTCGGATGGCAAAGCGTCGTCACTGGCTTGGAGATGCAATGCACGGGGCCTAAATGCAATTATTGCCTCAATAAAATAGTGGGCCACAGGGTCTCCTCACGCCTAATTACCACGAGGTGGGAGGGCCGAAGACGTTCGAGGGCTCTAGCAGGCGTTAGACTCTAACGTGCCCGGACCCCCGGACCAGGCTGACTAAGTTCCCAACCGCACCCATCATACGAGTACAATTAGAGTAAACAGGGCAGGCTTGGGAGGAGGGGTTTGAGGGGCAGGCGAGTGGGAGTGCCGGGGGTTAGCCACGAATGCCCATGACATTTCGCCAGTACCACAACTAACGATAAGGCTGTATCACGTCATGGCAGTATGGGATTGAAGTAACCCTCCACTACACGATGAACTTTCATATTGACCTTGTAAATAAACTTGAGCATTTGGTCAACACTATGATATTGCGACACGTACCTTGAAGGATTCCTGGATTACCGCCCACCTATCTTCCTCTCCATGGCAAGAACCACAATGACTATAAGTCCGAATTTCACGTGAAAATCAGGCTAGTGCTTCGGCATAGTTGCTCAAAACTCGTGAGGCTCGTTAGGAGAGCACGTGGAGAGTTACTGGTACGCCTAAGGGGTGTGTAGTCATTTTGTCACCACCAGAAAGCAGAAAGCAGAAAGCAATAATGAAATTGTATTAGCCCAACAACATGCTTGCCTCATCAGAATAATATTAGAGCTTTACCACAGTACTTCGCCAAGCTCTCAATCCCTCCTAAAAAGTCAAGCTTTGTGGTTTCTTGCTTCTTCCTTACACACGGAACGATCTTCTTCTTCACAGCGTATAAATTCCCAACGAAGATCGATGCCAAGGTTGCTCCAGGCTGTTTCGCCTATTTTAGATTCCTGGCGACATTTGTATATGTACTATCCATGAGACCATCAAACGTGGATTGTGTAGACATGTGACAAGATGTTTTTGTATTGACAGGGCAACGCAGTTTGCAGGGTAACTTCCCGCCGCTTTTGGAAGGGTTATTCGGTCGACGGCAAGATCGAACCCCCAGTCGATTTTCCCCAAGGGCCCCCGCACTCATCGGTCAACGTTAGTGTTGCATGCGCCAAGACTATTGTATACCTAACTTATTAATGCAACATTCACGGAAAGAATACAACGTCGGACAATAGGAAGGCATAACTCAGGGTAGCTTTTCCCCACTGAAGCATCTGTCAGTCGGTTCGCTCAGTTCGCTTGCTTCGCAAATGACGACCTGAGTATCGAAGCCCAAAGCGCACCCACCTCGGGTGCGCAGGCAGGTTTTTTTTGCGGGGTTCGCTTCAAAGATCCGGTGGAGATAATTCTTCAATTATAGTGAGAACACATGAATAAATACCCAAAAGTGGAACTAACAGAGTTTAGTAGTGATGGGCCATCGATACTTCGCTTTCATATCTAACTGAATAGGGGCGAGACACATGTTTTTTCAGGTAGTTTATAGGGTTCTTATTGATCACAGTAAGGCAGCAGGATCTTCCAAAGTTCCACTTTATACCCATTCACGCACACTGACTGTACGCCATGTGAGAAGTTTACGTACCACTTCCTATACTGATGGCTTTATAATGAAGTACGTTGACCTCCGGTGGATGCAAGATATCAGCAATCTGTGTTCTCATGGCCTGGATAGCTTCGGACCCCCTTGGGGCTCCAGATTCACACCGCTTGGTGATCCTCGCCTTGGAATATGACATGTATTGAGAGTCAGGATAAATACTTGGAACAATGCCTTTAAGGTCCTTGGAACGATTCAATCAACCATGCAATCCTCCAATCTTCTAGTCGGGTTTTGCCTCCTTACGAGATTGTTTGCCCAATCTCTGCCAGAGGTGGATCTTGGTTATGAGATTCATCGGGCTCTGGAATATGACGTACGTCCTAGCAGCCTACACTCGTTATTGTGTTTGTTGAACTGAACAAAATAGGACGTCGACGAGACTTATCTTTTTAAGAATGTGAGGTATGCTCAAGCACCAGTTGGCGATCTCCGGTTTGCAGCGCCGGTGCCCCCCACTGGTCGAGAGACGGAAGTGCAGATCGGAGCCACGCCGAAATTATGTCCTCAGGGTGTTCCTGCATGGAACTTAGTCCAGTCACAATGGCTTCCGTGGTACCTGGCTGGAAACGCGTCTTTATTCGATTTCACACAGGCGGAAATCAATGCACAAGCGATTGTTACTGCGCGGGGTGGAGTAGTTGCCAATAACACTCTTGCATCAGAGGATTGCCTATTCCTCGATGTCATGGTGGACCGGGATGTGTTCGAGAATGCCACAAACGTAACACGTGGCGAAAGCTCTGGCGCACCAGTGGTTCTATGGTGAGGCCGGCGATATCTTTGTCACCAAATTCAGCTGCTGACGCATGTAGGATCCATGGTGGGGGATATGTGTTCGGCTACAAAGACGCCTCAGGGACAGGAGCAGGCCTCCTCCGCGCCGCACGTGCGGATGGTCGCCGACTGATCTTTGTTCCCCTCAACTATCGCCTTGGAGCTTTCGGATTCTCTTCAGGACCATCGTTCCAGGCTGCAGGAGGTGTTGCCAACGCCGGGCTTTACGATCAAAGACGAGCCATCGAATGGGTTGCCGAGAATATCCATCTCTTCGGCGGTGACAAGAACCAAATCACGATTCTCGGTGAGTCTGCTGGAGGAGGTTCGGTGGCTCACCAACTCTCGGCGTATGGAGGCCATAATCCTGCTCCTATAAAACGAGCTATCGCCCAATCGCCAGGCTACCATGCCGTGCCTTCTTTCTCTACACAGGAAGGCATCTGGAAATCCTTCTTGTCATGACTAAATGTGAGCACCCTCGAGGAAGCCAGAGCCGTCTCCTCTGAGGTTATCATTGCTGCCAACGAGGCGCAAGTCGCGGACTCGGGATACTCCAAGTACACCTACAATCCAGTGGTGGACGGCATTTTCGTGCCTAACCTCCCTGGCAGGGCATTCGCAATAGGTGCATACAACAAGAATGTGACGGTGCTAGCAGGTCACAACACCAGAGAAGGCGCTTACTTCACCATACCAGCAATTGAAACCGACGATGATCTGGGTGCTTGGTTGAAGACTCTGTTCCACACCATCACCGACGATACTCTCGCAGATCTTTATGCAAATGTGTATCCTGCGAGGTACGACGGAAGTCTCCCATACTCCAATGGCCTTGACCGCGCTGTACTCGTCGCCGCTGAGTATATCTTCCACTCCAACAAGGACTTCCTGGCACGTGCCTATGGCGATAGCTACTACAGCTACATGTTCCAGGTTGAGCCTGGCTTGCATGGTGCGGACGTCCTGTATACTTTCTACGATGGCGCAAATGGCAAGAACACGACCCCTGTCGCTGACAACGTTGCACTGTTGCTTCAGTCGTACATCGCAAACTTCGTCACCTCGGGTAATCCAAACGGTAATGGAGGTGTACCATTTTTCCCTGCACATGGGACTAATGGCAGTATGAATGGACTTAATGTGACGGGCGTCACCATCGAGACTGATCCCACCAGTAACAACAGAACCAGATGGTGGGGCCAGGCACTGTATGTCTAAGCATTTTGAAAGAGGGAAGGCATTTACAAGTGGCGACGACTTTGCAGCTGTGGACAGTGCGATGAAACATCCCAGTGCCGAGAACGAGAATAGTATTGGTATGCTTTGTGGCACACCCAGGACTAATTATCCTCATTCAGTCTTGTGCATAGATGAACCAAAAAGTACTGATACATGAATCGAACCAGTTTCATTCACGATGAGGTCTAGATAGGGCTGATATTTTGAACTGACTCCCCTGCGCAGATTCTAGCCTCTCGATCCCCGCGGCTCCAGTTTGTATCATTTTCTTCAGTTCTCAGCATGCCACGAGAGCATTGGGAGGGCACGCGGGTGTTTATAACGTTAAAAGCGGCGGCGCATATCAAGCCTTACTTAGGAACGCCTAAACCGAAGACGGATATCGTTTCAACAACTTTAGCAATAAAGTAAAAATGGACAAGTTGGCCGAGGGAGCCTCGGCTCACCTCATCCGCGCTTTACGGCTACACATCATCAACAACTAATCAATAATTATTTCCACGTGCACCAAATAAGTCCGAGTATCTAGCTCGATCATTCCTCCTTCAGCAATTCCCTTTTCCTTCTGAACAGCTCACAGTGATCGTTGATGATTGACACTAACTGTTAGAGACAAAGCACCTTATCAATTATCTGTGATTGAACCAAAATCTCATTAAAGCTCGACATGTCTTCGAACGCACCACATTTTGTGCTGCCTGTCCCTCCACAAGGCGGTGGAGCCAACACATCAGCCCAGCAGGGACAGTTTGTCTGCACAGAACCTGCTCCTCGAGTGTATCTGCTCTCATTTTCGAGTCCACCAGACAATCGACTGACGCCGGAGTTTAACCAAACATTCCTCCTGGCGCTCGACATCATCGAGCATCGGTTGCCCAAGGGTGTGGTTGTCACAACATCATCGATTGCCAAGTTCTATTCCAACGGATTGGATTTTGAAAATGCAATTCGAGATCCTACCTTCTTCCCAAGAAGTCTGTTTCCACTGTGGCGACGACTAATTACATACCCGATGCCTACGGTGGCGCTGATGAATGGACACGCGTTCGCAGGAGGTCTAATGACGGCCATGTTTCAGGACTACCGAATCATGAACCCTCACAAGGGGTTTGTCTGCCTGAACGAATTGGACTTTGGTGCCGCGCTGCAGCCTGCAATGGCGACAGTCTTCCGCATCAAGCTGAGCATGTCAACCTTTAGCAACATGGTGCTCGAAAGCCGGAGATATCCAGCCCTCGAGGCGCTCAAAGAGGGCATAATCGACGGGGTGGGTGGTATTGACGAGACACTGGCGTTCATTAAAGAGTACAAACTGGTGGAAAAGGCTCAGAGCGTGTCATATGGACCGCTCAAAGAGGAGCTGTATCGCGAAGTCATCCAAGACATTGACCAGGCCGCCGACCGTCCCAGAAAGTTTGCAGCTCAAGAGCAAGACCGGGAGCGCAGATTCCTCGAGTCACGAAAACGAGTGGATGATTATTCCGTCTCGATAGGTGGTCCACGGTCCAAGTTGTAATTGTCACTGTCACTGTCGCTGTCACTGGGGCTTCTGCACAGAGCTTGGTTCACGTGGTGTTGGTGCGTTGGCACCGATCCATACGGTCAAATAGGGAGGGATATACCTGCTTCTGCGACGTATTCGGTCTTCCTCGCTGAGAACAGCGCAAATTGGACACGGAGATAGGGCGCCATTGTGAGGTGATAGCATCTACACTGTCCAATACCCGTGTGGCTTAAAAGGCAAGGACTGTTCTGGTGGTGCCTGGAATCCACAACGGAACAGGGTCTGAACATTCGCTTGCTATCGTATTCGGAAACATGGTCGATTGTGTGACGTGCTTGATGTTGGGTCATCACATGCCACTGACGTCTTTCATATAATCTAATGCTTGTTCCGATTTTTTGATGCTTGTATTGTTAGTCAATCATCTGGGACGGGGTAAATGAGTTGACGTTTAGATGTTCGTTTAGGGGACGGAATGAGGATGTTTGGGGCAAGATTGTAGCACCTTAGCCGCAGCAGCATGCCTAGAGGATCGAAGGAGTGGAGGCGCCCGGTGCCTACCTAGGTAATGTGGAGGCATAGAGGGGCCCACAGGCGTGGTCATGCTTAGAAATGGGCAGCCATTTCGGCAACAGGAGACAAATTATGTAAAGGATCTAAGCATAAGTTAGTGAATTGTGCATAACCAAAAGGACATGATTGCCTGTAAAGACTGATGCCTAGACGCGGGGAAGATCTGCCTGTACTCGTCGATGGACGACTTCAATACATTAGTACTTTTAACCGTGCATGTTGGCAGTAGGGAGGCCAGGCACCTATACGTAAGCCTACAAGGAAGGCAGATGCGCACAAATGGACATATGCGTTCAGATCGGAATATGTCCTTGGAAGTCTGGCCTCGGGAACCTGTAAGCGAGCTCCGAACTGTATCGCCTCATTGGCTTGTCTACCTAGGTACCTAGGTAAGTAGGTAAGTATTCATTTTTGAAGCCCTAAGAATACCTCCCTAACGGAGTACGAATATACGAAGCTCATTAGCCACCATGCCTAAACAAGGATGAATCGCGAACGTCGGCTTCATCTTGATTGTCCGACAATGCGAGCTTTTGCCTCTGTCATGAATCACCACGGACACAGGGGGTCCGACTGTCCCACACCTAACACTCATCAAGCCTTTTTTTAAGCGAAGGGCTTTTCAAGATCACCGCCGCAGAATCACACCCGTCGGTCCATGGTCTTTGACTGAGAGATTGCCGCAAGGAGAAAATAGTCCACGACGACCCTAGAGTGCCTAAATAATTCATGCAGCACAACACATTGTTTCTCTGAGTCATCTCCATATCTATCTTCAGGGTAATAAAGCACCGGAGTCACTAGTCCAAGTCAAAAGTGCCAGTGTGACTACATATGACTCGATGCATGATCAACAAAAGTTGTTCTCGGATCTTCCAAATTCCGTGGTGTTGGTGGAGAGATCGAGCACTACCCAAGTAGGTAGGGGATCAATTGGCTAGTGGCACCCGGGCACCTTGGTGCAGCCTAACAGCCTCTTACAGGTCTTTTAGGCGACACGATTGCGACAGCTTACCCGCCTAGCCCATGCCTCCAATATGCGTAATCTCTCAGCGCATCTCCTAACTGGTGGGCAGGACTTCTATGATTTATTTTAACATCCATGACAATGGACCAACAGCACCAACGCCTCGTGGAGCGGTGGAGTGTACCCGCCTCGAGACCAATGAACTACTGGGTAATTGCTACGCACCAAGGCACCTCTGCGTAGGGACCATGTCACTTACGGTGTACCCAGGACCCAGATTCTACAGGTAGGCTAGGTACCTTTCATTCTGGGCCCCGGACCCATCGCCCGTGGCACCCCATGCCCCCCCTCGGTTATTTGACTTGTCGGCGCCGACCGTTCAAACCTCCGTTAACGAATCTCCATTCTGCATCGTCCGTAAGTCTCCAATCCCAGTCTTTTTATGTCTCTTTTGTTGTTGTCGTGACTCTGGTGACTTTACTTTTTGGGTCTCGTGTCCATCCACAGTCCACCTATTTATTGACATTGCAACCATACATCATCATTCGTTCTGCCCACTGACCACCACCGTCTGGACGAACGGACTGATTTTTATTCTTTGCCACTACTCCAGTATTCCAGTCTACAAATCCTCCAATCCTCCGCCTTCCTGCATGCGTCACCGTCCCCGTCAACATCTCCATTGATAACCACACCACTGCCATTCTTTGATTTCTGCCTGGCCTAATTTCACTTTCTGCTGGCCACGACGACATGTTATAGCCTCACCTAATTCAAATCGCCTTCTCTCGTTGACCATAATATTTCCTCATTGCTTTCATTCCCTCCCAACGGACCTCCACCCCCTCTTCATCGGTACAATATTCTCCCTCGGCACACATCATGTCCGTATAGAGCGACGGCATACACAAACCTCGGCCGCCTTTCACCTTTCCCCTCCGCCACCAAACAATATTTTTCATACAGCCTGGTCTTGACACGCCATGGATCCCAACGGACAAGGCGCTCTCTCTAAGGGGGCTGCCGAAGTCGAGGAGAACCTAGAGGAACAGCGCAGGTCAGAGCTGGGAATCACTACCAAACAGGAGACAGACGCAGGAACATCAGAGAAGACTCCAGCAACACCTCCCCCTACCTCGCCCAGATTGCCTACGGCTTCCTCCATGCCTTCATCTCCTTCTTCCGATTCCAACAATCCCAAGGACCTCTCCAAGTTTGACACCATTGTCGCCGTTCGCGATGCTCCAGACCTCGACGCAGTTCTGGCCGCCCTCCCACCCTCAGAAGCCGCTGTATTAAGGAAACAACTCGACCAACCTGATGTCGCTGTCAACTACAAATCACTCTTTCGATATGCCACAACATGGGACAAAGTATTCATCGCCATTGCTGCCTTTTGTGCCATTGGCGCTGGCGCCGTCATGCCCTTGATGACCGTCATTTTTGGCAACCTCAGTGGAACTTTCCAGGGTCTCGTGCTAGGAAACTCGGATGGCTTTAGTTCCACCGTCAATCGTTATGTCCTCTACTTTGTCTATCTTGCCATCGGTGAATTCTTCTTGGTATACATCTCCACAGTCCTCTTCATCTACACCGGAGAACACATCACCGCCAAAATTCGCGAGCAATATCTACGGGCTATTCTGCGCCAAAATATTGGATATTTCGACAAACTCGGTGCAGGTGCTGTCACCACCATGATCACTGCAAACACAAATCTCATCCAGGAGGGCATTAGCGAGAAGGTCGGCTTGACCTTGACTGGCGTCGCCGCCTTTTTCGCCGCCTTCGTTATTGGCTTCATTAAATTCTGGAAACTCACTCTCATTTGTATGAGTACCGTCGTCGCCATTGTCGTTATCATGGGTGCGGGAGGTGCCAGAATGGCTATGTGGAATAAAAAGTCCCTCGCCGCATACGCCGTGGGGGGATCCGTCGCCGAAGAGGTCTTGTCCTCCATTCGAAATGCCGTGGCTTTTGGAACCCAAGACAAATTAGCTAAGCAGTACGACGTGCATCTCATCGAAGCCAGACATTGGGGCGTACGGAGCAAGAGTGCTCTGGGCTGCATGATCGGCGCCTTGCTGTGCCTCATATTCCTCAACTATGGTCTCGCCTTTTGGATGGGTTCCCGCTTCCTTGTTGGTGGCGAGACTTCCCTGGCCAGCATCCTGACCATCATCCTTGCTGTCATGATTGGTGCTTTCTCTTTTGGCAACGTCGGTCCAAATATGCAACATTTTGCTGCTGGTGTCGCAGCCGCCGCCAAAATCTATGCCACTATCGACCGCACATCCCCCATTGACCCCTTGACAGAACAAGGTGAGAAGCTCGACCACGTCGAGGGCTCCCTCGAGCTCCGAAACATTAAACATATCTATCCGTCACGCCCTGAAGTTGTGGTCATGGATGATGTCAGTCTCGTCATTCCCGCCGGCAAAACCACTGCCTTGGTTGGTGCCTCTGGATCCGGCAAGTCCACCATCGTTGGCCTCGTCGAGCGATTCTATGATCCTGTGGCCGGTAACGTTTTCCTCGATGGTCATGACATTAGCACACTCAACCTGCATTGGCTTCGACAGCAGATTGCCCTGGTCCAACAGGAGCCGGTCCTCTTCAGCCAGACCATTCGAGAAAATATTCAAAACGGTTTGATTGGTTCTAAATACGAGAACGAGTCCGAGGAAAAGCAAAACTTCCTCATGATCGAGGCTGCTAAGAAGGCCAACGCCCACGACTTCATCTCATCCTTGCCCGAGGGTTATGAGACCCATGTTGGAGAAAGAGGCTTCCTCCTCTCCGGTGGCCAGAAGCAGCGGGTTGCCATCGCAAGAGCTATTATCAGTGACCCAAAGATTTTACTACTCGATGAGGCAACCTCGGCCCTCGACACAAAGTCCGAAGGCGTCGTCCAGCATGCTCTAGACGAAGCTGCCAAGGGTCGGACCACCATCGTCATTGCTCACCGCTTGTCCACCATCAAGACCGCAGACAACATTGTCGTCATGCAGCAAGGTCGCATCATCGAGCAAGGAACTCACGAGGAGTTGCTCAACCTGAAGCAGGCATACCATGGCCTTGTCTCCGCTCAGCGCATTGGCGGCGACGAGGACGACGATTCTGATCGACAAACTGACACGAGCGACGATGTTTTGACCCGAGAACAGACCAGACGATCTGAAAGTTTGGCTGCTGTCGATCCTGACGATGAAAAGCTTGCCCTAGGACGGACTAAGAGTCAGAAATCTGTCTCCTCCAAGATTCTCGAGCAGCGATCAGTCGATGGAATGGAGAAATACTCTCTGGGCACGCTAATCAAGTTCATCGCTGGATTCAATCGCACCGAGTGGCACATCATGTGCGTCGGCTTCTTTTGTTCCGTCATTGCTGGAGCTGCTCAGCCGGTCCAAGGTGTCTTCTTTGCGAAGGCTATTGTCTCCCTTGCTCAACCGCTTCCTCAAGCTCGCGATCAGATCCTCAGTGACGTGAGCTTTTGGTCACTGATGTATCTCATGTTGGGATTGGTGGACCTTATCGCTATGGTGGTCCAGGGTATTGCTTTTGCCTACTGCAGTGAAAGCCTGGTTCAACGAGCTCGTGATGGTGCATTCCGAAGGTTTCTGAGACAAGACATTTCCTTCTTCGACGAGGACAAGAATTCGACCGGTGCACTTACGAGTTTCTTGTCCACAGAAGCCACTCATCTCTCTGCCATCTCGGGAGCTACCCTAGGAACACTTCTCAGTTGCACCACCACTCTTGTCGTTTCCGTCGTCGTGGCATTGGCAATCGGTTGGAAGCTGGCTCTCGTGTGCTGCGCTGCCTTGCCTGTTATTCTCGGCACAGGTTTCTTCCGCTTCTATATTCTCGCCAAGTTCAGCTCCACCGCTCAAGCACATTATGAAAAATCGGCTGGCTACGCTTGTGAGCATACCAATGCCATCCGCACTGTTGCTTCCTTGACCAACGAGCAAATGGTCTACCGTGAGTATCGCGGACAGCTACGAGACCAACTGCGCGCGTCGGTCCGCTCCAACCTGCGAAATTCGTCGCTCTACGCCGCATCTCAATCAGCAATGTTCCTTGCCTTCGCACTGGCATTCTGGTACGGAGGTCAGCTCATGGTCCGTGGCGAGTACAGCTTGTTCCAATTCTTCATTGTCTTCTCCGAAATTATTTTCGGAGCTCAGTCCGCGGGAACTGTGTTTTCATTTGCAGGAGACATGTCCAAAGCCAAGAATGCGGCCGCTTCCTTGAAGAAGCTGTACGACCGAAAGCCGACCATCGATCCCTGGTCCAAGGATGGTGAAAGCGTGACTGAAGTTGAGGGCGCAATCGAGTTTCGAGATGTTCACTTCCGATATCCCACTCGACCGGAGGTCCCGGTCTTGCGGGGGCTCAACTTGACCGTGAAACCAGGACAATATATTGCCCTCGTGGGCGCGTCAGGTTGTGGGAAGTCGACGACAATTGCAATGATGGAACGCTTCTACGATCCTTTGGCTGGCGGTGTTTACATTGACGGCAAAGAGATTTCAAGTCTTAATCTCAACGATTACCGATCACAGCTTGCTCTTGTGTCCCAGGAACCCACGCTGTACCAAGGAACCATCAAAGACAATGTTCTCCTCGGCGCGGATCGGGGCGAAGTCGGTGATGAGCGAGTCATCCAGGCATGTCGTGACGCCAACATCTACGACTTTATCATGTCACTACCGTAAGTTCTTTCATAAAGCTTTGATTTGTTTGTGCAGCCCGACTAATAGATGTGAACAGAGATGGATTTGACACCGATGTCGGGAGTAAAGCCGCCCTTTTGTCAGGTGGACAGAAACAGAGAATCGCCATTGCTCGAGCGCTCCTTCGAAACCCCAAAGTCCTTTTGCTCGATGAAGCCACTTCTGCCCTGGACTCTGAATCGGAGAAAGTGGTACAGGCAGCGCTTGATCATGCCGCAAAGGGACGAACCACTATCGCTGTAGCCCATCGACTGAGCACGATTCAAAAGGCCGACGTCATCTATGTCTTTGACAAGGGCGTGGTTGCCGAGTCAGGAACGCACGCCGAGTTGATGGCCCTCAAGGGAAGATACCGGGAACTGGTCAGTTTACAGAGTCTGGAACGGGCTCATTAAGTTGGACTGTGGTGGACAGATCTGGGAGACTAGGACGTCATTGCACCATCTCCAATCGTGCTGTTTTAGAGCGGGCGTTGAAAATCAGATGTACAGATCTGCGAGGAAGGGTATTCTGCGAATCACCATCTGGCCAGAGGCAAGAAGATAAGGTGCTAGTCCTATATTGAGGACGCGAGTTGGACCTTGGATTCTGGACCTGGAGAAGGGGGCAGCATGCTGGGACATGTATGCATCCAGGTCCGATCTACATGGATATAAACCGATAGATGTGTTTGGATGCTGGAACGCGCCACTCCATTGTTAGTCATAATGATCAACTCCACTTGGTCTATGAGTTCGAAGATGTTCCGTTTGATTGTTGTGAGGTGTAGTAGACTAGGTGTGAGCAACCAACAATCAGGGCCATCGATTAACTTGATTCAATTGAAACCACGGTCGATTATCTACTTCGACACTTTCTCGACCAAACTTCTCATCAGAATCAACCACTTGTGTCACCTACACCCACACAAGTCAAGATACACGTCCGTATTTCCGGAGTTCATGTCAATTATGCAGATACATAAGTATGCATACCTACCTATCCGACAGCGGTGTGGACCACAATACACGATCCTCCCTTTTCCACCAGCGAGAATGACTAATGCCACGTCATGGTAAGCATCGACCAAGATCCCCAAGATGCTAAAAGACACTCCAGACCCGCCAGACACGTCTATTCGTAGATACGATGCCCCCCCAGGGGCCGAGGGGCTTTGAACCGAGGCTCGTCGCCTTTTCTTAACCTAAACTCCAGGTTTTTGCAAGTTCCAAGCGTCTTCGAATGCAGGGACTCGCGGGGCGCAGACGTGGTCCGAGGGTTTCTTTTGCCCGTCTGCCGTGGCTATGACAGTACTTATTCGTACGGGGAATATCGACAAGACGAAGGTATCTTAGATAGTTGGTCTTGCGAGGCAAGAGGTTCGAGTACTCAAGCTACGAGTACCTACAGAGTACACATAGATTTCGCACGTTCCCCCGACGCCCCCGTACATTCTCCAGTGACGATTGCCCTTGATTGCCCTACTTGAACGAAAAGGTAGTTGGGTTTTCCTGATGCAAACGGTTGGCTGTGCCGCTTCTGTTGGGTTCGACTTATTAGTTCTCACTCTCCCAGAGGCCAGAGTGCGAAAGGAAGATGGGTTTCATCACTTGCATTGCTGTATTGAATGTGGATTAAATCACGTGGATGTGAAATATGTGTGAGGCAGAACAAGTTCACCCCGTTTTTCTTGTGAGGAGCTAGAGAGCCAATCTTCAGTCTTGAATCTTGAATCTCGAGTCTCGAATCTTGACTCTTGACTCATCACTTCATCACACTAATAAAACCAATACCCGAAGCAATCCCACGGGCTGCGGATGGGGGCCCGCGGCCTTCTAAAGTCCGAGGTAGTTGGCCATGAAGGGCAGTTGAGACATGACTTTGGTGCCAGAGTGCCCCGCGCACACTCTCGCGCTAAACCACTTTGTTTTGTATTTTATTGGGACCGCTATCAATCAGGGGAGAGCTTTCAATTTTTTTTGCATAGAGTCGGAAAAGGCCAGGGGCCCTTAAGCATCTACGGAGTAGGACTTGGAGGTATTCCGGTGGAGGCACCCCCCGACGCGTATGGCCATTATTATTGACTCTACCCATTTACCAAGCTACTACTACACTGTAGTGTAGTACATTTGATGAAGCATCAACCCGGCTGATCGGCACCAGTGCCGGGAAACCAATATCATCTAAAGTAGAGAGTGCCCACTGCCCACTGACCACTGCCCGACCGCCCACAAACAATTCGTTTGTTCTTGAGTGTGTTTGAGACATCCTTTTTGTCCTTTTTCACTACTACTCGTACTAAGGACTGTACCCTTCTTGTTCGATTTCGATTCTCCAGTCTGTCAGTCTGGGCATATACCTACCTAGTAAAAAGACCATTATTCGTTGCGATTCCCATTCATATTAAGAAATACCCATGTTACACCAACATTCGAGGGTCTTGAGATGTTGTTGAATGCTTCTGGTTAGGTCTTCCTTGCCCGGCCAGCCCTCGCCCTCTCTCTCATCCTCATCCTTGTTACCATTAAGTACCATCGCCACCATCGCCACCATCGCCACCACCATAACGGCGTCCACCGACCCAGGTTAGGTCAGGCCAGGTCACATGAATCACCACCACAACCACCAACATGGAGAGCCTGTCTCAATTGAGACCGCCAATGGCGAGGAGTCAGTGTCTCGCTCAAACACATCGACATCACAAGACAGTATCGAATTAGCCCGAAATACACTGCAAGTCGACCTTGAAAAGGTATATTCGCGACACGAAGACCAGGATGTCGCACCAGTTGAAATTCTCCCCTCCGACCCAAATGTGGTGAATTGGGATGGGCCAGATGATGAGGAAAATCCATTAAATTGGACTAATCGCAAGAAATGGACTAATGTTGCCATCCTTGCTGCCATTACCACCTTGACGTATGTTTTTTATTTCTTTCTTTGTGACCGCGTGAAGAAATGCTAACGGACTGTGTGTCAGGCCACTTGCATCATCCATGTTCGCACCAGCTGTTCCACAGATGATGGACGAATTCGGACAAAGTAGCGTTGTCATGTCTTCTTTTGTCGTCTCGGTATACATCATCGGATATGCGTTTGGTCCGTTGGTGATTGCGCCCATGTCGGAATTGTATGGACGGTTATGGGTTTATCATATCAATTCCTTCCTCTTCATCATCTTCACCATGGCTTGCGGCCTGTCAACAAATTTAGGCATGATATGTGCCTTTCGATTCTTGGCTGGAGTTGCTGGCTCTTGTCCCATCACCGTTGGATCCGGTTCGATTGCAGATACATTTCCCCAGGATGAGCGAGGGAAAGTCATGTCGATCTGGACATTTCCCATTCTGTTTGGTCCTTCACTTGGACCAGTGATTGGGTCGTACCTATCAGAAGGCGCAGGATGGCGGTGGGATTTTTGGTTGTTGGTCATTTGCGTAAGTTGGGTCTCCATACACTGGAGAGAGGGAAGAAAGAGACAAAGGCTGACCTATTTGCCAGGGAGGAGTACTGTTGATCCTCTCTTTGATCGTACAGCAGGAGACGTACGGACCAGTGTTGCTGGAGAGGCGAGCTGCTCGACTTCGAAAAGAAACAGGCAACATGAAATTGCGATCGGCTCTTCAATCGACTAAAACAGCACGCCAACTCTTCTTCTTCTCCCTGACCCGACCACTCAAGATGTTGTGTTTGTCGCCCATCGTCTTTGGCTTGTCGCTGTACATTGCCGTGTCATACGGATACATGTATATCCTGATCACGACGCTGACACCAGTGTTTCACGAGGATTACGGAATTCCTCTGAACAACGTGGGACTGGTGTTCCTAGGGTTCGGAGTAGGACAGTTTGCCGGCCTGTTCGCATTTGGGGCATTCTCGGACCGATACCTGAAGAGGTTATCCCGGGGCGGCGAGATGAAGCCCGAGTATCGGTAAGTCAAACTTTGAATGGCTAAAAGGTCGTGGCTCGAGGTGATGATTCTAACGGCGAGATAGTCTTCCTCTTTTGTGGCCCGGCTTCTTTGCCACTCCAATAGGCCTGTTCCTCTACGGCTGGACCGCAAATTACCCCGATCGTATCCATTGGATCGTTCCCATCATTGGGACCGGGGTTCTGGGTGTTGGAATGATCTCGGCCTTCATGCCGATTGGGACATACCTGGTTGATGCTTACCATATCTACGCGGCCAGTGCGATGGCGGCCAACACGGTGCTTCGCAGTCTGGGAGGTGCGTTCTTACCGTTAGCGGGACGAAGGCTTTACTCGACTCTAGGACTGGGGTGGGGGAATAGTCTTCTTGCGTTCATCGCCCTGGCCATGTTTCCCATGATGTGGATATTCATCAAATATGGGGAAAGGATACGAAAAAGGTTTGAGTTGAATCTCTGATGGAGTAAAGTGGTATATGGATGGGTTTGTGCATTTAATGGAGCCGGGGATTTTTATAGCCACAAGGCACTTGGGAATAGCGATGAAGGTGTCAAAACAAGGCCTGAAGATGAATGAACATTATTTGCATAAGAAGACGAATGTCGTCTTGTGCTTAAAGCACCTGTCGTTATCTTGAACCACGTTTCATGAGTCTGATATCACGTGTTTTGGATACACGTCACGTGCCATGGATCCTCGGTCACGTGCATAGCAATCAGCGAACGCATCAATATGATTGGCGGAATATGGTGTGCTCCGGTCGGCAACTGTTCGGCACTCCGAGCACGAGAAATTCGTGGGGCAACGCCGCAGGTTTGACCACGAACCAGACTTCAATGAATAAATTCTCTGGCAACGCAGCCCATGAATCCTGGTCGCCATCAGTTGATACACCAAACGATTCATGATTTTGCGGGGGCGGTAGACAACGCCACCATTCTTCCTGCTCCTATTTCTACTCTTTTGAGTCTCATCGACACCAACTACTACGTTGGCAGCACCCATCCTTTCTGACTCTTATCCCACTCCGTCCAGTCTTACCACACCTCTTCTGTGGATCTCTCTCTCTCTCTCTATCTTCGGGAATTTCCCGCCTTGACTCATAATACCTATAGCATTCTTTAGGACCCTCCTACCACTCATCCATGGAGTGTCAATAGTCTCACCCGCACCGTTTCACACTCGATCTGTCCTCCTCAGTTCACCCTCTCGGCCGTTATTGGATTTTTAAAAGATCTGGAGCTTGCCTGCTACTGGAAATACATCCCTTCATCCGCCTGCTAGAGTGCATGGCTGTTCCCAACTCGGTGGGAGAGGTCAACTCTCCCTCTCCACCGCAGAAACTCCGTCAGTATCACCCCAGACTTGTATTCTTTATCCTTTCATTGAACGGCTACTAAATCCCGTAGAGAGTGTTCCATCGCAGCCAGAAAACCCCTTTGCGCAATTAGTTCCTGAACAGAACTTTGCCATCGTACCCTCCTTTACCCTCGAATCTGGCGTTACCTTGGTCAACGTACCTGTCGCCTACACCACCCGCGGTCAGCTGTCTGAGAACAAAGACAATGTCCTCGTCATATGTCATGCCCTAAGCGGCAGTGCCGATGTCGCCGATTGGTGGGGTCCCTTGATGGGAGGCCCTGGCCAGGCCTTTGATGTCACCAGGTTTTTTGTCATTTGTCTCAACAGCTTGGGAAGTCCATATGGCAGTGCCAGCCCCGTGACCAACAAAGATGGCAATCCTGCCAACGAAAGATACGGCCCCGAGTTTCCACTCACCACAATCCGAGACGATGTCAAGTAAGAAGATCTCCGCCCTTTTGCATAGAGGCTTATTTACTGACTCGTGTTCACTAGTATCCATCGAATAGTCCTCGACAGCTTGGGCGTCCGGCAGATTGCCTGCGTCGTTGGCGGTTCCATGGGTGGAATGCTCACTCTCGAGTACGCATACTTTGGTAAAGATTATGTCCGAGCCATTGCCCCTATTGCCACCTCGGCGACCCATTCCGCCTGGGGCATCAGCTGGGGCGAAGCCCAACGGCAAGCAATCTATTCCGATCCCAAATACGAGGACGGCTACTACTCGTTTAGCGATCCGCCCTCGGCAGGGCTGGGAGCAGCTCGCATGTCAGCCCTCTTAACCTATCGAAGCAGAGATTCCTTCGAAGCTCGCTTCGGCCGGAACACTCCCGATCTATCGAAGCGACCCTCAATCAACCAAGGCCAACGTACCCCTCCAGGACAAAACCATCATTGGACCGTCCACAACGACGGCCACATGCGAGCAAAAGGTTCTCGCGACAGTCGACCGCCTTCGAGAAATGGCACCCCAACCCAAACATCCAACGATCAAGCCACATTTGTCGACCCTCAGTTCACAGGTACCACGGAATTTCCTGTACCTGTTGCTCCTACACTGTCCCGGAGCAACTCCCGCCCAACCAGCCACTACTACTCAGCCCAATCCTACCTACGATACCAGGGAAGTAAATTTGTCACTCGATTCGATGCGAATTGCTACATCGCCATCACGCGAAAGCTCGACACTCATGACGTGTCTCGAGGCCGTGCTGCAAGTGTGGCGGAAGCTCTTGCCATGATTGAACAGCCGGCCCTGGTATTGGGGATTGAGTCTGACGGCCTATTTACATTTGCGGAGCAAGAGGAGTTGGCAACCCACATCCCCAACGGACAGCTCAACAAGATTGAGAGTCCCGAGGGACATGATGCGTTTCTATTACAGTTTGAACAAGTCAACTCATACCTCCTTAGCTTCTTCCGCCGAGTCCTGCCCGACATCATGGGTAAGCCTGGAATCGGTGGTGATACAAATGGAGATGCAGTGGATCGAGTAGGCCACATGACGAAGAGCAGTACTTTTGGTGAGGCTGAGGTGGGAGACTTGACGGCATGGTAGTTTGTTGGCAGTGATATGGCCCACAGAGGCTCAATGACAAGAAGATCCAGAACCAAGTATTTGTAAGGAAACCAGTTCAACTCTGGCCCTGCAATTCGTGGTAATCCTGGACTTTTTGCAAGAATCCAGCACCGAAACATCCACTAGATGGAGCGTGTGCGTTTGTCTGCATATCGCCTACAGAGCATATGTATTGTGTTTATCTATTGTCGCCGGTACCCAACGAGGGCCGCATTCACAATATACCCATAGGCTTGGAGAGATTTGAGAATGAAGAGAACCGATCAACTTGACCATCGCCTTCTGCATGCCATTGATATATGGCATTTGACTCGGAATTGTTGTAGATAGTCATTTGGAGTGGTGTGGTGATGAGCTGTGAGAGAATGTATAGATTGGCCGGGACTTGCGATGGGATGAGCCATCGGGTAGTGGGGTAGGGCAATGGTGTAGGGCTAAGGTTTAAGATATTATTGCAATGGAGCGATCTACGCTGCCAAAAACTATCGGTTATGTCATGAAGTTGGCTCTAAATTCCCGCATTAGGAAGTTTGACTACCTTATTAGCGGAATCAGGGTAAGTCACGACTTGGTCTGTAGCAACCAGGCCTGGTCCCTTCCTCTCATAGCGGCAATCTCCTCCCATCCCCATTCCATACTTGTACTTTGGTTTGCAGCTGCAGTCACATGCCTCTGACCCGTCTTGCTGCATCCCTGCTTCATCCCTGCTTGACTCCTGCGTCGTCATGCATATACCCGTGTCATCAAGTAAGACAACTTCATCTTCATTAGGCAGTTCCGACTGCCTACCTGAGGAATTGAAATCGTTTTCCCTTTTGTGCGCCCACCTCCAAAATCTGATGGCACACTTGTGTACCGTGTCGTGAAGTTGGAGATGAATTTCTGAACTAGGAGACTCACCAGCCGAATATCGATATTCGGTTGGAAAGGTCATGCAGCTTCCCCGGGCTCACCAAGCTCGCCACAGATCTTCGCTAAAGCAACTATAGCGGTGTTGCATTTTCTCACGGGTGCTTAAGGGAGATATTGTAAAGGTTGATAAGGCACTTTGGCTTGCCAGGCCTGTCCTGACTGAAGATAGGGTGGGGTGCCACAGTCCTACAGGGCGGTTTGTGACACAGTGACGGATTTCTTGAGTTAAGGAAACAGATAAACAACAAAGGAATACAGGCATTCTCTTCTAGAGTGAAACTCTCATCGATTAATTCCCTTTAGCAGCAACTCACTGTGGGTTGTGAGTACTTAGTTACTTACTTGTCTATGCTGAATATCATGAATTCTTTAGGGCCTTATGGACTGAGATGATGCCAGCGCGCTAACTTCTCTGGACTCAGTCCAGAGAAACTCACGTGGTCTTGTCTGGCACCAACACTCACCAAATACAATACAATATTAGAGCACGAAAGGGACTTGAGGGGGAATGAAGAGTCGAAACAATTTCCTGAGTGTCAAGTATGAACTATAGAACTACTTGATGGCATCTTGATTCGATTTTGACCTAATTCTGACCAATACGGATCCCAATACCCCCTGGAATCAGCGTTTCCAGGCGTTTTCGACACCCTTGCAACGCAGATAATCTGTGATCATACTGCTGAAAAGCAGTTATCTCGTACAACTACTACTGTTGTAAAACGAGAGAGCATCACCTCAATACTATACAAATCAGGAACCCAAAGATCCGAACACAAGTCATGCTAACCCAAAAGTGCATAGATGTGTCTCAAACAGATGACGTGCCGGTACACCAAGTTGACGAGAATTCCCCTATCAATCTAGCCTTGCTCCAAATTCAGGAATCTACTCCAAATTATGACCCATTTTTAGCAGCCTTGGCAGTCTAAACCCAGAGAGCCTCATGAATCGGGGCTTCGTTATATTCAGTTCCTGCAGGTGTAGATCACATGACCTGGCTAGGTTATTTTTTTTGTCCAATGATAATTTCTCCTACCCTAACGCTACCCCTCAGTCCGAGTCGCGGTCGGGTCATGAAGTCCCCCGGAAATTACCTGATTAGGCATCTTGGTGTCCAAACATGAATTTCTTATAGTAAGAGAGTCTCTTCCTCAACTCTCCCCGTTTTGTGATGACCGTCCAACCAACTACTGTCGGGTTAGAAAGTTGATCGATGATTCCCAAATTGGGAAGTCGCCAGTCTGAATATGGATAATGCCTGATAATACATTGTCTTCTCTGACCCTAACCCTGACCCTAACCGTGAGCCTCATGTTTGACACTTCTGGGGCATGATGTTGATCGATAATTGCCGGATTTGGAAGCCAGCAGTCTGGATGTGGTTATTCTCTAATTATCCCCTCTTGAACCCTAACGGTAGAGTCTAACTGTTAGCCTAACCCTGAACCTAAGTCCTGAATTCGTTGAGTCATGGAGTTGCGCAAAGATTGCCTAATCAAAAAGTTGGCATATTCCAAATCAGGTTATCTAGATCCCCGAGCGGTGTTCATCCTGGTCTCGTCTTCGTTCCCATGTAAAGACGTTGGGAGAGTCATTGCTCGGTTTTCCATAGGTGGTATGGGTACGGTAGCAGATATGAGGGTTTGCCTTAACTAGAACTGAGTCCAGTTTTAGTGGTGCAGCATCTTCGACAGTCCATCTGACGCTCTGATTGTTGGTCCGTGGTGACAGACCGAGGATACGCAATAAATATTCAGAGTCAGTTCTTGACTAGTTTTCGATCCAATCCACAGATGTTGACAAAACAACGTGGGTTCGGGGGAATGCATACTTTTCTACAAGCAGCAGTAACATGCTGTCATCACCAGGCGCCGCAAACCGGTGTGGAATTTGAAGAGGCCCAACGCTGAAGTGAACACAAAAAACTCCTCTTCATCCGGACCTGCCTCCATGCAAATGAGTGATGCGGTTTCGTCACCTCTCCTGGGTCATGGATTCCGGTCAGAACTTCCGGACGGAGAGAAGTAGCCTACCGAGAACAGCAATCTTTCCCTCTGTCTCAGACAACCACTTTCCCTTTCCGGACTGGCCTGATTTAGACTCAGGGCATGGCCGAATTCAACATGGATCTTCAGTATTTCTTACTTGTCTAGGTAGATACCAATGCAATAGTGGATGTCATGTCATGTCATACAACACCATGTGCGGTCTCTCCGCTTCCCTGCAGACTTCAAAGGGGCAACTGTCCACTACACTTTTAAGGATGACCCCTAACTCGCTATGCTGTACCACTTTCTATCTATGTCCAATACGGTGCTCTGATCCCCGTCAAACTATTCAAAATCCCCTCATGGTCTCCAGCATCGTCCTTCTTTCGCTGTCCGCTCAGTTCCATTTGTATGCTGCGGTGCACATGCACCAGCCAGTCCACGTAACTCTGTGCTTCGTTGTTTCTGTCCTCGACTAACATCCTTGCATATTCGAACTCGGACCCGTCCAGCCCTTGTCTTGCCAACGTAAACGTCGCCGCCTTGCTGCCCCGCACTGTCGAGAGGTAGGCCAAAAGATTGCGCACTTGGGCGTTGAGGTGTGTCTCTAGGACTGGGAGTGAGTTGGTATGCAGATCTAGATCTTGTAGGGAGTGTGCTTCGGGACCGAAGAGGTCCTCGATCAGATTAGGTGAAGTTTGTGCGTGGAGCCAGAGCAATATTTGCTGCCCGTTGTCGACAAGATAAACTCCGCCTTCTTCGACGCGGGCAAATGATGCACGGAGTGTCGGTGGAACGACGAGTTGCATCGTTTCAGGATTGGCGAAACAATCTTCGGGTTGGAGATTGTGGATCGAGTAGATCCGTGGATACAGGTAGAGAGCCGTCTCGGTCACACCAGCAGACCGCAGGAATCGTGCCGACTGAACACGACGATCAGGATGTTCGACGCCGCCTGGGGAGGTATGTCAGTAAAGGCGTAGCGCCTGGGAAGGATGGGGTCTCCACAAACCTCTGAGAGCCGGGCTCTTAATCAATCCAAGGGTGTACATGGCAAACTCTTTGAGATGTTCCGGAAGAACCAGCTGACCAGGGGGATGTGAGCCAGAAAAGTTTTTGCGATACCCCGCGAGTATGTCAATCGTCTTTTCTGTGATTCCTGCTCGAATGTCCTTGAGAGATTTCTCCGTGATTTTTAATGAGGCTTCTTTGGCAATGATGTTGAGCACGGCATCTTGATCAACCGTCCGCATGGTCTCGGTCGCACCATCACTGACTGCTGCAACCACATTGATGCAACGGACTCTTCTCTGACCAGAGGCAGAAGTGTACAACAAGGCAGCCTGGAAATGGGCGTCAAGCTTAGAGTCCAACTTGCCGTCGTACGAGAACGTCACCCCGATCGCCTTATCGGCATCAATGGTGCCGATCTCGAGGTCAGCGCCGAAGGAATTTTGCAGGAAAGCACCATGATAGGACGAGACCTGCAACCCGTTGGAACAACGAACCTTCATCAATGCTTGGAATCCAGTCTCCCGCTGGAAAGAGTGCTTAATCTCCGTTTCCAGTTTCAATGTGTCGCGTGGCGCTACAAAGTTGGGATAGAAATATGTTTCCCCACCTGTCAGACGTGCTACATGGCCGATGGTGGCAATGTCCATGTATTCTCCTCCGGCAGCAGCGAGGAAGAAATCCACGCCAACTCCTGCAGCAACCATTGAAGCAGCCGTCTTCTTCCAGCCGGGATGCTCCGTTGTAAAGAGTTTCTTTTCATGGTCGGTATCACGACCCTTTCCATCATCTCGCATGATGAGCTTGCCAGGCCCGTATGTGGGCAGGCGAGAAAGAGTTGCAATGATCTTGCCACCGGTGGCGGTTAATGCCGTCAATGCAGCATTCAGTGTGGGTAAAAGGGCGGGTTCGGGATTCTTGAAGGTCGAGAACATGGTCGGAATGGCATTAAGGAGGCCGGTAATGACATCCTTTGACTCGGTCGGGTCGACAAATAGGCCATCGGATAATGGAACAAAAGGATCCTCCAGGTCCGTCATGACCATCATCTGAGCCGTTGCCAGTCCAGCGGTCAGGTTGTAGAATTGAACTTCTCTGTCAAAAGTCACAATCCCGATCTTGACTCCAGGAGGGATCTTTGACTGAGGGGTTGCTTCATCAGTCTCTTGAGAATCATCTCTCTCGTGCCCATAGAGAGCATCCAGTATACCGCGACAGACTGAGGCCAGGAACCCTCGATTCTGGGCTTCTTCCGTGATATCGACCAAGAAGAGCCATCTCAGTGGAGTCGGCTCCTTGGCCCAGTATTCTTTGGGCACCATATATTCGACCGTTCCCAGCATCAGTTCTGGTCGCTGTAATCGATCCACGCGGATTCCGGAAACGTCAGTGGGGGCAAAGTACTCTGGTGCCACGTCGTTGGGGAAATTACACATGTTGCACACCAATTTGTTCCCACCAGACCGAAAAGTCATAAAGGGGTTGATATAGGTCCTACACCTTCGACATCTTGGGGGGCCAGTCTCTCCAAAGTCGAGGACAGGGATGGGTAGCTCGCCTTCCTGAGGCTGAGCGAATGGCTGGAGCACGAGGCCCAGCGGAAGTCCAGTAGAGGAAAGAGAGTCAACAGTGGAGGGGATGTTGTTGATAGTGAGGCGAGCATATTTGGGCGACGAGTTCCCTTGGTCGTGTGCTGTGAACGGGATTCCAGCTGGAGGAGGCAGATGTTTCTCCATGGTGGGGTAAATATTAGCTTGATAGAATTGAGTGGCAGCGTCTCTTGCTCTCGCAACACTCGGGACCTGTTCTGGATCGACACGTCCTTGTGTGGTCACTGCCTCTTCACCCATCCTTAATTTGTCTGCTGGATTCACAGTGTTGGCTGGTTGTTGTGGGACTCCAGGTTGAAGCTGTTGTCCTCCACCCAAAAACTGGGCGTTGTTAAGCCCTCCTTGCTGATATCCCTGTACTGGGGGAGGAGCAGGCGATACGGCAGGACCAGGACCAATGTCGTGGTGGGCATGACGATCCTTTTTCCTGTGTGATCTGACAGATGTAGTTCCTATATCCATTCCTCCAAGCTGTGTAGCCAAGCCATTTGTGGGATCAGGCCCTGCATACTGCTGTGGCTGCTGAGGCTGTTGATTTGCATATTGCTGTTGGGCATAATATTGATTGCCCAGCTGCTGAAAGCCAGGCTGAGGGATGGAGGGCTGTGGAAAGGAAGGGGAGGGTTGTTGTGGTTGCGAGTTAACGTATCGAGGGTCTTGGTTTGGCTGAAGGGGCTGACCAGCGCCACCACCGTAGTAGGCGCCGTAATTTGCCATGACGGACAAAAAATCAAATGTATCTGGATGAGGAGAGACTTGGCCTGCGCTTCATAGTGATTGCTAGACGGGGAGTCGGCTTCGAGCGACGGCGAATAGGTGGGTCGAAGTGGTGGTGGTCTGAGAATACGGAGTGAGGAGTCGACTCAAGTCAATGAGACGACGAAAGGTAGAAAGTCGGACACTAGAGCAGTTTGTGGGTTGCTGACCGGGTTTTGGTGGTGGACTCTGCTTTTTAATTGTAGAGAACAAGTTTCCTCATCTCCATGGTTGAATTGCCGTCAAAGCGACTCAGCAGCGCGGAAGACAAAATTCGGGGGGCGACGGTTGAAGGGTCTATACTCGGCCATAGGATTTACACGTCGGAATTCTACAAGACGACACGCAACATTGAGATTCCAAAGACAAATTCGACTTCACCATTCAGATGGTCAATCAATTCAATAGAAACCACATGATTCATTCGAACGATATTTGAGTTTGATTTCATAGAGAAAGAACGTGTTTCCATATACCACTTTTCTCCATGTTCTCTCACCACTGTTGATATATTTTGACCCCATTTCATACTGATCCACTACAAGTATCCTCACTACATACCTTTTTCTGGACTGGGTGGAATAACTCTATGGCCCTAGTGCATATGACACTATGTCGCGAAGACCAAACTTGGACTTGGCACTTCCAATGGTCGGGGTCCAGCTGGGATCACAGCTGAGAAAAGAGTGTTTGTCTCCAAAGAGCAGTCCAAGGAAGACCTCGGCCACAATCCGTCCACCCACCTCACCGAGCTGAGGAGTCGAGATGTCTCTTGGAGGGGAGACTGGGATGGTGACTGGTTTGATGTTCTTGGGGAGTGCCGCTTCGGCAAGAATGTATGTCCATAGTGGACAATTGCCACGGAAAGCTGAAAGCTCTGGGATATCGGACAGAGGTCCAACGGTGTCCTCACCTTCTGGGCTGTCCACCGCCTTGCCAATGATGATCTCACGGTCACTCAACGGAGTCACTCCCATTGCTTTGGCAACACTTTGTCCTGTCGGAAGTCCAAGCTCGAAGCCCCGAAGCAGATTGCGTTGGGCCAGTGAACGAGGTTCGTCAAAAGCAACCGATTTAGGTAGGACCGAGAGCGGCGTCACCACCGAGGTATCGAGGCGGTACGCCAGTTGCAAACGTCTTTTGGTTTCAGTACTGGCCGGGCTTGTCTCGTCGTCTATCTCAGCTCCATAAGGGCGTGGCTCTCCGACGTCGATGAATCGACCCCAGTCAATTCCACGATTCTTCGCCATTGCCTGGAAACCAGTCAAGCCAGGGGTAATCCCTCCTGGTGGCGCTCCAGGCACTGTATCAGGCACCGGAAATATTGGCAATAAGGTGGTGTCGTCGTCGTTGAGACGATACCCCGGTCGAATCATAGAATGGCCAAGGCGATACGCAGCCGCCGAGAATTCCACTGGCATGAATGGAGTCTTCTTCCAGTAGAAGAACTGAATCTTCTTTCGGTCGTATATACCATTGGTCTTCAGGGCATCCAAGACTCTTGAGGAGATGATCTTAGGGAGGAAGTCGTTGACAACGACCCACTGGTAATGCCAACGCACAATTTTCTGGATGGCAGCAAATTTGAGGCCCGGGTTCTCATCTACCAGTCGGTTGTGGAAGCGCAGCATGAGCGCCTGGAACTGAGAGATAATGCTATTCTCATCGTTTCGAGGGTCTCCGATGAGGGCACGAGCTGTGTTTGCAGTGTTACGTTGAAGGTCATGAGCTCCATTGTCGAGGACTTCACCAAGCAGAAACTTCAAACCACTGTCGTCGTACAGGTAAGGTTGATCATCCGGACCACGGCCATAGACGTTGTCAAGATCCAAAGCTGGAGTGCGGAAATCCGTCAGTGCTTCTGGGTCACTGTGTTGAACCAGAGTGGTCATGGGGTCAAAGGTAATGTCATGATCGATGAATTGACCGAAATAGGTGTAGAGGGCTGGTATTCCACTTTCTTCGGCATCGCCGCCGTCCTTTGGTTCATCCAATTTGGAAGTCATCAAGGCTCCCAAGGCCAATAAGGCTTGCCTGCTTTCATCGTCGGTTGCACCGTATGTTCCGGCAGGAATGGTATCGGCAAACATGCGTCCGAAACGACCTTGAAATGTGGGTTTGTCGGCTGCAGCCATGAGCCCGCGTAAGGGCTTGCCATGGCGGGCAAACGCGGCGAATAGAGTCTTCATATCACCAGGCGCGTTGGATTGCAAAGGATGTTGTTGCCCATTGGCTTGCTGATTGGGCTGGGTCATGGTCGATTGCCTCTACAGAATGAAAGCCAACCTGTAAGTAGTACTACCTTGGTGTCTTCCAAGACTTGGAGGATGAATGAGCTGAGCATCCACCCAGACTTGCCCTAGGTTTTTATACATGTCCTCACACGAGGAGAATGGATGTCAGCCTGGGTGACTAATTCATACACTGGTATTGGACCAACGACCATCCATCGTTTTCAATCTGCACGCCTACTCGTATAGGCTTTCAATGGACATATGAATCTTGTGGTTCGTGGCGCACCATTTCAGCTCCTCGCCGTGCTCGAAGCAAGCAATAGCGAAAACCTGATTCGATGATATTTGTGACTCGTGTTGACTTGTGAAACATTGCAATGCGAGCTGTGCGTAAACTGGGTTGGATGATGGCCTGCACTTCAAGTTTGTCGAGTCTGGCCCCAGGTCTTAGACCTCAGATGATGGTTGGGAGCTCAGACGAGGGTTTGAAAGTCGTTGCAGCCGAGATGGCGCAACCCTTTCCCGAAATTTTGAGTCTAATAGGCGCAAGGTGAGAAGAGGGGAGATGGTGGGAAGCTGGCCAGCCCTGTCTCTTATCTCGTGTCCTGTCTCTACCGGTGAGCAGGGGTGCCCCTTCACTGACAGCTCAGCCTAGACATGGCTCTCACACCGGTCTGAGCACAGCTGGTAGGACGAGAAATCTGGATTCGACACGAGTGGGGGAACGATTGGATTAGGAACTTCTTCAAGTTCGAGTCTGTATAGACCTAGAATGATGGTGAACGCTTACACTCAGTTTCAGCATTGATACTAGTCTCACCGCTCGTGACTTAAGTCGAAGACGAATTCAGATAGATCTTTGTAAACTCAGCCTCTGTCCCAGGCGAATCAAATCAGATTAAATGATCAAGCTTACCTACCGAGGCAACGACAAGAGTTGACACAAATGTCATGTTCTCGACACCTCATCCGTGTAATAATCATCTATCTTACATGCCTCAGTCATCGGCCATTGAGTGTGGCTCGAGTCTGACTACCCCGTGATCCAATCTCAGACCCCGGCATGCCACGATTCCTCGGTTCCACGGTCCCTGCGACCAGGCGGTCACAACGAGTCCGGTTGGATGTAAGCGTTCGAACAAGCATTACCTACAGTTGCTTGTTTTAGAAGCGAATGAACGCCACCGCGCTTGTGTTCAACCGCTACTATTGGCCACCACGACCAGAACCTGGAAGAAAGACGGGGGTTCTCGTTCAACATCCGTTATTTTCGGTCAGTTGAGCTCAACAGACACTTCAAGGTTCTTTCAGGTTTGTCGTAAAGTGAGAGTTCAGCTTCTGCCTTAAAGTACCTGACCTACCTGTCAACCTCGTTCAGCCTGACGAATTGAATCGAACCCGAGGTCTGGTCTTGGATGTGAGTGAGTGAGATGGCTTATGATAGGGCTCCCCTCCGCTCGTTTTTTCGTTCGTGTTGACCCCTCAGTAGGTTAGGGACTGAGCAAATGTACCGACCAAAGTACCCAAAGTAGGTACGAGCCCGTGGAGGGGCCGGACCACAAGGCCGAGAATTCAATATCCCTGCAACAGGTATACGAGTACGGGTTGACTGAAGTGAAGTGATGGCAAGCTGAGGGAGAACGTATGATTTCTTAACAAGGTCTGCGAAGTAACTCGCAGGTCTTCACGAAGTTAACAGAACTAGTGCTACTTCAGGAGAGATTAGGTAGGTACTTTGGTAAGATACTTGGATATAAAACTTCTTCGAAACCTGAGAGTGAGTCTCTGAGATTGAACTATGAAATGGCGCCCAGAGAGAGAACTTCCGGGGGTCTGAGGGATGCGTAACTTGAATTTGGTGTCTGCAATACTGAGCACTGTTACTAAATAGGTATTCTACTACTGGTAATAAGCAGGCAAGTACTCCAGTATTATCGTACATGATCATTATATGTTCATCAACTGCTCAATTGCACGGTCCATCTGCTCAGTGCTAGTCAGAACGTGATTAACACTTAGCCTTGCAGCGTCCCGTTGGTTCTCAGCTTCCGTGTCCAAAGATCTGGCATCGGTATCATCATTATCGTTATTTTCATGTCTCGCTTCGGGTGGGCCGAAAAGAGGTTGCGGAACGCGACCGTTACGTCCAACATTATTGGGAGGTTGCAAAAGCCGGTTTTTCTGGCCTGCGCTCCGGCCAAGAAAGGGATCGTCTCCCTCGACGGTTGAAGCAGCGGGACTGAGAAAGCTCATCTGATCCTCAGGAAGCCTACCACGGGGGATGACGGATGCCACTGGGGGTGGGTGATGGAGCGGTACGTTAGTGTTCATCGGTCCGTTGTTGCTCTTAAGCCGATCTCCCACCGGGGGTTTTGGTTCGGCATTTTCAACAGGCTGAAGGGGGGCCTTTTCACGCTCCGAGAGGGTAGGAGGTCCTGGACTCCCCAAGTCATATTCCATTGGATCAGTGAGAGACGCATCATTCACGGAGACCTTGGTGGCATCGGTGTGATCGACGATGCTAGGCGTGGTGGAAGCTGTAGTATAATCACCGGCGCTGTTCAGCCTGACGTGTCCTGGCGCAGGTCGAAGCTTTTCCCTCTTCTTCATCGTCATTACACTGGTGCTAGCACTCGTTCGGGTAGATCTACCACCGTTGATGTAGGTTGGCCTCACTGTAAGGCTTCGAGCATCATCGGCTGTTTGCTCATCACTGGTAGAATAGTCTGGAATGTCTTCAAGGGCCCCGGAGACCTTGACACCGCGAACTCGATTGATGGGTGCCATGACTCGTATCATCATTTGGATTTGATCAGCTTGCCACCGGATTTTTTCTTCCTGCTTGATGACGACGACAAAAAGTTCCTCGACGGTCTGCTTGAGCGTGCCTACGTCGACGAGATCGTTACTGTTCCATCTTCGACGTTTGCGAGGTTTAGTCGCAACCTTCTGGGGTGAGTTCGAGCTGGTTGCTATCAACACGAGCTGCGACTCGTCGCTCGAACTGCTGAGACTATGGCTCGTAGTCCGGGCGTGTCGCTTGGTGGGTTTGGACGCAATAGAAGTGGATTTGGCTGAGCCTGGGCTCCTCATTTGTTGTAGACTTTGAATACTGAGTGTCTTTGTGAGAGTCTTAAGAGGGCTCCCCTGACTGGCAGACATATCTCTGAGGTTTGACAAACGTCGTGAATGCTTCATCGACTGAAAAGGACTGGCACTGCGACTGGGAGGGCCGCCAATACTAGGGGCAGGGCTCATGGCCCCAGCTCGGAAACGGGCGGTAACAGGATCGGAGTCGACAACGACAAAGATATTGCTTTGACTAAGAATTTCCTTTGGACGTGGTTGGCGAGTATGGTAGGACATGCTTGATTTTGATGTCTGATGCCGATGGGCCGCTTGCCTTGATTGGCTGTGATCTCGGTTGTATCTGCGAGATCCGGTCCTACTCCCAATGCCACTACTTTCCGGCACTGCGGGGAATTGGTCTAGCTCATCCATTAAGGGTCGTGTATCAAGGCCCTGTGGCTGAACTGTAATGTCCTTCTGATCGCCCCGTCCATGAGATTGTTTAGCTGTCTTGTTCTTGGAGGTATTCTGCATGTCCGGGTCAGAAACTGACAGTCTCAAGTCACGCCTGCGCATCTCCTTTACTTTCTCAGCACGTGGCCCCGAGATGTTGTGCTTGGTGAACGATCGAGAGGAGCGTTGCGAATCACGAGACTTTCGAGAGGATAAAGAATCGAGCGACATGAGATCGGCTGAGAGCTTTCGGGTCAGCCCATGAAGCTTTCCATCAGACAGTTGTGCATTTATTTTGGTGGACTTTTCCATCTCCAGCGTAGGTCGTTGTTCTGGAATTGAAGATACGATGCGGATGGTGGACATGGACAGTCTTTCATTAGGGTACACAGGATGTTTGGTTGCACTTGTTGAGGAATCGATAGACCGCCGATGGAAATCAGAGGCCGAGTCTGAGGGTAGTGCTGGTAATGGACGCTCTGGTGGAATACTAGGAGGGCCCGATTTTGAGTCCGACGATATATGAGATACTCTGGGATTTTCAGATATTCTACCTCGAGGAACGACATTGACCTTGACCTCTGCCTCTATCTTGGCTAGAGTGTCGGTGCTTGTGGCCGGTCTTGGGCCGTTGAAAGTATTGCCGGCGCAAGGAGGGGCCAGCGAGGAACGGTGGGACTGCTCAAGAGCCTTAGAGCGTAACGGAGATGTAGGGAGGCCTAGTCGCCTTGTGGTGGAACCTGCGTAGTTTCGGGTCGGTGAGAACATCTGTGTGGCAAGGCTTGACGAGTCTTGTTTACTGGAAGTCCTCCGCGGCAGCTGTGGACGACGATGGTGGGCTTGTGGTGTTGAGCTGGTTGATACAGTTATGTCTGGGATCGGAGGAGTGGAATCAGCGCTCAGAGGGGCTGGCACAGCAGCCAATGCGGCATGGATAGAAATCGAGTCACCGTCATCAATTCGGGGGCCTTGTAAGACGTGCTGGGATGTCGAGGGTGAGACTTGATGTGAGGATTGAGTCGGTGGAGCCAGGCCTGGAGAAGGTGAAGACAACCAGTCGCGGTTGAAGTCGAGACTGTTCAGAACATCCATACACTCTTTCGAGAAGCGGCTATCTTTTTCGGGGTCGTGGAGGGATGGAACAGGTGACCTGGAACCAGGGCGGCGGTTTGAGGTATCTCGATCTGTCTCTCGCCAGAAATCACCGTACACAGCTGGCAGCGCAGTTATGGGCTGGGGGAAGGGGTCTTTGGGGGGAGGGACGGGTCTTTTTTGCATGAACCTGGACCCTATCTTTGCGAATCGAGGAAGTGCGACTCTCCCATGTCCACGGCGGCCTCTTCTTTCGCGCTTTCGAGGGGGCACTGTTCGCTTGGTGCCTTGGCGGCGGTTTTGGAAGTCTGAAGGAGCAGAAGATATGAAAATGGTCGCTTTGACAGTTCTCCAACATTGTATCGTCGCTGGTTGGCATTGTGAGGGGTTTGAAAAGTTGTTTTCGCTTACGTTCTCGGGAGTTGAACGTTGTGCCTCATCAATACTGGATAAAATCATAGGTGGGTGCTTTAACTTGGCGCGTTGTTGGTCGAAAGATTCCTCGCGCATGGTGAGGATACGTTCATCTTGATCGGCAGTGAGGAGAGACGGCTGAAAGGTCTCCTTTTCGGGTAGCGCCGGGGTGTTTGGTGATGGGGATGCAGGCTCGTACCTCTTGGCCCATTTTCGCGACTGGCGGAATTGAGGGACTCGCAAGTTTCGCGGGGACGATGGTGGTGATCTCGGGCCTTGGTACACATGGACTGTAGGACTGGGGCATGAGTCGTCTGTTGCAGCAGTGCGAGGCCTGTGAGACTCGATAGAGAACTTTGGGATGGGCAATTCAGGTAGTGCTTTATCTGGTCGACTGGGGTAAGACTGTATCGATGTCATGATGCGACCGTCGATGTCGGCCAAGGAGAGGAAGGCTGTTCAGGGTAGTACGCCAGTGAATGATGCTGAGGGTCGCGCAAGAACAGACATCTCCCTCAGAGGGGTGAGAGAATGGGACAGTCAGTGTTGGAGATAGACGGTAACTCGAAGGATGTAAAGTTGGCGAAGCATCGGATCGGAGGCCTGGTGGGTGGAAACAGGAGACATATATTACCCGGATAGTGTGTGGTTGGGAGGCGAAGAGAGATGTCAAAACTGGAGATGGGAGGCCGGAGCCTCAGCAGGAAGAGGATTATGGTGGCTCTGGTCGGTGATGTGTGAATGAAAGGCGCTCCACCCATATGCAGGTGGAAAAGGTGCCAAAATTGAACATGGCTTCAAGACAGTAGATGGTGGTAGCAAGGATTTCTGGCACAGTGGAATTACCACAGTTGGGTCGGAGGGGCAAGTTCTGACAGGGACGCATAGTGACGCTATAGGATGTTAAGAAGAGGACATGAAGTCAGTGGATTGAAGTTGACACTTGATGGCCAGAATAAGGTTCTTGAGAGCCGGCGTGGATGGAGCTAATTGTGGATGGCTGAGACCATTAGTGTCTGGTGCTGGACAGGGATGACACGAGGAGGATGGAGAAGGGCAGAACAACGACGTCCTCCGTATTTAGGAGGGGGCTCCAGGAGGAGTAAAAGGGCGCAGGGAGGTGCGTGCCCTCGCGGTCGATGGAATGCTGATAAGGATCATGAGGGAGGAACTCGGTCAGGTAGACAAAGGGCAGAACGGTTGAGAAGGAGCTGGAGATGGACATGAACAGAGATCCGAAGTTCAGTCCTCGAGTCGGGCGGCGTTGATGGGGTTGGAGAAAGTCAAAGAGCGACTAAGACGCAATTGTGTTCTCAGTACTCCGTAGACGTTGATGGTGGAGGGCGACGTCGATGCAAAGGAATGTGGAGGCGGAAGTGGCGCCAGAGTAAGCCACCACATGCAGGGTGATTTCTGTTCAGTGCACACTGCGTATACTCCGTAGTCGTAGGTAAGTCTTCCCAAGTGCCAATGTATCCATTATCCAAGCTTACGGAGTACATCTCTTTATTCTGGCTCTGTTGACCTCTCTTTAGGTTGGTGGCGCAGCGGGGAAGGGAACGGCCCAAGCCAAAGCTGAAGCCAAAGCTCAAACCAAAGCCTCAACGGAGAACAATGGATTTGGGAATTGGAACACTTGGGTTCGAACCACTTTATCTACTTGCTTCAGGCACTCATAGGTGTGAATAGTGTGATGATTGGGTTCTATGGTTGGTGACCAAAGGCCCCTCGGGCGTTTCTAGGGCCAAGTACCTTAACTAAGGAATGGACTCGACACGACAGCTGTCTTTGTAGCCCCCCGGTCTCTGCATGCACTCATGGCGATCAGCCCCCGATCTGGCGTTAGATCTTGCATCACTTGCATAACCGAGCCCAGTCGGGCAAGGATGGCAAACTCGCCTCTTTTCTGTCAGTACCGCACAGGTCATGATTTACATACAACGCATCTGTGGCTTCTTGACTGACGGCGGGATGCTGACGGTCTGGCTTCCGCGTCAATGGTGTCCTGTCTAGCCTCTGATCAAAGAGGGGACTGATGTCAACTGCACATCTGCTATCTGCTATCTGCTCCCTGCTACCATGGCCATGCAAGGACTTCGGCAAGTCGGCCAATTTAGATTACCAGCACATGGGCAATGCCATCGATCTTGGTCTGTGTGGCATGCACACACTCCAAGTATGGACAGCGCGTGAGTGCCTGCCTTAACGTCCTGGAATGCCAACCCATCTTTAAGGCAACTGCAGCTGAACCATGTCCCCAGACCTAGGTAAGTAGGTACATATGTACCAAGTACGGAGTAGGTAGTTAAGTAAATAAGGTAGTTCAAGTAGGCACCTGTGCTACCTGCGCCCGTGGTCTGATTACCTTCCTCTAAAAGGTGTTCGTCTCCAGAAATTGGACTCGTAGTGTGCGGGAGGCGGACGGATGGCTAAAGTCTTTTCCCGTCGCCATCTCACTGCCTGCAGGGGTTTCTCGCCGTTTCTCGTATCTTACCCACCGTCATGGCTATTTTTCTGATCTCATAATCCCTTCCGATCTATTGTTCATTCATTTCGTTAAAGTCGAACCGCATTAGCCCATCCTAATTTGACCACGCTCTCAAGACGAACTGCCCGCAACGCCCAGCACTCAATGATGTATGAGTTTGTGAACACCCAAGTCGTCTCATTTCTTAGGTGTCAGGGCGGTGAGCCAATCGAGTGTCCACCGTTCAACACCAGCGGCCAGCTCGACGTCATCTTCTGTCCCAGTTGACTGCGGCTCTGTCTCAGTTTGTCTCCTCCACTTTGACCTACAATGACCGAATGGCAATCCTGGTAACCAAGGGAATCCAGGAACCACACGCCCATGCCAGGGTGCTTTGTCAAGCACATGGATGAGCATCACTTGGACACACGGATGCCGCCCTGTGTTGATCTCTCGCCCAAAATTCTCCTACATCCCCGTCCCTGTTTGACGCGCGTGTTTGGCACGACGTCCTCGCCAACGTCTTAAAGACCTCCTCCCAAACTCCTCCCGTCCATCTCCGGGTCGAATTCCAACACAGTGACATGAGATCACTCCTGTTCAATAATAATACCCAGCCAGTAACATCCTCTCCCATGACCCCCCTTTCGACCAATCTCTTGGCTATACACTCTTTCTCCACCCGCTGGCCAACGCACACAGTCCTCATATGCCACACCCTAGTTGGGTTAAATTTTGAGGAGTCAAACATACGTTCAACATTCCACCACTCTTGCGAACTGCCGAATGCATTCTTCCCATGGACTCATGCAGTCTGCACCCCGGTTCTTATGTGAATGCCCGTGGAGACTGTTGATGCCGCTGTCATTCCGAGGGAGCCGCCTGCCATCCAAAATTTCCCCATCCGATTCCTATCAAGAAGCTCTCGCTCCGTTTCAGTCTTGTGGAGTAAGGGGAGCTCAGGCAAGCGACCTGCTGGTATGCAAACTCCTGCATGGGACGATATGTCGTCCTCCATGTCGGTGGACTTTCTAGTGCTGACACCTGAAGACAAAGAAGTCCTGCAATTGCCAAACTCCCTGTCGAGCTGGAATGTTGCTCCAGATCCTGGGATGTGGAAGCTTCGCATCCCCTGATCAGCAGTGATCCACCATCGAAGACATCGTCAAAGCCTGGCAAAAGTACTGCCAGGAGATCAGCGCCAGAGAGAGTCATTACTACCTATGGGGGCCAAATGCAACTCATCACCCTCAATCTCCTATCTCCTTCCAGTATTGACCGGCGCTTGATAAACATTAATGTTTGTTGTGTCGAGCCTACAGCTCATGACGGTGTCGCCGGCTCTCGTCATTCTCAAAGTCTCCACCATGACTAATTATGTTAAATCCAATCGCTGTGTCGAGAGATTTTCATTCAGCCCATAGCAGGATGCACAGCTACGTCTACGTAGGGCTGTTGAAATATCGATGTCACCCTCGCAAGTGGCATCTCCATCAACTGCGAACTATTGCCTGTTAACGAATACGACAAGCCTCATTCTGGACCCCAACTTTGGAACACGTCAAAGGCTCATTGGTTCGTCCCCACAGTCTGAGCCGCAGGTGAGTACTGACAGTCGATCATGGGTATGCATGTGTCCCCCCCCGACGCCCGTTTACGCCCCGATCCTTGTCAAATCGGGGTGGCTTCTTATGCCCCGTTCATCATCATCATTATTATTATACGTCGCCAACAACAAATCTGTTAACTACAACCCTACATGTACCGCCCTTTTGAATTTTGCCGCAACGATTTGGGGAAAAAAACGGAACCTTGCAATTTGGCCTCGTATGTCCGTTCTCTTGTCAGTAAGGTGTGCGCAGAGCCCCTACTGTGTGTTGTGTGTATTTGGGTACAAACCAATCCTCCTGTGGCTCGGGCTGGCCTCGGGAGGGCCGAGAAGCCCGAAGGGGCCCTGTGATACTTTACCACTTTTGTGCGGTCCTGGGAGCCTCGCATAAGTTAGGGCCGGACGAAACAACTACTCCCCGATCAAGCGAATTTGAAATCATGCATTGATCTCGGCCATTTTGGGGGCGTAAAGATTGAGGAACTCGGTTGTTTGGGCACATTTCCTTGACTCGATCTCACCTTGAACTCAGAACCCAGCTGAGAAATGGCGCCTTTATTGACCCGTAGCAAGGGTTGACTAGTTGTTGTGGTCAGAATTCTCTAGGTCTTCCCGCAAAAGTCGTTGAATTTGAACAGGGCCAATCGTGTCCCATGACTGAAATTCACATATTCACACACAGGGCTGAGGTATGACAAGCGGAGTCTTTTCCAGCCCTATGAGGTCTAGCGACGTGGCAATCCGGCAGCGCGAAGTCCAGAAGCTTACAACTATCACAAAAGTACCTACCTGCTTTTGTGCTGGTGGTGCTACTAGCCATGAGATCTCCATCTCTCAACATTTCCCAAAGCCGCAGGGAGCAGTCACAGATTTACTCCGGTGGAGATCATCACAGGAAGGATAGGACATGCCCATGCATCTCTCCATGTGTATATCGAAACGAAATATCTGGGTAAGCAGTAGGTACCAAGTACTGACCTCGGTCTAGCACAAATCATCTGAAGCACGACATGAATACTGAGTTGTGTTCATCATTACTATGTATCCTCATCCTCATTACACATGACTCTCCTATACCTGTCTTGATCTATCTGGCCAAGTGGCTCCGCCTTCTATCATAACCCAACATCAACGCTGCCGGGTCAGTAACGCTCAAGACGCCCATGCATATAGCAGAATGAATGTGTCGTGTACAAGACCTTCCCTCTGACGACTCTAGTCATGTCGTCGATGGCCCCATAATGCATATGGAATGTAGTCTAATATGCTCACTGCAGTCATGATCATGGCCATTCCCAGAACTCAAGACTCGATCATTTCAAATGCTCCCCCAAGAAGTCGGTGATGACCTGGTATGCACCAGTGGCGTTCTTGTGGAAGTTAAAGTTGTGGCTCGAGTCAGGGTGCAGATAGGGCACAAACGGCTGAGCGTTCTGGTAGAAGGTGCTGGCGGGCTCATCGAAGATACCATCGCATGAGCCATCACACACAATGTAATCGTTTCGTCCGCTGATGGCCAAAGCTGGGCCAGTGAACCCAGAAGCATCGAAATCACCGTTGTTGTCCTTCCCGGCCAAGATGGTCAAGAATTCGGCAATGGAGAAAATCGACTTGTACTTCTCAACGAAATCAATGGTTTGCACATCGTAGAAAGGAGGCTTGAAGTAGCTGCATGTTCCAATAGATTAGCTTCAGTGGTCTATAGGATACTCATGCATGGACAAGTGGATGGGAGCTGGGCCCATGATGAGACTTACGTGTTGACTTGAGAGAATTTGTCGGCCCAGGTCAGGTAGCCGGTGTCGAGGTCACCGAACCGCAAGGGATTTTGATCAGCTGCAATACGAGGAGCAAAAGAGCGTACGAGACCGTTCGCATTGACGCCGGTGGTATTGAGGCCAATTGCGGTCAAGATCACGGCGTCGGCAATGTCGGGCTTGGAGCCAATGGCCGCGTGGGTGACATAGGAGCCGAAGGAGAAGCCCATGATGGCCAGCTTGCTAGGCTTGCCAAGGCCTGGCGTATATTCACCAGATTTGACCAGGGTGGTCAGTTCCTGGAGCAAGGCGACTTGGGTGCTGAGTTGGGTCTCATATCCAGAGGTTCTTTAATCATTGGTCATTAGTCAGAACTGGGGGTCTGGGGTGATTCTCAAGTGCATGATTATATAAGGGCTATTGCAGATGGAGTGGGACTTACATTTCCGAGTCTCCGTTGCTGAGACGATCATAAAAGAAAACAGAATAGCCTTGCGATATTGCATGCTGCACGAAATTGTACTCGGATGGCTTGTAAGGCGAGTTCCTAACAATGTCAGCTAGGAGATAGGTCGGAGATCAGATCTGGTCATTCTCACCAATGGTTTCGAGCCTGGCCGATGCCATGGGTGGCTAGAATCACAGTCGTCTCCTTGCCACTGGGGTTCTTTGGCGTGCAAAAGGAGGCGGCAATCTGCCTCGTAACCTTTTCCTTTTTGGTGCCGGTAACGATACTGGGAAGCATGGCACTGGCTCTGGTGGTGGCGATGGCGAGAAAGTCTTGCAGGGCAAAGTCGTCTGCCCAGATGGGGAAGTCGAAAACAATATTCTCCGACTCAAACGTGACTGGGACATAGAATTCGGCACAGTTGGCTTGTGGAGGGTAGTAGGCCTGTGTCAGAGCGGATGCATTACCCGTGGGGCACACGCAAGAACCTGGGACCGATTCAAACCCGCAGGCAATCATCGCACCCATACCCATGGTCCGTCCGAGATGCATGGTGTCTTGATGATGCGGTTACGCTGATTCGTTGATGGATGAATAGACGGTTGAAGGAAGATGGAAAGAAAGGTACAAAGGCTTTTGCAGCTGTTTCTGTTTCTTGCTTGAATGAGGAGCAATACCAATATCATTTGGACATTGTTTCCAGCCTTATATGCTTCAACCATGTCCCACCCGTACTTGAGCTCCGAAGCATCTTGCTTGGCCCGGTATGTAGAAGTCTTTGTCATGGTGCAAGCTTAATTTGGAGTATCTAGGAAGGACTGTCAATGCCCTGCCTCAATCTCGCAACATGGGCCTGTTTCAGGGGATGATGATGGCACAAGGCCGATCCATCCCCATGAATATGATTTGGTCAATGTGCTCCGTATATCGGCGGCTTTGATGATGTTCATACTTGAGCTTCTGTTAGTGTCATGCCCAGAGGTTGTCGCAGCCTCGAGGCTATGAGTAATGGCCTCATGAAGATCTATCGTAGGCCATATGAGGAAGGAAGTCACCGTGGACGGAACTTGCATCTAATTCGGATCAGCAGCCAGGCACGAGGCAGAAATAGGAAAGAATGACGCCAAAGGTCAGTTCCAGGCTCTCGGTCGGTCGGGGACCCGGGGATCCGGGGATCAAACCCATCAACTCACGCACTCCAAGTCATCATGCAGATACGATTTTGTTGGATGAGTCATGCCTGATGTCAAGCTAAGGGACGAACGGAAAGAAAGTTGAACGTGGGTTCCCTGTGTGCCTACCTAATTGTGGCCCCTTTCGTTCTGAAACTTCATGGTCATATCAGGGCCTTGGACATGGTGTAGCCTTGTGCGGCCGTGGTCACAGTTGCTAAAGGCCTCCCTGCCACAGGCTCCAACATCCAGGTCCGAGGCTCTGAGTGCTGGATAATTCGGCTCTAGGGAACGAACAGTGCCACCGTGAATTTGTAAAAGGGTTTCCGGTGGGACTTGAAGTCTACCTAGTGGTAGTCTGGTAGGTAGCGTTGGTGTGTAGAGTATTCAGCTGGAGGGTGAAGCCCAGTGGTATGTACTTCGGTAGTTCCTACCAGGCAGTATAATTGGCGAGGACGGCATTAGCCTTGGCCGATGGAGACGGTGACTCCCTGAAGCCATGCTAGATTTGAGATCAAAATTTATTACCTGGTATGGGAATGGCTTTGGGGTCCGTTTGGAAATATAAGCCCAAGTTCAAAGTCATTCGACGCCAAGACTGCGCCATCCATAATTTGATCTGACTTGGAAGGTGCAAGTGGAAGCATTTTACGAGCTGGAGGAAGGTGAGACCAATAGCGGTGGAACGGCTCCTGCCAAGTTTCTCATTGGACGCAGGCCCCGGAGACTCCAATCTGGCACTTGTGGTTCGTAAAGACATCGCTTGAACTACCATGCCACCTTGCGTCAACTGATAACCACAAAGAGACCCCCCGAGTCCTCGGGTTAGCGACGACGGCTGGCCGCGGCTACAAAGCTCAACCCCGAACCGGCTTGGTCCTGTCCCCAGCCGACCGTTACACCTCATCTTTCAACCACCATATCCTCCCATGGGGCGATCTAATTCGGCGCCTGGCGGGATGGGTTCGTCAACGAGGTCTGAATGAGAACTCACACACTACAACGGCCCGCATTTCGTCGATCCGCCCACGCCCACATCGGCACATTGGCTAAGACGCCTGCAATGGCGGTGCATCCACTCGGGTGGTATACGATTACCATCTCCCCCGACTGCTGAAATATGCCCGACCCCTGCTGTGTAGACCTGGTCTTGTGAATTAGGTGACAAAGTCCCGAACTTTAGGAGCGGTTTGAGACAATCTAGATGATATAAGTCTTGGTGCCCATTTGTGGCAGTTAACGGCGAACGACGAACGCCGGATTGTTCAGACCTCATCCCTTGAAACCATGGTTGGTGTACCTGGACGAAGTAAAGGATGTCATACATGCCTTAAGAGAAGAGTCAAGTGTGGTGAGTGCCATTCGGTCCAGTTAGACGCCGTCCAGCAACCAATAACAGTATCTGTGGCGGGCCAGATGAAGCCAGACCATCCTGTAAGCGTTGCGAAAAGGCTGGTTTTACCTGCGGGGGTTACGAGAGAAAGCTGGAGATGCGTTTCCATTCTTTCTCGAACCAGACAGATTCGGCGACATTGACAAAGGCTGTCAAGAAACCTCCATCCTTCCAGTCTGGCTTCTCCGACTTTTATGCTCTGAGATCCAGCGACCAGACTCCATCGACTGTTCCCCAGGAGCTGAACCTCTCCGCCTTTCGTGACAACATCCAATTCTCCTACCTCTTCTCCAACTTTGTGTGGAGTACCTATGGTTCACCCTGGCTCCAGATGTCAGCCGAAGGCAAGGTCGACGCCTTGGCCCTCGAGGCCTGTCGTGCCTTTTCCCTGACGATCTTCGGCAAGCACCACCATCAGCCCGAGATCGAAGTCACCGGTGCCGTTCACTATGACAAGGCTGTCCGCGCCCTCTCATTTCGCTTATCCAATGTGGGGGCCCCTGGCAGCGAAGACATGATCGTCCCTATCATGATCCTCCTTATGCACTCGGTTTGTCCACCTCCCATCCACCCCTCATCCTTGCTCCTCAGCTTACCGGACACGAGCTGATATTAACCAGTCTTCTATCCCTGATCCTCAAGCATCTGCATTTCATATCCAAGGTCTATTAAAACTCATTCAGATCTGTGGCCCTCAAAGATTTACCTCCCCGATTCTGCGCAGCGCTTTTGAGTCCTGTCGTGCCACTTTAGTAAGCTTCCCTTGCCTCAAGTTAGCCCTTCCCGCACGCTGACGTTCCAAGACGACCGTTGCTCTGATCACAAAGATTAGAACCTTCCTCGAGTTGTCGGAATGGTTGACTGAACCATGGGCAGAGATCGGGGCGACCAATAAGAGTTTTCAGAACCAGCTAGTCGACATTCTCGTGTATATCCCTGGCTTCCTTCAAGATCAAGCCAACTTGGAACAAGAACCCAACAAAGACCTCGAACACGACCTAATCCGAAGAATTGAATTCCAGATTCAACAACTTTTCCAATGGCGGTGGAGATGGGAAGAGACGAACCGCCATGCCGCTTGGGAGATTGACCCGGAGCAACTGCCACCAGAAACCTCACCAAACTACGACCGACCCGTCAAAAATGTCATGATGTTTTCATCCTTTAGCAGAGCGGCTGAGATCTGCCTGTACGATGCTGTCTTATTATGCCTGTTGGGACTGTTGTGGACGCTGGCGCCACCGAACGAAAAAACACCATCGCCGTGTCCACCATCAAGCTATCCCTTGTATCTACCAGGCGATGTGTCGTCCTTGACCGAACCAGCGGTAGAGATATGCCGCGCATTCGAATACCAACTACTACACGCGACCAATATATCTGACTCGGTCTTGTTCTGGTTGTTTCCTTTAGGACTGGCCAGTAAAGTCCTCGAAGACGACCCTATCATGATGCGGTGGATACGGTCGATGCTGGAGCAGTCACAGGCAACGAGAAACTACGGAACAGGGCCCTCGACTGTGGGTTTTGGCTTCTACAAATTCCCAACCGTGCGAAGAAGGAAAGGCCCCCTCTCTTCACTGATGCGTACCGGCAGTCACACGGGGTCTATTCGCCATTGCTCAGATGACTCGTCGGAAGGCGACTGACACAGATCCATCTCTCCCTCTCACATGACTAAGCTCGCGGCAATCCGTCGAGGTTCTCTTAAAGACGCGTGAAATGATTTGCTTGACCAGGACATGTAGCACAATTATATCGGGACGATGGGGCAATGTGTATTTTGGAGGTGGGGCATGGCATGGGGTTTTGCTTCGTAGGGGGCAGACAGGCAGTCAGGGCATGGCATGGAGGAGTGCAGAAAGGCGGTGAGCTAGTCTCGACAACTGATATTGAGTATTCATATGTGACGACGGGTGAACATAGGGTGAACCTTGTCAAGGGACCGGATCTAGGTCTGTTCGAAGCGAGTCAAGTCATGTGTGTCCATGATGTAGTCATGTAATAACACAGCATCAACGATCACGGGAACAGGAGGACTTAGATACCTAACTCTAGGAAGACTGTATCGTTTCTCAACAATGAACTTTATTTATTCGCAGATGGAAATCTGATGGTGGGAAATCATCCTAGACATTTGGACAAATTACCGCATGCTACCTTTCGACTTAAATCAACATTCCCCTCATTGGTAAAATCATGAACGCCATCAATCTCGACCTTTCACTGGTCATTTGATCAAGACTAAGCTGCACCGGCAGCAAAGACTCGCTCCTGCTCCTGTTCCTGTGAACCGGATGCCATCATGTTGCGAATGCCCTGGGTCAGGTCAACGCCAACTCGCTCCTTGGACAAGAGATCCACGAGCAAAGGACTTGGCTTGCTGTCTCGGTATGGCTGAGAAGCAGTCTGGCCTTGCTTGTACTTGAGAACGTTGTCAAGATACATGTCAAACAAGTACGAAGAGTCAAGAGGACCGCCCTTAGCCTCGGGGTGGAATTGAGTCGAGAAAATGGGACGAGATTCGTGGATCAACCCTGTAGTAGATTAGCATGTCGCTCCCAGTGCTTCGATTATGAGTAAAACTTACCTTCGTTGGAATTGTCATTGAGGTTAATAAAGTATGGCTTCCAGTCATCGGGCAATGTTGCGGCATCAACAGCGTAACCATGGTTTTGACTGGTGATGTGGCATTTTCCAGTGGTGAGGTCGAGAGCTGGGATGTTGTGCGCTCGGTTTCCGTACTTGAGCTTGACGGTCCTGGCACCCGCAGCGAGAGCCAACAGCTGATGACCCAAACAGATACCAAAGATTGGCAGTTGCGATGTCTCCATCAACTTGCGAAGGTGGTAGACGGTGTCTTGGCAATGAGTTGGGTCACCTGGGCCGTTGGAAATGAAGATGCCATCGAAGTGGTGAGCAACTTTGTGAATGGGATAGTCAAAGGGGAAACAAGTCACACTTGCACCACGGCTGACCAAGCTGCGAAGGATATTTTCCTTGACGCCACAATCGATGACGGCGACATGGGCGGTAGGAGAAGCTGCACTGACGTGGAAGGGAGCCTTTGTGCTGACTTTTCGAACCAAGTTGATTTGCTCGGGGTCGACGAAAGCTTCGTCCTCATCCTGGTCGTATTCTTCTCCGATGGTGATTCGGGCCAAGCTGGAGCCCTGCTCACGGAGATGTGTGACAATGGCACGAGTGTCGACACCGGTGATAGCGGGGACACCTTCCCGAGCACACCACTGGCTGAGGCTTTCGACTGCAGTCCAGTGGGAGTATCGTTGTGCCACGTCGGCAACGACGACACCAACAGCTTGGATATTAGGGCTCTCAAAATATTTCAACAGGCCGTGCTCATCACGGGTGCCAGATGGAACACCATAATTGCCAATGAGGGGCTGGGTGAAGACCAAGATCTGGCCACGGTAGGAAGGATCGGTCAATGACTCAGGGTATCCGACCAGTGAGGTGGTGAAGACGGCCTCGCCCGAGACGTTGCTGCGGGCACCAAAGGAAGTTCCGTGGAAGATTGGGCCGTTCCGAATGGTGAAGGTGGCTCGTTCGTGGGCTGGAGCAGTGGACTTGAACTGCTTGTGCAGAGGCAATTGTTGCTCTCGAGGTGTGTTGTTCGACACAGTTGCGAGGGATCGGGCGCGAATGGCCGAAGCACTGGCGATGTTGTTGGCCAGTTTAGGGACCAAGGTCCATGGTTTGATTGTTCGAGACATCATTTTGGAGGGTTTTATGACTCTTTGCCGAACAGAGGCGTTCTAGTTTGCTTGGGCTTTCCACAGATGATCTGGCATGGTCAGACGGGCACGAACAAAGATAAATTCGGGAGGATAGTAAGTAGTACCACTAATGTAATCCTAAAGACCAGTTAGTAGGTGTTGTGAAAATCGAGAGGTACTAGGATGACGTGGAACATGTTGTCACGGCGTGATAAGAGGTTGGGGTGGTTGAGAAAACTTACTTGAGAGGTAAAGATGCTTGGGAAGCACATAGACGCGAGGAAGGAAGCTCTTTAGACCCAGTGAAGCATTGAGGAGTGATGTGATATGATGGTGGGCAATGGAAGAAGAACGCAGGAGGTCACTGAGTAAATTCTTTTGCGGTGCTGAGTCGGTCAGTGTGGAGAGGTGGAAGCAGTGGATTGGTGGAGGAGTCAGTGGGAGGTGCAGAAAAAGATGAGGTCGACGTGAGGCGCTGAATCTGGTTGAATCGGGTTTGGGTCTGGCATGGGTGGGCCGAAGGAATTTGTTCCAATCGCAGCTTCCATCAAGCGGGAGTCATCGCTTGGCCCGCCACAGCCGCCTAAGAGAAAATTTACCCTGCGCATGCACACACCAGAAAATTCACCTCTCGAACCCCTCGACCCCTCTGCAAGAGCCTAGAAAGTAACATTACCAGTACTAGGAGCCATTACTGGTGAAAATCCTGCTGTTGCAGCCATCAGCCACAAGTCACCACACCAGGTATGTACGATGATCCGTTTTGTACAGTGCCAGCTAGCGTCATTGAATTGATTTTCACCGTTCTGGTAAAGGAACTTTGTTATCCGTTGATGTAGATGAGAGAGTATAGTAAATTTGACATATTTTATTTCATATAATCACATTTTCTTCATAGCCAGTTTACAGCCTTCTGTAAATAAACGGAGTACCATATTCTGGGTGATGACTCGTGATAAGGCTGCCTTTTTCGCCGCAGCCTTGCCCCTCATGATAATTCTCTGTCTGACAACTTCAACCCTAAGATCGAGCCAACGGCAACTGCCTAACTGAACATTCCCAGCCAATAAGCAGGCTACGATTAACGTGACTGACCAGACAATCCTCAACACTCCACGACGCGGCTAACCCTTCCACAGAATTGGTTCTTGATGACTCAGATCTTTCTACCAGCGACTTCTGGATCCTACCAAAATGGACTCAATCTGCGAGGCTGCTCACTACACCATCAAGCAAACTCCATCTCCTGTAATTATCATGATATGACTACAATGATCAAGACTTTCCAATTCATACACGATTTCGCAAAGCCATGGCAGATACCAATAATACACCCAAGTTGACTTCTCTCCCCTTCCCTCCTCTCACAGCCTCACACATTTTGAACTGTTCATTTCACTCATGGCATCCTCGCTATCGGAAAATCACCCCAAAAGCAAGGCTTGTCCCCCTTACTCAACCCTTTCTCGACTATCTGAGTGCAGACGGCATCATTTTACCACCTGAAAATGCCACTCTCGACCCTGATGACAGTGGGTTTGAAGACGAAGGCGACGACAATATCGACCCTTCAGAACCCTGGGCCGATGTCCACGAATCAATTCGCTCTACCATAGAAGAATTGGGAGGCAAAGTCGTCCCTAAACTGAATTGGTCCGCGCCCAAGGACGCCACTTGGATTTCAGCCACCAACGACATGGAATGTCGAACTCCGAACGACATTTATCCACTCTTAAAGTCCAGCGACTTCATCACCCACGATCTCGAACATGCCTTTGACGGCTGTATAGACCAAGCCCATGTCCCGTACCATCTCGTTCTACGCAAATCCTTCAATCTCAATCCAGCCCTCGAATTTCGATGCTTTGTCCGCAACAAAAAACTCATCGCTATCAGCCAGCGAGAGATGAACTATTTCGAATTCCTCTTTGAACTGAGATCTTCATTCAAAGAGCGGATCCAGGAATTCCTCGACCAAATCTCCGATTTCCCAGACGATAATTTCGTCGTCGATGTCTATATCCCACCTCCACATAACAAGGTCTGGCTCCTGGACATCAACCCATGGGCAGAACGGACTGATCCACTATTATTCTCATGGCTTGAGCTTTTGCAATTGCATGAGCCTCAACCAGATCTCATCTTCGAACCTGAGTTCCGACTTGTGAAGCGCGATGATCCAGAGGCATATCAGTTTGCATCTACTAAATACAGTGCCCATAAATTGCCAAAGGAAGTCGTTGATGCCTCGATGGCGCCAGGACAGATGAAGAATATGATGGAGGAGTGGAAAAAGGTCATTGATAGGCAGATAGAGGATTCTTCTGAAGATGAAGATGGGGGGGGTCGGTGAAGCCTAGTTGGCATTTTCAATACGAAGCATCGACACCCACACTCTCTCTGGTGGGTCGATGCAAGTATACATGTACGACATGAATGAATAGAATTTTGTACGCATGCGACGCGGGACATTATAACGGTCAACAGTCCAATTTTAATCCTTATCGAAAACAAAATTTCAATTGAAAGTCCTAAAAAGTCTTTTGCATCGTTGAGTCATGCATACTTGCTCTCCGCCCAAGGGGTATCATCGACATATTGTACCTGATGTTGAAAAAGTCGATTACGCCGTGAAATGTAAGTACATACCTCATCCATCAGTCTAGTTCCTTGTTCTCTCCTCCTCTTCCTTTTCGCTGCCCCAACCCATACCCATACCTGTTATATCTCCCTCTCCCATTGGGATCAAACCGATTGAAACGCCTTAACCACACTATCAAGCTTCGTCATCATCTCATCCCATTCGCTTTCATCATCACTCAGTACGGTAATGGCACCACCAGCACCGATCCGCCATTTCTGCCATACACGACCGTTGTCGTCATGTTGATCATCTGAATCATTGGCGAAAGCAGTGCGAATGCACACGTTCCATGACCCAAACCCACCGACGTCCATGTAACCGATGGCACCTGAGTAGATACCCCGATGGCGTCGTTCCAAACCGGCTAGGATCTCACATGATCGTTTCTTAGGTGCACCTGTCATACTTCCAGGGGGGAGAGTTCGTGTTAATGATTTGAGGCCGTAGCGCGTTATAGTGGCGTTGCGAGATTCGTGCGGCGGTTGGATGGAGGAGGGTCTGGATGGGTGGGAAGTAGACTCGGTGGGTTCATTCTTGTCCTTGTCGTTGTTGTGCTGTTCCAGCGGTACATGTGCGCGAACGTGCGATATCATCGTATATACAGTCTCGGTTTCGATCACGTCGCACAACTTGACCACTTGAACCAAGGCATCGCGAGACACGGTCGAGTATAGGTCGTGGCGGATCAAGTCGGCGATCATAAGGTTTTCGGCCGATTCTTTTGCCGATGCTAGGATCTCCTTTGCTTTGGCGAACGTCATGTCGCGGCTCTTCTTGACTGTACCTTTCATGGGCATCATATCGATTGTTCCCTCAGGAGTCCATGATATGAAATGCTCCGGCGACGAACTCAAGATTGTTGTGCCGCCTAGTCGTACATAGCCAGCGTATGGAACTGGGTTGTGACGTTGGAGATTCCGGTACAGGATCCATGCGTGGTCTCGTCCTTTCGGGGTGGTGATGCTTGCTTCTGTTGTTAGACATAATTCGTAGGAGTTGCCGGCAATGAGTTGGGCACGGCATTGTTGAATTTGAGAGATGTATGAGTCGTGATCGGGGCAGTGGAATTGTGAAGACTGTTGGATCTCTCTCAAGAGAGAGTTGGATTCTGAAGGAGAGTCATCCGGGGTCGGGGCAGTCATGGCTTTGATTTTGCGAGCCATTTCTTCGCACCAATTGCCATCCTCTTTTCGTAGCGACTGGATGTGGACTGTCTGGGTATGGTGGTCCACGACAATACTGCGATCGACCCAGGCAAGACTGATGTCAGATGTGGATCGGGGTGAGGACGCTTGGTGAGAGGCGGAAGTTTCCATGTTGAGCGAGTCTATCCCGAACTCATATGACAAATAGCCCATGAATCCGGCTGTGAATGGCACATCCCTACTTTCTGCGGTGTACTGCTTCTCAAGAAGGAACCACTCCAATAGCGTCACAACTGCTTGTCGTGGCAGTCGATGGACTTGTTCTGACGAACCAACAACTGTCTTGCATTGGCTCTGGCCGTATTCAAGTCGAAATGTGGACTCGTCAGGGAAAGGAAAGATACTATAGCGACCTTTCCGGGTCGATTCCAGCATGACCAAATTGTCATCCCCTGACATATCGTAACAAAGTTGAGCAATCTCATCATGTGCTTCGATTGATGACAGTGTAACAAAATGTAAGTCTTGGCCGATATGACGGCCCAGGTGGCCGAGCCTCGTTTGCAGGCGCAGATACTCAGTATCTATCGGCCCCTTTTCCATTTGTGATGATGAATGGGATTGGATGGCTAGAGTCTTCGCGCCACAGTTGACTCGATATCGTTCGTTGTGCAAGGCTGCACTGTCCCACCAATTCTTAAGAAGTGTAACACACGCCTCGTTGGATTTGCAGGATTCGGGGTGGAATTGAAAGCCGTGAAAATGGTGGAGGTTGTGCTTCACGGCCATAACCCAGTTATCGGTGTCCCAAGCTAGTATTGTCAGATCCACAGTCTTCCTGTCTCGACACCTCGACACGGAATCATCATGAGTCGAAATATCTGATAGAAAACTGCGAGAAGATGACAGACTGACAACGGAGCCTGAGGAACTGGTGCGTGAGACAAAAGAGTTGTCCATATCAGCCCTCCGTACCCCGAGACTGTTGTAATTCGTCGCCACGACATTTCCAGCGCCATTGAAAATTCCTGAATCCGTGTGCAGAATTGCCTTTGCGTGTCCGTGACATGGCAGGCCTAGTTTAACGACAGGCAGGCCGTAGTTGATGCACAGGCTTTGGAAGCCAAGACATATTCCCAGCACAGGGATGTTCAGTAGAGGTGAGCACTTCCACACCGTGTTGAATAGTCCAACATCTGATTCATTCTGGGGATTGCCTGGACCAGGACCGAGGACGATGGCATCGAAAGTGGAAAGAAATTCTTCTACACTCAGGCCAAATCGAGCAGGAATGTCGCAATCGATATGGATCAAGGTAACTGTGACATGCAGCTTCTGTTGAAGAAGAGCTGCAATGTTCTCCGCGAAGGAGTCATATGCATCAACAAACAAAACGGTCCTGTCTGTCGTCATAAAGGCGATATCAATAGCTCGCCTGGTCAATCGAAGAGAAGAAGGAAAATGGAGTTCTAAATTCAAAAAGGATATGCTCAAGGAAATGTAGTCAGCGGATATGATGAATCGTTAAGGCCGACATTGACAAATTGAACTCGGGGCCAACGGTGTTGAAGATATAAACCCAGCCAGTGGTTCAAGAGACGGTGAGAGGCAATACGAGGCAGTCATTCTGGCCAATGCCTTGTGAAAGAGAGACGTTGAGTTGCGGGTGGATGTATGGGTTGTGGTCAAGGCATGATTTCAAATGACAAGAAAGACTCGGAATTTGGCGGAGGAAAAAAATAAATTCTTGAGTCTAATTCTAAACTATACCATCTTGGGATTAGCACATCCGCCTCATTTCATGCCTTCTTCTCGTCAATGTTCCCCATCCAAGGCTCTTGCAGCTTCCATACACCAGATCGACATAGCCGAGGTAGGGACAGCCATGTACAGAAGATTCAGAACGCAGCCTTGCTATCTCTGACATGGTCCTTGATGTCGTGAAAGATGAAGTGGTCCAGGCCTCCGCAGTTCTCTTACTGACGTGAATCGTAGTCTCAGAGACATGCGCTTGGCGACGGTCTCCCTAGCCCAGGAGGATTTGGGTGACCAATTGGTTATGCTCGCCTCCAGATTTTCGCGCATGATTGCTCTCGACTTTGATGCCCCACCAGTATTTGTCTCTTGTCGAGTGTTTCATGTCTTTCCATATGTCTTCGAGCAATATCCTGGTGGTTTCGAACATGTGAAAGCGGGCTGTGATGCTCCAGTATCGGCAGTAATTTTGGATAAAGGAACGATCTTCCTCGTGCTCAACCTCTGCCCCGGCTAGAAAGACGGGCAAAAGAACCTGTTTCTGGATGAAAGACCTTTTCGAGATGCATCTTGCATGATCAAGGATGACATGCGCCCGCTGGGTGATGGTCCACAGGTCTGGGGGATCCTGTTCTCGGGAGAATACACGACATGTATAAAGCAGAATGGCGTTCCTCCATGCCTCAATACAGTGAAAGCGGTCACGTATTGCGCGTGGATCGTCTTGCAGGGACCAACTATTGCTTATGAGGCTATCTTCTTTGTTGGCAAGCTTTTGGACATCTGCAATTATCTGGTCGACAGGGGTCCTATCGAAATTCGTCCATTCCATTTGTTTGGTCTTTTCGTAAGTGGCAGCCAAATTCGCAAGTTGGGCCATGGCTCTGACAAGCTCGATCGAGCAGCCATTCAAAACAAAATAGGAGCATGCCGCTTCATCTTTGTATTCAATCAGCGTATCCAGGTAGGCCAAAGGAAGACGGAGGGGTTCTCTGGCGATGAATGCGAGTGTTACGTCCCACCTATTAGGCAAAAGGAGGTCAATATATCCAGCACAAGCAGTAACATTGGAGTAGTCGAGGCCTACCAAACGAAAAAGGCAACTTGTGCTCGAACGCGCACACTGCTTCGACAGGACTCTAGGGCGTTGGCGGCATCTAGTATTTTTCGGGCTCCGTCAAGATGGACGCCCCAGCTACCGAGAGCGGATTGTGTCAACTGAACGGGTTAATATGATGACCACCCTTTTTTTCATGTTTACTTACATCGAGGCTGATAAGGATGAGGAGGGTGTCAAGCAGTAAATATGGATCGGTGTGGCAAAGAGCTTGGGCGAACAAGTGCAGTGCTGTTGACCGGTGACTTTGTACCTGAAGCCTTAAGTCTGCTCGGTTTGTCTGTTTCGCGAGATGTTGAGAGGCCACTGCCATGATTGCGTGGAGTAAGAACTCAGAGCGCTCTAGCTGGTTTACACAAACTCTGAAAGGGTTGGTATTGCAGTCCATGGTCAGCGGAAATATGCAGAAATCTTTGTCGTCTACGGGCGTCAGTGGCGACAGTGGAATTCAGGGAGGCTTATGCGTACACATAGTTATGACCGGCTCATATCTCACTGACAGGTTCTGAAAGTGGATAGATGGGCTCAAGGAAAATGGGAGCTCATCGTTGTCATCCTCTTCGTAATACTTTGCAGACAAATGATGCATATCTAGGGCATTTGATCCGATCGTCGCTGTATGGGATTTGCCTTGGAAGAGATCAACCTCGTCTAAACTTATGCAGTTGAACTCGTCCACTTGGTCAAGGAATGGTGACTGCGCAAGAGCAGGTGAAGAGACGGCGATGGTCGATTCAGAGGCCGCGAGCCAGGACAAGTCATTCTCGTCATTGTAGAGGGTATGAACTTTGGCTTTCAAAACGCATATCAGACATCAGTCCACAGCCTCAGACTGTAAAGACAGGTTCGAACTCACCGGCCTGATAGACCTCCGCCTTTAGCTCATCAGCATAACTCGAATGTGTGAATTTCGTCTCATCTCCTATACCTGAGAAAGGGATGTTGTTGTCGAGATCGGTAGATTGTGGAGGAGAATATGAGCGGCAAGGGGCACAATGGATGTCCTGGACGTGGCGACCACTATCGCCAGCAGGAGACGACGAATGCAACACTGGAGTCGAATCTTTGGGCTTGCGCTTTCTCCTCATTTGGCCCTTGACGAACTTGAAACCACGAGAGTTTTTGGTATCATTGCAGTTTGACGCTGTGAGGTTGAAGGCCAGAACCTGTGGCGAGGTCGGGGCGTCGAAGCCTTTCCAGACAAGATTCAAAGCGAAGCCGCCGCATTTCTGACCATCTGAGAAGCAGGTGCCACATTGAGGCCGCTGGCGGTCGCAATGTCTATTCCTGGCCGAACACGTGTGGCAGTCATGCTTTGCATACCCAAGTGAATTCGTTCTTTGACCTCGAGAATTAAGGAGCGTTTTACCTCGAGAAGAGGCCATGTGACCGAGGGACTTCACACCTCCACAGACCCTGATCGCGGTCAATCATACGGCAGAGACTGGTCGAGGTCGTACATCATTCATGGAGCGCCAGAGACTGTACAGCGGCAGTTGACATTGAATTTACCAAAGGGGTAGTAGAGTCATGGGTTGACAGTCATGAAGTTTGGATTCGATGTCATTGTCGAGCCTGAGAAGGAGACTTGTGACGGTGGGGGGCAATGGGGGACAACTCCGGGCAGCTTAAGGCAAGGTGGGCATGTGTGGGCATGTGTGGGCATGTCAGGGCATGTCACTTGTAGTTCAATTAAGTATTACTGGACAAAAGAACCTCCCAAGCATTCTCTGTATATCTCCAAGCGCGCCTACCGCGGTTATCAGCGCCAGCCAAGGCATAGCAATGTCCGCTAAGTAGTTCACGCCCGGATGCAAGGACGACCCTTGACTCGTACCTGCCCTACGTACAGACGTCCTGCAGCCTGGAACGCATGATCTCTCCTTCCTAAAAGGGTAATATCTGACTGAATGAATGCATCCATGCATCTTCCACTCAACTTCCAACATCGTTTGTGATCTAATCTGTGGAGTAATACCATATCTGAACCTCGGACTAAATTCACCATTGCGTCTTACAAGGTATGGTGTTGATCTGGAGCCCTCTCGCCTGATAGATCTACAAATTATTCCAACAGGAAATGTCGCAACCCTCTTGCTGGCGCACCTCCTCACAATCTTGCTCGGACCTCAAACGCCTCCTCTACCAGTGCCACTGCAGCTTGGGCGCATCCATAGGATGATTGGTACTAAGACTCTGTCAGTAATGGAAACTCCCAAGGACAACTGAGTTACTTACGCCAGCTCCGCCAGCGCCATAATTATGCACAACCCACACACCTCCGATTTTCTCTTTCTCAATTCTTGTTCCTCCTTCTCGAACAGGTCTCAGTCCTACACCGTGTCGGATCACGTCAAGATGCTCAATGCCCTTTCCTCCAGTCAATGATGGACAAAGCTCCACCGCCCTCTTCATGATGCGTATTGCGAGGTTGGGGTCCACCTGAGACTCCCAGTTCCCCTTCTGGTAGGATCCGCCGAGAATCGTTCCTCCTCCAGCTGCTCTTGTCATGATGTAGCATGCTTCGTCGTCCCCATCATCGGTACCGGAAATGTCAAGCATCTTGCCAGCGTCGTTGCGGACGATCACAATCTGTCCTCTTGCTGGCACAACCGACTGGTCCTCAACACCGCCTAGTCGACAAGCCATGAGCCCTGTGCAGTTGATCACGAGGTCCACTTTGTTCGAAGGATGAATACTCGGAGATGATGCCTCGGAGATGTGCTTGAAAACTGCTCTTCTGAACACAACTCCGTTCTTGAGACACTGTGAGACCAGCCAGGGCAGATATATGGCTGTGTTTATGCATACAGACGTGAAGACTGTGGCATGATCAATACCAGGTCGAAGGGATTCCTTTGGTATAGCTCGGAACTAGTCAAGGTTCTCCATCAGTATTGTATTGGTGATATGCAACCATTGCAAAGGGCACGACCTACATTTGGCAGCACTTCCTTGAACCATGGGCTCGGCGACAGTAATTCGGCAAACCAGTTCGCCGTTGCTGATCCAACGTCTTTGGCCCGGCTGTGGATCTCGCAATCTTTACGACAACTTAGGGAGATTTTGCAACGGGGAGGGTGATATCTGGGTACCTTGGAAATGAACTCCAGCTTCGGGGTGATTTTGCGCAAGGTCCTCAAGGGGTCCCCATGTGTTCTTATCCCACTCCGCCGCGGCTGTGCCACGTATTGACACACTGTGACTAATTAGATAATGCATCGGGCTTATGGATCAGGGGCCTTGACTGACGGCATATAATTTGCTCCTGCCCAAGGAGATGCGTATTCAATGTCGTAGTCACCGGGCATATGCTTCGCAGCAACGACAATTTTATAGCCAGTTTTCCTCGAGAGGAGGAGGGCCGTCGTCAACCCAGCGACTCCAGCTCTGCCATAGAACAAGAGAAAAGATTAGAACAACTCGAGTTCACTTCATACAAGTCTTCCTTAGACTTACCCGACGACGACGACATTCTTCTCCCCCATGTTGATAGGATTTGGTCGTGAATTACTTTGGGTGGGATAAAGGCCAAGTGACGTCAAAAATATAAAACTATTATCTCACCAGCTTCGAGAGATTAAATTGTCAAATCTCCCAAGGTAGTTCTGGCCGGCGTCGGTGTTTTGTAATTATGCTCCTTCACGTCCGTAAGCTCGGCACAGAAGCTCGTATCTTATATCGACTGAGTGTTGTGAGTCAATCTAGACTTCGAATGATCTCGTCGAGCATGTCCAGTACCGTCCATCTTTTGTTAGCTTTGATAAACGGTCTTCTGCCCCACACGTGGCCTGAGAGGGTCGGGGCTTCGGGGGGCATTCACAGCCCGACAGGCGGTCGCAGCGCTTAACAACGGGGATGAGTTTCCCATTATCGGCAGGCGGGGCCGATATGGTTTTTTGTTTCGACGCCCTTTGCCATCCAAGCATGCCACGCCATCAACGCCATCATCCATTCACTCATCGCCCTTCATCATCTTGGCCTCGGCTCCGGAAAAAACGATCCAGCATCTCCAGCAACCCACCTTTATCTCACATTACCCTTTCTGGCAATCGAGATCTCCTCCCCTTCCTTACTGGGACCCCTCAGCTGTAAGGCCTTCTAACTGGCTTCATCTAAGCGCGATGTCGATAATACATTTAAGTGACAAAGTACTCCTGACCATCTGCTGGCTCTTCATGTAGCCAACAGATACTTATATGTGAGTGATCTAATAGTCTTAACTCATCCCTCACCATCTTCCCATCCTCCCCTCTAGACATCATGGCCACCATGCAGAAAGTCTTCGCGGCGTACAACGCGCGCAAAACCGCTCTCGAAGCCACCTACGAAACCAATTCATTTGCACAAGGCGTAGCCTGGGTAGAGGGAGAATTAGTCCCCATCGCCGACGCTCGCATCCCTCTGATTGATCAAGGATTCATGCACAGCGATCTGACCTACGACGTTCCCGCCGTCTGGGACGGTCGGTTCTTCCGTCTCGACGAACATCTCGATCGACTAGAATCCAGTTGCCATAAGATCCGCCTTCGGTTTCCCATCCCAAAAGCACAAATCAAGCAAACCCTCGTGGACATGGTTGCCAAGAGTGGCATCCGCGACGCCTTTGTCGAGATAATCGTCACTAGAGGTCTTAAAGGCGTCCGAGGAAGTAAACCGGCTGAACCGTTGAAGAACAACCTCTACATGTTCATCATCCCTTATGTCTGGGTCATGGAGCCGGAAATGCAACTTACTGGTGGAAAGGCCATTGTTGCGAGAACAGTTCGACGTGTTCCTCCGGGAGCTATGGATCCGACGGTGAAAAACCTGCAATGGGGTGATCTGACGAGAGGAATGTTTGAGGCCCAGGATCGTGGTGCTGATTACCCTTTCCTCACCGACGGAGATAGTAATCTTACTGAAGGTGCGGGTTTCAATATTTTGATGGTCAAGGATGGTGTTGTCTACACTCCTGATCGTGGATGTCTCGAGGGTGTGACGCGGAAGAGTGTCATTGATGTGGCCAGGATGAACGGTATTGAGGTGCGAGTCCAAGTCGTGCCTGTTGCTTGGATCTACGAGGCGGATGAAGTCTTCATGTCGACTACGGCTGGCGGAGTTATGCCTATCACTACTCTGGATGGAGCTCCTATCAATGGAGGTGGACTTGGACCCATCACTAGGAAAATCTGGGATGCATACTGGGCAATTCACTACGATGATGCCTATAGTTTTGCAATCCAGTATGAAGCTGCGTCCGAGAAGAAGGCTACCAATGGCCATGTGAATGGTATCAATGGTCATGCTAATGGCATCACCGCCTGATCGTGGCGAGAGTCAGTTAGTCATGTCAGAATTGAATTTTAGTACTTAGTTGTATTTTGATAGCCATAATGCCCATTTCAATAGGTCAACATATTACTACTCATTCTATCTTCAGTCACCCTTTAGATTACTCTCAAGTGTTGGCCGCAAGAAGGAATAGTGAGTGGAAGAGCAGTTTGAGGTAGTTGGTGATCGTGGTAGATGCCAGCGAAGAGATGTGGGTCACTTTAATATCGCTTGCACGGGAAACACGTGATACAAACCCGTGAATATGGCAGGAGGTCTTGTGCCAAGAAATATCAGAACTCCCTTCCAGACCACGGGATTCAAGGTCTCATCTTCCCCTAGGTATTCTTACCGATCTCGAAGCCATAGCCTCCTCAAAGGCTTGCCTTGCGCGTGGCCAATGTTTCCTACTTGACCACCCTTCCACAAAATGAAACGACTCCCCGTCATTCTACAAGAACAACCAACATGACCGAGGCAAAGGAGGACTTGACCGAGAAGGCTCATTATGACCCTCAGTGGATTGCATGGAATGGAGGATATCTGCACTCTAACAATGGTATGTCCTCAGCGCAGAGATTAGTATGTTATAGTCTGACAAAGCCAGTACTCTTCTATTTTGCAACCTCGCCCTTCTTCGATCAGGTCTCCGGAAACCAATCTCTCACCACCCAATGGACTAACACGCCAAATCAAAACGACATTCTGGGAACTAGGCAGAAATTCGAAGCCAATCTCCGTCATCAACGAGGGCTCCAATATGTAGTCGACCACGACCCGCTCGAGGAGAAGGTCTTTGTGGATGGCCCAAATGGTCGTGAGGCGTCCAACGTCTGGGTCATTCGGAAGCAGCACCGCGAGAACGAGTCAGAAAGCGGTGTCACCGTTCTAGGCTATTACTACATTGTCAACGATGTGATCTATCAGGCCCCTTCTGTTGCAAGTGTCCTCAACTACAGAATGCTCAACACAGTGGGGACTCTGAACAAGATGTTTTCTGGACCGTCCGAACTGTCAACCTTTACTCCCTCGCACGGCCACTCTTATTCCAAGCCTAGTCAGAAATCCACTGCACAGGCTCTAACAGGGGCATTGCCATCAAGCACTGAAGATGGACCTACGGCAGAGGCCGAAGCCTCTTCTACAGACAAACCTTCATCTTCGTCTCAAATCGAAGAATCGGATGATAGCAGCCAACAAACTCTGTGGAATGCTCTGCGTATGACACTCCAATATGGCAAGGAATACATGGATCAAGTTCCACTGGTTGGGGAGCCAGGAAATTTCCGCTTTAACAAAGCACGAGATCCTCCTCCAATTCTAGCGAAAGGAGCGGTTGGACCAACAGCCACAGGCAGTCCTCTACCATCGCGGGCAGCATCTGCGGTACCAGCGCCTAAGGCCATTGCTGATGGAGACAAAAGTGCTCTATACGCAGCCACTCCCAAGAAGCGCAGGAAGAGCAAGGCAGAAAACAGCACCCCTTGAGGACTGTGCACCGACTGTTGGATAATTAGGCATGGGCGACCAAAAGCGACATTGACCTCTGAGGGATGCGTCTCATTGGCGGTGGTAACGACAGTCGTCGGTGCAGCCTGATTGACTCCACGCTATGAGTAGCCATGAATAAATGAATAATGGTGTGACTTGAGCGCCACTACGCGATCTCGCATAGAACTAGATAGACAATCACAGACTTTAGGTACAGTATGGTAGTTGTTTGTACCTACCTTAAGTAGGTACCTAGGCATCTTGGTCTTTGGTTAGGCTACTTAATAGCAGCTTCGCTGTTGAGTTTGGGGGCTACCTGCTTAGAATTAGGGGCCAAAGGGCGTTAGTGCCACCTCAGCCAGTCACCTGAACAACCAGTGCTTTGGGTCCCGCTTTTCGTGTTTTTAGTCTTACTTACCTCTGTAACTTATTTGCCTCCCAGTGGTGACAATCCCGCAGGCAGGAGCACATGAGGCGTTCGTCATTCAACATCGATTCATCGTCCGCACTCAATTCGCCCGCATCCATTTCCATTCCTCCTCACATCGAACTCTCCCTCAACAACACCGACCATCGATCTATCCATCTGACCTATCTAAAGGCACAGGATATCAATCAATAAACCCACCTTTTTTCTCAGAACCTCTCACGACATCTCCAGATTGACTGGTGTAGCGGGGCAAGATGAAGCTGTCTTTCAGAGTCGGTCCCTCCCTCATTCCAATTCCCGCTTTTCGTGCTGATCGCTTTGCAGGACCTTAAGCAACAGAAGTTCACCATCGATGCCGAGCCTACGGATACGGTACGAGCCTTGCTGATAGGAAATCATAAATTGTGCTCCCTACTGACGTTCCCTCAACAGATCGCGCAGGTGAAGGAGAAAGTGGCAGCCGAAAAAGGATGGGATGCATCTACTCAGAAACTCATCTATTCTGGTATATATATCCCCTTGACCGTTCTCCATGACCATATAAAGCCTAACGCCGTACTAGGTAAGGTTCTCGCTGACGCCAATACGGTCGAATCGTACAAGATCGAAGAGAAGGGTTTCATTGTGTGTATGATCAGCAAGGCAAGTTGCTTATGTTTCCAGCGCTTGACAGTGGTGTTTCTAACAACCACATAGCCCAAACCTGCTCCGGCTGCGAAGGCAGCAGCGGCTGGTCCATCAACGCCTGCTCCAGCAGATACTGCTTCTACTCCTGCTCCACCACCCGCCCCTCAGCCTGCCCAGTCCTCCACTACAGCGAATGCACCTTCCACGCCCACCCCTGCTCAAGCAACTGCCGCGACCACCGAGGGACAAGGCGGAGCCGGATGGAATGATCCATCTGCATTCCTCATTGGCAATCGCAATGAGGCCACTGTCCGCGAGATGGAGGCAATGGGCTTCGCCAAACCCGAGATCGAGCGAGCGCTTCGTGCTGCGTTCTTCAACCCCGACAGAGCAATTGAATATCTCTTGAGTGGAATTCCCGAATCTGTCCTCCAAGAACAGAGAGAGCGACAGCAACAGCAACAACAGCCTCCTCAGGGTACAGCTCCTGTCTCGCCACCTGCCGCAAATCCAGCTCAGCCAGCAACCTCCGATGATAATGTCAACCTCTTTGAAGCTGCTGCGCAGGCTGGTCAACAAACCCGCGGTGGTGCCGGTGGCCGTGGAGCTGCTGCCGGTCTTGGTGCTGGTGCTGGAGCGGGTGCAGGCGCAACACAAAACATTGATTTCCTCAGAAATAGCCCGCATTTCCAACAGCTCCGTCAACTCGTCCAACAACAGCCTGCCATGCTCGAACCCATCCTGCAACAGGTCGCCGAAGGCAATCCCCAACTTGCGCAAATGATCGGGCAGAACCAAGAGCAATTCTTGCAGTTGCTCGCCGAGGTAGGATCCATCTCAAGCCAAGGTTCAATCGTGTTCATCAGCTAATCATATCCTAGGACATTGGAGGCGATGCAATTGGCGGCCTCGGCGATACCGGTCCGCTTCCCCCTGGAGCGACTGCCGTTAGTGTGACAGTGGAAGAGAGTGAGGCTATTGAACGTCTGTGTCGACTTGGGTTTTCTCGTGACCAGGTCGTACAGGCATATATCGCTTGCGACAGAAATGAAGAACTCGCGGCCAACTTTCTTTTCGATCAACCTGACGATGACGAGCAATGAGAAATATGAGCGAAGGCGAAACTACATGGTTAGGGTACATCCTGATTTGCACTACTAAGAATATTCAACATTGGGTGCACATTAAAGCAGTCGCTATTTACCAGGCCGCCGGGTTTTCCAACGGCAGTCTGCGAATCATCTGATGGAGGATATGCGTCAGGCTTGGGGCTAAGGTCGATAAGACACTGGTGTCATATTCTTTCCCATTCAGATCAAATCGAAGCTGTTCGTGTTTTCCAAAGTCCCAATTTACTGTAGTCCACCCGATGCTAGACTGCTGCCAAGTGCATAATCAAGTCAGCACCAGTCGTAGGACGATGGTGTAGCCCAAATTGACAGGAATGAGTGACATGAGCTGCCACCTTAGAACTGGGACTCGGTGTCAACGGCTGGCGAAAGTCATCGTGGATAACATCTGGATATCGGGAGACCCAAGACTAGAGCTGATAATTTGATCGGTCGTCTTTCTTCGACTCCCTCGTGAAGAACCTAGATGCTCAAGATAGAGGTTGCATTGGTCCCGTCTTCCTCTCGGCCGTCATGGGGCCCCATATCTGGACATAGACTTTCGACTCTCCAGACGCCCAATCCCCTCCGACCCACGACGCGAGATAAGGTGTTCCACACGCCGTCACCTCCAAAGTCCATGTCGTCCAAATTAAGGTGCTGTCTGTAGGTGGCGAGGTTGGTAAGGGTCAGTGCCGCGGGCGGCAGGTTGAATTCCATGTAGAAGCTGAAGTCGTCGACGGGGGGATACGGATCCTCGAGGCGCCAGGCCGACAGCGGCGCAACCACATAGATGTCGGTCTCTACCTGGTGCATGCTCATACGATCGCTCAGCAGAGGGTCGCAGCTCGGCATGTGCTGCATCAGCATGAAGACCAACTCCTTCTGTGGGAACCCCATCAGTGGCACGCTCGAGATGTTGAGCGGCTGCCTCGTCATCGGGTGTGGCGGCGTCGGCCCAAGCAGGAAATTCGGTGGTGGGTATGTCTTCCACCAGAAGACTTCGACGTTGTGTGCGGTGGAATTGGTCGCCTCGGTCGAGTGCACCACCAGCCATGGCACGGCCAGTTGCGTCGGAATGACTCCGCCCTGATGGTAAATGCCCATCAGGACCGCCAGGATGCCGTTGAATAGCGCCCAACTGATCCAAAACGCTCGGTTCCAAAAGCGACTTGTCGGAAGCCGGATGCTGGTGAGTAATAGTGGGATCGTTGGGAGGAGAAATCGAGGCTCTTGGTGAGGGATCAGACTGAGCAAGACGGTACCAGTAAATGCTGATGCTAGTCGAGGGTTGCCTAACATGGTTTTTAGGACCCGGGCATTAAATGGGTAGGCTGAGACAATCAGAACCACCAGCGCGGGCCCAAGCAACTGGGGAAGATTGACCAGGATATGTTGGTAGTGGGGATGTAGCCCATGCTGGGCGAGATTTCCGGTTTTGCTGTTGTAGAGCAAGTTGTTGATGGGTGTAATGACAGGCTTGCTAATCAGATGTTCATACAATGCGAAAAATGACCGCGTGGAGGCGGGACTCGAATGGTATGCTGTGTCCACGATGATGGCGCTTAATGTCCAGAACAAGCCCGAGGCGACGAGTGCGAGAAGGCAGAAGGGTCTAAAGTAGTATGTGTCAGCCTTTACCTAAACCATGTCCCCGGCTACGGTCGTCTATGCAAGGGGTTCGCTTACCTATTCAAGAAGTGTGGCAATAGTTGAATGCCGGGTATCACAATGAAGGCTGGAAAGGTGACTCGATTGAAGGTGCCAAAAACGATCAGGAAGCCAAGCACGACGCTCGCAGCAATGGCTGAACGCTTCTACAAATGATTTAGTCCCGTTCAAGATATATGATCGCAAAATAACGGGACCTACATCTTCACTCACGATGCGCTCAATCAAGATGAGGCTCCAGAGGACGAGGAGGGTTTCGACAGAGTTCGAGAACGTGTGTGTCTGGAATGTCCAAGTCACATATGAGGATGTGACCAGCAGCAATGCGCTTCGCCTATGACTAGGAGACCGGACCAATTCATGGATGGCCCAGTCTTCAAGCACAAAGCTAAGCACGAACATGACAAGCCTCAGAGTATAGTATATGACAGCCGGGTCGACCAAACCATCTTCTTCCTCGGCCCACAGCCATTTGAGTAGTGTCATGGGCAGACCATAAAATGGCCACAGTGGGAAGACACTGCGAATCGGACGGGAGGTGGTCCACTCCCATGTTGGGTGGCTAGGGTAGGGAAAGATGTGGCCTAGAAGAGATACTTAGAGTCTCGAGATGGTTAACAGATCTTGTTCGAGACCTACCTGCGAAAGGCTCTGGACCTTGAAAGATTTCATCCGGATGGAGATAGCTTGGGCAAAGGGCCAGGTAGGCACGAACGACAAACAGGCCCAGGTAGGTCAAGCGCCACATGCTGATTCGTAGTCACCGCGCAGGCAGCAATGTAGATCGTTTCATATTCAGTGAATACCTGGGATTTGCGTAGCTTGAAATCATCATTGATTGATTGATTGATTGTTCTGGGTTGGAGATAAAATGGACAAAGGGATTTGATAAAGGGGGCGCGTCGCAATAACGCGTTCGAGAATTCCTGTGCACAATGAAAACCCGGAGATAATACTGTCGTGGCAATGAGAGTAAGTGTCAATAATCAGAGCGGGTGGTCAATCTCATTACAGCACAATCTTGACAAAGTACTGCCATAGGATCATGAGTCTGTGGGGGTGTTCTCGTGGTAGTCGAGATCCATTGGATTTTCTGCAAGCCAGTCAGTACCGTGGCACCGTGGCACCTTCTGCCTGTTGACCTTAACTGCATGCAGACATGTGATGTCACCCATAAGGTCACGTGGGTTTTAACATCTTTGCGGCTCTTGAACTCAGGCTGCAAGGGCTACAGCAAGGCGCTCGCCCGAAAACCCATCCGGTGGCGGCAAGAACAACCTGCCAAGGGATCTTGCACTCCGCAGCCCCCCAGCTTGTAGTAATCGCAACCGTCGTCACAAACGCAACAACCTCGCATGTGTAGAGTCACCTTCTCCCTGTCAGAATCTCGTTATTCACTTCCCAACGTGGTCAATCACTACATCTGACACAACTGGCTCGTTTTCCTCATTTCTCACCTTCTCAGACTCACCCAATCCTCCCATTATTTAAAGCCTACTCGGCCTGCCCATTCCCTCCCATCCCACCATTTTCGTCCTGCAGACCAACCCGCAACCCTCTGCTTGATATTTCAACTACTCCATCCCCAGCCTAGACATTACACATCACATATAAACCATCAAATCGATTTCAACATGTCGGCCAAAGCGCAATTGTACCTGCAGAGCTCCGATGGGGAAGATATCCCAGTTGGTAGGTTTGTTCATTTGGCCCATCTGCAATTACTTACTGATTCACAGATCGTGACGTTGCCGAGAGGTCAGTCTTGATCAAGAACATGGTGGGCGATCTGGGAGAAGAAGGGATCACAGAGGCCATTCCAATTCCCAACGTGAACGCTGCAGTCCTCAAAAAAGTCATCAACTGGTGCGAGCATCACAAGCACGACCCCCCCTCCACCAACGAGGATGACTCCGAATCGCGCAAAAAGACCACCGACATTGAAGAATGGGACCAAAAGTTCATGCAGGTGGATCAAGAGATGCTCTTTGAAATCATTCTCGCCGCCAACTACCTCGACATCAAACCTCTTCTGGATGTTGGATGCAAGACAGTGGCCAACATGATCAAAGGCAAGTCTCCAGAGGAGATTCGCAAGACCTTCAACATTCAGAATGACTTCACTCCCGAGGAGGAAGATCAGATCCGTCGTGAAAATGAATGGGCTGAGGAGTAAGTCAACCATACAAAGTGACTATTTGGTGTCCGTACTGACTTGACCCTAGTCGATGAACCATCGAGAGCTGCATGCCAATCTCATATGCAGGCGTTGTGCCATTTAGGGAATATTCATCCGGGGGAGTTTGGGGTGGAGTGGTGATCAATGACTTTGACGAAATCCTGATCTGGGCATTGCTGCTATGGTATTCCCCTACCACTGTCATTTCGGTCCTCTGACCATCTCACCAACGCAACTTCGTCTCCCACGAGGTTGCCTACATAGTGGTCAGAATGTGGGGGCTCTACTCCTACCCTAGTTCATGGGTCAATAGTACTACAAGCAAGCACTTGGTTATATCCTGAGCGATTAACACGTGAGATCTAAACTGGATAAACACCAGCCCCATTCTCGTACCAATCGACCTTTCGAATATTCGAAGACTAGACAAGTGATTTGCGGGCGCAATGTTTAATTTGATTCATTGATCTTAGTTTTAGACAAACCAGATAAGTTGGTTATGCCGGAATCCATCTGCGTTGCGCCTCTGGACGGCATATGCACACTTCATTCAATCGTGGCCCTTGAATTCAGCCTCGGACCCAGTGACAGGCGTTGATAGAATCTTTCAGTTGTCCGGCTGTCATGGTCTCCGTTTCTCAATGCTGCAACGCTGCTACCCAGCACAAGCCGGCCAGTATCTTGCTGCTTTGATCCTTTCCCATCACGATTCCGCATTCTCTGTTCCGTCGAAACATCTAGATTCCGATTCTGGTCTTGCGCCAATGCCTCCGCTTAGCGTTGTATCTGTAGAATAACCCTGTTAGTGTATGTCTATTGGAAGCGGGCGGCCCGATATCTCTCTGGCAGCATGATCCTGAATACCATGCTGTCCACCTTTGGCCACACCAGCGTCTCTTTCATGGGCCATTGTCCATCTTCCAGCGAAACCCAAACTCCTCAACGAGACGATGAAATGCCAAAGGTGACAAAATGGTGAGGGTGTCGGAGTGCGAGGGTGATGCTAACCTGATCGTGTTGCCAGTTCTCAGTCGAATCCATTGTGGGATGGGTCGGTTCTGCTTTTGCGCTTTGGCAAGCTTTTGCTTGGTGCGGAAGGATTTGTGGCTCTGTGGTTTGAGAAGATGATATTGTCAGTATATTGTTATCCTTTTGAAAATGAATCCTCAATCTGCTGGTCCGACGTGTAGGAATTCCACCTCTTTCTGACTGGGGTTGACAGTTCTTTGTTCATGGTAACCCGAACGAGGGAGGGCAAAGGGCAGGCGAGATCGATCATATCGAAGAGCAGCTTGCTGAATGAATGAGACGTACCGGCATCTTGACTGCAGTCGAGCGACAACGAGTTGTGGTTGATTGACGAGGGAGATGTGAGAAGAGAGGAACCAAAGATCTCAAGATTCAATCAACGCTTGTGTCCTGCGCTTCTTTGGTGGAGGTGGGCCGGCCCTGAATTTTGCGTGTGGGCTTGGCAGCTTTTGCGCCAAGAGAGGTACTTCGGCTGAGTAAAAGTGCTTCGCTGTAGCAAGTCAACGGCCGATGTGATACGGTGGAGCTTTCAATACGGGCCCGCATGGAGATCGGAATATAATCACGTGATAGCATGGTAAACTTATGCAAATCCCCTGTCGCCGAAAATGTTTGTCCACAGCAAAATAGTCCATCTTCACTAGAATCGTCATACTTTATGACTTGAACGGCCATGCAGCATGATGGATCCTTGCGATCTGCTATTCATCGCCTCACGGTGACGCCTGTGGATGACTTACCTCGGATTTCTAGTTTTCTAGCCTCCAGCCTTGCCAATCATGATCTGGAAAAATTATTCCTGGATTCCAAGGAAAATGCTTCCATTGTCACCGGCCACAGACTTAAGACACGTGTGACGTCTTTACTCCAGGACAGAAACCCGTCAGGACGGAGTTCGGCTAGTATTCTTATCAAGACACTCATTGATAATGGGGGCCCTCAACTGCTGGCATCTTCTGCGCCATGGGCGAGAGGACTGCTTAGCTGTTTAAACAAGTCAGATACACCCGAAGTCAAGAAGCTCTACCTCACCACAATCACTCGACTCTTTGTGCTCACACAAGATCAACCTTCACTTGTACGAGAGATCACCACTCCCCTGCTGCCGACTTTGATCTCAGCTTGCCTTAATCTCATTCGACCAATGACGATCAATACCACCGAAGGAAAAACCATTTTGGTTGCAAGTCCACTTCTTGATACTGTATTGGAATGCTGGCTTCGGCTACTACCCCATCATCCGACTGTCTTCCGTCCTTTTGTCAATAGGATCAAACCAATCTGCTTGAGCCTTTTGAGTAAAGATGATAGCACTGAAACCAGCATCGTTCTGGGAACTGAATTGCTCTGTTCTCTCATCTCATGCGCACCCAAGGCTGCCATAGTTCAGGAATGGACTCAAGCCTCTAGCAGTCTGATTCAGTCCATCCACGATATATCGAACCAGGTGTTGAGAGGTGTCATTGAAGAGCATCAGAGCAATGATCCTTCTCTGCTAACGTCGCTGACAAGGCGAGATTTATCCAAGCCACCGGAGCAGAGCAACACGGATAAGCTCGGCATGGGAGGGTGGGTTGGTATTACTTCTGGATGTGCCAGACTGTCAAAGCTTTTGGCATGGCTGCAATGTCTGATCTCAACACCGACCTCTCAAGCAGTACCTGTACGACTGGGGATGATTGTCGATACAATCTCGCGGCTCATGGACCTCACGGTGGCAGATAGTAAGGCACAAGGTGGCAGTAGACTGAAGTTTCACTCTGAGGTCAGCAGGGAAGAAAAGGAAGAATTACTTCTGAATCTTCCCAGACTTCATGTCTCATGCCTTTGCCTCCTTCAAACCGCTATCTCGACGTATGGCCAAGCTACCCTGCCTCTGTACGAGATCATCATCAATCAAATACTTGAACTGACAGGAACAATGATGTTCCACGTCAAAGTCCGAGAGGCGAGCTATGATCTCATGAGAGCCATTCTTGAGACGATGAGTCCACAGCACCTCGACGTGGACCGCAAAGCTTTCTCGAATCTGATCAATTCATGTTGTGGTGATCTTAAGTCTGGTCACGCAGAGTTCAGCAATGAGAGTACAGACCAAGTGAAAGACATTTCATTCTCAGCAACTGCCACGAAAGGAACGGCACTTTCTTCGTTCAATCATCATACCTCGATCTACCAGGCTGCTTGGAAGTTGCTTCCTATCGCTTTGGGGCCGCCTGCTTACATGCTCTTAACGAGACAAGTACGAATTGAGGCAGATCGACTTTCGATACTGCTTAACCACAGAGAGGCGATGCTCGCCAGTGTGATGAACCCAGTAATCTCCAAGAATGGGAAAGCCACAAATGCTAGTATTCTTCCTTTTCTGGCCCGATCCAGTCCCAACCTTCCAGCGGTCGAAGCTTTGCTCAGGCCTCGATTCCCAATCAGACCCGTCCAAGTCTCTGAACCATCGACAAATCAACGGACAGGAGATAGTCATACCTCCGAAGATGTCAGCAACACTTTTGTGCATTCAAATGGTCAAGGAACTGAGAATAAAGATCAAGAGGTTCCCGCAATTGATGTGCAGGTTCCACCTGCAGAGGATGTCCATCGCGCAAAATCACCGCTAAAACGACCACTCGAAGAAACGAATCCAAGACTGCCGAGCTTGTTCTCAGCGACCCCCGCAGGCGAAGAACCGGAGTCCAAAAAACCACGCTCTGAAAATGATACAATCAAAAGCGCAATGATAACCATACAGGGTGATAGTCAAGATGGCAAGGAGATATATTCCACTGCTGCCTCTGACTTTACCTCTCAAGTCCAGACAGAAGAAGTACTCGTCCCTGCATCACAGCTTATCGGACAGCCGAACAACACTCCGCTGAATGCTCAGCAAGGCAGAAACATGGAGATTGCCGATAGTGACGAGAGTGATTTCGAAATCCCTACCATCGATCCTGAAATGGACACCGATGAAGAGGAAGACGATGAAGATTGACCTGGGCCCCTTGAGTCTGTGAGCATGGATTGAGAGACATGGCCAGCTGAGAAGGTTAGTGCTAGCTAGACGAACGATCATCGCATCGCGGCGATGATGCATGAAGTGAGCTTAGTAGTCTAGGTATATAGCTACCTGATCAATCAGTCCGCGTATCATTAAATAACTTAGTAACTCTCCAAAACTTGTTGGACTCTGCTGTAGATGGGTGGAAAGGCCCGAGGGCCGTAAAATGGGGAGGTCGTCACTCACCATTCGCCTGGCTTTAACCATAGTACCAAGCTTTTAAGGGCCCGAAACGCTGCAGGATACCCCGGCACCCCCAATCGTCTCACCCGCACGCCTAACTTTAGGTTGGCAAAAGGTCCATGATTCAAACCCTTGCGCAGGGCAGGGCGTGAAACGCGTCAACAATTATTTGTTTGTCACTACACGTTCCTTAACCACCCCATATCAAATGTCTTGACAAAATCTAAGCAGCTCACATACAATTGACATGTTCCAGCAAGTATCTCCATCATCGCCGCGTTCTCTCCTTCGCTGGTATTTTGTCATTGATTCGAGGGTGTATCTGCAGTGGACCTAACGGATCCCAAAGGTCCATTCGGCAGACTGGCAGACAAAAATGTCACGGTCAAAGCGTGGAATTGAGACGGTAGACCTCACTGGTGATGATGATTTCATTGAAACTCCTGTCTTCAAAGCCCCTCGCCAAACTTCATCCTTCTCTTCCACGCATGGTCGTGGAAATTATCTCCCTACACCCTCTGCATCAAGCCAACCATCGTCATCAAGTCCAAGCGGAGCTCGGCCTTCACCTGCATCGAGCCAATCATACACAAGCCAGCGATCAATTCATCAAGACCAAACCCATAGCCAGTCTCAACGTGGCAGCTGGGTTGCTTCCACCCAGGAGCAGGAAGCAGACATTGCGCGAGAAATCGACCTGACTGAGGACTTTGACGATGACGTCTACGAGAATTACAAGCTCTATGGAATTCTCAACACCAAGATCGTGGGATGTCGGTTCTACGATGGTCGAGCCACAGTCGGAGAGTATGTCAGGGTTCGTCGTGAGCCACGGAATCCCTATGACAGCAATGCCATCCGCATCGACAATGTCTTGCGAGATCAGATTGGTCACATAGGCAGGAATGTGGCGGCAAAACTGGCATCACTGATGGATTCTGGGTCGTTGTTGATCGAAGGTGCTTTGACTGGCCCAAAATCATTCTACGACTGTCCCATCGGGCTCAAGTTGTTTGGCACAAATGATCCAGTGGCTGGTCCAGCTCTCGCACAGCAAATGCAGACCCTGGGATTGCCCGTGAACGAGTTCAACAAGAGCGAGAGAGACCGCAAGAAGCGTGAGCAGGAAGCAGAGAAGCAGAGAAAGGCAAGAGAGAAGGCGATTGAAGCTATGAAGAAGAAGGGTAATGTCGTCTTTGATCACGATGGACCAGGAAAGTACAGCAATTTCGCCACGCCTGGCGGAAGTCAGCAAGATGCCGACATGGAACAAATCCTCGCGGGAACCTCAATATTTAATCCTCGAGTTGTTGAAGATGCAGTCAAGAAGCTCGGCGCTGGAGAAGATGTTCTGTCAATGTTGCCAATGGCCGAACAACCTGATCAACTTGCGACATTACTGCTCCCGTATCAGAGACAGGGACTTCAGTGGATGTTGGATCATGAATCGCCGCGGCCCCCGACTGGTGACAATGTGGTGCAGATGTGGAAGAAAGTCGGAACCTACTACACGAACATAGCCACCAACTTTTCTGTGAGCAAACCTCCAGAATTCGCAAGTGGTGGTCTGCTAGCAGATGATATGGGTCTTGGTAAGTAAGGGGATTTCAATCAACGAAGTGGGACTGACGAATCGTCGCAGGGAAAACCATTCAGATTATCTCCCTCATCATGGCCGACCCGAACAAGGACGGCTGTCCCACCTTGATCATCTCGCCCTTGTCAGTAATGAGCAACTGGAGCCAACAAGCTGCGTCTCACACCAAAAAAAAGTACGCACCTCGTGTGCTGACTTACCACGGTCCAGGAAATCGAGGGCAATCGGCAAAGGAACTCAAGGGCTATGACATTGTTATCACAACGTATCAAACTATGACACAAGAGTTGTTCCAATACGGCAAGTCAACGCCTGAGAAGACGCCGACTAAGAAAGGCCTGTTTTCCCTAACCTGGCGTCGTCTCGTCCTGGACGAGGGACATCAAATTCGAAATCCCAAGGCGAAGATGTCGCAAGCGGCAAGCACACTGGCTGCCAAATCCCGCTGGATTCTCACGGGAACGCCCATTGTCAATAATCTCAAGGACCTCTACTCTCATGTCAAGTTTCTTCGTATCTCGGGGGGCTTGACAGAGTTTGAAATCTTCAATTCCACGCTGATAAGACCACTCAAATTAGGGAGTCAAAATGCACGCTTACTTCTGCAAGCCCTCATGTCGACCATGTGCCTTCGACGGATGAAGGATATGAAGTTTGTGGATCTCAAACTGCCAGGAATCACATTTCACAGGTACGCGGTCAAGTTTTTGCCACATGAGCAGGAGCGATACGATGCCTTTAAGACCGAAGCCAAGGGGATGTTGGAGGAGGTCAAAGCTAAGAAAGGTGATACCAACATGACAAGCCTCCTTGAGGTGCTGCTCCGACTCCGGCAGACGTGCAATCACTGGAAAATGTGCGGAGAGGAGAGACTGAAGCGGCTGTTGGCGCTGGTGGAGGAGAATACCGTTGTCGACATCATGAATCCAGCAAACAAGAAAGCCTTGCAGGATCTACTCCAGGTTCGGATAGACTCACAGGATGATTGTCCCGTGTGTCTGGATACCCTCAAAAGCCCAGTCATAACAGCCTGTGCACATGGATTCTGTCGGGACTGCATCACTCGTGTCATCGAAACCCAGCATAAATGTCCACTTTGTCGAGCCGAACTCGTACCCGAACACTTGGTTGAGCCAGCTGCGGCAATGGGCGAAGACGACGACGAAGCAATCGACATCGACCCAGACGAAAGCAGCAGTAAGATCGAGGCCATGGTGAAATTGCTGAAGCACTCCAGCGCGGATAGCCAAGTGAAAACTGTGGTCTTCTCTCAATGGACGTCTTTCCTCGACCTGGTCCAGGCACAACTTATCAAAAATGGCTTGAACTACTGTCGACTCGATGGAAAGATGAATACTACGGCTCGTGACGCTGCGATTGAATCTCTCAATACTGACAACTCGTGCAGAATTCTGCTGGCCTCGCTTTCAGTCTGCTCAGTGGGTCTCAATCTGGTCGCCGCTAATCAAGTCATTCTCGCCGACTCTTGGTGGGCACCGGCGATTGAGGATCAAGCTGTAGATCGAGTTCATCGCCTCGGACAGACGAGACAATGTAAAGTGATTCGATTGGTGGTAGAAGGTACCATTGAAGACGAGGTTCTGGAGATTCAAGCCAGAAAGAGAAAGCTGGCCAGCGAAGCGTTTGGTGAAAAAGAGGGAGTTCAAAAGAGAAAAGAGTCCCGCGAAGGAGCCTTACGAGATATCCAGAGACTACTGGCTTGAGACTTGTCGCCATTCCTGTCCCCTGCGGTGTCTTCCGCTGGGTGGTGACAGTATTGTAGATTAGCGAGATATCGGGGGCGTCTGTTCAATGATAATCGGCCGCTGGGGCGTCGAGGGAGTGATCTCGTGCAAAAGAATATCCTACCATGATGGCCATTCTCCATAACGTGCTTGATGTCTCATTGCTTGAACCTTGTCTGTCATATGTAGCTAGGTAATGAATCGACAAGCCTTTTGGATGGTGTGATGCTAAGATCACGCCTTTTCCGGCACTCAGCAGCTCAAGTATGAGAAGAAGGTGCGATAGGGAAGACAAGTGTAGGGAAGGTACAGTATTTTGTTAACATGACGGCAGGCGCGATGATGGTCAATGCTCCTCCCGTGTTGTCTGCCAAGACCAGATTCGGTCAAGGGGGGCTCCGCCCCGAAGATCTACCGTTGAATCTTTTGTGACAGGCGGCGATCGATACCGAGCGCATTGGAGACTCTATCCCAGGCACCTCATTCATGTCACTCGTTCCCTAACAAGTTATGGCGCAACCACGACTGTAAAACCTGGTTCCATACGACTGACGCCTAAAATCACATTCGCTATGCTCCAACTATCCACGACACCGCGTTTCCTATCCTAAGTCTCGGCGCGTGAATCCATGATGGTGGTGCGTGAGGGTGATCACACTGCGGAACAACCACCAGACACTAACAATTTACAGGTGGTACACCACGACCACGAAAAGGCATCACGCTACATTGAGCACTTGGACTCTGCTCGTACCTCCACTACCTGGTCCGAAGTCCCCGAACTCATAAGAAAGGTCTCAAAGCACGCCCCAAACCGAAAATGTATGTCTGGTCTCTTCCACGACGTTCCAGCTGCTTTCCTGCTGACCCTTTTGCTTCTAGGTCTGATCCAAGCTGCACAGCTAGACCTCGAGATATCAAGCTACATTAGCAACACCAGACGACCTGGAACCGCCCAATCAACTCAGTCCTCTCCCGAGTCCCTTGCCTCAGCCCTCGCGAATGAGCTCCTTGCTGTCGACCACGATGAAGACAAGTTTCAGGCATATGGAGCCATATTATGGGGAAGATGGTCATTTGCACAAGAGAAATCCGGACCTCTGATCGATTGGTCCTTCGATCCGCCACGGGCGGCCGCCGACGCCAACTCCGTCTGGACTAAGATCTGCGTCTTGAAGTCGGTCTATATACAGGGAATGCTCTTGCGGCAAACCGGCGAGTCCAACAAGAGTCAACAACTCCATCAGTCGCTTCTTCCTTGGCTAGACTCAAACAGGAGTCTCGTGGTGTCGACTGCCCAGCTTTTGTACTGGGCTCAGCAACTCCTGGCACAGGTGGCGCTGAGTACTTCTATCTCCCAGCCTGATACCGTGGTTTTTGACGAATCTTCATCCTTCCGTTTGCAAGCGTTTAGACACTGGGCCATCCTGGCCGCTAAGAGCAGCCCCGTCAAGGACACGACTGCATTGGCATCGACTTATGGCAACATGGCCGGACATACGTCCGACCTAACTTTGTGGAAAAGATACTTTCAATTCTTGTCTGGCATTCTCCATCGACAGCCAGGAGCCTCGAAATATGTCGCTATCACCCAAAGAGATCTAGCTGTGGAACTTCGTCGAGTGGAAACATCTTACGAGAGCGAGCTACTGAGGCACCGCCAATTCCCAAAAGCCGACGAATCTAATGGCCCAATTGAAGCTTGGGTTGAGGAGGTCGTATCTAATTGGAAAGTGATGTGCGGTAGTGGCTGGTCAGAATCAGATCTCGGCGAGGGTGGTCGCAACTCGGTGAGCAGAAATGTTCTGGACATCCTCTACCGTGCGGCGACCAAGACCTTCCACTCAACCTTGATCCTTCGCCGACTTTTCCAAGTCCACAAGAGTGTCACGGATTTTGACCTCTCGTACAAGGCGCTGGACACATACATTCAACTCATGGATAAAGGAAGAGCACGAGCGGCCAAGTCAACTGAAGTGGTCACTGCACAAGATGATGACCAAACATACATTGAGACTATTGCCGAGGGAATCGAGGGCTTGTGTTCATTTGGAGGAAGAGATGAAGCAGAAAAGGCATTCGACCTATCAACGAAGCTCGAAGATCTTCTCGATGAACTCGAGCCCGAGTCTCCCGACGCAACGCCAAATGGCCTTGCCCCCGTCAAGGACGAAATAAATGGAGTTGCAAGCACATCTGCGTCATTATCCTCAGAAGCCCTTGATACTGCGTATCGTGCAGTCGGCATTGGAAAGGCACACTGGGCACATTGGACACCTTATGGAGAACAAAGGTCAAGTTTGCAGTCTGAAGCGATAGAAGCATTGCAAAAGGCGGCTCGACAGAACATTCCAATTGAACAGCATCTTGGTACATTCTATGCCTTGGCTCGACTACTGGCAGAGACCAGGGAGGTCGCCCAAGCCATTGCGGTTGTGAAGACCGCTTTGGCATCTGGACGCTCGGGAAATGGCGAGCCTGTTTCCTACCTGACCCAGCGCAATCTCATTCCATTTTGGCATCTTTTGTCGTTGCTGCTGACATCACGACAAGATTTTGCCACAGCCGCTCAGAGTTGTGCAGCAGCCGTGGAACAATTTTCCCCTCCACAAATATTGTTTGGCAACTCCTCGGGCAATTCGTCCAATGTTGGCAACAAGGGTGAGGAATCCGGACTTAAGGCTGGATTGGTCGACGATATGGAGTGTAGTGAGCTACAAAGGCTGATTGAAATTCGCATCACGGAACTGTCTCTTACCGAGGTCAATGAAGGTCCCGAGCATGCAGTTAACAGCAGCAATGATCTGCTCGCATTGTACCTACGGCTCTTTGGACGATTCGGTGAAGTTGGTGGGCCGGTCACTGTCTCAAAATCGAAAGTGAGCCAGCCGCCGAGGAGCTCTGCGGGTACGGTCAAGAGCTCTCGTGCCAGCATGTTTTCTCGGAACAGAGGCGTTCATTCAAATGAAACCGTTAGAGCGCCAAAAGACTCTTCGATTGCCGAGGAAAATGCTCGACCAAACACACAGGCCACGACATCGTCTCACGCACCCACGATCCAAGTGACGAGTAACGATGACGCGTCATCACCTCACAAACACCGACTGTTTCGGTCATCACACGAGCTCAAACGACACGAGAAGAGAACATCTTCTGGGAATACACCTGCTGGTGACACGCGGAGAAGGCTTTCGAGATCTGGGAGTCGCGGAAGACAAGTTGAAAAATCCCCAAGTCGTGAATTGGCGACTGCGGCTGGAGCACACAAAAAGGAAGCGGCCAGACCACCAACTTCGACGGAGAACAATTTACAAGAGGTCCAGAACATATCTTCTGACCAAGTACCCGCGATTCCTGCGAGCACTGGCCACGATTCTAGCGAGAATGCAAAGCAGAAACTGAATGCCGTGCCACACAACCTAGCGGCCCATGATGAGGTGCCAGAACCGGCGAAACATGAGCACCAACCACCTGAGCAGGACGTCAGATTGCCTGAGGGAGAAGCAAGCACCTTTGAATCTCGACTCGTGACGCGATTTCCCAAGTCCGCCAAACAAAGGCACGCCATGAGCATCCTGGTCAAGATCTGGTTGGCTGTTGCGATGTTGTATCGACGATCAAAAATGTTTGAAGATTCGCGAGAAGCATGTGATGAGGCTGCCAAGATTGCGCAGAAGATTGAGACCATGATTGCAAGTAGGGAGAGCTCAGGAAGGGCATTTAGCGAAGCGGGATGGGGAGGAGGTGGGAAGAGTTCGGATGAACTGTGGGCTGACGTGTACTGCGAGCGTGGGGAGCTCCTGGTTGCCATTGCTCTAGAAGCGGAAGAGAAGGAGGAGAGGGCGATCTCTGAAGGCATGCGGGGAGCCCTGGACCAGTACGAACAATGCTTGATGTATTTCAACAACCATGCTGGGGGGATTGTTGGATTGAGCAACATTCTCCTGGACTATTACGAACGCAAAGTGGAGCTGGCCAAAAAGGTGGAGGGTGGGAAGACAGAAGAGGTCACGCACCGGAGACTGAGCATCGACGATGGGTTTGGGGATGACAAATTTCGACCTCAACATCGACGCAACCTTTCGAGAATGTCAGAGGATGTCCCCATCAACGGGGCGTCTGACATCAGGGGTGGTGACTTCCACAGCAACGCGCATCACCTCGGTAAGGACGAGGAACTGAAGAAGACGCCGGAGAATCTCAACCGACTGGCTGCAAGGGATCGGGCATATGGCTTGTTGACGACGTTGACCAAATTGGGGAGTGGGTGGGATAATTCTGAGGCATGGTTGGCATTGGCGCGAGCACATGAACTAGGCGGCGAGGTTGATAAGGCAAAAGAGATCTTGTGGTGGTGCGTTGAATTGGAAGATAGCCGTCCTGTACGACACTGGCGGAACCTTAGTGGAGGATATGTTTTGTGAAGTTTGATCTCGGGTCTGGTCTTCCGAGGAGAAGGACAATCGAACCTGAGGCTTGACAGGCAGACAGGTAGTGGTAGCCTTACACACGAGGCTCACAAATACAACATGTCTGCACCGCCACCTGCTAAGGTTGTGGTAAGGTACACTTTTAGGCCCTGAGGCGGTGAGGCCTGAGGCCCAGGTACTGCCTACCAGCCATCGGGGGCCGAAGTTCAGCTCCACCTCTCGAACGCGTTCGTAGGCACTACGGAGAGGCTGTTAAACGAAAGTACTTAGTTTCTGTGTCCTGCAATATAATCATCCAGTTGCATGCTCATAAATCTAGACCAACCCAGTAAGCCATGTCCGCGTCATCTATATGCGGCAACCAAGAGGACGCGCAAACAAATAGATATTCATGACGAAGCACAGGTTAGGAAGTGTGGTGGTGCAGATACCTCTGGATTTGGACGACGTGGCCGGTGGGCATGGGCGTGCGTGGCGTTAGGTGACAGCGGCGGGTGGAGAGGCTTAACAAGTCAATGATGGAGGCCGAGGATCTGTCAGCTTAATAAGTTTCCGCAACCGCCGTGACGATGGGCTGGGCGTTGACTCAACGGTGGCCGTTTGCCTATGAGTATGCCTAGACTGCATACTTGACTATGCGCGTAGGTTGGAGTACATCAGGGACTTTACCAGTATGTGTGTCAAAGCATTAACTCGACAAAGAAAAGAGAGGAAGAAAGTATGAGGCATATCTACAATTACCTCTTAGTCTATTAGTACTGTACACAACAAGTGTACGTCAACCTCAACGTGTTTAGGCGGCTGCTGTGACCTCTTTACCTACAAATTATACGTTCGGAGTACGTTCCAAGCAACGAGGCGACGTAAAGACTGACTCCTTAGGCTTTACCAAGAGGCTGGGCTACGCGGCTGCGCCCACTCGTCTCAACATTCAACCAGTCATGAGGCTCCTTCGCGGCGTCATATTCGCCGATCCGGCCCACCCACCCAACCAAATCACCTCCACTGTAGCCAAAATCTCGAACCTCAAACACCAGATCCTTTTGCCGTGTGTTTCCAACCGTCTGCAGGGTCCTTGAATCATCTACCAGAGATCTCACCTACCTACCGTTTCACAAATCTGGCACTTTTGGCGCTCCGGCTGCGCCATCACTAAGTAAGGACTGTACTATACTTACCCTCGCCTCTAAAGTCAGACGCTAACGTGGTACCTCAGGTAGGCTCGCGTGGCTCGTCACATCATTGTACCCTCCCTGGAAACCTTAGTGGCTCCTTCGAATCTTGACTCCGCCATGCAATGCATCATTCACTCGCCCAAAACCGTTCAATGAGCCAGACTACTACGTAAGTGGGTGACTGGTTCAGCCTATCCTTCCGTCTCTACAGAGTATGAGTATACAAATCTTTGGTATACCTCAGTCTCTTTTTAGTCTTGCGTCCCTGTCTTTTGTGTTTCCTCATTCCTGGTTTGTTTACACTCGTCCCATCCTATACTTTCTCACCTACTGGCTCCTGTTCTTTCCTCAGGTACTTTCATCTGGTGGTTGCACGCGTCTCATCGCAAATACTTGTCAGAACAGTCTCTTGCCCACCCTCCATCGCTCTTGTCAATTCCCTCTCTATTACACACCGTCCAAGAACAAGCCAGTGTTGGTTTCCCAACCAGTCTTATAAAACTTGCAACTACATTGAGCGCCTCCGCGAGCTTTCCTCACCATCTCATATCCCGGCATGAAACCCTCCACAGCAATCTTGGCTGGTGCCGCCCTCGCTACTCCCATCGCCTCTGCCCTCAAACTATCAGGACCCCCAGGTCCCAAACCTAAGACAATCTCTCTTCCTATAGAACGGATACACATTCCCAATATCGCTTCTCGTGAGAAAAGGCGGCGGCACAAGAGACAAGGCAATGGCATCGTCGAACAGGAACTTGATAACGATACCTTTCTTTACTACGCCAACATAACCCTCGGCACTCCTGAGCAAAAAATACGTCTTCATATCGACACTGGCAGTTCGGATCTCTGGGTCAATACCGCAGACAGCTCTTTTTGTTCCTCAAGACAAGATCCTTGCGAAGGTGGCACCTATGATTCGTCCGCTTCCTCCACCCATAAGCTCGTGAACAATGTCTTCAACATTTCATATGTCGATGGCTCCGCTGCTTCAGGCGATTACGTCTCCGACACACTTGGCTTTGGAGGTGTGACCTTGGACGATTTCCAGTTCGGTATTGGCGAGGTATCATCTTCTGAGCAAGGTGTTCTGGGAATAGGCTATGCCATCAATGAAGTTCAGGTCAACCGTGCCGGTCTGGATGCATATCCCAACCTTCCCGTCGCCCTGGTCGACGCTGGACATATTGCCACTCCGGCCTATAGTCTGTGGCTGAATGACCTCGATGCAGCAATAGGAGAAATCCTGTTTGGCGGTGTCAACACGGAACGGTACGAAGGGAGCTTAGCTACGGTTCCTATCATTCGAACGTACGGAGACTACTACGAATTTGTCATCGCGCTCACCGGTCTCTCTCTGGGAGGAGATCGCATTTCCTCAAGCTCCCTTCCTGCCGGTGTCCTTCTCGACTCTGGTGCAACACTATCCTACCTCCCCAACGACATCGTCCAAGTCCTGTACGATGAAATCCAAGCCGTCTACGTTGCAGACGCTGGGGCCGCCTACGCGCGTTGTTCTTTAGCAAGCAACGATTCGACATTCGATTTCGAGTTTTCGGGAAAAACCATATCCGTCTCATTCAACGAAATGATCCTCACCGAAGGCATCACCACCAGCGGCCAACCCTTGACTTTCACCAACGGCGATACCGCCTGTCTATTTGGCATCGCCCCCGCCGATGGAAGCATCGCCATTCTCGGCGACACATTCCTCCGCTCCGCTTATGTCGTCTACGACCTGGAAAACAATGAAATCTCTCTAGCTCAAACTCGATTCAACACCACCGCGGACGATATCCAAGAAATCACATCTGGATCTTCCGTTCCAGGCGCAACCCCCGTCCCTAGTCCAGTCACATCTGTCAACGCTGAAGGTGGCGGTGCTAGACTCGGCACTGCAGCTACAGGCACAGTCACGGGATTCGGCAGTCCTAGTGCGACGGGAGGCAGTTCTTCTAACGCGGCTGGTGGATCTATGGCTGAGATGGTCCCTCTGAGTGCGGCGGTGGTCGCGGCCGTCGGTATCTTTGGCGCGATGCTCGCCTTGTAAATGAACTGCTTATCCTTAGATGTATAGATGCTTACGATACGATATCCTTTTTGACCAATGCGTTGGGTCGGTTTGGGTTGGGTTTGCATAGCAGCAGCACAAGCGGCATTGTTACTTTGAGTCAATACTATTGATTATGATTATGATATGATCTTGATCCTGAATTTTGATGATGATGATGATAATGAATGGTCCTGTTTTGTTTTGAAACGAGTGTCTTGCTGTATTCCAGCCATGCTTCGCTTTGACTGACTGTGCTAATTCACTGTACTGACTATACTGACTTCTTGCCATCGGCGATTCTTGCCGTTACCTTCCTACTGTGCATGTTTCTTTTCTTTCCTATGTATTTCAAATATTGGTATATATCACGAGTTCAGCCTAAACCAATACTAGGCCTCGAACTCCCAACCCTAATCCCCTTTGGCGTGAATGCCGTCGGGAGAATCGGAGTGGTGTTTCCAGTCATACTTGGACTTGACCGGCCCGATGTCGCTGCTACACTGACACTATCGGCGTCTGCATCTGGGGGGTCAGTGTCGCGTTCGCGTTCGCGCGCTGCGGCGTTGTGGATGGTTCGAGATTTTTGAAGTTGTGGTTGTGATTGTGGCGCTTTCGCTTTCGCTTTCGCTTTCGGAGTAGATGTCGTCATGGAGAAATTATCGATAGATACAGATGTGGATTTCCCGATGGAATTCTGACCTTCTTCTTCCTCTTCTCCTTCTTCTTCGCCGCGAGTCTGTGTTTGTGACTGGTCTTCTCTCCCCGTGGAAGTGGAATTCGACGGAGTCTGAGTCCAAAGATGTTGACTAGGACTGGTGGCTGAAGAAGCTCGACTTGGTGATTGTATTGGACCTTGACCGGAGCCTGCTCGTGCTGGCGCTGGTGCTTGGGTTGAAGTGTTTGGCGATTGATATTGTTGTTCTCGTTGCAATTGAGCATAAGACTTTATTCTTGGTGTTCGTGGTGTTTCGGCCGTGCCGTCATAGTCTGAATATCCTCCTTCGTCTTCGGACCATGGAGTGGTGCTACCGCTGTGGTTCCGTCGATGTAGGTAGGCGGTATCGGCGATGGAAAGGGCTAGGCCCTTTGGGATTCCATTTCTTGATCTTCCGTGTGAATAGAATTGTAGTGCTTCCAGAACGTGCGGAAATACTAGTTTGTCGACGTCTTGAGCCCAGAGGAAATCGAGATGTTCAAAGTGAGGGATTTCCGTGGAAATGGTGTGGCGTGGAAGTTCTTTCAACATGACACGGATGTCGATCAAAGAGTCGCTTCCACCGTACACCAGCACAATAGGAGTTTTAATGTTGCGCGTGGGGAACTTGGCAACTTTGTAGTATCGGTTGGTGGCTCCAATGGAGAATTGTGTTGATGCATCGTCATCGTACATCTGAAAGGATTTGTTCCGAATGATTTGAAACCAGTGCACGACGGATTTGGTGCTGGTGAAGCTGTAAAGGTGAGGATAGGCTGCGAGCTTTTGCTGGACAGAAATGTTCTTGCCATACCAGGCAAACAGAAACGACAGCGACATATCGATCAATCGAACAAAGATTGGTTGGTAGAGAATCGACTGCCACATGGTAGCTGATGACAAGATAGACTTGCGACCAAAGGCTAGGAAAAGGACATCCGGACTGGCTTTGACCAACGAGTCTACAATACCATTGCTGAGACCTGCAGGAGCCATTGCTGGTGCGAGGGCGATGAAGAGGTTAACTTTTTCATTGAGGCCGGGGTGAATCGATAACGTTGCGAATGCTTGGGCTGTCCCTTGACTGAAACCAATGTAAGATAGTGAGGGTTGAGATGTTGTGTTGAGAACATAGTCGATAGTGTCGGGGATGTCGTGGAATGCAAACTCGTCCATGGAAAAGTTCCAGAACCCGGGAGAGGTAGGCGAGTGCTTCGTGGATTTCTTGCTGTATTTGTTTCCTCTGTTATTTCCCAGCCAGACATCGTACCCTTTGCTTGCAAGGACGAAAGGTAGACATCGCTCTTCCTCAGTCAAACACACCCAAACCTCACTGTTCATGAGAAGACCATGATGGAGGTAGACCACGGGTTTAATCAACGAGTCTGGTCCTGCATTGACTCTTGCCCCCGAATTTTCCTCTCCTTTTCGGAACGGCAGTCTGTGTACTCCCAACAAATATCCATCCGAGGTTTGTACAACATGCTCTTCGGCATAATAATCAAACAAAGCACAGAGGTCGGTGAAGTCGGAACATGTTGCGATGGAGCTGTACAAGGATTTGTTCTGTGATCGAGCCTGCTTGGATCTCTGGGAGGATAAGCGATTGAAGACTTTTCGGGAGGTATTATAACAGAAGCGAATGATAGGTTGCGCTATTGCATGATCAGTTGATCTGCCGAGTAGAGACATCTTGCAATACTTACGGAGTCCTAGGGTAATGATTCGGACAAATACTTCGAGGGCAACTAGGACAAGAGAACCAAAGAGAGCAATGTACTCGCGCCTGTAGCAAGTTGTCAGTGGTTATTATACTCGAAACATTGACAGTTCGTACCAGAAAAGCCGTCCGATGAAAGGGACTCGTGCCATGGTGCTGCTATGAGGGCTCAACTTGTTGAGGGAGGCGTTAATTGATCAAAGTTGGATCGTGTGATAAGCTCTTGAGGGCCATGGACCAATTGAGTGGCATCGAGGCGTCTAGAAAGAGCCAACAACGAAGGTAGAGCAGACTGGAAGTCCCTGAGTCGAGACAAGTAGCGAAAGGATTGAGGGTATAAATTAGGAGTGCGGTCGGCTCATCGTGGCTGTACGGCTGATTATTGATCGCAGCGTGAATGCCAGACGGATAGCAACTGATTTGATGGGGTTGTACCCAGACTGTTGACCAGTAGCAATGGAAATCTGCGGGAACAGTAACGAGTTGCGGGTATTTGGTAGGAGGAATAGGAAGAAGTTCAATCTGCAAGTCAACGTCATTTCGCTTCTGGTGCTGCTTTGGGCCTGAAAGCATGTGCTTTATCCAATCTGCTCCACAGGGCAAGTCTACCGAATACATGTCACGTGACTGGAACCGGACGCCCTGCACTTTTTCTTCTCTAGCCCAACTTCATTTTTTCCTCCTTCCTTTCTCTTCTTTTTCTCCATATGAACAACGCAAAAACCAACGTTCCTGCAAAAGCGTTCCTACGAGGTTAATCCCATGATGTATGGAAATCGTCTATTGGAATGGAGATCAATGATTGATAGATCCTTCATCGTCGGCCGATCTTGGGTGCAGTGTCAGTCTTTCCGCAAGGGACATGACTGAGAGTGCAATGATTAGCCATACATGTTTTTGATCGTCAACACCTGGATTTGAAATAAGATTCCACTTCAGGATGACGCGCAGATGGTCTCAATTCGTGGGAACGTTAGACAATCAGGTAGAGTTATTGGTACAATCATAACACAAACACATGTTGCGTCCTCATTTCCTTTCCAGCCAGCCCTCCACCTGTTCTACAATCTCTGCCTTTTTTCCAGACACCGAGATCTTTTTCGAAGCAGCAAAATCTTTCAGTTCTGCCACTGTCAATTTGCCGAGTTGACCTTTCTGCCACAAGTCTCGAATCATGGCTTCGGTCATGCCTTCTCCGGCCTCGGATTTGACCTTTTTACTTGGTGCACTCGATCCTCCGCCTGCGCCATTAGTTGGCCTCTTCGAACCTGGCGCAATCGCATGTGGATTCTCTGATTGATAGTTTTTGAAACAGCCCTCCAAAATCGTGCCCCATTCGATTGTTTCATTTCCAACTCTTTTGTCAATCTGTCTGTACTTGGGAGTAGTCTTATCCTCGGGCTTCTCAGGAAGTTCATCGTCCAAAGCTAATGCTTGCAATATTCTGTAATGCCACTGAAGGCTGGGGTTTGGATGTTTGGTAGGATCGTACACGCCTTTGGGTAAATTCAATTGTTCTAGTTGTGGTCAGTCAAGTCTTAGCCATAAGTGTTCATGTACGGCACTCACGAATGATAGGCCTCATGGCAGTGACAAGCTCGTCCGGTGCCTGTAGTGGTGGTTCATGAAGGGTCGGTGGGTTTTGTCGGACATCATCTGCAAATGGCAGAGGAATAAGATGTAGACCTTGGGGAGCGCCACTAGCAGAAAGTGCCCCAGGATTTGTCTTTGAATCAGACCCTTGTGCTGGCAAGGTCGGAATTAAAGCTGCCATCACTGGAGTTGCATTTCGGCGGGGGATGAACCACGTCAATCCAAACAGACTATCTTTGGATAGCTTGCGATGCAGCGCGCTATAGACCCGGGTACTTCCAACGAAATCTTCTTCTGAAGGGTAGAGAAACGTCGAGTTCTTGATGTTGGCCCACATCGGCAATCTGTCCATTGGTTTGAAGCCTATGATTCGGATAACAGGATCCCCAAAGTTTCGAAGCTGCTTTGCCTCCTCGTCGGAGAAGGTAATCTTCTCACCACCAAAGGTGTACGCCCTCCTGATCTCCACTTTCTGCACAGCACCTCCACTTTCGTCAATTTGTTCGGCGTGCCCTTTAACAATTTGTGGTTTTTCGGCGCCGAGAAAGATATAGCTGCTTCGAGCAGGCTTCTGGTGTTTATACAACAGATATCCTTTGACTGATATCTTCAGGTTGGGACCGATTTCCAAAGGCACTGCGGAGAACAGAGCACGCTTTGGGGTAACCTTTGAGGCGATTGTGGATAGGAGAGATTGGAGAAGAGAGATGCCATCATTGGATCCGGCAATGAGCTTAGAGCCGTCAGGATCGTTGATTGACGCAGGATTGTAAGCAATCGCGTCGGGATCCGAAGGTGAAGCTTTGTAGACAATGTCATCATAGAAAAGCTTTGTGTTGAAGGCATGTTTAGGGGTGGATATGGGAAACAACTCAATAACTACTCCCAAGTCATACAAGTCCTTGGCCCTGACTGTTGCCTGAGAACGTGATTTCTCGTTCTTTGCGTGAGGGTCGTCATTGTCAGTGATGATGAACAAGCGGCGGGAGGAGAAGTTGGCGGCCTTTTGCTGGAAGATCTGGTTGGCGCAAAACAAGACGCTGTGCATCGAGATAGATTCTTTGGCAGGCTTGAAGATTTCTTGACTTTCTGGGTCCTCTGCTTCGGTCAGATCTTTCAAGGCTTTGACATCTTGGGCTTCGGGGACGTCTAGGTCGGTCAGAAGATAGCAATGGGGGAAAGACCAGCCACCACGAGAATTCTCGTCCTCGCCGTAAAATTTGGACGTCTCGGTGCCATACAATAGGATGCCCATCAAGTCCTTGGGATTGGAAATGATACGTTGCTGCATCAATTGGAAGGCCGACTTCAAGGCAGCTAGAAGAGGCGAGCTGAGATCATCTTTCTTGGAGCCCGTTGGAGAGGGAGCTTGAAGCATAGAGTCTCTGACTTCGATGGCGAACAGCACGGCATCTTTGACGGTCTTGTAGCCAGTCTCATCGATCTCTTCATCTTCTTCGTTCTCATCATCCATTCGAGCAGGATCATCGCCGTCCCCAGGGCCAGCTCCAGGCCGAGATCGGTATGGCATCTTTTCTGCCATTATCACCGAACACTTGCATCGAGTTTTATATCGTCTTGTCCACACATGTCACTGCTAGTAGCGGTGACAGGCCTCTGGATCTAGCTTGGCGATTGAATGCTGCAACGTTGTAGTCGATGTCAAGGAAGTGTGGGAAACAGGCAACGTCTCGCGATTGACGTGGGCGCTGTGGAGTTCATGTTCCACCAAGGACACGGATACGGGGTGCGGGTGACGCGTGATCACGTGGCAACAATTTGATTCCATTACATTTCTTCTGAGTGGGCAGCCACTCAGAAAGTCGGCGTCATCAGTGGCCATGTCCCGGAGCAAAGAAGACATGTACATCTTCCGATGAGTCTTTTCTTCGACCTTGAGAAAACTCTCACATCTCGACATCACCTATCGCCGTATTTTTCACCATCCGCATTCATGGCTCGGTGATTTGTTCATCTACTTGTACCGTCGACAATCGGCCATTGGCCATCAACATCAAGCATCATGTCAGTCCGCAGCTCTACCTACCGTATAGCCCGTGGGATTCAGAGCTCTTGTATTGCTCGCCCAAGCCTCTTCCTATCCCCTCAACATGTGCAACAAAAGTCCCACATGGCTTCTGTAGCCCCTCCGGTCACACAGAATTCGGTCGGTGCGAAAGGTCCTACAGCGATGGTGTTTATGAACATGGGTGGACCATCGACCACTGATGAAGTGGGCGACTTTCTGAGCAGACTGTTTGCTGATGGTGATCTCATCCCATTAGGCAGGTTGCAAGGCTACCTGGGGCCATTGATCTCGAAGAGGCGGACACCCAAGATTCAAAAACAATACGCAGCTATTGGAGGAGGGTCACCCATTCGCAAGTGGTCGGAATATCAATGCTCAGAAATGTGCAAGATTCTCGACAAGATCTCGCCCGAGACGGCGCCCCACAAGCCCTACGTTGCCTTTCGGTATGCCAACCCGTTGACTGAGCATATGTATGCACAACTATTGGAGGACGGATTCGGAAATGGCAAAGGTGGACGAGCAGTTGCATTTACCCAGTACCCCCAGTACAGCTGTTCAACGACAGGAAGCTCATTGAACGAGCTGTGGAAATGGCGAAATCGGCTGGAGGGACCTCGAGCGACGGGTGAAGCCACCTCGACAGGCTCTATTACTTGGAGTGTTATCGACCGGTGGCCGACACACCCTGGCTTGGTAGAGGCATTTGCACAGAACATTGAAAGCAAGCTGGCAGAGTATCCGGAAGAGCGGAGAAAAGATGTGGTCTTGATCTTCTCCGCGCACAGCTTGCCCATGAGTGTGGTCAACCGAGGCGATCCCTATCCAGCGGAAGTGGCAGCTACAGTATATGCAGTGATGAATCGGTTGAAGTTCTCCAATCCATATCGACTCAGTTGGCAATCTCAAGTGGGGCCGTCGGCGTGGCTTGGGGCACAGACGAGCGATACGGTCAAGGAATATGTTGGCCGTGGTCATACAGATCTCATCCTGGTCCCTATTGCGTTCACCAGTGACCACATTGAGACACTGTACGAGTTGGATCAAGAAGTGATGGAAGAAGATGCACATGGCAACCCAGGAGTGAAACGGGCAGAGAGTCTCAATGGCAGCCCAGTCTTCATCCGGGCATTGGCAGACATTGCACACCAACATCTTCAAAGTGGCGAAAGTTGTTCGCGGCAGATGGGATTGAGATGTCAAGGTTGCAAGAGTGAAAGGTGTTTGGAGCAGAAAAAGTTCTTTGCTGGTGAGCAAGCAAATATTCTTCCACTTGTACGATAGTCTAGCAGGTTTACCTGAGAGGAAAAGCCAGCGGGTTCAGCTCTTTGGATGGCATTTATTAATGGATGAAATGATGAAATGGGTAGAGGTAGTCGAGCCAACTTCTACATGGTGAGAATCAAGTTTGCCAGGGAGAGGCCACAGATGAAAGGAGTGCCGTTCGCTCATCACTGTTTCCACATCTCCCTCCGTTTCTCGCACTTGTTCTTTTTGACAGAAGGTGCAGGTCACACACAGAATGGCGCAGCAGGTGTTACAAGGAGCCCGAGTCAACGTCAAGGTCTAGGCGAATCGATTGAAGTTATCAAGTGTATTTGCACACAAGTGGTTGCACTGTGCCATTGTCTGTAGGGATCAATAGGAATAACTTAATTAATGCTGCAGCCTAATTCTGTAAGCATTGAATAGCTGCACGTGCCTGGGGGCACCTGGGGGCACCCTGTCCAGGCCCCTCGGACCTGACGCTCCCCACGAACCACTTATTATTATTCCCACTCATGCTCGTATAATTCAGATCGGACTTGATCACTTCCGGTCTCGCAACGCTTATCCATTGGCACCTGGTGGGGGATGCCAGGGATGGTCGACCCTGATATCTTGCATAACAGACACACTTGGTCCATGTTCCAGCCAATACCACAGAGACTTCCCTTGTTGTTCCCCAAACTTCATCGTGTCCTTCTTCCTATGGATTACGTCAAGATAGTAGATGTATATGTTTGATTTCAAATATCCCAACCTCGATCACATTGACACTCTCTATTCTTCATTCGATCTACATACCTAGGTCCAACCTCCATGGATCGGTAACAACTGCATACAGCGAGCCTCAGTCCTATTCCCCGTCCTCTCCTCCCCTGCACAGGGCCTCCAGCCATCATGGACCCCGAAGACGTTTTTGCCCAGGAGGCACAAGAGGAGGTCCTTCTCTCAGAAGAAAACAATCGCCGCACTCGCGACTCCAAAATTGTCAATTCAGCCACAAGTTATGCGCCAGAAGACCAAGATCCAGACGATGAATCCAGTCCATTGATCGGTCAAGACGAAACCCGAAGACCCTCCAACCCGCGGGCCACTGATAGCTACATTCGAGCCCTCAACGAACCATGGGCCGGTTCCCATGGCTCGAGAAACAAGCCATGGTATAGAACGCCATCGGTATGAACATCCATCTGTCCCTACCAATTCCAAAACACTCTAACACAGCCGCTAGATCTTCTGGCTCCTGCCTGCATTTTTTCCCTTCTGCGTCGCATTCGGAGGCATCATCGTTCCAAAGACCTACCTCATTCTCAACCTCATTTGCGATAGATACCTCTCCGATCAAGCTTCCAAGAATCCTAACTTTGAATACTTTCCTGTCATGCCCGGCGACGACAATCCACTGTGTCGAGATGCCCACGTCCAGGCTCTCGTCGCAAGGTTCAACCTATACATCAATCTAATGAGTGGCATCTTCTCCGCCATTGTTTCTCCCCAACTTGGAGCGCTCTCAGATCGCATTGGACGCAAAAAGGTTCTGGTGTGCGCATCTTTTGGCGCCTTTTTCAGCGACATCATCACCATCATTATCGGTTCCAATCCGGGAAAAGTCTCGGTCTACTGGATGCTCCTCGGTGCTCTCATTGACGGCTTATGTGGCTCCTTCACCGCCGGAATGGCATTGGCCTTTGCATATGCTGCCGATTGTACCTCCCCCGAGAGACGAAATGTCGCTTTTGGCTATTTCCATGGCACTTTGTTCGCCGGTATCGCCTTGGGCCCACTTATAGCAGGCAAATTGATCCAAGTCAGCGGTACCGTCATGATTGCGTTTTATGTTGCATTGGCTTGTAACGCCTTCTTCATCATCTTCATCGCCTTATTCGTTCCCGAGTCTCTGTCCAAAGAGCGTCAATTGGTCGCACGCGAAAAGCGCCGTGTTGCCCAAGAGGCATCCCCCCACAAAGATTGGGTGGCCAAGCTCAAGAACTACAACATCTTCGAACCACTCTGGGTCTTACGACCAACCGGGTCAGGCACTTCTTCAAGTCTTCGTCGCAATCTTTTCGTCCTTGCAGCCATTGACACCATGATGTTTGGCGTCGCCATGGGCACCATGCAAATCATCCTCATCTATGCCGAATTTCGTTTCGGATGGAATGCTGTAGCCTCGAGCCAATTTCTCTCTGTTGCCAATATATGTCGAGTCACTGGTCTCCTGGTCATCCTACCCACATTGACTCGCATCTTCCGTGGAAGAACGAGATCGCAGTCTGCCGGTCACAAAGGTGCCGACAAACTCGATGTCAATATCATCCGCGTAGCCATCATCTTCGACCTCCTCGGGTACATTGGATATGCATTCGCCCCTACAGGCGCCGTCATGTTTCTCTCTGGTATGATTGCGTCCTTGGGAGGGATGGGCTCGCCAACACTGCAGTCTGCACTGACGAAGCATATTCCAGCTGACAGGACCGGTCAAGTCCTTGGTGCTTCTGGTCTTTTGCATGCTTTGGCGCGCATTGTGGCACCCACTGTTTTCAATGCCATTTACATGGGAACGGTTGGTATATATGCCGGCATTGTCTTCATCTGCCTGGCCTCCATTTTCGTCGTGAGTTTTATTCTCAGTTTCGTCTTGAAGACTGGACGTAAGTTTCACAATCCTTGGCCTTGTCATTTATCATTTATTGAATAAGGGTTCTATACTGACAATTCCCAGTCTTTCTACCAGATTCTCCCGTTGGCGTTGGTGATGAAGCAGAAGAGGATGAAGATCTTATTCCAACTGGCTCTGACACCTGATATGACCTGTCTCTCTCTGCGATAATTTAATTTCTAGCATCTGTGTCGACATAACATGCGCACCTTATCCTTTGTACATACACAGAGCTTTGTTGATACCTTTTGGATTATTATAGCTTATAGCACGATGGTGGTTACGTGGCATACCGGAGTCGTCCATTCATTGCCAATTATTGCCTTCAGTTTACAATTGCACATACTTGATACATCAATGGTCAAAGACAAAATCATTCTTTAATGAAGCTACCGTCAATTCCATGCTCAGTCCGCCCGAATGCAGTAGATCATTTAGATGCAGAGAGTCCCTCTACATAATCGTATGTAAAGACCCCCTCCTCCTTTGGAACGCGCACCCTTCACTGGGTCATGAGTCATGACACGGCTTGGCACTCCCGGCAAGCGACTCATGTGCTGCAACTTTTGAATGCAACTTTCTCCAATCAACTTTAGTAGTGGACTGATGCATGACAACCAGCTCCTACAATATCTCTAACATTGTACATTATCAAACTGCTCACAGTTCCACGTCCACGACATGCTGTCACCCTGATCGCATCCCTCGAACCTCCTCCCTTGCCGCACATCCGAATCTCTCTACACCACGCTTTGAGCACCTCATGCCGTCGATCCTACTTGACCGGCGCCCATCTTGACATGGGCTCTTTGCCTCAATTCCTAACCAAACCCTCCCCCGTTCCTTCCAAGGCCGCCCTTCGAGTTCTTCGACAGATCGCTTTATCTCCTCTGACTCTTACTGTGGGCGGCCTATGCGGCGGTTATGGAGTTACATTACTAGATTTCGAGACCCGTCGAAAGATTCACAGCGCCCAGACTGCCCTTGAGAACAAACGGATTCTGCGTTCAATTACACATGGCAGAGGAGAAGCTTATGTCCAGGCTATGTTCGAGGCGGCAGAGAGGGGAGATGATTTAACCTTGTTCAAGAAAAATTATCCCAAAACTCACGCGCGACCTTTGACTTCCCTTGCCCATCTAGTCCAGGAAGATCCCTCGGAAGATCCATCGGAAGATGTGCCCGTCAGCTCTTCAGAAGAACACTCCACCCAGAGTCGTCCTCAGCAGCAAAGTCCAGTCTCAACCCGGCAGAAGTTGTTGCATAACTTTGTTCCCGCTACAACTAGGGCGAACCCTCAACCACAGAGACCGATCATCCGCCAGCATTATAGTGCCCACGGAACCAAACGTCTCTCCAGCCCGCGAGACGCAAACCTCCTCCACCACATCCCTAAGGGCTCCCGCGGACATGGGCACTTCCTACCAGAATCCAAACGGCCTGGATTGTCGCTGCCATTATCTTTCCCCTACAGAAGGTCTCGTAAGACGTACGAGACCACATCACCTATCTCAACCCATGTTTCCCTACCTCCATATCGTCCATTTAACGAGCTGGGTGGTCACCTCAGCCCCGACGACCAACCGACTCCTGCCACAGAAGCAGCTCCCTGGTTGTCAACAAATCCAAAGAAACTCCCGTTGGTGGAATGCTCTGACTACATGAGAGAAATCTTCGACACCGATCGCAATTACTCTATCGAATCATTCTCTGCTGAACACATTTTATCATCGCAACCACAACTCAGACAGAAATTGCTCCTCACATCTTCCAATGCGGAGGACCTAGCACTCATCACTACTTTCATCTTTGGCGACAAGCACAGCACTGCCTTGTCTGCGGCCCTCCGATGGATGTCGGTATTGGAGCACTTTGTGAATCGTGGTACAGATCTGGATTTTGATCTAGCAGAAGGCTGGTTTTTCGAATACAGAGGTTACTTCCCATTCGCTATGGCCTGCACACCTCCAGTCTTACAGATTGTGGAACGTCGTCTGTCAAGCGATGACAAGCTGCAGGGAGGGGCAAAATTTCTCTACCCTCGTCACTTCGCGCACTCCTTGTGGGGCAAATCTCGAGAGCTTCATACTCACGCCCTAGCGATCGCTTATCTCGAGTACTTTGCACAGAAAACGCCCGATTATACGGCTCAGGGTCTCGAGCTAGACAAGATCATTTTGCTAGCAGATATTTCCCATGTTCCTTTGAACGACGAGCTTTTGGCTCCTATGCTTAACTCTCTGGTTGATGACAAGAGAACGGAGCAAGCCCATCGGTTGCTACATGCGGTCGAAAAGCGCTATGGTTTCGAGATAAGTCAACAAAGCCTCGAACTACTGGCAATGAGCTACGCCACCGAAGAGGCATGGTCCAGAGCTTCAGAAGTAATCCACGAAATGCATGTTAGAAACTATTCCCGAACGGTGCCTACTCGATTCCAAGCTTTCTTTGCTAGGATATTGGAGTACCGTGGTCGTCATGATTCTGCGGAGCATTGCATCATCTACGCCATGGACCATGTCAGGGCGTCAGGTTTAGTGGTGTGCAGTGATGTTAGCAGAGTTATCGTATGCATCGCCTTGCGCGACGGCCGGCATGAACTTATTGCTGAATGGGAGCGATTTGTCGAGCACTTGTTCCTGCGGGTGGACGTCAGTTATTCTCAATATCACATTGTTACAGATATTGTACGTGTGTGGGAAGAGCTTGGGATCAGCTGTGCTGAAATTGCTAGCGCATGTCGTGCCATGGCGATCGGTGCTCGGGAAGATCCATTCGGCCCTTTCATGAGATCTTCTGTCTGGAAGCTTTTGAGAAAGGATTTGATGTTCAGACTCGAACCTTTGCTCAAAAGCTCGACCACCAAATACGATCTCAACGCGATACCGACCGCCTCTCTGATCCAGCTTGCTGAAAAGATTTGCCATCGTGCGGAATCAGGAGACGAGGCAGCACCGTTGCGTCAGATAAAGGTTCAACTGGAAGCAATTGCCGACTTGAAACAGACCTTCAAAGGAGAAAACTCGCACGATCCATTTGACTCTGAGACGTTCAGAAGAAAATCGCCCGATTACCACGAATACCGGCGTTTCAAGCCAAGGATCTCATCTCCTGACGATTGGGTACCCACACCCTCAGAACGTGTTCCTACCACCACAATATCTATCGACAAGGCCCTTGCTGAACACTATGCAAAGACAGGAAGGAAAAGCGAGGAAACCCACTCACTGCTCAAATCGATCGTAAGGAAACTCACATTGAGTTGCCGAACCACTCAAGCAATCCGGCTGCTAGAACGTGTCTACAACAGCAAACACGTCCAAGGACAATACGGAACTCCGTATGATGAAGAGTTGTTCTCGGAATGGCTATCTCTCGCATACATGTACGGATCTGAAGGATCAGGCATTACGGCTCTTTGGGCAATCATTGATTCTTACCGCCATCTCAACTTCAGCCAGCATTTATTCATGTTGATGGACCAAGCACATCGATCGGAAACCCGCAGAAAGGTCGGTATGGGAAGTGCGCATATTGCTGGTGCGGGGGGTCCAGAATTACGCCATCTTCGTGGTCGACTCAATGTCTTGCAGTCAGCGAAATCGCGCGCTGACGATGGTCCTGTGGGTTTCGAGGACTGGCAAAGCTGGGAGCAACGCTTGAGACAACCACCGTCCAAGGATATGGAATTCTTGACGTTGTGAGTGAGTTGATAAATAAACGTATTGTACATATATAATGGACGAATAGCGGTCATCGAAAATACCCAGAATAGTACTATATTTTGTTCGTTAACCATGTACTCCAATGACAACAACATCTCATCTCATAATCTTCTCTAGACCGCTGCACCGATGCACTGGACCAGATCAACTTCCTCAGACATTCTCCTAATCAGTCGGACCGAACGGACAAGGTGCAACATTAGGATCGAAGGAACTAGTCGTCGAGTTCTCTTCTTCGTCGAAGTCACTGGTGTCTAGGTCGAAAGGACCACCAGCCCCGGCACCAACACCAGCACCACCATCGACCTCCCCTCCAAAATTCCCAAACTCCTCCTCCTCTTCCTCCTGAACCCTCTCCCCATCAAACCTCTCATCCCCTTCCCTCTCCTCCTCTTCATCATCATCATCATACTCCTCCTCACTATCCTCCCCCCTCATCCCTCTCCACCATCGACTCCCGGCCCAAACCCCCTCACTATCCCCCCTCAACCTCTCCTCCTCCTCCGACCCAATCAACCACTTCCACTTCCTTAGAAACCACGGTCTCGCCTCCCAACTCCTAGTTGACCAAGCCACGCCATCCGCCATTGACCTCTCCCTCCTCCTCCTTCTCGACAAGCCCAAAGAATCCGATCCTCCACCCCAACACACTAACCCACCGTTTAACAAATCCGTGAAGAGGGAAATATGGTCTAAAATCCCCTCTGCTGAAGCCCGGACCGCGGCGTCGCGCATATGCGGGAAGATTATACAGTCGAGATAGGCCGGGTGCGGGGTGGTGAGTTGGGCCGGGGAGGGACGTAAGGAAGAGGAGGATTTCATGGTGCGTGCGATATGGGCGTACAGTTCGGGTGTGACGGAGAGGCTTTGCGTGGAGGAGAAGACGTAGAGGGAGGTGCGGAGGGGGGAAATGATGGAGGAGGAGGAGGGGTCGGTGGTGATGCCGTTGAGGTAGACGTAACAGCCGGGGAGTTGCGATGGGTGGTCGTTGAGATAGGCGGATCGCGATATTCCCATTACAGCGGCGATGGAAATGGATGCTTCGATGAGGTTTAGCGGGTTGATGCGTAGGTGGTTCATTTGCGGGGAGGAGAGGGTCATAGGCCCGGTGCGGGTTTGGAGGTATTGGATTTGGCGTTGTTGATGTTGGTTTCGTTGCCAGGTCTGGTGGTGGTGGTGGTGATGTCGAGGTCGTGGTCGTGGTCTTTGGCGTGGAATTACCGCTCTGTTATGGTTGATTGGTCCAACTGTCCATGGCGATGACCATGGCGGTGACGAGTGTGGAATCGATGTGCCATTGTGATTGAGTTGGTTTGATGAATGTCGTGGTTGTGGTTGAGGTCGTGGTCGTGAAGGAAGAGCCCAGATTCCTCGGAGATCCATATCCCCGTAGTCATCTTGAGTGTATTCAATATTCGATTGGGATTGAGTACTTCGTTGTACTTCTGGTAGTGTCTCACCATCATCGTCGTTGTTGTTGTTGTCGTCGTCGCTGCTATCGAATTGTGGTCCCGCGCTTTGTCCAAGGAACAGGTTCACGCCCATTGGAGCGTCGCCTATAGGTAGATCTCCTGCAGCGGCGAATGCATCGCCTAGATTTAGGAATTGGACTGGTGGTTTTGGATCTGATTGTAGGGGATCAGAGATTCGGTCTTGATGGCTGATGACTGATAGGCCTGCTCCTACTGCAGAGGCAGAAGCAGAACCAATCAAAGATCTCCTCTCTCTACCAGTGACAGTAACGGGAACAGATTCAGATACATAGTTAGACGTCGACGATGTCAATGAACTCTGCTGAACAACACCCGAACGACCAGTCGCAACGAATGCAGACGCTGACGCTGACGCTGACGCCGAAGCAGACTCTGGCGTCGTAGTCGTGTTTGTATTCGTATTCGTCGACGACGACACACCCGCCTGCTGTTCTAATTCCTCAAGTCGTTTCCTCAATTTCTCTCGATACACCTTTTGAGATCTTCGATTCTGTTCACGACGTTGTTCGGTAATACGTCTCACGTAAGGTTTTTTCGGTCCTGTAGAAGTATCATTGGTCTTCGTCTTGGTCTTGTTGGTGGTAGGTTTGGATGTTAGGGTTCCTGTCTGTCCAGCACCGGAGGTTTCTCCGGGGTTGGGGAGAGCCATGGAGATGGGATTCGATGTTAATGACAATGGCAATGGCAAGTTGTTCTGTCGGAGCGTATTTCAGAGAGAAATTGGGCTGTCAGGGCAGGATGTATACATAGATAGGGATGTAGATCCTCTTGCTTTTGAAATCTCTTTGTCAGGGTTCAGTAACATTAAACCATTGAAGATATTTGAGGAGTCCAGTATGGGTATTGGTATATCAATGTCGGCGGATACAGGTATGATGATGATGCTGTCGATGCTGGCAATGATCGCGGCCAGTACCGGGACCGGTACTAGTAGGTTGAGACTAAGACGACAAGTATGACTTGTCCAGGGTTCGAATGTACCCAATAATAAACCATGTACATAAAGACTAGAATACCATAAGAAAGAGAGGTAGCGGTGTGATAGAGACCGGATGTCACTTTCTGAGGAACTTAATCCTCACCAGGAGGTACATATTTCACGTACTATCAATGTCATCCTCAGCTGCTCGAAACCTCGGCCAATCATGATTGCCGACAACGTTGATCATCAGGCAGAACTACTCCGTACTGCTATGTTTTCGGCTTACATATTCAGATTATGTCAGCATGCATACACTGTAGGAATGTAAAGACGATCTACGGTGCAACATTCTAGCGTGACACGCATACCCCGTCTCTCTTGTCATTTTAAGTTATGCGGCGTGCCGAGCTTGCAAGGCTTCTCGGAAGATGCACCAACACCGACGTCATCCAAGTCAGCGGCACCGGATGGATTTATATATTGTTAACAACGAAAGTTGCTTGGTTGAACGTGTATTGTCTGAATACTGTACTGTCGGTAGCGGATATTGGTGTCCAGAACAACGCAGCGGGCTATGTTGATGCTTGCTCAACCGAACTTAAAGTTTCATCAGAAATGATATCATATTTCTCTCTGCCCATCATATACCGCCATAAATTACAAAATTTCGTCCATCATTATTCCATGGCTAATAGCCATTCCTTGCGATAAAAATCAATCCCGAGGGCAGTGCGCCATTATGCCATGTCATCCCATGAGTACCCATTCGCATCATCTGGAATATGTTCCATAGACGGATTGCCATGACACCAATTCTCGTGTTAGTGTCTCCATCATTTCCACACTTCCCTTTTGTCCAAAGTCCTTGTCTTCAACCAGGTGCACAGAGCCATCCTCTTCACTGGCTTTCGAGTCTTTCAATCCGGCTTCTACAGCTTTGACCAAACTCGCTGTCGGTAAATGTACATTGCTCTTGATTCCATTGGGAGTGTTGGCTCCCTTGGAGCTGCCGCTTCCACAATCTTGGTTTGACTGCGACGCCTTTTCTGTTTGCATGTGGCCGACAAATTCCAAGATGGCGGCCACTCGTCGTTTCATCTCGTTGAGGCTTGTTCTGGCTGGATGTGTCTTGGCCTTGGAGCTGCGCCCGCTTTCTCCATTGATACCATTCGGTGAGGTCCCGTTGCCGTTCAAATCGTATGCAATATCTCTCAATGGCGTGCCATTGTCTCCATTGGTTTGATCTCGGGTATATTGATTTCTAACAAGTCTTCCTCTTCGCGCGGGTGGTCGACCGGTCTTGCGAGTACTGCTTGCTTTTCCCGAAGAAGGCGAGTCTGCTTTGGCTTTGCCGTTTATTTGAGCAGCTTTGGAGGGTGATACGCTTGGTGAAGGAGGGGGTGAATCTGTTGATAGTCAGTAAACTTTATCCCTAATATCATAACTTGGTCGTTGCGTACCTTCTCCTCTTCTACGCTCGGACCGAGCATTTCGTTTACTAGCCGCTTCTGCTCGTTGGGCTGCCTGCTGCTCCTTCTGCTTGTCTCGGATCTCTTTGTCTTTGTTGTTTCGATTTGGGATTCCTCTTCGCGAGCTTTGGTTTGTGTTTCGGTTTGTGAGACCAGACTTGCTATTCGAATCATCTTGCTCAGCCTCTGGAGACTCGCTACGTTTTGAAGGCGCTGACGAGGAGTTCGACCCGGTGCGAGGTCGCTTCGCATTTTGTTTGAGACTGCAGAGCATTAGCACAATGGCCACAAATACGTGAAATTCTCAACTCACTCTTCTGACTCATCCCGTGTGCGTTTTCCAAGTGTTCCAACTTCTTTAGTATCCTCGATTGATCTTCGAACAGCCTCAGCTTCTTCGAATGTGCTCCGGCTGTTCATAGTAGCCCTCCGCTTGGTACTTTCAAGGGTGGCTTTCTTGGTTTCCCTTTTTCGGGATTGTTCTGTGTTCGAGTTTGAAGGAGAAGATCGTTGAGATGAGGGTTCGAGAACTGGGAGGTAGCGGGAGGATTTAAGCCTGTTAATCGATGTTAGTCAGTGTCTCTTGCGTGAAGTACGGCATGACTGTCAATCTTTGTGTGAACCAGGTCTAATGCGAAACTGACAACCAAAATATGGGTTGTCACATTTCACGCGTGCAAAAGAAAGAACTTGATGATTCACATACCCATTGACGTTCTTTGTAATCTTGTGGAAACGGGGTTTGCAGAGCTCGCAATAATACTCTTCTGGTAGCATGGACTCATCGAGCAAACCCATGCAACCACCATGTTGCCAGACACTGCAGGAGTCGCATTGAACAAAGAAATTGCCAGTTTCTTCGGTCAAGGATTCTGCGTTTGGTGCGTTCTGGCGGATGGTGGCTGAGGGGCCTGGGTATTCAGATTGTTCACATATGCAGCGAGTGACCTCCTCTTCAGTTGGATCAACGTCGATGTCATCATCACCGAGTGGGTTGTTGAGCACGGCTTCCTTGTCTTCGCCGTTGCGTCGACTGCGACGTGGAGCGATTTGATCGCTACGAGAGGACGAGTCTACACCGTCAACAGACTCAGACCGCTGAGTGGAAGGTGGTCGAGGAGAATTTGTTCGGTTGTGTGATCGTATGTCACGATCTAATTTTCCACTGTTGGAGCTGGTAGAGGAGGTGTGGTTTGGGCCGGAGGGAGGCTGCTGGGAGGAGCGGGCACGAGAGGAGCGTCGAGGACTCATGGTAGGAGTTCCCCGCAAGGATGATGGTCTGAAAGCTAGAATGAGTGTCTGAGAGAATTTGCAGCTCGGCTTTGGACATACTTGAGGGGGGAAGCTCTGTAGGGTGTAGGAAAGGTAGTGGCGCCGTGAACAAGGTCGGGTTAGCCGTGGTGTCTGGGGGGTGACAGTGGGCTGGAGGGAGAAATGGTCAAAAAGGCGTGCAACTTGAGCAAATGGGCCAGGATAAACTGGATGGCATGGTATAAAAGTTGAACAAAGATGTTTCGCAAAAGAGTATGAAGCAACGACAAGGTCGAATGTGCGGTTAACAGGTGGTTGCAAAAGGTCTGGGAGCAGACGAGAAGAACGAGGCCTCGTCTCGTTTTCGGGCTCACAGTCAGTGATGATTTGGACCAATAACACATTTGCCAGTTGACGGTGGCCAGCGAGTGCCTGGCCGGGTGGGTTAGGGCGATTCTTTTCCACCGACACCGACGGCCGACATAACTGGTACCCTACAGGTCCATGGGGTCCTTGGAGTGCTTTGGGGTGCTAGGGGAGAAAGGCTCCAAGGGCAACCCAAGGCTTCGCCACTTGCAGCCAGTGAGAGAACGGCAGAGAGTGGATGGTCAGTTGGAGTGGGCCCTCCATCTAGCTTTCTGCGAAGGTCAGTGGCTGCGAATTGGAGATCTTTTAGCCTCCGGTGGGTTTCCCCTCTTCCTGTTCACAGGCTTTCCAACCGGAAAGGATTGTCACCACTTACTTGAACACCTCGATTAAAAGAGTCAAGACGGGTAGCTTTGTGCCGGCGGCATTGAGATGTGTCGCTTGCGATGTTGCGCTTCATGAGTTGTCGGTCTGTATCATTTTATTGGCGGGGAAAGGTGCTCTGCAACGTCCCTCTCGTAGGCGCTCAAATTTGTGGGTGGCGGGTGGCAGGGGCGGATGACAGACCGACTTGGCCAAAATCAAGCAGGCACGAGGGTCATCGTGGGCTGTAAGCGGGATCCACCTTCATTCACGCCATCACGTGTGGGCGCCCTTGCCAAGCATCCAACATACTCACGAACTCGAACTTTAAACGCGTCTCCAAGATTCACGCGTCACAGGGGAATGGAGAGGAAGTCTGCCACGAAGGTGCCGACTACTAGACCAAAACGAGCAGGGCATCTGAGATACGTTTAATGACATGAGACAGATCAATAATGGTTGTTTGCTTATCGTTGCAGTAAAGATATATTGGACCTTCTGTAGGCCTTCCACCGAAAACCTATTGTGTCGTGGTACCTATGCTTCAAGTTCTAATATCACTATATAATACAGTCAATTCGTGATGTACGCTCGGAACGCTCGACAGAAAAACTCCATTGCAGTCCCTGTGTCATGCAAATACTTTCAGGAATCTGCACCAATCCTTGCAGTCATACTCCAAAGCAAACGCGATACCTGCCCATATTCTTCTTTTCAGAAAGGAGAGTAATCAATCGTGGCCAGGAATCTCGCCATCCAAAGATACTCCTCTCATGCCGGTGATCCTAAAACTATAAGAATAGTAATCAGGATGATAGGCTGTAATACTGCTCGGTTGAAGTGCAGACGATTATCGTAATATGTGTTGCGGCCGTCTTTTCGTAATGTCGTCAATGTAGTACAGTGTCATTCACGCTCTCCCAACCCTTGGTATAGTGATCTCTTTGCCTTTAGAACAATCGGTCAGGGCTAGACGGGATGGATGATTTCGAAGGGTCATTATCGCTCAATCTTTGTTGACGAGGAACCTGAATTCCCCCAGCTTTGGTCACACCATCTCTTCGGCCCATGCTGAGGAGCTCTGCTTCTTTGGACTTCTCTTTAGGTTCAGAGGGAGCAGGTATCGTCGGAGATTGTGGTCCAAGGTCTTGACTTCCGGTTTGGTCTCTCTTGTGTTTGATCAATAAGCTTAGTTGACTTTTCGTTCGAGGCAATTGTAGTGGCAAGCCCTGATCTTCGTCTGTAGAAGAGCCAGAATCGTCGTGTGCCACCGTCGTCATCTGCGACAACCTCCTACCTGATTCTGAGAACGGTTCTGCTTCTCTCTCTTTGCCCTTCCCCTCTATTTCCTCTTCGTCGGCGAAGCGAACAACGCTCCCAATTTTCCTCATTCTGTTTAGCCCTGCCAGATTAATGGAAGATTTTTTCTGATTCTCCACAAATTTCCCTCGGAATCCCGGATCTACGAGATCACCGGTTGGTGGGGGTGGGACAGTTGTTGATACTGTTGACCTCTCCGGCGCCGACTCGTCGCTTTGCCACGAAGATGCGGAAGGCAACGCAAAGGTGCTAGCACTGGGGCTCCCTGTTTGCTTCTTATCAGAATGTGAACCTCCATGCACATGGGATGAGACTTGCCTGGGGGACCAAAGAGCCCCGGAGGTGGATTTGGATGGCCTAGACGATTCAATGCGGGATTGATTGGTTCCTGGAGCTGAGAGCTTGCTCTCACTGCCCTAGGACTGTGCAAGGGCGATTTGGGAGCCATTGTTGCGTGTGGTAACTTTGGCGTACTCGATTTTCGTCTAGTAGGTTGTGGGCGTGACCTGGACTTTCCAGTAGCAACTGACACGCTATGCCTTGACCGACCACCACTAGTGGATCGAATCAATGATGGTCGTGAGCTTGACTCTGAGGTGTTTTGGGAAGTGGATCCCGACGTAGTATCTTCAGACTGGGGTTGCTGAAGAAGTTTGTCAGAGGCCTTGGCCTGGGTCGATGGTTTAGAAGATATGGCATGGTGTGTCCGTGGGCCTGGTGGAAAGTCCTGGATAGATTAATTTGGGAACGATGGAAGACGACCAAAGATGGATGTACCTCGTAAGATCCCAAGCGAGGTAAATGCATGGAATCGGCTATCGGAGTCAACTCAAATGCTTGTCCGCAGTGATGTAGCAGTCTAGTCAAAGTTGTGCTCGGCATGGCGCGTGATAGATTTGGACTGCTCCAAACCCTCCAAAAGAGATTGCTCGCTCTGGAACTGGAATCATCATGACTGGCATGACTTTGAATGGAGTAGACTATGAATTGAGTTAGCGCAAATGACGTGGCACCAGAGCATATATAGCCACCTCTCCAAAAGCGACGCAGTATGTCTTGATTATCAGTATGGGACGCCGTGTCAAGTACCAGTTGGTCATCAGGTGGGGGATGAATCAACCCTTGTGGAAGGATGGCGGCCATGGCATCAGAATTGAACTGATAGCCCAGTTTCAGACTATGCAGCACCAACAAACAAGGTGAGGATATGTTTCCAGGCAATACATGTCTCTGTCGCAAATTGCAGAACTGGGTGGGACATCAAGTCCTTGCAACTAGCCGAAAGGGCGGGCAAGATATATGACTGTCGCTGGCAGCGGCAGGTGCGATGGGAAGCAACGGGATTGGATTTGAGGTCAATGTCGGTGTGAGGATGTTAGGAAGAGAAAGCGTTGATATTGAGGCTAGGAAAATTTTCCGCCGATTCGAAGAGTGGAAGTGAAATCAGTAGTGTGTAGCGTAACTTGTGACTCAAGCAAGCGTAGCGTAGTGCTCATGTCAAGATTGGCCTTGGGACACCGACCTCAGAAGCTTGATTACCAGGCACCCAGGGCAGGGGAACCTTCAGGAGGCTCAGAATCGGGAAAGTACGGTAGTGTCAGTGCCTGGGTAAATTGAGCCCGGGGAGCGGGAGAGGATCTGACGGCAGAAAGCTAAAATTCCGGACCGGGTCAAGGCGTGAGGTGGAGGTTGACAAGAATTCAAGGTGCAACCAGCGATATTGGGCAGACCCGGAGAGGATTCGAAGGGTAAGAGGTGAAGTGGCTGTGTTGGAAGAGCAGAATATATGGAAGTGACGAAGGTACCTAATGAATGATATCCAAGGCAGTAGCTGGTACCAGTGGCAGAAGGACAGAAGGTGGCAGTCGACTGGAAAGTGCGGAATAGCAAAGTGGATATGAAAATGACGGAAGAGTCAAGACTGGAGGACTGGTGGACGGGAGGGGGCAGGGGAAAGCGGATTGCATCTTGGTGAAAGGGCGGGTGGACCAGGAAACGTGGAGCCACGGTAGAGGCTTCCAAAGTCATTGAAATGAATCTATTCAGTCAGCCGACCAACGCCTCGATCCATAGAATCGGAAAGAGTTTGATGCGGCGAATTGTAAGGTACCAACCATGGATCATCGGCCCCGAATGCAGGTACCGGAACCGCGTGCAGAGTCAGAACCTCGGAACCAAGCGACTGAGCAAGCAGTGAGTACATTAGTGACCGAGACTCTGGCAGACTCTGGCCAAGTGGGAGGAAGATGAGGGCTGGGGGCAAAAGAAGGAGATCAGCAGATGAGATATTGGCAGGTTCAAGAAAAGAGCCCTGCTGGAATTGTCTCGAGGATGCCTTGGTCTGTCTGACTGTACGTGAGAGCATCGCAGAACAAAAGTCATGGGGCAAAACAGACTATGATTGTTTGGCGAGTCCGCAGTCGAGACGGTTCTATGGGGAGGGCTACCTCATGAATGCTTGTATGCCACTGTGCTTGTGCAAGGTGATTATCATCGACGGGGACAGGTACATCGAATGTGAGACAGGCAGACAGCAGATAGGCCGACTGCATATCATGACCTTCTCGAGTATCAGCAAGAACGTGGTCTGTTGGATTCTAGGTATATACAAGCGAACAAGAGTGTAGTTAGTGGCCAAGTGGTCAAAGTGTCAAGTGGCATCAAAGTGATGGGCAGGGATTCTGTCAGGATGTCACGGACGCGAAAAGCAAATCGTCAAAATCTCGGCTATTCAGGTAGGATGCATACGCATATACGCAGATTTACAGTAGTAAGGCATAAATGTACATACTGTCTGTGGATGGTTCTGACGGTCTAAGTGGTTCAAAAGGAATGTAAGAGATGCTGTAGGACGTAGGCTAGCTGTCGGTACCCTGGAGGTTGTACCTACTGGGATGCGTGGGAGCTTGGGGGTGACAACAGCCGACTTGCTTTGGAGTTTGCACCTGGTCGTCAGTCATACATGGAATGCTTGCTCACTACTAATTCGAATCTGCCAGCCTGTAGTAGCCTGGGGCAGTGCAATGATCTCCATGACTCGGAGTGGATCACAATTTTGAGGTATCAATCAACAAAGTAAAAGTGATCCTCCATGTTCGACCGGTCGTGCCGGTAGGTACATCCGTCGAGGTTCCAAGTTACTACGTTTTTTGTTGTTGGTTCGGTCCAATCAATCATTCGTCTTTACATGGCGGTCAATCGGCGTGGCTGGCCCAGAAGATCCTTTGCACCGGATCGAGGGCGACACCCAAATAAGATATTCCTGCTTCAGGGCCTTGGACAATATACTCCTCACCGCTTGATGTCGGAAAGGGATCAGCGCTTGGATGGTGGCACCCAGGCACCTAGGACAGGGATCGTGGAAAAGTGGAGGCTATGGAAAAGTCGAGAACTCAAGAGCCAGATGGCCCCCAGTTAGTGACTTGGAGCGTTTGCTAGGGTGGGACTGAGAATTATGATACTGTAGTAGTGTACTGCGAGCGTACTGTGAGCGTACGGAGTACTTATTGGCGATGTCAATGTTCGATATGTGCTACTACCTACCTAATTCGCCGATTGTAGGTTAACACAATTCCCCATGGATGTTACAGGTACCTACCTACAAGATAGTTACTATAGAGTCTGCTTCATGGAAAAGTCGAGCCCTGCTGCCATGGTGCCATGGTTGTTCTTGGTGTCGGCGTTTTGAGCAGGGATGAAACGACTCAATCCATGCCTTGAGTAGTGATGCATGGTTGTTGATTCGACACCATAAACTTGCATGGGAGTCTCGGGCCTTCGGGCGCTCCCGGTGAAGCCCAGCCACCAAAGAATTCATCGAAGTGAAGGTGGCATTTGTGGTTTGTGGAGTTTTGTGGCTCAGGATTCTCCGACGAGCGAGTCAGAGGCAGCCATAGCAGTTGTACCAGAGTACCTTACCTATCGTGCCTGCCTTGGTAGTTCCTTAAGTACCTATGCAACAACAAGGTGCCACGGGTGTTTACTAGGTATCTACCTTATGAACCTGGTTTCTACTCCCACATCGGAGTACTCGCCGTTTCTCAACTCGCAATACAAGACAGACAGAGCTTGATTCCCCGGTCTCATTTCCAGCCTCCATCTCCATTTCACCATCAGACGGATCCACCACCCGCTCCTACCCAGCACACTCGTGATGTACAATCTGTAAGCGACCTATGATACCTCCTTCCTAAATGCCTGAAAAAACACGGAGTTCTCCTGTTAGCCGGGTGCCTGGGTGCCTGGCTGGAAATATTTGAGTAGTAGTGACTTCGTACACATATCTCCGCTGAGATATTGGAAGTGGGGGTAAAAGGTCAGGCATAGCATAGCGTTAGGTAGTGTTGGTAGTGGTAGCACGGCGTGTTGTGGTCCCTTCCCCTAGCCCTTCAGAGTCTCGGCCCTGTCGCTGCCACATGGCTGTTTGCCACTAACGGGGAGCTAGCTTAGCTCAGCGCACCGTAGGTTAATGAACACCAAGCACTGAGCAGCACCGAGGCCCTCGACTTGCCAAACGACCACCCCATTTCTAGGTACTCAACCCACGCCACCTTATCTAGGAACGGGGATATCTACCTATCTTTGTACATGAATCATGTCACATGCGTAAGCATTTGAAGCAACCATCCACGCCATCCTCAATCTTTGCCAGGCCTTTGATGTCTTCATCGGGATATGTTACACTGCTGTCGATCCTGCAGTGTCTTTGCCTGCCACCTACTTGAAAGTCAACCTCTTTCCCTCCAAGCCGTAGATCGGTTGTTCTGGAGCGCCAATCCAAATTACCCTCTTGGCTGACTTTGCTTCTCACAGTCAAAAGCCCACCTTCTAGACTTGTAAATCACGAACAACATGGAGCCAGACATGGGCAGGACTCACCTTTTCCACCATCATGTGTGACAGAGCAACGGTGTCACCCCCAACGATTCCCCAAGCCACCTTTTGCAGTCGATGTGTGGTTCTAGGCTCTGTAGCCGAAGCACGCCAGCCTTGTCAAGTCCAGCCGCATCACAGGACCACTCCCACGTTGCTTCCATGCACCCGCCACCCATCATCGATCGTCGTCCCACACCCACGTTTTCGGGTCAGGCTCCAACTACCTACCTGGCCACTCCAGACCACAAATGGATGTTCACATGTTTCACAGCTTGATACCCAAAAAGTACCGGCATATACTTGGCGAACGCCACCATTTCAAAAGGCGACAACAGCCAACTTTGACAAGAATCATAGACTGTGGGTTGTGGGTTGTCTCAGGAGATGGTAGTTTCCTGCTTCAAGGATTAGGTGGGCGCGTTCTCACGACACGATTTACCAATGAGGAATGTTCTGAAAATCGCTGTATGTAAATTGCAACTCTTTCTCTCCAGACCACCCCCGATCTACAAATGCCATCAAGTATATGTACATGCATTCAAAGGCAGACAATTGCCTTGGTCGGCATGATATTAGGGCAACGCAGTCTGTGGTTTTTCTAGGTGCAAGTATATCTAGCGAGACGGTTAGTCCCTGATTCACACTCCACAACCAATATGTTTATTGGTGGACTAAGAATGTGGATTTGGATTTCACTTACCCTCCATCAACTCTGAGGTCGGCACCAGTGACATAACGACTGGCGTCGCTGAGCAAATAGATAACAGCCCCCTGCAAATCCTCTGGAGATCCCATCTTACCCACAGGGATCAGTGATGTCCACTTCTTCATCAATTCTGGGTTGTCGTCGAGAATCTTTCGAGTCAAGGCTGTCAACATGTAACCAGGGGAGATGCAGTTGACTCGGATGTGGGCGTGGGCCCATTCGACCGCCAAACTGGCGGCAAGGTGTCGGACAGCGGCTTTGGCGGCGTTGTATGGAGCTTGAGGCTGTGGGACGTTGACGATGGCGCCGGACATGCTGCCAATCATGACGATACTTCCATGGGTGATGGAACCACCTCTTTCCATCAAATGGCGGGCAACACTGGTGGCAAACAGGTAGGTGCCGTCAACGTTGACGCCCCAAAGCTTCTTGATGCGGTCATATGGATAGGTCTCGGCGGAGAAATTTTCGGTGAAGCCTGCAGAAGTGACCAGATGGTCGATCTTGTTATGCTGGCTGATGACCTCTTGTATGCAAGATTCGACACTTTCTGGGTCTGAGACGTCCGAATAGTGCGCAGTCACCTTTGGAGGTTCTTCATCGGGGAAGTCTTTCTTGAACAGACGAATGAGTTCTGCGGCCTGCTTCTCACCTTCGTCCTCTGATTGCGTAGGACAGCTGTTAGAACAGAAGAATCGATAAATAGGTAAGTTAGGGTGATGGGGCACTTACTGTTCAAATCAACAATGGCCAAATCCGCGCCGGAGTTGACGATAGCTTGTCCCATGACGAGACCAAGACCTCTAGCACCACCTGTGACGATGACAGTCCTTCCCTCGAGCGAGAAGGTTGGAAGAGTTCGAACGTTCTGGACACCGCCTAGGCCACGTAGAGGTCGCTCATGTTCCTCAAAGACTGTCTCATCTTCTGGGTATTCCACCACGATCTCGCGATCGGTTCGAGAAGCCGACCCTTCATGAGGTCCTGCACTTACGCCAGTTGCTTCTGTGCTCGATTTATGATAAGGGTCGGATTTGTCATTCATAAAAGGTGACAATCGGAGGCTGCGGGTTGGGGTTTTGGAAAAGCACCGAAAGGTGGTGCGAGGTTTTGTGAGCGGCGCAGCAGATCGGATGCTGGTCGTGCCCAGACGATTGAGCATGCGAAGGGAGGTCTGTGTATTCATCTTGACTGGTTGCAAGGAATGTTATGCTTTTTGTGAGGTGACTCGATTTGAAAGACAAATGTCTCGTTCGAGGAGTCGATGCTGGAGCAGAATATCGTTGTCTTCCGCGGAACCAATGTTGAATTAGGTGTAGTATATCAATTCAGTGGTTGGAGAACCACGGGCGAGTGAGTGAGTCTCGAAAATAATATGACCAAAAACTTGACCACGTCGTCGTCCGGACGAATGAACCGGGAGTTTTTAAGTCGTCCTTGGTAGGAGAAGGGGAGGAGGGGAGAGTAGGCTATGATATGATACAAGACTGGTTAATCTCACCACAAAAAAATATATGAGATGAGATCAAGGTACAATAGGTAGATTAGTATGTAGTATAGGAAGCTCAAGTTCCTTCACAACAAAAACTTGACTGCAATTCTGTCTGTGTATCTACCGTCCAAATGACCATCTGTCCAAAGGACGCATACTCCAAAAATGTTGAAAGCGACCGACGTCAGAGGTGGGGGGGAGGGGGGGCCCAAAGGGACCAGAGTGACCAAAGGGGGGAAACACAAGACACAACACAAGTTATAAAAGCGGGGAGCTAAAAGAGCTATGGGCCTGAATCGATAGCAAAGTGGCACCATGGACGCGGACTAGAAGCACTGCCAGGGACCACAGGGCACCACACGGATGACTGTGGGATACTCTAAGATCGGGGTCCAGTTTATTTGGGGGGAATAGCAGGGAGGGTTGATTCAGATGAGGGAAATGGATACGCATATTTGCGCACTAAGACTTTACTATGTTACATACGCGCGATGCATACAGGGAGCACGGTATGTACATCAGGGACCTAAGATTTTTATTATTGTTTTTGCATGTGAGTGTGGTGTGAGTGTGTGTGTGATGCAGATACCCAGGGGAGGTAGGTAGGTAGGCAGTCAGGTAGGTATCAGCGACACCCACCACCTACAGTACGTCCTCGTAGATACCTAGGTAAGGTAGGTAGGTAGATGGTCCTGGCCACACTTAAAATATTCCAGTTCTTCCAAAATACCCCAGGTACCTACCTACCTACCTTAATTAAGCTATTGATTTACACGAGCCCCGTGGTCCCCTACCTTCCTCTGTATGGAGTTACGTTTCAGAGTTTTGATAAGGCAAGTCTCGCCGAATTCCCCAACCAGTAAGTAGATACCTTAGCTTAGTAGTATTTGCCCCCAGTGCGCAATGGCCACAGTGCCGTGTGTGCCTACATATGAGTGTCCATGACCATACCCATAGCCCAGACCCATGTTGAAAAAAAAGCCACGCACCACACGGTCTCAGCCAACGGCCCGCAATTCAAAACCCTCATGTATGGCAGGATAGGGCACGGTTAGGGCAGAGGTTTATTGGAATGGGAAAAATTGAGGAATAGGGTCGAGGCGAGAAGGTGCGATGGCGCGATGCGTGCTAGCTCGGTGCGGGCGGAGGAGGGCACAAGGGTCAAGGGTCGTGATCGTTGCGGTGTACTGCAGATCCAACTCAAAAAATCCAAGTCAACGTCACTGGCCTCCTATGGCTTCTTGAGTTTTGACGATCATGATGCGTATGCCAATGTCACAGCTACAATTACTTAACCGCTGAGTAAGGAAGTTCATTGTGAGTGAATGCCTACCTAGGTAACTTAGATTAGAGTACAGGCACAATAGGGTAATTGAGACGACGGGATCAAACCCGGAATTGATCTCCAGTGTCTCCATTTATCTTCTTCCCAGTCTACATTTTTATTGCACTTCGCCAGTTCTTGCAGTATTTGCAGTCTTGGATTGTGGTTTGCCATGACTTAGCCAAGACGCTGTTGGGGTGGCATGGAAGTTTGACTCAAGAGTACTTGAAACTCACTTCGAGATGGTTCATAGGTAGGTACCTAACGTATTCTGTTGTCGACCTTGAGTTTGGCCATTGGATGTATTGTGTACTTAAAGTTATGATAAATGCTAATATGTTCGTATGTCTAATGTACGTTATACATTTTAATTATTTATTGTGCTACTTACAGAAACGGAGTAAGCGATGGCTTTTAACCTCCCGTGGCTTTGTAGCCTTGTGGCTTCATTAGGTACCGTCCTTAGTACTGTTTACTTTGAGACCATTGTCGCAAGATCCAGATACGGTGATGGCGGCACATTCTAAACCACAGCATCAGTCGAAACACCAACTCAAAACAACGCCATCATGTAATCTCATCAATATCTTCATACGCTAGAGGATATTTCTTGGTGAAATTCAAAATAATATGCTAATACTTTCTTCATATGGGTATCTCTCGCTTGCATGCTTGCATATACAATGCCAAAAGTCGCAAAGCCACCAAAATGCACTTGAATTTGCGGTCCAAGATTCACCATTCATCTTTGGTCTTTTTGTCTCGCCTTCCTTCATGATCCAATTGTGTTTCACAAAAGGGGCACGGACTTCTTTGTCATATCCATCCCCGGGACTGTATGAAATTTGAGTCCGGGTGAGGCGAGATATAACTCGTATATCATATATCACCAGTCTGTCGTGGTAAGTATTTTGATTTTCCACGCCATTGGCCAGTCATCATCAGTGGGTGATCCTTGTGTTGGTGATTGTCATTATCGATATCGACATCGATATCAATATGAATAATCCGCATTCGCCGACCCCGCACGTTGACGACCATGCCACCTACTCCCACCAGTCGAAGACTTCCCCGAAGCTGTACGAGCCTTTTTGAACATGAAAACTGCAATCGTCAGTGAAACCGACCAGAGCCCCAGTCCAATAGCATCAAAAATAGCCGCCGTCTTCATCTTCTCAATGTCTTTATCCATTTCGACGTTCTCGGAGAAATACATATGTCCAAACAAACCGGTTAGTACGATCCAGAGAATCAAAAGTATCAGATCCACTGCAAAGACGTAGCCGAGATGGCGTTTAAATAAAAGTGCTTCGGCTATGCCGTATATGAGAGCCACAAAGGCCGAGATGGATCCGACCACAACGGCGAAAATCTGGAGAGCTGAGATTAGTCTGCTGAATTCTGGAGGGATTGTGTCAGGTCCACGAACCCATTTGCCATCGGCGTATTTGTCGGCTTTCATGGCGCGATTGAGGTAGGTTCCATAGTAGCCGATTACGACTAAAGCTTGTACGAGCTGGAAGAGGCGCAGGATGAGGCGGAGAATGGTGCTAGGTTTCATTATGGGGTGCGAGCTCGCGCCCCGCCTTTTGTTGCCCATGCCGAGTGCCATAGATCTTTAATTCTCTGTGGGTGGGTTTTGATATGCTGAATGTGAATGATATTAGCGGAGTTGTTTTGTATGTAAGCAGAGGAAGGAGGAGTTCCTTGGGAATTTTTTTTAGTATTGTTGAGAAAGGACTTACTATATGGTGTAGACTTGAGGCTTGAGGCTTGATATTGCAGTCAAGATGTCTGATCTCGGGGGGATATAACTAGGTTAGATGAGGGCGATTTGACCTGGTCTCCGAGGGGCGAGGGGGTTTTGTAGGAGTGATATGGTCCGGTGGGATCCGTTGGGTTGAGTTGATTGACTCGACCTCTCCAAACAAAGAAGAAGCCGAGATTAGTGTCGAGTCAAAGGAAACAACAGACAAGTGGTGATCAATCTCTGTTTGTTGGGCGGAATGAGGAGGGCGTAGAGTCTCGAAAGAATCTTTGTTCAGCACCGGTTATTCTTACTCATGTACTGCAACGGTCTTTGTTGGATGAGGCGATGGTTCTTGATGACGATTATGGTAGTGCTGAGCTGTCCCAGAGATCGTGTCAAGGCAGCGGATACGAGGACTGGAAATCGGGCTTTGTTTGTTGAGCAAGTTGGTCAATCGGCCAGATCAATCGAAGTCCGACAGTAAACCCAGAGACGGAGAGATAGACAGATGGACACACTCTCTCTCCTGTCAAAGTATAGTCCACCATTCACCTGATGATGGCCGCGATGATAAGGACAGCGACAATGACAGTGACACGCAATGACCAGCCATATATGCAAACCGAGCTGCGTGGAGTGGAATCCCTGGAAGCGAAGCGAGATTCATGACGATCCGGACGACTCACCAACTATAACGCAAGTAACTTGAAGGTATGCACTCATGCACTCGTTTGTGGCTGGAGAGAAACCTTGATCTTGCTCTGTTCCTAGATCCAAATCTTGAACTTGGACATGTTGGATGGCAAGGGTTTGTTTTAGTCTGCAGATTGCGTGCGTCATCAGTTGTTCTCAGTGCCAAGGATTCGTCCTTGAGGCGTACTCCGTATGCATTCACAGCAAAAAGTTGGACGAGGGCGGCCTCTTGGCTGAGGATCATTGAATGGCGGTTGGCTAAGACTAGGTAGCCACGCCAGTCCAAGGTGTCGACTTGACACCACGTGTCTGCTAAAACTATCAAGAAAACCTCCATAATGCCTATCACCAGCAAATCTGCCGGATTCGTATTTGTCTAGAGAGGAGTATGTGCAAGGGCTATGCCAGGGGGTGGGGGCAAATGAAGGGAAACAAATCAACTATGTAATAACAATCAACCGACAGACACCAGACCATGGTACCAAACCAAACCCAGACAATAATGCAATACAAAGGAACAGGCTCCAAACGAGCAAGGAGACGCAACGCTCAACAGAGACTCGACAGAAAAGCAGACGGATCAAACACACACGTGCTCGAGGTCCTCTTCGCTCCTATCCCGCTCCTGTTGCCGAAATGCCTCCTCCTGCTTTCCCCATGGTTGCATTATAAGCTCCTGGCACGTGGTGTTGCTTGGCTGGCGCTTGAGTCGGCGGTGGAGGCGCTGGTATGGTTTCGTCGTCAAAAAAATCCCCGTCTTCCTCTCCAACCTGATCCAACGACTGATTGTCGTAGCTGTGATGGTTCAAGTTGGCCGCTTGACTTGCAGCCTTGGCCGCATTCTTGCTCTGCTTCCGTCCCTTGCGACCTTTTAATTTGGCCTTTTCCAACAACCTCCTCTTTTCCGCCAGGCGCCGACGCTCTTTGCGATCCTTGATCTCGTACTGTCGAATCAGGGCATGTGGAGGTTGCCCGAAGATACTCTCGTACTCGCAGAACTCACAAATCCAAATGTCCTCCGCCGATGGTGGATGTTGTAGGTTGTTGTACTCTTGCTGAATCTTCCTCTGTCGTGCCACCAGTGCATACACATCGCTGCGTTTCCGGCGAGGTTTCTTTTCCTGCGTGTTGGCAGCTCCTGCTGCTGACGCTGCTGTCCCTTGCTGCCCGGGCTGCGCGCCAGCATTGGTGGCAGTCTGATTTCCCTGGGGAGCGTGCTTCTGACTCGGCCCCGCTTGACTAGAGGTCGTGTGGTTCGCACGCTGGCTATAACCTGGAGAGTAAAGACTCTGTTCTGGAAAGGTGACACCCTTTGCTTCTCCTTCACAAGTAAAAGTAAATTGGGAGTTGGTGTGCGCTTGTTTGACTTGCTGATCGAGAACGCCAACGTTCTCTTGTCCTTTGGCGAGAGGCTTACGTAATAATGCTGTGGCATTCGCAATGGCGGCGGAGATGATTCCCTGGTCCTTGGTCTCTTCAGCTTCATAAACAGTTAGTCTCATGAATCATCAGGGGTTCCTGTTCCTTGCTTCATACCTCTAGCGTTGGCGTTCAGATTCTGGTCGTATCTGGAAGTTCCACCCCGCGCATTAGAACCATTGACCGAAACGCCCAAGGGATTCCGGCTAGGCAACTTTCTACTGTTGCGACCTCTTCCAGCACCCTGTACACCAAGTCCAGATGGACTCCCACCATAGGTTGGGGCAATATGATATGGGTCGTCGGAATGTGAATCCTTTCCATTCGTCACTGACATATGCGACAAGTCATTTGTCAAGCCGGAATGGTGGAGGCTCAGGCTGCCAGACGTCGGAATTTTCCGTTTCTTCTTGTTATTTGTATTTTCAAAAGCCTCGTAGCCATCCGGGCCAGAACCAGTAGCCTTAACTTCATAACGTGACTGACGTCCTGTACGAGGAGACTGTGAAGTGGTACGATAAGAAGTCGAGGAGCGGATCGGTTCGATGGAGTCATCTGCTGAATCAAGGTCATCTTCGTCATCGTCATGGTGACAGTGGTGGTGGTGATGGTGATGGTGATGGTGGTGGTGATGATGATGTGGGCAGTGATCATGCTCGTGATCATCGTCATAATGATCATGATCATGGTCGTGGTCATGGTCGTGATCGTGGTCGTGATCGTGGTCGTGATCATGGTCGTGATCATGGTCATGGTCATGGTCGTATCCATCGCCATGGTGCTGAACCAAGACCTTGGAATCGTTCAGAAATTCACCATTTTCGCCATAATGAGTGTAGGTGGGGAGGCTCGAGGAAGGTAGGGCAGGAGGATAAGTGATGGCGTCGGCGGCTTCCTGAGATAGTCTCGATTTCAGAGTCCGCTTAGGGAGAGGGCGAATGAGTCTCTCCGGGAAAATGGTCGAGGGGGTGTCGGGGGATGAGAGGTAGGAGTCTGAAATTTCAGTGTCAACGGCCGAGTGGACTGATGGATGGCTCATGTCGGATGTAATACTTTTGTGCAGGTCAGGAGAAGCGACGAGCGCCATGATGACTCCAATCCTCTCTTCTACGGCTGAGCAGGCAAAGCGAAAGGACCCATCAAAGAGTGATGGAGAGAAATCGGGTTTCTAGAAAGGAGGTGCAAAATCAGCAAAGTGTGTTGAGACAGAAGCTGCGGCGCAACAAGGCCCCAGTGAATCGAGTCCCAGGCTCTTGCATTCTCCATCTTGTCATATTGGTGTTGTAGGATCAAGGCCTTTGACGGTACATACTGTGTTGAATTATTCAGCAGATTGTGGGCGAGAGGCGTATCTCCAAAGTTGGGATGGATGTAGGGACACCTTATCCAACAAAAGTCCGAGAGCCGACGGGAGTCGCAGGACGATGGGAGTGTCTGGAGGGCAATTATCTTGAGCAAGAAAGAAAGTAGCAATGTCAAAGAAGTAGATGTGATATGACCAGCTCGACGTTTGATAGGAATAATGTGCAATTGGACGAGTAACAGATGTAGCAGGTTAGATGCAGATGCAGTCAGGTGGCAGTTTGGGACTGGAGGAAAGGTCGGAGTCGAATTTGGAGGTGGAGATGCCGCTTTACACAATCTGTGAGTCTTGTGGACGAATGATTGAATAATCCGCCAAGAATGAATCATGAGTGGCTCCCACCTTTGAGACGCCCAAACGCTCAGGCGGCGGGTCCTTACAACGGGGAGTCTACTTACTTACAGACATCTTACCGTCACTGTCTCCAACGTGCATTCCCGGGGGATTTAGCCCTGAGGAAGCACCTTTACAGGTGCCAATTATTGGGGGGTTAAAGGGTTACCTGATCCAGAGTCAAGATTTCCACCTCAGGCTCTATAACCCTACCTTATTTTTCCGCACACATCTCCTATATCTAGGCACCTAAGAAGTATCCATACTTATACTCGGACCTGGGTCATCATAATGTGCTTCTGCTAGATGCTATTGTGTCTCGGCAACACTCATCGCTCATCGCCCATTCTTTATGCCTGTACAATTTCATTATTCTCGTCCGCCCACCCTGGGGAATTTCTCCGAATTAAGCCAAGCACGCCGCAAATCACCCGTGATGAATTGGTAATCATTGGTTCAGTCAACTCTGAACTCTGGTTATATGCCCATCCTCATAACTCATAGGAAACATTGCTTTCCGCTGCTATCTGAAATCACCATCTAGCTTCTTCCGCCAGTCTTGTCCACCTGCTTTTCTCACTTCTGGTTGCTACTGGCACTGCGTGTCGTGCGTCGACTCTGCCTGGAACCCGTAGCCTCGTTCTCTCGTCTTGCATTGGCTGCGTCAGGTTTCGCCCGAGCGTCCGACTTTGATGGTAGTCTCTCGCCTTCAAGCGCTCCAGGAGATGCTTTACGTTTCTTGCTGTTTTGAGTCTCGCCTCCGTATGATGACGCCACTTCTGCTCCATTCGTAACGTGTTCGGTGGAATTGGGAGGAGATGGGAGGGCTGCCTTGTATCGACGTCGTTTCCTGTGATGGCCCTCTTCGCTAGTCGTATCCCCTTCCGCCTTCTGCGAGTCAGCGTCCTTTTCAAGGCCATTCGCTCGTGCACCATCATCTCTGACACGCAATGAGCTCACACCTTCACCCTCTGTTGGAACATTAACACCCTTCTGCGGCGTTTCATCGTCATTCTCGACCTCGTCATCTTCCTCTTCCCCTTGCTCTTCTTCTCCTTCTCCTCCCTCCTCCTCTGCCTCCTCGTCGTACTCATCTTCGGACTCAAGGCGTCCCTGGTCGAAAGACTTCTCTCTGTGCAGAGTGCCTAGCCCCATGTCCGCGAGGCTCATGTCCTTTGCCCAAGATTCATCATTGTCGGTCTTGCTTGCTACCTTGTTCCAACCATCGTCTTGGATCGAAAACACCTGCTTCCAATCTTTCAGAAATGCCACAGAATCACCTTGGCCGACCTTATATGGCGGTGGTCCAGGTTTAGACGGTTCTGCCCAAACTGTCCCTTTAATTGGACGTAGCAGTAATTCTCGATCGTGCTGTCGAGTGCTTGACGCTGTATCAAGGGTCTCGCCGAGCTTTCGTTTTCTTCCTCTCGTCACGGATGGTTTCGCAGGATCCTTTCCATCTTTCAATGGTGATTCAAGGGTCGGGTCATCATCCATGTAATCATCAGAGTAATATTCCCAATCCGAGAAATAGTCTTGCAGCTCAAACCCAGCTACCTCGTCCAAGTATACGGGACTGTGGAGGGCGTGTTCTGCAAGATCGTCTGCCAGTTCGGGAGCCGGATCTGCATCGTATAAAATATCTTCGAGATCGTCATAAGGCGAGTATGCATAGTCTTCAATGTCCGACATCTTTCAAGACCACGATGATATTGATGGCATTCTCAGGCTCGATGTAGGAACAAGGATGGAGATGACGAGACACTCGGCACAAAGAGCGTGTAGCGGAGGAAGCATTGATACTCAGAATGAATTCAACAGCCTGGTGTCCTACACTGCGTTCAAGTCGATGCGTTTGACATTGCTCGGGAGCAGTCAAGGGCGGACCAAAGTCTCTTGTTGTACTTATCCGTTTAGATGCAAGGGTTGATTAGAACAACCATGATAATCGTCCCGATGCTGGCCAGGTGAGCGAGGGAAGGTGGGACGCGTAATAAGACAGCCTGAACGGTGTGTGATCGATGGATTTCGCGTGTTGGCTGCGCCTTGAGTTTGAGGACGTGGGACGATGAATCTGAATTGCTGCCTCGGTTTATTCCGTCATTTGCTTCGACGTAGTGGGCAGGCGTAGCAGGGGGGTCTTTCCACGTGATTTTCGTGAGTCTTGTATGGCGGAGTGCAACAACACTATCATGAAGGGTGCATACCACCGCCAGATCGAAATTCACGGCCCAAGCACGGCTCCTTCCCCGCATTGTCCTCCCGGGTTTCCTTGTGGCAGGCACGGCCTCCCTGCCACGCCCACACCTGCCGATTGTAACCGGCATCCGAGCCGTGAATGATGGCTTTATGCTTTGGGCCTCTAGAATATTTACTCGATGTCTAGTGCTGCTCGATCTCGTTCGAAGTGTCTCTTGGATCCCTTCTGCAACGACGAGAGCATCTTCTCACAATGGCTTCCTGTCGTATCCCTCGTGCTGCTTCGTGGCGGGCGAGAGCCTCCTTCAGACTGACACCGTCTCCATATCCACGACACCTTCGTTTCAACCATACCGCCTCCCAAGATCCCTCTATCAAGTCCCTCGATTCCATCCTAATTGCGAATCGAGGTGAAATCGCGATCAGAGTAAATAAGACTGCTGCCCAACATGGCATCCGCACCACCACCTTATACACAAACCCCGACGCTCTCTCCCAGCATGCTCACTCGTCTCCCTTTGCCTTCAACCTCGGTGACACCAGCGCCTACCTGGACCAGGAAAAGATATTGAAGATTGCAAAGGAGCAGGGCTGTCAAGCTATTCATCCGGGCTATGGCTTTCTATCAGAAAACAAAGAGTTCGCAAAACGCTGTGCAGAGGAGGGAATTACCTTCATTGGCCCCCCCGCAAGTGCCATTGAAGACATGGGAGACAAGGCCAGAAGTAAAGAGATTATGAATGCTGCTGGGGTTCCCTGTGTCCCTGGCTATCACGGAACCAATCAAGATCCCAAAGCTTTGGCCCAAGAAGCAGAGTCCATCGGATATCCAGTTCTTATCAAGGCAGTTCGAGGAGGTGGTGGAAAGGGCATGAGAATCGTCAAGTCCGCCGAGGAGTTTCCAGATATGCTGGAAAGTGCAAAAAGCGAATCAAGAAACTCCTTTGGCAATGACGAAGTCCTCGTCGAGAAGTACATCACAACACCCAGGCATATCGAGGTTCAGGTCTTCGCGGACAAGCACGGCAATTGTGTCGCCCTGGGTGAGCGTGACTGTTCGATTCAGAGACGACATCAGAAAATTCTCGAGGAATCACCCGCCCCTAACTTGGATGATACCATTCGGAAAGACATCTGGGACAAAGCCCGAGCCGCTGCCCTTGCCGTCAAATACGAAGGCGCCGGAACTGTCGAGTTCATCTTCGACAATGACACCGGCGAATTCTTCTTCATGGAGATGAATACCAGACTCCAAGTCGAACATCCCGTGACTGAGATGGTCACAGGTCAGGACCTCGTTCATTGGCAGATCTTGGTTGCTGAAGGCCACAAGCTGCCTTTGACTCAAGCACAAGTTGAACAGGAGATTGCCAGCCGTGGTCATGCAATTGAAGCCCGAATCTATGCCGAGAACCCAGACAAGGGTTTCATCCCTGACTCAGGAAAGCTCCTGCACGTCAGCCTGCCAAAGGAGTCCGATGACATCCGTATTGACAGTGGCTTCATCCACGGTGATGAGGTCTCAAGCCATTACGACCCCATGATTGCCAAACTCATCGTTCGTGCCGAGAACAGAGAAGCTGCACTTCGCAAGCTGGCTGTTGCCCTTCAAGACTATGAAGTCGCTGGCCCTGTCACCAATATTGACTTCCTGAAAAGAATCACGAGGTCTCCTGACTTTGTTTCAGGAGCTGTGGAGACTGGATATATCGAAAAGCACCGCGCCGAACTGTTCCCACAAACAACCTACAGTGACGAGGTTTTGGCAGAAGCAGCTATCGCCTCCTATTTGAACAAAGTTGACACAAAAATATACCCCACGACAAGTTCATGGCAATCTGGAACCTCCCAGTCGTGGCTAACGACGTCGACCGACTTCCAACCTCGCTCCTTTCACTTCCAGTCATCCGACTTTGAGCCTGGCCCGGGCAAGACACCCACGATATATGATGTTGATGTCCATCAGACCGCCCCAGGAGTATTTTCTGTCTCCACCTCGAATACTTCGGCCCCAATCCAAGTGACATCAAGCTTGGACACTACCACAAATACCCTGACAACATACTTCCCCCACACCCGTCATACATCACGAGTCATTTTCTCTCCCAACGGTAGCCTCCACCTTTTCACACCTGCAGGCTCCTTCCGTCTACAGCCCGCATCTCCTGCTTGGCTTGCCAAAGCCCTTGGAGTTGTTGAGAAGCCGAATTCATTGCTTTCGCCCATGCCGGCCAAGATCTTACGTGTTTTGGTCAAACCAGGTGACACCGCCAAAAAGGACCAGCCGCTTCTTGTCATTGAGAGTATGAAGATGGAGACAGTGATCCGCAGTCCCGGTGAGGGTATGGTTGTCAAGCGTATCGTGCACGGCGAAGGTGAGGTCGTCGGAAGTGGTGTTGAACTGGTTGAGTTTGAAGACCCAGAAGGCGACAACACTGCGTCTTGAACAAAGAATTGCGTGACTTCAAAGCAAAGAGAACAGCAAGACATGAAATGCAGAGCGAAAGCACTCAAACATTACCAGCCTTGATCTTCAGCCCTCACTTCTACATCTCCAGCTATCTGGCAGCCTTTTCTCCCACAGGACTTTCTTCGAAGTCGTGATGCAGGAGGCGTGGACAAATAACTCTGTCTTAGATTGAAGTGGCATGGGGCAGCAGACGCTTAAACTCGGGCATTCCACCGTAGTTATGCTGTCCTCGCCGGACAACAGACTTGAACGGTACTTGAGTTGGCGAGATAGATTACAGTCCTTGGACATCTTGGACTGAGTTCACATTTGGGGGGCAGGTCAATGACATACCATCCACTTCAGCGATGCTATCTGGGCATCAAGATGTTTGTGGCGGACGAGTGAAAAAGATATCCACGAGCTGTGGACGAAGATATATGACCCAAGTCGATTTATCGACAAGATGTAGACTACCTGCATAGTGCAGTTATACAGTCATGTTGGAACAACTGATAAACAAGTCCTAGGCTAGAATTGCAAGATCGTATCGCCAGCCTGTGCAGTCACCCAGAGACCCAAGGCGATATCACGTGAACTTCAAAGGCAGTTTTCTCACCATCCAAGAGGCAATTTGCCACTCCTCTTTGTCAAGGCAATTTACGGACATTCCAAGCTGAAGTCATCTGAACCAATTACGAATCAGCATTGGTTAATATGACGAGTATGATATGATGATCATACGTATTAATAGTGAATCATTATTTAGCCCCCAATCCTCCACACAGCCTTGGTCGCCGTAAGTACCTTCATTGGGTAGTATGATGCTAGATATAGTCATCTGCCAGCAGCCAGCAGCCACGTGAGGAAATCCAAACAGTCGATATATTAGTTATTGTCACAAGGACGATCTTCCGCGAAAGTGGGATCAATATCTAAGAAAAAGGAAATAATCTTGTACGTGACCACAGTTGATACTTTTGGACAGCGGTGAGGATGTGGTGGTCGGTCAAGGTCAGCCCAGTCTGTGATCTTGACTCTTGTTGTGGCCATGGGACAATTCCTTCCATCCTTGCTTCCTTCTTGACTTCGCCCCCCCCTCAGGCCCGAATCGAACCGGCCCCCATCATTGGCAATAGCTCCGCAGTGAACTGCAGTGCTCGTTGACTGTGATGAAGTCTGCCTAAGGTAGACAGGCAGGCAGGCAGTTGGAATGTGTTCGAGGTTATGTGTCAGTCTTTCCCCACAAGGTTTGGTATGTCTGTGTATATAGATAATGCTGTCTCTGGGTGGCTGGCAGGTTTATTGCCATTGTCGAGGCTGGAATTGGCTCGACATGGTCCATTCATTCGTCGGTGCGGTGCGTGGCTGTTGGTGATGATGATACCAACATGATCTCTTCCGGCTATGAAGTATCATGTATGGTGCTGCATTGGTCTCAGAAGAAGCATCGATCGAACTTCAAAATGTGGATAGCACTGTGGTTGGTTTTGAGCACATAGTCGGCAGGCAGTAGTAGATCTACTGTCCTGTGCTTGGTCGACTTGGTCCGATGGGTTTGACCACACCGGTGGTATCGTAGTGGCCGCGGCCCTCGTCTCTAGGAGTTTCCATTTTTGGTAGTTTGTTGACTGAGAGTAGTATCTTTGATGTAGAATCAATCTTGAGGGTGGTTGTTAACCGGAAGCTTTTGTGGGAAATTTTGGTCTGGATTTGTATGGTGGTGGTATGAAAAGGGTTGATCCTGGAGAGCTGAAGATTTCGAGGGTTTATATAGGAGATCAAATGAAATGTGTTTGATATCAAACCGAAAGTCCTACCTCCTGGATTCGAACCACCAGATAAATAGTCCAAACGACCATGCAAATTGATAAAAACAAATCCGGGCACCAACAGTCATTTCCAACAGCCTACCAACGTCTGTGATCGGCCCAAGACTCAGCCTGGAGGCAACCAGGCTGCCAGGACGTTTGCACTGCGTCCTGCCTGGGTCTATGTGTCAGCCATCGAAAATGCGGTGACTGTTTGTTACGCTCAGAATGCATTGGGAGCGAGAAACGGCGCGCCCAACAGCCACGTTGACGTGGTTAACTAGGTTAGCCTATGGGCTCGGCAGCATTGCATGCATCATGGACCTGCAAGGCGACTACACGAGTCGGGAGGATGCCCATGCAGATCCCAAAAAAGAATTATGGGCGCAGGCCGAGTGTATTTGCTATCCCAACGCAGAGCCGCTCAACAAAAACATCACACAGGTCATGTTATTTGGTTTTCTTCTCCTGGAAATCATCATGAAATGATGTGGGAGTCTGTACCTACAAGTTCCTGCCAACTCACACGGAACTAGTATCGTCATTGATGAGCACTGTGGCTCATTTTAGAGAGTACACCGGGGTTGTCTGACATGAGAATAGCAATCCTTGTGGTGGGTGTGAAAAAGTCGGTGAGGGTGCTGACAGGCAAGTCGATTTCCCCAGGGTTTTCTATCCGGCCCTTGCAGATAGTCTAGACCAGAAAGATCCTAGGCCCCAATGCAAGAAGACCCGCTAGCTTTCACTGGCTTCTGGAACTTCTGTCCCAAGATTCTGGGACTTTGTGTGTGAAGCAAGTTCAAAATTCGGGAGAAAAAGGGTTTCCTTCAGATCTTCAGGCACAAGGCTCGAGTCTTAGATACGGAGCGTTACAGTTTATACTCTTGGTATGCTGATAAACTCTTTGTACTCCTGGTACTGCGACTAAGACCTAGTGTTTGAATGCATGATTGGAATGCTTTTTCCAGCAGAAATGCCACATGCTTCCGAGCGCAAAAGCGCAAGACCGGAAGAAGCGAGTATAACAATCGGGGATTCGGGACAAAATGGCAAAGTCAGGGGTAGATTTGCGGTCTGGCAACATGCTTGGTCGCACCAGATCATCCCCGGCTTCTAGTGTGGGTATCGAGACTTGGACTATGCGTAAGTAGAATGGTTTCCTGTCGCATGCTTAGAATCGAATTCGAATGTCACCAGATTCGATCACGACTGGAGAGGAACAACTCTTGACTGTTGTTGGGACCTCCTCCACGATCTGCGTGAGGATGGATTCTGGGAAACCTTGGTGTAGCCCTTATCGTCGTGATACTCACCGACATTCGTTCAAACTTGAGAGCAGATTGGTCGACCCAGAGACTTTACACTGCCCTCTCATTGGACTGTCCGTAATTTGTTTGAGGCGACGAAGCTTGCGACATCTACTCTTTTTAATTGGCAAAGCCAGAAGGTCCACCCTGCGGCGGTACACGGCCCGCAATGTGTGTGCCTCAAGCCTTTATCAATACAAGGCTCCCTATGGCGGTTATGTGATTTAGGTAGAGACCACAATGGTGACCTGGATGATGTTGTGTGTACCTTCATATGTGCTACTGTGACCCCAGCTGGAGCTAACCATCCCCTCCGCTTTCTACGTCCACACCGTGCATCTCGGCCGTCCTAGAATGTGGGATGGTTGTTTCGAACGTGCGCCATTATACTCTGCCATCCTTGATGGTCCACTCTATCAGACGGTCGTGCGTCATGATGGCTTGCGGCTTGTCACTGACTTTTGGGTGGATCCTGATGGAGAACACGAAAGATCGTACTCTTGAAGCGAGAGATCAAACTGCCTTTTACGACATCGTTCAATCTGATAAGTATGGACGAATCCTGAACATCCTTGCCCGCCCAATATCTGGGAAGCAGGCCAGCCATCGAGGTAACAATTGGCTAGAATATCGACAATGTTGTAATCCCGAAGCGTAGACATGGGATTCTCCGATCAGCAGTAGACATAGTCTCGTAGTCGGCCTCTTTCCACTTTTTGGATAATTGGGGAGAGAATACCTTTGCGAGTCATGGTGCATAACAGAATGATCGTATTCGAGATCGAACTGCTCCAGCAATTTGCCCATGCATGAAGAGGGGTCCACGCCCGAGCCGTTCAGCCGAATGGTGGCTTGCCTGTGAAGTTGGAGATGACTTGAGTTGACATGTTCGAGACGTCCCATTCTTTGGTTAGACAGCTGGGAGACGAACTCGGGCGTGTAGTCGTGAAGTCCACTAGCAACAAGTCTAGCCGAAGAGCAAGGTCAGACGCTCCCATTCCGTGGGTGCCATCGTGAATTGGGACCATTTGTGTGGGAACGACTCTTTTGAATGAGCAGGCACGAACTGAGCAGTTCGAATGTTGTACTTGTAGAACATTTGGAGCAGTCTGTCGGTACCTACCGTGGCGCCAAAGATATTTCTGGAGATGTTGCTCACGTCGGGCGGTTGGCTGTCTGTGTGCTGAGCCAGCCACTGGCCACATTAATGCCAATAAGTGTAAGCCACAAGGGGTTTCTCTTCCCATTTTGTGTGATGAGGTCAGATCTCAAAATTGGGTTATAAACAGGGCCACGTTAAAATGACCTGGCTTGAGATAAGAGCTTATGGTGTGATGATGTGATGAATCAATCTGACCATCATTGAAAAGGACTATTACTTTACCGTTTAGCATCAAGGCTCGAATGGTGGACCACTTGCACTGCATTGGATATTTGCTCGAGGTACGCGAAGTACATGAATTGGATTTGGTACATTTAGGTACCTACCTAATTTGAATAAGTTGATGTGGAGAAGGAGTGATCGTAACGATAATGATAATAAGGAACCAGGCAAGGCAGGTCCCCTCTTGCCCCCTGGAGCTGCTCAGCCTCACTCAGCCTGCGCTGCTTTTACAGCTTCGAAATCTACGAGGCTTCGAGCAGAGAATGAATAAAGCAGCGCTACTACTTCTCACCGCCTACACACTGGGAATACCAACTAATTCTGCCACTTTTGCTCTCCAAAATTCCTCGACATCAAACAACGAAATGTTGATACCAGACCATTCCACCACCGACTCTTCCCACCATCGAAATAGCCTTGTCACCACCAAAAAGGCTCTGTGAGGCGGTCGCGAATTTTAGTGCGCCATCATGCCGGCCTAATGCCGCGTCTCGCCCCTTCCATCCTCCTCTTCGCCGCCTCCCAGAATGTCCATCTTCCAGCCCTCCTCCGCGTCTGCCGTGACCTGCCCTCTGCCCGTAACGAGTTACGTTGGCTCACTGAACATGCTCGTCAGCTTGTTCGAGAAAATAGTCATGTCCAAACCAACCTATCTATTCGAAAGGTCCCTTCCGATGCACCCCCTCGTTCACTCCAGCTGAAGGACGTCCAATGCGCCCGGCGACCCCATCGCCTCCTCCAGCGTCGCACGCCGAGAAAGGCACCCGCTTTACCGCTTGCCAGGATAAAGAAGGTCTATAACAACAGCCCTAATATTACTGATCGTCCTGTCAAAACGAACCTGTCGATTAAAAAGGTCCCTTCCGATGTGCCTCTTCGGCTGACGTACGTCTACCCAGAAAATGGTCCTGTCGAAGCCAACCTGTCGATTCAAAAGGTCCCTTCCGATGCACCTCCTCAGCTGAAGTACATCCAAGCCGACTGGCGTACCCGTCGTCTCCTACGGCGTCGCACGCCGAGAAAGGTAGCCGCTTCGCCGCTTATGAGGATAAAAAAGAATGTCAAGGTGAAAATGATCCATGCCAACACACCTACTAGTCATGACAGTCCTGTCGAAACCAACCTGTCGATTAAAAAGATACCTTCCGAAGCACCTACTCGTTCACACCGGCTGAGGGCCCGCGGTGATGACCAGAACGTTCAAGCCGCACGGCGTCGATATCGCATCATCCGGAACATCACCTCCAGGAAAGTTCCGGCTCCGCCGGCTATCAAGATAAAGAAGATTCATGACAGCACACCTCCTATTCATTACGATCGGGCACTCGTCATCCGCAAACATAAAGTTCATGCTGATCCACCTCAACCCGTACTACGTCCACGGATTCCTTCCCCGCCACCCAAGGCTCAAGAAGGTGGTCCGTCCATTCATTATCATGAATCCCTCTCTGTTCGTAAACACGAAGGCACTTTCGAGGAGACCCTGCCAGAAGACAGCCTGGAGGTTCGCAATAGTTTTTTACCAGACGTTACTGCTCCTCGTTATCATACCGAACCGTCCTGGCTCTTGGAACTCCAAGAATCACCCTCTACTGAGGCAACTCCTCTTGTCGAGGAGCCAACATCCCTGGGTGACAGCCAAAAGCCGCAGCAGGAGGCTAAAAAGTTCTTCTTCACCGTCCGGCGCGAATCAGAGCCCTCCGAAACTGATGAATCATCTCACTCGGCATCCTTTACCCTTCGAACCTTCGTATCCGGTGCCGTGGAGAGAGGGGAGGAATGGTTTGAATCGCGAAGGCGACGCGTGTATGAGAGGGGGCTTGCCACCCTGCCCGAAACTGATAGATACTCGGGCGCCAGGCGTGTGGCGGTCCCTGACGAATCTTCCTTGCCGTACTCAACACATCCACAAAAAGAGAATGAAGATCTAAACACAGAGACCGAAGATCTGCGAGCGGAGAATGAAGATCTAAACACAGAGACTGAAGATCTACGAGCAGAGACTGAAGATCTAAACACAGAGACTGAAGATCTACGAGCAGAGGCCCAAAATCTACAACCAGAGATCGGGGAGCAGACTGCTGACTCTTTGGCTACACTTGTTGGTCCTCCGGGGACTTACTTGTCCCAGTGGTCCGAGGCTCGGACCCACGAAGCTATTGTGGACGAATCTGGCAACATTGACCTCGAAATTTACCGGGAGAAGCTGCTGGAATGGCAGTACAATTTCGTGAAAAAGACCAAAGAGATGATCCCAAGACGCGCTCGGCTAAAGCGCCTCACTCACCAGAATCGCAGGTCGCCACCCATGGCACCTAACAAACGCATGAATCTTAAACAGCAAGAAGAGCTCGAGCAGATGTTGGAGCGCCATTTCCTCGAAGAGAAATACTTGGAACTTGAAAAGGCACAACTCGCACGACTGGTCGCTGAAAGAGCTCGAGGCAAACCCCTACAGTATGTTATCGGCAACCAACCATTTGGCAATCTCGAAATTATCTGCCGCCCTGGTGTCCTTATCCCCCGGCCCGAGACCGAGACATACACCGAAGAGATTGGCCGGTTGCTACATTGGCTGGCTCGCAAACATGTGGATGGAAAGTTTTTGCTCAGACAGAGGCAGCTTCGGATATTAGATCTATGCACAGGGTCGGGCTGCATCGCGCTATATCTATACTCCATTCTCAAGCCGGCCCCAGGCATGCAACCACCATATCCACGCTTTTCGGGCGCCGATCTTAGCATTCGAATTCTGGGAATCGACATCTCCGAGCATGCTATCAAGCTTGCACGCGAAAACTTGAAACATAACATCTCCAAGGGCTTCCTTCACCCCGATGCAGAGAAAGAGATTGTTTTTATCCAGCAAGATATAATGAAGCTCGCATCAGGCGCAAAGAAGATTGAAGTCAATGAGGAAAAGAAGATCGCAATCAAACCGAAGATAAAAGTTGAGGAGGATTCCGAGTGGGATGTGGTGGTTTCCAACCCGCCCTATATCTCTGCACGCGGCTACTCCACGGACACAGAATCAAGTGTGCGCAAGTACGAGCCTATTCAAGCACTGGTGCCTTCTATAGAACCAGAGGGTACGCCACCAGATCCTCTCCGAACCAAGAGCTCCGGCGACCAGCTTTACATGCCCATTATTCGCATCGCAAGGGACTCCAAGGCCAAATTGATCGCCATGGAAGTCGGCGATACAGAGCAAGCGAGCAGAATTCTCGCGCGACTCAGACAGAAGCTTACACCTGTTAGAAGGCTCAACCAGAGAGAACTCAAAACACCCATCCCAACCATCGAAGCCTGGCGTGATGATGGATCGATTCGCAGGGTCTTCGAGCCTGTACCAAGGGAATTACCAATCCGCAGAGTCGTCGAACCAGTACCGAATCTAAGCCCAGGCTCGATGTCAAGACAACCCACCACCGACAGTATTGATCCGAACTTATCCATCTCTTCCGACACTGCTCCCGGCGACGAGCTTCATACAGCGATGTCCGACCGCATTGTCGTCGCATGGATCGATGAATGGGCCGAATGGCGTCGTCACCACGGACCCACGGATGGAAACCTTGATGTTGAATACGTGGACCCCGAACCCGAACCCGCACCAATTTCCCTTGGCCCCGGCAAGAAACGGCTTCAACGTGACCGCATGGCCGAAAGGAGAGCTCAATTGAAAATGAAAGCTCGCCAAACGGCAGAAGCCTCAGCTAGGGCAGACGGAGTGGAAGTCACCGAGGAGGAAATTCAAGCCCGCTTGGCGGTAATGGAAGCCGAAGCAGCGAAAAGGAAGAGACTCATTGAACTCAGAACTAGACGCAAGAAGAGGGCGGAAGCAATTAAAATGCAAGCCAGAGCCAGAGCGATGAGGGGGAAATCCAATCGCACAGAATTGGGCTCCCTCAAACGCTTCCAAGCATTCCTCGAGACTCACAAAAAAGAAGACAAGGAGCGTGCATTGCTCGCCAAAGCCGTCAGACCTAGAGACAAATCTTCCAAAAAGATTGTCAATGCCGTTCTGGCCGAAACTCGCAATTCTCCTCGGCGGGCCGCGGGGAAACGCCAAACTGCGTCTTCGAGTGCGCCGTCCGCGTCCAAAAAGCCTCCTCCTCCTCCTCAACAACAACAAAAGGATCAGCAGACACGGAGTCAGGGTCGGGGTCGGAATCCGGAAGACGTCATATCGAAATGGGTTTCATGAGCATCAAAATCACGCCACGTTTTTTAACTCTTACACGCGGCGAAGCAATTTTAGAAAGGGGTGAAGAGTGATCTCTCGCGAGATCTGTAACAATAGAATTAATGTAGGTACCTAGGTATTGGATGACCAGCCGGGCCCTTGCACTTGCAGTTTTGCCAAAGTGATATTGCATACCAGCCTCACCTCCACTTTTGTCTCCTGGTTGGATTCAGCTCCACAAATCCAGACACTCTCATGCATGCATGCGGACGAAACCCGCTCTTTAGAGAGCGAAATTCCTACAGCAGTCTATTCCTGCTTGGTACTAATGTTGAGGTTTCTTAGTTTCACCTACAGGATAGAACAGCCTATAGGCTACTGACAGCCTGCACCACGAGAAGGTGAACCCCCATCGCTGACCTAAGAGAGAATAGTGTGAAGCCAGTTCACACACTATCCTCTCTCCTTCATGAAATATCATCCAGAGTCTCTCTCTCTCTCGGACTTTTGTTCCCCATCGCTGTCAACCTCCTCAAAATAGACACGAACCGTCAAGGTCGTCATCAAAGTGGCGTATCGGGCCACACACGGACCACGACCTATACCCACAACACCTTCTTACTCCGGTAGTTCGTCCTCGGGGGAACTCTATCTAACTGCGCCATGTACTCCATCCTTCCAGTGTAACGATCTCTTGAAATTCGAATGTGTATCTTGATTCGTCTCGTTCGGTACACTGTAGACGGTGACTCGGAGGAAAGACTCGTATTGGTTGTAGGCTGTAGGCTGTGACTGTAGGAGAGGACTGTATCTGCTAGGGATACGTGGGTAGTTCTCGTAGCAGAGGAGCTGTAGAGAGAAAGATAAGCGAGGGGGACCTATGGGAGAGGACTTGCAATCAGGTAGGGTTCATCATTGTTGACTTTCGGGCTAAGGGTTGTAGAGAAGAGAGAATTCTCTGGTGGCAGATCTCTAGTCGTCTATAGGTGCGCCTGCGGCTTCACGCCGTCATAAATCATAGCTTTGCGTCGTGAAAAGTCATGAAAACTCCGGGGAATCCTGAAAAACTCGGTGGTGTATCGTGACGAAATCAATGCCAGTTGTGAGAGCTTAAAAGGACTTTGATTTGATAGTGTTCCTCAAGGATAAGGATAAGGATCGATTGCTGGTCGAGCAATCGGTCGCTCGCGGGGCTGAAAGCCGCAGTATCAAGCCTGATTTCAAACCATAAAGCCATCTCCTTTGCGGCCGTATACAGTATTCATGCGTTGAATGGCGTGAATTGAACGGTTTCGTAGGTCCTGCCGTACCTTGGCGCACAATACATGGACCTCTTCGGCTGTCCACCCAAGGTGGTTGGTCAGGGGCCTCAAAGTCCAATTCTCGAGGCCAGTCTCGGCGTGTGCTTTGGCCCAAAGACCCAGATCCTTCAACACTGGATCCTTCGGCCAGTCTCCCAGGGGCCACTTGAATTTGTGTTCTGTGACGCTTTGAAGCCCAGCATCGATCATGTATTGCTTCATGCCATCGAGGATTTGCATTTCTCTTCCCAGGACTTGGTGGCACTCAGGCCAGACGGAATTCCAAGCTGCGATGCCCCCGTCCTCCGGTATGGTATTGTCATCTGAGGTGAACTGCGGTGAATACTCGGATTGCTCAAGGTATCCCCCGGGCTTGAGAAATCGTAAGCATTGAGCATAAAGCCCTGGCCACGCCTCGACTGAGCCATGTAGACCTCGGATGTGGATGAAGTCGAATGAGTTCTCGGGGAACGTCCATTCGGCCTCCGCGTCGTCGATCTCGAAACGAACATTTGGGGGGACGAATGAAGGCTGAATAGGCGAGAGGTCTGTCCCCGTAACAATGGCTGTTGGGTGCTGGTCTGCAACGTCAGTGGCCCAGCTTCCAGTACCAGTTCCAAGGTCCAATATGTTTGTGGGATTTGGGGAAATCGGGGCAAGGTAAGGACGACCTCCAAGTGTCTTTGTGTAAAGGAAATGACCAACTGTAAGATGTTCGTTCGCTTCCTCGTCATTGGATCCCCAATACTTGCCATCCTTGTAGGCATGATATGTTCGGCCGTTTTCGATTGGGAAGGTTTGCACCGATGAGGGCAAAGAAGTCGTATAACTAAGATCATCATCGCTATAAGACGAATCATAGTCATCACCCGTGTGTACATCGGGCACAATGTTCGAAGGCTCTTCATTTGGTACCTCATTTGGTAGCTCATTAGATAGCTCATTAGATAGCTCATTAGATAGCTCATCTGGCGACGAGACCACACAAGCTGTCTTCGAAGGCTCTTCAGTCGGCAACTCAAGTGATCGCGAGAGTATACACAGTGCCCTCGTGTAAGTGAAAGACATAGGATAACGTAGGGAAAAGAGGAAGACATAGGTAATGATAGGGGAAATAGGAAGACATAGGAAGAGCAACATGGACGAGAAGCTGGGCCATTTTTATACGCATGACAAAAGGCGTGGACTTCCCTCAGAAGACTCACCATAATCCTAGAGGAATTGTTAGGCAGAGATTGACACAACCCCCCACGACCTTAGGCAAAGAGCTAAACAGTGGAGCTAAGCCGGGCAGGCTACGCATCACAAAGATCAACAAGGAGAGGAAGATACTTAGAGTCTATCGCGAAGTCAAGTGGCCACGTCAAGTGCCCTAGGCAAGGACGGTCTCGGAAGTTGCATAAGTGATTTTGAAGGTTGATGATGGAGGGTGCGACGGTGTTTCGAGGTAAAGTCATCATGACAGGGTCTGTTGTTCATGCCGTCAGGCTGCCGGCATTCTATGCATATGGTTGACTTCTGGAAGGGTTTGTTGAGTAGTTGAAAGATCTTCAGATGTCTCAAGTGGAGGTTGATATGATGACTGCAGTGAGTGCATGGCGTGAACTTTCCTCCATGACGTGCCTCCCGCGTGATGAGCTTGGCGCAAAAGGACCTAAAAGTGGGTCTTCCAGGATGAGAAGCGATAGGGCCTCAACAACACTCTTCAGTGTCTAGCTAGATAGGGCTGAGAGGTCTATATTTTATGCATTTTACAGAGTTCTCATTGATTACAATAGAGCAGCAGGATTGCGCAAGGTCCCAGTTTTATCCACTGTAGAACCTTTTGGAGTGTGTCGGAGCTAAGGAAGGAGCCCCTCCCTGCGAATAGAGAGCCTGCGGAACATCGATCGTTAAAGAGAAGGAAGGGGATCGGTGTGAAGCCACAGGCGTACCTTCCCTATTGTCGCAGCTATAGACTACAAGAAACCTCTATTCTCTCTCTCTCTGCAACTCTTAGGATCGACTGATACTGAATTGATGCCTAGAGCCGCCCAAATGTCTAGACCAATAGTATGCCCAGCCACCAGGCATTGGTGACAACATCACTGCATGGACCCCTAATAACATCGGACTTCCGCGCGACTCCGTGGTGTCACAATATCTCTTAGCTTCGAAATGAATTTGCGAGAATCTACGAAAAATAGAGTCACCTCGGGAATGGAAATTCTCGCTCCTCCTTTCCCAAGACGGTAGACCAACGCACGAAGGGAACCATTTGTTTTGAGCCTTGCCCCCCCTCGGACCTTAATCGAAGGTAAGTCTCTTGTTCAAAGACAAATCGCACAACATCAACGACTCGGGTCATGTGTGCCAAACACATGGAGGTAGTGCGGAAAAGTGCCTCATAATACCCAAGCTTTGAGAGAAATGTTGACGCATAACAGAGGTTTAATGGCTGCTGGTGAAGAGATTGTGGAGAAAGGAGAGATCTCTCGTGGTGGGAAGTCCTTGAGTATTTGTAGGGGTCCGAGGGCCCGCTGCGCTTGTGGTGTCACAGCACCCTAAATAGCCTCAGTTGCCTGCGGAGTAGTCTCAGTGTAGAAGCTTTCCATTAGTTCAAAAGTATCCTTTTCAGTGGAGAGGAGGTGGCAGGGAGGACACCCGGACATGTCGTCCGTGATGAGGTGGCTATGCCGTAATCTTTCCAAGTCAATATTGTAGTGTGTTGTTTCCGTCTGTTAGTTCATAAAACAATGAGGCAAACATACAACAAAACCCATATAAATTCAGTCGGCCCCTCGCCTTCTGACATGACCTTATATGCAACCTCAGCGGCCGGGGAAAGTCCCAACTGAATTTCCAACCATTACTGTTTTCGATGAATCATGTCCAATCTTTGGGGCTCTCTCATGAGTCTTGATGACTGGTAACAACCACCGCGACAAGTTGAAGAACGTGGAACTTGCCCATTTCAATGCTTGCAATCCAATCTGGATGATGTCATCCATATTGACCTTGAAAACCATTGAGGGACTCAATGCTCATCAATAGACAGGAAATCTGTGATGCAATGTGCAGCAATGTGCGTCTTCAGTCGTACCGAAATCCATTCGGGGCGATAGACTTCGCTAGGCCAATGAACTGATGATCCTGTTGCCTTGCCCGCTGGACTCGACTCGACTCGACTATCCTGAGAGGGCTCAGAAGAGGGCAGGCAATGGGATAATGTGTGCCCATTTGATCACACGGGTGAATCGATAAAGGTCTGGCGTCTCTTGATGACTATCAACACCACCGACGCCTGGGTGTTGGTTGTGCAGCCTGCGGTTGAGAAAAGGTACGCGTACAAGGGTCTGAAGCAGGAGCGACCTTGAATCTTGATTCCAGCTTACGCGTTCTTGCCTCGTTCTAGATGACTTGATGGATTGAGGCAGGCACAACCTTACAGACTCAGGTGTGACTGGCACCTTCCAAGTTTCAAGGCCATGCATTGCGCCAAGAGATGCCAACGTCGACATCGTGTGATTCGATAAAATGATCTCGTTCGATTTCTCCTCCTCGGCATCGGTGCAGAAATCATCTGGGCATCTACGTGCTTTCAGTGCGTCCTCTCTGAGAATCCACATACGTCTGTGAATTATTCCGCTGTTACCAGTCTAAGGACAGGGTGCAACTTCCGAAGACCGATCAGTTGGCTATCCTCCGGGGATCAGCAACAATTATTAGTCTTCCCCAAATCCCCTCGGCACAACGTACTGACGGCTTCAGCCGCATCCGTGTTACCAAAAGTGCTGCAGTCATTCAAAAGGCGAGGAAATTGTCTTTCTACACACCGCTGGCAGCGACAGTTGTCAGTATCATGGTGTGATGAATGATTCTCGAATGAAGGGACTCGGCCACTTTCCCGCCACCGAAGACCCTCAGAAATTCGTAAGCCCTCCCTGTCCCCCTATCATATCACTCAGCAACTCCTTTCGATCATCGGGCTACTAGCTAACTGGCTTCTCTCCACTTATTTAGGTCCCATACCTTCTCGAGGCCATTGCCTGGATTCAGAAGACCCGTCAGTCGTGAGACAAGGACATGTCTCTTGAGGGAGAATGAGGGTTGGCAGAAATGATGTATACGGCATTTATTGACGATACAAACGGTTTAATCTGACCCACGTGCCCTAACTGGAAATGAAGATCGACATCTACCTACTTTGGGTACGGGCATAAACAGGAAGAGTGACAAATTTGGTTTCAAAAAACGATTATTTACTGTTTGATGTGCACAAGAATGCCTACTATGGTAAGTTTTGAAAGGGGTCTATGAAGCGTGCACGGTAGCAACAGAGACATGGATTATGAAACTCCTTTTTGTCCATCTCCCATTTCCCATTTTCGGATGCTAGGTACTTTTTGTAACACGATACGATCCGACGATAGATCGTAGGAACAAATGTGTATATCGTATGCGTATGCTTATGCGTATGCTATGCTATTGATGTGTATACATGCACACATGTCAAAAAAATACATGGTTGGCCGAAGAAATGAAAGATGGCAGACCACGAGTTGAGTACTGTCCGATCCTCGACACGTTAGACCGGCCCTCAGAGTCATACCAGGAACGACGCTGAGGGTCTTCCTCCCTCAAAACTGGGCTTTTCCGTGCCTTTTTTAGGGTTTGTTGGCCCTCACTGCGAAAAGGAAAACCTCTTCGCGTCCTCCACACTCTCCTCCCCTCTCCTCCTTTCACGTCACTGGACATTTCCATCTCCATCTCCAGCGCTACTCTTCCACCGACAGCTTAGTAGTTTAAGTCGCCATGCACGTGCCGTGGCAACGACTTGAATGGTCGCACGATGTATCTGCTGTTGAGAGCACAGCAGACACGAGCTTATGTCCATCTCGTGCACGGAAAGCTGCCTCCTTCCGCCACTGGTTTCTCTTTCACGTCCTCTCCAATCGCGTCTTGCACAATTGGTCTTTTTAACGTCTCACATTCAAGGGATGACATCCAAGATCCCTTAGTTTCTTGCGGATCGCACCACTCTCATTTTGGCGGGGGGCTCAGCGGGGCCGCCTGAGGGGTTGGTCACGGCGCCGTTGAATCCAAGTAAGGTGTTCCAGGTGTCGGCAGTGCTCTTGTCTCGGGTACCCAGAGCCAGGATCTGAGCTTGAGCACTCTTGCAAAGGTCCTTGGCGGCCTGGTTGGCGTTGCAAACATTGGTGAGCTGATCGCAGATTCGGTTGGTGATGATGTCTAAAGTCGGTTAGTTTACTTGTTCACTTCCATGGGATTGATCACATACTAGGGTTCAAAGCTTCCTGTTGACCCTGAGCGACCAGGGGGTCAATTGGTAGGAAGGTGAATTCGGTGGCCGGTCGACCTCCCAAACCACCTTCAAACTTCATGGTTGGCACACAAAGACCAAAGTCGACACCAGCGGCTCCGTTTCCGGCTCCAGCTCCAGCTCCAGCGGTTGCGGTTGCAGTGGCAGCAGCACCAGCAGCTTTTTCTCATGTCAGTGACTAGTCGTTTTCAAAAATGGGTTGAGTTGCATACTTATGGTAACAGTTACTGCCTCGCAGGCAGTTGCAGCAGGGGGATCCACGACAGCCACCGAGGTGGCGGCGCCAGCTCCAGCTCCAGCGTTTCCACCTGCAACAGGTTGAACAGTGGCGCCGCTAGAGGACTGGGAAATGAAGTTGGTGAATCCGCTATCAATCAGCAGGTCGGCAACGCTCTTGCCGGCAGCATTGAGCGGGTTGGCTTTGGTTTGAGCCGACAGGGCATTGACAGCAGCGGCACCATCGAAGTCAGGGTCGATCAGAGGGGTAATTCCTCGAAGCAACGGGTTGGCAGGAAGAGCAGGATCGCTGCAAATGGTAGGTACTGTCTGAGCGAAGGGGTTGACGTTCTTCTCTGCGGCAACGATGCCAATGGCAGCGGCAACAGCATCAGCTCCGGTTCCTAGCTCGGCAAGGATTTGGTCTCCACGTGCAAGCTTGTCGCAGGCATTGGTGCCAGCAAGAAGATCGCTGACGGCCGCACCAGCAATGGTTTGGGCGGCTCCACTGACACCTCCCTGGACGGCAGCGATGGCGGGGATGGGGACTTGTTCTTGGCCGAAGCGAGCTTGCGCGACGGCAATAAGCAGAGCAAGAGCAGCTGTTCGAGAATACATGTTGGATGTTGTTGGGATGTTGAATGCACGAGAAAGTTGAAGTAAAGACCGAAATTGCGAGTTGGACAGAAGTTGAAGAGAAAGAGAGACTAGCTCGCGAAAGAAACAGGAATGAGAGACCGACCCGCGGTAGGATGGCTATGAAAATGCAGATTGAGGATGGGAGAGGAGATGGTAAGAATGGGAAGCGTCAAGTCTTCTTATATCTTCGATCCATCATATTCGGCAGCTACCCGTTTGCTGGGTCGCTTTGCCGCTCCGCATAATTAGAGCCATCAGATATTTTGCTCAACAGATTTAGCCGAGATGCGATTAACATCTGGAGGCGAGTCTGTCGAAGACTAGTCGACACAGTCCTGCCAATGCTCCGCATAGATAGTTAGGAAAGTGGCCAGGGTTGTAGAGGACGAAGTCGACAAGTGGCGTCATAAAATGGCCTCAATGCGGATTCTGGTGTCCCAAGATAGTGAATGACTAGGGACCACGACAAAATCAACTGAGGACAGATGTGACGGCGAACTGAAATGTATCATCAGATTGTAGCTGCTTGATGCATCCAACGTCTGACGTTAGTTTCACGTGGTGTGCTAGGGCCTGAAAAGAAATCTTGGGCCCCTGATCCATGGTCGAAACATCTCGGATCAGCTTCGGAGGAGAAGTTAGCCGACCCCACATAAATCGTGGAACAGGCTGAATACAGCAAAGTCGCTCGACTCAGGAAGAGTTTTCGCTTGGGAGCGTTGTTGCCGGTTTCCACGAGGGGCCAGCGCTAGAGAGACCAACCAGCAAATATTGGGGCGTATCAAGATGAAGCAGGCTGTTTTCCCCACTGGAGGTCATTGCATGATGGTTTCTCGGGTGGCATGAATCATGAAATTTGCACTACTCTGTATGTGGTTTATGCGTAGAAGGTCAGCGAATGAACATGGGCACCTCAAACCTTTGGAGTCCCAATATTGTAGTGCAAGAACAAGTAAAAGGTGCATGAATAGGCGAAAATGCCGAACGGAGGCAAGTTCAAGATTGCCCAAGTCCAGGGGAGAACCAAACCACGGCTTTTAGGCATTTCGAATCTTGTGTGTTTCGAGGAGAGTGACTCAATTTCAGACGAGATATGTGAGATGAAAGTTCAACAATGAGAGGCACAAAGGATGAAAAGTGATCGACCATGCAGCCACGGGTTCTCAGACCTGGTGGCCACTGGTCAACCAGGTGGAAGGCCTTGAAGGGAGCTGGAAAGGAGCAGCCTGTGGCATCCTACTGGGACAGTAAAGGCTACGAAGAGAGACAAATCCCTGCTATTAGTTTTGCGGATGTTGAAATAAGATACGTTGTTTGTCGTCTGTACAGAGGAAGGCGCCATGGTGCCCAAACATGTAAACTTCTGGTGGTAAGAGCCCAAAACTGGAAGGAACGAGTTACAAAGGCCTGTAAATGTCACGTGAACTTGAGCCATTCAGAACGGTAGATTATTCAATCGTTAATTGCACTTTCACTATGACTCAACGGTGCATCATAGTACCACCAAATGCAATGACGAAGGCGCGTCAGCGGACTTTGAGTTGTCAATTTCGACTGAGACTTTGGCCAGAGTGTCTGTGCTTTGTGATGGCCCCATGTCTTTTCGTTCCTTTTAATGGCAGACGACAGATCCCTTTCTTCGCAGATATGCGATTGACTCTCCAACCTTTTCTTTGAATGACATACTCGATTTTGCCAAAATGACGGACTGGAGCAAGTTGACCGTTGTCAACCTCAAGGAAGAATGCAAAGCCCGCGACATTCCTCTTACCGGGTTGAAACTCAAGCAGCACTACATTGACAGACTGCAGGAATATGAGGCGGCAGAAAACAATGGCGGCGACACTGACGCTGGAGTTGAGGAGGCTCAAGTTGAAGAAGGTGACAAAACTTCCCAACAAGCCAATGGGCACACGACCGACGACCAGATTCCAACGACCGAAACCAATACCCAAGAGCCAGACCCTTCTGTCTTGGAGAATTCTGCGGACCCTGGCGCATCGGTAGTTGAGGAAGTACAGCCTGCGCAGCCCGAAGAAGACACCACCGACCAACGAGACATTAAACCTAGTGAAAGCGACTCAAGTGATGCGCAAGGGAAGACAACACCCATACCCAAGCCAGAAGACCCAAGAAGTGGCCAGACTTCTCCTGAGGCCGAGTTGCAACCACAAACCCACGAGCAAACTATTCCAACATTACCTCCGGACGAAAAGCAGACCGAACCATCACCCGAGCCGACCCCTACCGAGCCTACTGTCGCAGTTACAGCAGAGGAGTTGGAAAATAAATCAGAGAGCGCAGAGTCATCGGAGGTTCAGCCAATTGAGCCAAAAGGTGAACCGGCAGATGACAATCAGCAGCCGCAGACAATTTCGGATGACCCTACAGTGCCTTCTCTGCCAAACGAGCCCAGTGGAGTATCCGACGACCAAAAAAACCGACGAAAACGCAGTCATAGCCCTGTCCCAAGCTCTGAAGAAGTCACGCGCAAGAGATTCAGGTTGAGCGACGTTCAAGAAAATGCGAAGATCGAAACAGATTCTGAAGGCGCCAGCAATCGTGGGCCTCAAACAAAATTACCACATGACGGCGAAGGGGCGGCAGCCTCTGCGAGCGTGGATAAATCATCAGAGCCTCCTCAAAGACAAGACTCTCCATCTCAGGAACGAGACGTAACCCCTGCCATCCATCCAGCAACATGCTCCCTCTACATCCGGAATTTCAAACGACCACTCCATGTTCCCACACTTCGTGCGCACATAGCCAAGCTAGCCCAATCTCGATCCGACACTTCAGACGCCGACCCTATCACCAAATACTTTGTCGACCTCATTCGAACCCATGCATTCATCTCATTCACATCCATCGCCGCCGCATCGCGGGTCAGAACAGCGATGCACGAAACACGGTTCCCTGATGAACCGATGCGCGAACCCCTATTCGTGGACTTCGTTCCTGACGACAAAATCGAATCCTGGATCGAAGAGGAAACCGGATCAAGCAATTTCGGAGGCCGTACACCCAACCGTCGCTTCGAAGTCATCTACGAAAACGGTCCCGACGGAGTTGAAGCCATCTTCGAAGAAGTCGGTTCCCGAGGTCCACCCCACTCATCCATCCCCTCTCGCCCATCCGCCGACTACGGAAGAAAAGATTCTTTATCCCATTCCACACATCCAGACCGCGAAATACGTCCCCCGCGCGAAGACCGTCGCTCGGAAGATCACGGTCGTCCAGCAGCACCACCTGCCCCGCCAACCGGACCAAGAAAATCAATCGGCATCGGCTTCAAAGCTCTCGACGACCTCTTCCCCTCCACTACCGCCAAACCGAAACTGTACTATAAACCAGTATCTGAAGAAATAGCCCAGGCAAGAAGAGAATTACTCCTGGACCTGAAAGATATGGGTCGAAGTGGAGAAGCGGATATGAAACGATATAGTTTGGAACGGACTAGTAATGGAAGAGAAGATTGGGTGGATAAGGGGCCGGAATTTGGACGTGGTAAGAAAGGTCAGGATCGATTGACGGGATATAGAGGCGGACGGTTTGGAGGGGGAGGTGGAGGGGGATACCGTGGTCGGGGTGGTGATTCTTGGAGAGGCGGTGGGAGATGAAGTGCAGGAAAAAGAAGAGAGTGATTTGGACGGAGAGGAATGATGGCTGCTATGTCCTGTACGAATACAAGATTTAAAAAGCTCTTTGCTTTGAGTGGGTGGACATGTATGATTATGATAGCTTGAGCAGATAACTTGAACAACGGCCGATCTTGAGGTGAGAGGTACAAAAAGGGGAAGTTATATTACCCTCTTTGCCCTCTTGATTCTGAAAGGTACTAAGATGCTTATTTTTCAGTGAAACGTGTATGCTATTGATGAAAACGATCTGGGTAGGTATGTTTATTCGTATCTCATCCATACAAAGTACTAGGTATCTAATAGATAACTATGTCCCCACGCATATCAATCACACTTGTTCATCATATCCAATCATCCACTCATCTACTCGTTTTGTTTCCAATATCCAATATCCATATACTAATATGCATATATAGACATGTACATCGTCCACCCAGCCCATCTATAGATATAGACCGAACGAACCCCTCAATCATCACCAATCATCCCCCCACCCATCCTCCTTATTCTTATTCTTCAGCGGCGGATTCGCCTGAACATGATTCATCTTCTTCATCGCACTTGTACCAATACTGCTGCTCGGTTTTGACGCCGATGACGATTCATCAGGCACACCGAAACTGTCCCAGAAATCCTTTTTCTCTGGCTCAACCTTGGTACGGCGTGCGGCCGATTTGGCCGCTTGTTCGTCTTGACCTTCGACGAAGCGGTTGAATTGATCCGCGGCTCCTTTGGCTCCGGTTTGGATTCCTTGTCCTGCGGCGAGAGCGGCATTTCGTGCTTGGGCAGCGAAGTCGGTGGATGCGATCTATATGAATCCATTGGGTTTAGTGTTATGGGATCTTATGAGACTAGGTCCAGACTGCCTGAAGGGCTGAAAAAGGACCTGCAGGTACTGGGGAAAAACCCCCAAGGTACAAGGGGAACTTACATTTTTCGCCGTCGGCTGGATATACGAATCATTCACAGCCTTTGCCTGTTTGCTGACGGTTGCAGAAAACCAACCGAATCCTTTCGTCAAGGCGCCGATAGGGTTCTGAGAGAATTCGTCTGCCGTTGGCAATCCACCACTTCCCTGTGAGGGCTCTGGCGGTGCACTGCCAAACCCAGCATATTTACCACCTTGACTAGGAGGGAGATTGTCCGGTCTGCTGGCGTTGGCCTCTCCCATACGCGAGAAGTATGCCTCATTCTGAGACTTTTGCTCCGCAGTGATTCTCCCTCCTTTTGCTCCCGGGGGCGCAGGACTCTGCGTCCTGCTTCCATTGCCCATCGCCGAGGTCGATCTAGGTCCGATGGCGTTTCTCCCTGTTCCGCTGGGTGTGGCGCTTCTTGATCCTGAGGTTCCTTGAGTTTGTGCTGCTGCCTTTTCTGCTATTCTCTTCTTGGTTTCTTCCCTCTCCTTTTCAAATGCTGCTTGGTCAAATTCACGGTCCTCGACTTTGGCTGAGAGTCTCTCTTTCCACTCCTCGCCGATGTCGCCGTCGTATCGCTCCTTGATAGTCGCCTCGTCAAAGGGGATAGCTGCGTGTGAGTTGTAGAAATCCTGCCATGCTCGGTTGCCTCCGTATTGCATTCGTAGGATCTCGGCTTGTTTGAACGCGTCCATGCTGATGGACCGTACGAAGGACACGTGCACACCTAGTCCGCGGTGCACGCCGGCGCATTGTAGGCAGATAAAGGTGGAGAATTTGGGGGATGCCTGTGGAGGATTAGAGGGTTTAGTGGTTAGTCAGATGTATGAGAGGACAAGATTCTGGAGGGTGAATGTGATAGGAGGGGATTGACGACTCGAAAGGTCATGTTGACAGGAGACAAGGAATATAGGAACTCACCCATTGCGGTGAAGGTGCGCCGCAGTCACAGCATTTGTCGTTACCTGCGCCCTCCTTTTTACCCAACTGTGCCAACTACATCGAACAACAAATATGTTAGTACATGATTCTTTGTCTGGACAAGGAGGGGTAGCGGTGGGTGTTTGGGTTTCTTCTCTTACCTTAGTACGAGTCTCGGGGTCGACCTCCCACATCGCCTTGGAGGCCATGATGGTGGCGGTGGGTGGTGTGGAGGGAGGTAGAGAGGAGTCGAGGAGGATGGGAGGAGGAGGAAGAGTGGTGAGGGTGTCGAGTAAATATAAGGATATCGTGTAAGAATACTAAAAGGGCACAAGGGTGAATGTTGGTGGAGATTAATCGCCCTCCAATGGTGACCCCTGTAGCGTCTTCTCCAGACAGATTGTGTGATAGCGCGTCAGTGTGAAAGAGAGGACCGTTCTTGTGAAAGTAATACTTGACAGAAAACCATGAAATGTACAAGAGAGATAAAAAAGGGACGGGGGCTAGAAGCAGAGATCCAAAGTGTCAGGTTCTCGACTCCAGGTGGACACAACAAAGAAGAAAATAAGCCTTTGAGGCCCCGAGCGATTAAACCTCCACCAACGATGGAATACGGAGTATGGATGCCATGTCGATCTTTGGCTTTGGTTGTAGATCATACGGATACACATGATTTGCATCTGACTTGTCAATATGATATAGAATTATTTCATTCTTAGAGTTTCTTGATGATAATGTTAATACAATTGGTGACAACCTAGGTCCTTGTTGTACATGTCCTCCATCACTTGATTACGACAACCACCCATCCTCACCATCATCTCAACTCACATACTCTCACCCCTCAACTCAGTAATCAACATCTTCTCCCTCTGCCCACAGACCTTTTCGAATCGATCCACATTCATCACAAATGTGCCACGACCGCCTGTCATGCTCCGAAGGTGTTTGAGATAGCCCACCATCTCCTTCAAAGGTACCCTGGCCTTGACTGTTCTCTGGGGGTTGACTTGAGTTTGTTGCCCTGCTCCCGACGATCCGGATTCAAAGGGATCTTTGGGTGCATAGATCTTGCTGACATCGATGACCTTTCGTCCCGTGTCAGAGCTTGCCTCATGTTCTTCATTGTCTCCGAGCGAAAGGATCTGTCCCCCTCGACTGGAAGAAATGTCCTGGATGATGGCTCCCATACTCGACTCATCCACACTAATGTCAACATTCATAACCGGCTCCATCAGGAAACTAGGTGTGTCTTTCGTGGCCTCCCTGAAGGCAGCAATGGTTGCAAGCCGTGCTGCCGATGTTAGCGATGCATAGGTTGTCTCGCCGCCAAAGAGATGCGCTTCTGGCCGCAGCGTTACTGTCACTTTGGTATTTCGAACTGGAAATGAATACGACGGACCTCGACTCAATGCTGCAAGAACACCGTTGACGTATGCCGTTTGGATTTCCGGAAGGGTCAGATTGGTGGGAAGACTGGCATTGTCCGCGTCAAGTGGTCGGCCTCGCTTGTCCAGTGAAGGTGCTTCCACCACAATCAAGTTGCCATCTTGCTCATGTGTCATGCGAGACTCCATCTCCGAATCGACTTCAGGGGCACTAGACCACGGTTCAACCACAACCTCACAGCCTCCTCGTCCCTTGGCTCCTGCGCGATCCCCTTCCAACATTTTGGTCACACTTTTCGATGCGTGAGGGAGTGATTCTCGATATCCAATAGCAATCTTGCCCATCCGCGCCTTAGCTTTCATATCGTGCACCAATCTGTCATATGCAATCTCAAGATGTAGCTCTCCCATCCCACTGATCAATGTCTGCCCAGTGTCTTCATCTTGGCTCACTTGCAGACTGGGATCTTCTCGAAGCAGGAGCGCCAACTTTTCGTGCATCTCTTTCTCTTCCCTCAAGCTATTTGGCTCCAACGCTGCGAAAAAGACTGGAGGTGGCACGTGGATTGGTCGGAGCTGTAGCTGGTTCAACGGCGCTGGAGGAGTGGCTTTGTTCCCAGCATACGAAATCAATGTGTCTCCTGTTCGAGCAAACTTGGACCCTGCGATGACTCCAATTTCGCCCGCTTTTAATGACTGGACTGGTAATGCTTCTGATGCATACATTCGGTACAAGATCGTCGCTCGTTCCGAGTTTTGCAAGTTTGTGTTGTACAGCAGTGCGTTCCGGTCGATCGATCCAGAGTAAACCCGGATATAAACTAGTACACCTTTTCGTGCGTCGTTGACCACCTTGAACGCTAGAGCACAACCCTCCAAAGCGTTCCCAATTGCCATCAAGGACGACTGTGATTGCCGCTTCTTTGTGTTGCCAGCTTCCTCCATCGCAAGCTCACCTTTTATCAACTGCGACAGTCCTCCTCGAGCTGCCCCCAAGCTCACTTCGGGGTCCGGTCTCTCTTTAGGGCTAGGCAGAAGATTGTTCACCGCGTCCAACAAAGGCTGAACTCCGATATTGCGGAAACTGGCTCCTGCGAACACCGGAATGATGGTGCTCTCGTTCGAAAGTAAGTTTCTCCGTAGACTGTCCAGAATCTGGGCCGGAGTGATTGCCAGGTGGTCTTCTTCCATTTCGAAGAAAGCCTCGACCAGCTCTTCATCATGCTCACTAAGAAGCTCGACGAGAGCTGCTCGTGCTCGTTTCAGCTCTGCCCCCATCTCGGGATACTCCTTGTCCAACCTCGAAAGTGGAACTCGTTCGATTTTTTTTCCGTCTCCGCCATGCGGATACAGGAGACCTTCCAGGTTGATGACATCACAGATACCTGTGAAGCGACCCTTTCCTCCTTCGAACCATGGAATCTGACACAGTGCAGGCCACCCAGCGAGACGAGAGCCAATTTCCCGGACAGTTCGACCAAAAGCCGCGCCATCCCGGTCTAGCTTGTTGACGAATGCGATTCGAGGGATTTTCCAATCACCCGCCTGAGTCCACACTTGTTCAGTCTGCGCTTCTACACCGGCCACCCCATCGAGGATACAGACGGCACCGTCTAGAATCCTGAGTGATCTCCGGACCTCAAAAGTAAAGTCGGCATGGCCCGGTGTGTCGATGAGGTTGACATTGTGAGAGAACCGAGACCGGGGCTGCCTGTGGTGATCAGTATCACCACTATGCGAAGCACAGGCGTCAACAGGCGGCCATTCAAAGGTGATCGCTGCTGATTGAATCGTAATCCCACGGGCTCTCTCCGCTGGCAAGAAATCTGTGACAGTTGAACCTTCGTCAACATCACCTATGCGGCGAGTATGACCACTATAGTAGAGCATACGCTCTGTCGTGGTCGTCTTCCCAGCATCGATGTGAGCGATAATTCCGATGTTCCTTGTTCGGTGGTCATGGTGATCGTGGGTAACTGATTGAGAGTTATTCCTCAGCGTGGTGCATATTGAGAAGCTCCTCTTCGGTAGAGGAGAAGATCGGCGACAAAAGGTTCGAGAAAAGTGAATAAAATTCAGAGTGGAGTGTCTGGCCCAGCCATAGATCATTACCATTCCCAGAAATGTTTGGTTGATACCCAAACTCCGCTAAGACGATTTCGTGAACCAGAAAGATCTAGCTTGAAAGAACTCGCATGCAAAGAAACAATGAGCGACAGGTAATAAGAGTTGAACATAAGATCTCGTGATAAGAAATGTCGAATTTGTCGTCGGACGACATGGCGAGATGCCAAGAAATTGTACAGAGAATCATTACATCTTTGAGTACAGATATATACGGTGGAATTTAGGTTCTCAGCGGGTATGGTTTGCCAAGCCAGAATCCAACGTCCGCGCGGAGCATCAACAGGTAACATCGCTACTCCGCTTGCTTGCGAATGTCGATCCACTGACATCTACTCACTGTGCATGACATTTGAGTGAGGTTGCTGTTCTGTCACTCGAATTTACGAACCAGCTGCAACTGGTCGCCATCCTCGGACAAGCTTGTCTGTCTCAAGTCGCAGCCTCCCTCAATCGACATAGTAGAAGCAGTTATGTCCCACTTGCTCTACTGAGACCAACGTCTATCTAAGCAGGCAGAACTTGAGTGCCTACACCCCACAGACACCTGTAATGGATTATTCAACGGTTTCCAGCGACACCGACGCGCTGCACGGCCAATCACCATGGGGTTCATCCTCTCCACGAGCCGACAGATCCTTTGCCAGTCCCGCCGATTCTCCCGCCCCCATTCGAGGACACTCGTATTCCCAGTCCGGAGACAGTAGTCCGGAAACCTCTTTTCCGGCCAATGCTAGCGAAATTAGCGACTCGACGACTCTAGTCGGTCCGGCTGTCACCCAGCCAAATCCTTACCAACAAGCCCCCCCTCAGCAGGCACCAGTACCTGCGCAAGAAGCCCAAACTTCGACCCAGGGGCAACAGTATTCAGGTGGACAACAGCCACGCCCTCAAGCTGCTAGATATCACAGTACCAAGCCACAAAGACCTGTGCCCCAATACAAATTACAAGCCAAGGTGACGGCCCTGGAAAGACAGGGCCGGAAGGACCCAATCATACGATTTGATGTCCATGTAAGTTGCAACATATCGCATCTCTTCATGCTCTCAGACTAATCTTTCTCCAGACGAATCTTCCCAAGTTTCGAACCACGCAGTTTCGCGACGTCCGACGGACACATGCTGAATTCCTTAAATTGGCCGACCATCTTATCTCCTCGAACCCGGAAGCATTAGTGCCATCTGTGCCCCCTGCGTTGACATCCGCGGGCGCAGGGACAGACGAGGATGAAGTCCGGGTCAAGAATTCGATACAACGATGGTTGAATGTGGTTTGCAGTAATGATGTGCTTATGCGCGATGAGGAGATGATCTTCTTCGTTGAAAGCGATTTCGGGTATTCACCTGTGGTGAGAATGAAACAACCAGCAACTGGAGTACGGAGGAAGGTCTTGAAACAGTTTGCACCTCCCCCGGATGATACCCCCGAACTTCACGAGGCACGCCCTGTTGTGAAGCTCTTCTACCTTGGTGCCCTCGATACAGGACAGAAACTAGAACGAGTAGTCAAGGCACGACGAGGTATGTCACATTTCACCTCCTTTTTCCATTCATCTCTGACCATCTCCTCTAGCTCTTGGCCTTGCAGAGTCTTCTCTCGGAGAGAAGCTCGGCCAAATGCACGTCCAGGAAACCCACCCTGGCCTCTCCACCGCCTATCGCAAATTAGGCCGTATCATTCAAACCACCGGAGACTACCATGCCGCCCAAGGAACCGCCGAAGCCACTGCTCTAGGCGACTCTCTCTCCTATCATTCTTCAGACGCCTTCATCGTCAAAGAAACCCTTACCAACCGACACATCCTTCTTCGTGAACTTCTCCAAGCCGAGGCCAGTCGAAAATCCAAGGAATCTGCGGTCCACCGTCTCAAGTCCAGCTCAAGCGTCAAACGTGAGAAAGTCGATGAGGCCATTTCCGCACTAGATGAAGCCTCAAGCCAAGAAAACTACCTGCGCTCCAAGACTCAACGCGTGACCGCGAATCTCCTCCTCGAGAAACGACGCTGGTTCGATCGTACCAGCAATGAATTTACCATGTCACTCCGGGACTATGTCCTACGACAAATCGAATTCGAACGGCGAACTCTCGCCACTCTCGAGTCGGTCAGACCGGACATTCGAGCCATTGACGCCAGTGGGGGACTTTCCCGACTTGGAAGGGAGAGTCACCCTGCGGTACGCCGTGTCAGCCTCGCCAGCAGTCAAGGTGCCAAGGGCGACGCCTGGTCTGGCGTGGCACGATCGCGCGAAGCCTTGACGCGGTCTATGAGTGGTAGCTTTGGGCCGGGCATTATCGCCGAGGGAAATGAAGATGGTGTTAATGCTGGCAACGGCGAAGGCGCGGGTGCCGGTCAAGGTGCAGCTGGTGCAGGACGCCCAAGAAGTGGAACTGGCGCTAGTCTGAGCAGCGTCAAAGAGAATGAAGATGATGATCGCGTCGATGCTAGAAACGCCGCAAGTCGATTGGCTCAAAGCACATTCTGAAAGGAAAGAGATCCATGATTGGAAATTAGAGATTTGGTTGTCTGAAGATCGAGGAGGACGAAGGGTTGGAGCTGTTGAGGCGAGTGTTCCAAGCCATATTATCTTAATCGCCAATATCTCACCTCCAACGGCCACAACACAAGTACCTGACTTTGTTTGGTACAACCACTGCATCTATAACACAGGAATGGTGATTTGAAGGAAGTCGCTTTAATTGATTCTGATCAGGCGAGTGGGTGGGTGAATTGTTGACGATGCGAAGCATTCATAGAAAGACCGAGAGAGATTCTGGAATCACAATTGCACATTGAAACAAAACAAAGCAAAGCACAGAAAAGCAAATCATAGCGTCAAGCGTGTCTTTCATTCCTGTTGTTCAGGTTGTTCCTGTCATTCCTGTCGTTCCTCGTCATGTCTCATGTCATGTCATGTCATGACCCTCGGGTTCTGTTTTCCCTTTGGTCTCTGGGCCTTTTTCCCTGGCCATTTCTGGTGTTGTAATCGTACATGCGGCCTCTGGTGTCCTGATGATGTACACGCCGCCTCTCCCATGACCACGACCACGCTCACGCCCACGCCCACGCTCACTCCCACGGCTCCAGCCATGCACTCCGTCCGATGGATAGAGAGAGAGATGCTCGGACTCAGTCCGCCGAGGCCAAATTAGCCACGACGTGTAAAGTCTCTGCAAATCTCCGGGTCCATGGACCGGAGCACACCCTGGACCGTCTCAGGGTAATCTTCCAAGCCAGGCTCCTTCATGGAGACCTGACTAGCGCCCGCACCGACGCCCGCACCACCAGCACCACCAGCACCACCCTCTCCCAACAACGACCGGGTCACGGCAGCCGGGCGCCAATCCCGCTGTGCTCCCAACACCTGTCCCTGTGGTTGCCTATTGGCGACCACTGGGCCAGGTGTCATTGGCACGGGTTGACGCTGGCGCTCCCGGTCTTCCTCAACGCGCCCCTGGCGCCCACCTGTGACAGCACTCTGGCGTGCTGCCATCGCACCGGCGGCCGCATCCCTCCGCAACCTGGCGGCTTCTGCCTCCAGGTTTCTCCCCGCCAAAGCAGGGGCATTGGGATATAGCCTTACAGGGACTTGTGCATCCTTGCCCGTATCCCAGTGGGCGTAACCGCAGGAAACACCCTTTTTACAGGTGCCTGAGGTCCGCCAAAAGTGACAGGTCAAGTGTTTGACACTGCCCTTACCGGTGGCTACTTCTGGCGTAGCTTGCCCTCGGTTGCTGTTGTTGTTGCCACCCAGTGCAGTGACCTGCGACTGGGGGCGGAGAAGAGAAGAAGAAGAAGAAGAAGAAGAAGAAGAAGAAGAGGGACCGGGCCGAGTGGCCGGCATGGAAGAAAGGGCACGAGGCCCGAGGGGTGCTCCGCGAGGTGGTCCCTCGCGCATTGCACGAGGGCCACTAGGTGCTCCAACAGGGGCGGAGGACCCTGCTGAAGCCACCTCGCGTGCGGGAGGGGCGGAAGCGGAAGAGGAGACGAAGGATCGGGGAACGTTCGACATTTTGTTGGCTGAATTCAAGAGACCTTGTGTTAGTTAACAGGAGATGAGTGATATTGGAGGCAATAGACTTACTCGAACGAGGGAGAAGGACAAGAGAGCGTTGTGCTTGCTGTTGGAGTCCTGTGAGCGGCGTTGTTAGCGGAAATATCCCTATTTATATCCGAGAGACCAAGAGATGGAGATGGAGGACCTCTTGATGAAGCCCTCATCAAGAGATCCTCACCAGGTGTTGCTGAGGGTGGGCAACGGATGAGATGGTCTTGGTGAGGCCTTTGTCATGAAGGTATCTCCAGGTTATATAGAGCAAGGGGAATTTGGGAGGAGGACTCACGTTGCTATGTAGCTTTGTTTGAGCCAAACAATTGTTTGATAGCAAAGTTGTTGCTGTTGTTGTTGTTGCTGGTGTTTTTGTTGTTTTCTGGTGATTTGTGGGTTTGATTTGTGAAAAAGAGAGATTGAAATAGGTTGAGGCTCTTCTAGCAGCGAGTTTTCTTGTCCAGAGATCAGATCGGTTGGCAGTAACTGCCAGGTCGTCACTGTGACTGCTAGCGCCATTTTCGTAACTGTTCTGAGCCTTCTAGCGCCATTTTCGTGACAATTTTGAGCCTTCTGAGTAGTGACCGAAGGCGGTGTGGCACAAACGTCGACCAGAATTTCTGAAATCATAAGGATTCCCATGGTTCCCTGTTTCTGACTCCCCTGGGAGAGTCACTTTGTCACCGTCACTATGAGGACCTATCCTCTTGTTTGTGTTGCTCCCTCCACCGAGCAATCCTCTCCCGCCAGTCCCCACCAAAGTCGTCTTCCCTCGCAGCGCCATCATCAGGCAGTACGAACCAGGATGCCTTTTCTGCAAGGAAGATATGGTCTTTGATGGGTGGAAGCGGAGGGTCGGCAGCCGTAATGGTGCCCAAAGTGACACCTATCTTGCCTCCACCAAAGGCATATTTCATGGACATAGCCGAGCCACAGACCTTACAGAACCCGCGTTCTGCAATGTCGCTAATCGACCACATATCGGGCTGTTGGGACCATTTGAGGTCTGAAGCCTTAAGACCCGCAAACCCCAGGAATGGACCGCCCGAGATCTTCTGGCATGTTTTGCAATGGCACGCAGTCATGCTATGAGGACTAGTGGAGGCCTCATATTTGATACGCCCACAGGCGCAGCCTCCTTGGATCATATTGATGCTATTAAAGTGGGATTGGATGAATTTTGACGGTGGGTGGGTGAGGTAGAAGGGGTGAGGTTGAAGCAAGGTTACTACGGAATACACGATCCACGAGCAAAACGCTAGTGACGTGGGATCTCCGAATGTGGAAAGTTAGGGTGCCAAGGCACTACTAAATGCAGCCCGCTACATAAGGGTTGACAACCAATGATGGGCAAGATCTGGGCAGGGCCTACTTTTAGTGCAGGGTCTCGGTTTGCGGCAAGCACTCTCTCAATTTCTCCGGATGCGCGTCTACCCTCCTTCCCTCAAAATCGTAAGGCAGAAATTGAGGCGCCTTGAAAATTGCATGTTTGTCCATGCATCATAACTTCTGCATTTGCAGGCATTTGTCTCCTAACCCCCTTTTGTCTACTAGATGCGCTTTTTGTCCCTAACATCGTTTTGTCGACTCGATAAGCTGGAAAATGACAGCAAAACTAATGATTCCCTCATTCAGTTCAATTACCTCGTTCCCAGCTCATCCTACTCTTCCTCTACAGTTTGAGCATGGCTCTTGATCAGTCCGAGACGCCGCGCTTCGCTGTCCACTGCATCTGACAACTCTTCCTGAATGGATCTCTTGCTAGGAGACCACCCCAGCAATCTTTTCCCTCGAATCGATACTCCCTGCGAATCAGTCCCTGTCGCATATTGCCAAAACGACTTTTCAGCCTCATTTCCACCATAGCTTTCCAGCTCATCGCTAGGGAGGAGCTTCTTCTTGTAAGCAATTTTTGCAATGGCCTGCAACACCTCACCCCATACAAAAGACCCATTCTCTGCCAGATAATATCCCTGGTCGTTCCAGGTGGCTGGAGGTCCTCCGTTCGCCGCTGCCTCCCCCAGCAGAAGGTAGAGGTTGCTCAAATCATGCACATGAATGTAGTGCCACACATTCTCCCCCTTGCCAATCTTGAACGCTTTCTGGTGCTTCAGGAATCCCTCTGCCGCTCCATAAATTTGGACCGATCGTTGATTGTCAGGGCCTCGACCAGGACCATAGATGGTGGGAGGACACACAATAGCGGTCTTGACCTTGTTAGATCCAGCAGCTAATACTATCTTGTCGACATTGCGGTGGGCGGCATGGTCTGGTTGAGAGGTCAACTCAGCAACATTGTCCCAGTCATTGTACACTTTGTCGTGGCGGTTCCCCCACTCGGCCTTGCTGATTGTTTCATGAGCAAGTATCATGGTTCCAGAAGTATGGATCCAGAATCCAGAGCCAGGACGGTCGCGGCGACCAAGTCCCTTTGCGATGGCGACTGCCGAGGCCTCATGGTCACAATTGGCAAAGTGATAAATAATGTCATTGTTTGCTGCCGTGTCCTCAATCACATCGACAGCATCGAGATCTCCATATACCAGTCTCACCTTGGGGTACACTGCCACTACTTTGGCCCCTTTGTCGCTGTTCCTCACTAGGGCAGTGATTTCCCACTCAGGTTTCTTCTCTGAGACGAGATGCAAGAAGTCGCCACCGATGTAGCCTGTAACTCCTGTTCTGTTTTCAGGTTAAACCCAATCAACGTGTTGGATCAGCTTCTGCACTCACATGAAGACTTTGGGGGGCATTTTGGATCACCGAACTGTGCAGGAGGAGTGTGGTATACGTCTGGAGGTGATGAAAGTGAAGCGAGTGGAAGGGAGATGTAATCAATACCTTTAACTCATGTTGACTGCCTGGTGACGTTACTTGTCTACGTCATGGCAGGCAGCGACGAGGTTGAGTAGCCCACATTGCACACCATTCGTTTCAAGGGTAATTGAAACTCCCTGGATATTATGTGACATTGTCCAGTACAGGGATCAAAGCAGCACCTACAAGTAACATCATTTTTCGCAGTCACCTACCTTTGATCGAATATTGTATGGGTGTAGGGAAGTGCCCGTGAGAAACATCCACGCCGGCAATGCGACTTGGAGTTAAGCAATTAGGCGATGTGATACCCCGCAGCTTAAAACTCCCGGGCAGCCCATCCCCCGTCTACCAGGCCTAGTGTCGCTTTTCTTTCACGGGTGGGGGCTTTCTGAAGAACATGGAAGTGATACAGTGATGAGTCATGCTGCACATGGTGATTCACTGCTGCGCCGGATAGATCAGATCACGTGTCACAAGTCTTCCAAATGCGGCACTGACTGCCTTGAATATGTTGATGAATGAATCTTCAAGGTGAACAATCACCTCTAACATCTTGTCCTTTTCCACCCTCCCCTTCTTTACGGCGAGTCCGACCCTTCAGTATCCCCCGGCCGGATCTCCCAAACTTATTACGAGTTACCAGCTGCTCCTAGTGATCAGCGATCCCAATCTCCCGTGTCTCATGTCGCATTGCTTTCCATGAAACACAACTCTCAAATCCACCACAGCCTCGTTGAGGTCGCGCAACCCTCTTCATCCGAGTGATGCCCCCCTACGCAGGAAGAAAGAGAAGCAGACCAGATCGCACCTACTCAGATGAACATCAAAACACCCGCCCCTCACCTCACCGTCCGGAAAATCTCAACCTTGCCCAACACGCCCACGATCCCTCGGGTCATGACCGTGATTACCAGGGTCGCGGAGGTCGAGGTTCTAGAAGGTCAAGTCGAGGAGGTCGCGGAGGAGCTCTCCCATTCAATCCTTTGAGCAGTTCTGGCGAGACTCCCCAGTCAACCACACCCTCCAATAATCCAACTCCTAGTGCCAACGACAGCATGGGCCCGACCTCGATCGCACCGCCGACATCTGATCCTCCCAAAATCAGACTCACAGCCCCCCCTCCTCCATCGCAACCGCTCAGCCATGTCTACATTACTGAAGATGTCCTTCAATCCTGGGATCAAGGGGGGAGCCAAAAGGTCCTCGGGCATGCGCAAGAGGGATTACAAGATGAGGATGGCCCAATATTGACTGCAGTCATGCACGAACTGGTCCAAGTCGTCATCTATGGCAAACTTGAACCATCCCTTGCTGGAGACTTAGTCAAAGCATTCTTTGATAGCGAGCCTAGCCAGGATACCTCGTCCGACAAGATCACCCCAACTACCGCCGAAGCTGCATTACTCGACACAATTTCGGTCTTCTTCGAAGCCAACCCTTCCCTCCCCGTTGATCGCCTCACTCTATTCCTCCAAGCCAGCGGAATTTCTTCCGAGTTGCTCCGGCTCGAACTTGACGCGGCCTTGTTGGAAAAGCTGGAGTTGATCCGAAATACCTTCAGCCGTGTTCTCATCCGAAAGCAGACAAATTTCCTGTACCGCCAAGCAAATTTCAACTTGATGCGGGAGGAGTCTGAAGGCTTCGCTAAGCTCATTACCGAGTTGTTCACCACCAGTAATAATGAGGCTCCTACAGGAGAGGTAGTGGAAGATACTGTCGAAAAAGTCAAGGCCATGATCGGCGCGTTCGATCTAGACGTTGGACGAAGCCTTGACGTCGTTCTCGATGTCTTTGGTTCTGTCCTTGTCAAGCAGTTCCGATTCTTTGTCAAGTTCCTGCGTGCCAGTCCATGGTGGCCACGACAGTCTGCTTCCGCAAAAAAACTAGGTGCAAACGCCGGAATCCCTCGGTGGGCTCTTCCTGGCTCTCCTGACTGGCACCTGACCGACGAACAAAGACAACTTGTTGCGCTTGAAACCCTTGAACGGGACGTGGCATTTTGGCCCATGGCCAAGGAGCAAGGACTCAAGGCCTTCTACCTTCTTGGGAGAGCTCCCGTTTCTCAGGAACAACTCGATCGAGCTGCAGAAGCCCCTGCTGATGATCTCCAAGCCGCCTGGATCCGAGAGACAGGCACCACTCCACCGTTTGGAAATTGTGATGCAGCTCAACTGCTCGGTTTCAAGTTGCGTTTCTACTCGACCTCAGCTGCTCGAGACGATTCCGACATCTTGCCCGAAAACCTTATCTACTTGTCCGCCCTACTGATTAAGATTGGTTTCATCTCGCTCAAGGATCTCTATCCCCATATCTGGAAACCAGACGATGCCATGGAAGAACTCAAGCAACAAAAGATGAAAGAGAAAGCCGAGCGTGAAGCCGCCGCCAAACCTGGCGCTGGGATGAAGAACGCTCTAGCCATGGCCGGTGCACTTGTTGATGATACTGCTGCGCCGATTCCTTCGCGTCTTAGAGAGACGACCACAAGACCCAGCACACCGGCAAAGGAGACCGAAAGTGATGCAGCCAATGCCAAAAACAACAACGAGCCAGCAGATCAGAAGGTTTTACTTCTGAAAAGCCTGCTCGCAATCGGCGCTCTACCAGAAGCTCTCTTCATCCTGGGCCGATTTCCATGGCTCATCGACCTCTACCCCGAGCTTCCTGAATACATCTACCGCATCCTCCACCACTGTCTCAGCAAAGTCTATGGAGATGTTCGACCTTTGCAAGAGCGCTCAACCTTAAGGAATGCCGCTCCCCTCTACGAAACAGATGTCCCAGGCCTCCAGAAAGGACAAGTCAGAGTCCAAGACGCCACAGAGAGAAAAACACTGCGATGGCCAATGCTGGATAAGAGCGATTGCGCCGATGGGGTTGATTACCGATTCTATTGGGATGAATGGAATGACAATGTACCGGTTTGTCAATCGGTAGATGACATTTTTACTCTATGCGACACGTTACTCTCTTTAGTCGATGTCAAAATTGGGCAAGATTCTGGTCTACTCCTCAAGCTGGCAAGAATCGGCAAGCATAGTCTTGTTACTGATCGCAGCGAATCAAATCGAGCTCGCTGGCTGGACTTGAGCAAACGAATCTTGTTACCCGCTTTGAGCCTGACAAAATCCAATGCAGGTGCTGTGAACGAGGTGTTCGAGCTCATCAGCAATTTCCCTGTCAGCGTGCGCTACCAACTTTACCTCGAATGGTCAAGTGGACGAACATCACGCAAACCAGACGTCAAGGCCGCATTTGATCTCGCCAAAGCCGAAACGAGGGACATTCTCAAGCGTATTTCCAATACAAACGTTAGGCCCATGGCGCGAGCTCTGGCCAAGGTTGCCTTTGCCAACCCTCATGTTGTCGTCACCACTGCCCTTCCGCAGATTGAAGTGTATGACAGTATTTCTGAGGTTTTTGTTGAAGGTGCACGATACTTTACGGATCTTGGCTACGACGTTCTTACGTGGGCTGTAGTCAGCTCAATGGCGAGGACTGGTCGACAACGCATTCAAGAAGGAGGCATGTTTACCAGCAAGTGGCTCATTGCTCTCTCACAATTTGCCGGCAAAATATACAAGCGGTATGGCATGATGAGACCGGGTCCGGTACTACAATATGTTGTTGAGCAACTCGACAAAGGCAACACCGCTGATCTCAAGATGCTGGAGCAAGTCGTGGCATCCATGGGCGGCATCACCACTGACACGAGTTACAACGACGCTCAATTGCAGGCCATGGGTGGTGGGCCACTTCTTCAATCTCAAACTATTCTCCAAGTCCTGGATCAACGACATGAATCCAAAAAGACGTCAGAGAGGCTCATGAAGTCGTTGCACGATACTGGACTGGCGGCCAAGATCTTGATATCCATGGCGCAACAGAGTCAAGATTGCGTCTTCAACGACAGCACTGCGCCTCTTAAAGCAATCGGCAACACATATGATGAAGTACAGCGCGTGATGGAACAATATATGGATCTTCTTCGCCACAATCTATCTCCAGAGGAATTCCGCAACACCATCCCGGATGTAACCAGTTTGCTTCTTGATTATGAGATTCGTCCGGAGGTTGCTTTCTGGATCAGTCGGAATGTCCTGGCCCAACAGATGATTGAATATGACAAGGCCACCCGAGAACAACTCGCCGAAGAGAGCGGCGAATCAAATGCTCTGAATCAAGACCTTGGAAATATGAATGGAGGCAGCTCAGAGGAAGATGGAGAGGCTGAAGATTCCGAAAACGGTGAAACACCACTCAACGTCAGTACACCCGACGCCGGCATGGATCTCGACATTCCACCCAAAACTCCAACAGCTGAGCAAGACCACGTCGACTGTTGGCACCCAGTAATGAAGAACGTCATGTCCACTGTGCAGCGCCATCTCCCTGAACAAGTATCTGATATTATCGGTACAGGCTTCTATTCAACATTCTGGCAATTATCTCTGTATGATATCATTATTCCTGGCAAGTCATACGAAGATGAGATCTCTCGGCAGAAAAAGAAGATTGCAGCAATTTCAGCCGACCGGACCGATGTCAGCGTTGCAGGAACACGAAAGAAAGAACAAGCCAAGAAGGAGCTTCAGGAGCTGATGGATAAGTTGCTGGCTGAGAACAGACAACACCTCAAGGCTTCCGCGGAGAGCAAAGCCAGGCTGGCGCGGGAGAAGGAGCAATGGTTCGTGGGCAAGGCTCGACTCAACGAAGAGCTCAACATGGCTTTGATGGAACACTGCTTCTTGCCCAGACTCCTCTCCTCGCCGCTGGACGCATACTTCAGCTTCAAGTTTCTGAAATATCTACAGTCTGCTGGAACACCAAACTTTCGAACCCTCGGCTTCATCGATGTATTCTTCAGACCAGCACGACTAAACTCCTTGATCTTCACATGCACCTCTAAGGAATCCGACAACCTAGGAAGATTTCTCAATGAACTACTCAAAGACTTAAGCAGGTGGCATAACTCGAAGCAGACGTATGAGCGAGAAGCATGGGGCGTTAAGAAAAACTTGCCGGGTTTCGCCTTGAAGGTGGAAAGTGGGAAAGTGGTCACCTTGCTCGAGTACCAAAAGTTCCGCAACATCCTTTTCAAGTGGCACTCGAGCCTCTTCAATGCTCTGGTCAGATGCCTCACATCTCCAGAGTACATGCACGTTCGAAATGCGATATCTGTCCTACGGGCTGTTGCGGGATTTTATCCCTCGGTCAACACTCACGGGGTTGGGTTACAGAAAGCTGTGGACAAGTTAGGGGAGTCAGACAAGGAAGATCTGAAAGTGTCATCCCAAGCCCTTCTCGGTGCCTTGCACAAGCGTGAGAAAGTATGGATATCACCCGTCATGTTTCGAGAAGGTCAAGAGAAGGTCACGGCACCTGAGCAAAAGCCGACTCAAGAGAGAGCCAAAGCAGTCGAGCGTGCGACGTCAACTCCCAAGCTCGCTACAGGGACAGAGCCGACAGGCGAGGTCAAAGACACGATCATGGTCGACAGCGCACCCAAGGCTAGGCCAAGTATCGAGAAGAATGAAACTGAGGAACGGAAAGCAACCAAGCCTGAGGCGACTTCGGAACGTTCCAATCCTGTGACGAAGCCGGCCACATCCAACGGTGCTTCTACCCCTTCTAGACAGACTGTGGAAACCTCTAGCAGTCGAGATTCACGCCAGACGCGTCAAGACCTCCCCAAGCCACACAACCTTCCAAGACGAGTTTCGCCATCTCATGCGCCTCCAGAGCGACCCCCTTCTCATTTACCCAATCGGCCAGAGGTACCAGAAAGTCGAAATGGTCATCGAGAACCACTTCGACAATCCGTTAGAGCTGGCGCTGATCTGGCTAGATCAGGGTCGGACCCGAGACAGGATCTCCGACCAGACAGTAGAGGTTATCCTCCGCGGGATCTCAGACCTGGATATCGTGGTTTGGAACCCCCGCCATACGAAGACTACGAACGGCCTTCCAGGAGATATGAGCGACAAGATGGTCCTCCGCATGGACTTCGAGACGACCGAGGGTATCCACGAGATAGAGATCACGACAGATTGGCGGCAGCTCAGGATCGAAGTCGACCAGCAGGGCGAGACCGACCTGCTCTTCGCCCACCCCCGGACCGAACTGAAAGAGAACCAAGAGAATCAGGCCCTCGTTCACGTCCACCTCTAGGTGAAGAGCCTAGTGTTGCAGATATCACTTCGCAGAAGCCGACTTCACAACGGAGAGAATCGCCTGGGAGATCTGCCAATGTATCCATCAATCCCGAGCGCGCTTCTCAAATCGAAGGGCCCGGGGACCAACGTCCAAGTGGACCTCTTCGCAATCAACGTGAAGAGGGAAGTGCACGATCATCGCGACCATCCTCACCACGAAGAGACGAGGAGAGAAGACAAGGAAGGCGCAATAATGACGAACGACCTGTTGAACGCCGAAGTGAGGCGCCGGGCCGGACTGCTGGACCTCACCCAAGCATGTCTGCTGATCAATCACCTCTGAATCCGGGCCCTCGGGGTGGCGGTCGCGACCATGCTCGTGACGCTCGTGAACCTCGAGAACCAAGATTTCCTAGACAACCTCCAGTCGACATGCAGCATGGGAGACTAGAGCAGGAGCCACCCCATCGCGGGTCCGGAACTCCCAACACAGAGCGACCCCAGTCAATTGACGTACCTTCAGGGCCTCGTACCCGGCCACCACCGCCTGTCAATGTAGCGAAAGCACGTTTGCCAGCAGTTGACACTCAGAGTTCATCGTCACCACCTCAACATGATCGGCCGACACCAACAGGTCCTTCTTCAAGGAGACATGGTCGAAATGGGTCATACAATGACGCCGCCAGCACACCTAGTACACCTGACACATCAGGGGTTCATCCGGCTCGTCTCATGCAAATTGACCAGAGTAATGAAGGGCCCAGACAACATCAGACTTCAGGATTGCCACCTCCAAATCATGCGCCCGCTGGCCCACGAGGCCATCCGCCTGCTGGAGCACCTTCCGGACCATCTCCAACCTCGCGCGGACCTCCTCCGAGTCTTCCGGTTGTGGAGAGTGGTGCAGGGCGGGGAAGCCGAGGCGGGCGAACTGCGTTGTCAGCTGTCAATAACACGCTGGCGCAGGCGGGATCTGGTTCGTCCAGTCGAGGACGTGGTAGTGGAGTGCGTCAGAACAGCGGGTCTTTTGGAGCACCGATGCAACCTCCGCCCCCTCCCCCTCCTGGAGGACCGCCGTCGAATGGCTATGGAGCGCAGCAAGACCTGTTTGCAGGGTCGAATCCCAATGAGATGCCCCTTGGATCTCGACAGACGCCGTCACGGCATGGAAGCGAACGCGAACGTGAGCGACGTTCAGATTACAGTGATGATCGAGGGTCGGAGAGAAGATCGTCTCGCCACTCTAGTCGACATGATGAGAGTCGAGGAGAGCGAGAGCACGGCGGAAGGGGAGATGGACGGGAAGGAAAAGAGGATCGACATGGAGAGAGAATGTCACGACGAGACGAGGGAATGGGCCATGGACCTGGATACATGGGACGGCAAGAAGGTGATGACCGGCGTGGCGGGAGTGGAAGTGGAAGTGGAGGCGGCTATTCGCGATCTGGCCCTCCGAACGGAAGGGAAGAGCATGCATCGAGAAAACATGGACGAAGTGATGAAGCAGGACCATATGGGTCAGGTGGGCCAGGAGAACGGGGAGGTGAGAGGCCTGGAGACCGACCTGGTCGAGGAGGCGCTCGGGTTGCGAGTGAGAACAAGCGACCGAGAAGAGGGCCTTGATTGCCATTGCATAAGGAACGAGGAAGTCTTTCTTCAATGAATGTCTTGATAGATTGCATGGGCGAGTGAGCATCTGGGCAACGGATGAGAGAAGAGTGGAGAGACCTCTATTTTATTCAGAGGAAATGTCAACAAAAGAATGTTCAGCAAGATCTTCACGATAGGTGAGCCGTGGACGTCTTGCGGCATACTGTACAATTGATATCTGAGAGTCATTCGCATACCAGTGTAAGAACACACAGTGATTGAAGTGATCCACGCTGTCAATCTCATGAGTACACCTAGTTGTTGAGACATTGTGTAGGATATACGGAGTAGTAGTAGGTAGTGAAGGCTTGACGTTGAGAGATGCCTTATGCCTTGGCCATCTGTATATGCTTCGTAGGCTGAGTGGAGGGGAGGCGGGGGCTCAATAAGGCGCCTCGGGCTAGGAAAGCTTAGGATGTATCCCTCTGGGCCAGAGGAATAGGCTTCTCGTGCTTATAGTTTCTTGAACTTTCAGCGCTCCCAGCGGCCGCTCGGCCCCGTTCCAGGTAAAGAACCCCCCCCATCAAGGCCCCCTCGGCCCTGCATTTGTCTCGTCTCCTCTCTATCCACTCCCCACGTGTGATTTGATCTGACTTCAACAATGTGTGTGGACTGCAGACTCCAATCAACATCTTCTGTCACCACTTGGATTTCATTCATGCTACAATCACACTCGTTCTTCTCTCACCATTCTACGTCTATTAGTAGTCGCCTTCGACTCTATCCTCGTGTACTATCCGCATCTCAACATCCCTGATTGCTTTGTTCACGCTAACAATAACGTCTACTTAGGTCGGCTTAGCCTTCATGGCACCTCATCTGCCAACCACGTTATCTCCACTCCTACTCTACCCTATCACACGGTTCCTGGCTCCGTGCGTTCTGCCAGGGCATGCCCAACATCCTGGCCAATCAATACCTGTCATGTCTACCAGGCACTTCAGTTGGTGCAACAGAGTCAAGACCGACTACGAGGACGCGGCACAGCATAGCGACTAGAAACTTGGACTCAGCCTGATTGCACAATCATGTTAACCTCACCGTCTCTTTTCTCTTGTGGCTGATTCTGACAGCCATATCATGGACCGATTCAAACGTCGCTTCAACAATAAACAGAACAATGGCGAGCACGACGGTCAAGGACCCCACCACAACCCTTCGCCCAACCCCAGGTCCAAACGACTCAGCAAGATTCATATGCCTGGAGTCGTCCTATCATCAGCGGCAAGCTCATCTTCTCAAATATCATCAGCTGTGAGCACAATTCCCGCAGTTTCAGCCAAAAACCAGCACAAAATGAGACCATTAAGTGACACCTCAGCCGTATCCACTGTATCTACAGGTGACCAATCTTCGTATCCAATGCATGCTTCGGGAGTCGATCCGCGAATTCAAGAATCCATGACTCTGCTTCGCCAGGCTCTTGCAAAAGGTACCTTGCCCCTCGAAGAAGAGATTCGAGCTCGAGAGTCCATGGCAGGCTTGTCACAGATGATCTTCGAATCAATACCTGACCCCAACCGTCTGAACGATGCCTTGCAGAATTACCAAGCAATTATTCGCCTGCTGCCAACGCCTTCTGCACGACGTGCCAAGTATCTCGACAATCTAGCTTATGTCGAGATGTCAATCTACGGTGTCACAAAGTCTCTCAAAACCCTTGATGATTCTATCGCACACTCCAAGCAGGCTAGAGATGAAGCTCTACCGACCAATGATCCACTCTTACCCACCATATACCATAACCTTGGCTTCAGCGTCTCACATCGCGCTCTTACAACCAACAGCGATGAGGATATGGAAGAGGCCATCAAGGCCGGTCGAGAGGTTATCCGCTTGGCTTCCCCGTCCAGTGACAAGTATCAGATATCAATGGTCAATCTGGCCAGTCGCCTCCAAACAAGATACAAACTTCACCATCGACAGCAAGATCTCGAGGAAGCAATGAGACTTCTCGACATGCAGCTTCAACACTTCCCTCCTCACTCCCATCAACATGGTGCCGCATTGTTGGTCAAGTCTCGAATCTTCTTCGACCGTCACGATCAATCCAATGACATCAAAGACATCGACGAGGCTATCTCATATGGCAGACTAGGATTGGCCACCGTTCCACCCGGCCACGAACGTCAAGGAGAGATTCTTCTCTTGCTAGGCACCCTTTACAAACGACGTTACAAGCATACTGGTGCCACATCAGACCTCGAGGATGCTGTTGCCTTCTTCAGAAAACGGCTCAAAACTATTCCAACAAACTTTCCAACCTGGCCAGGCGCAGTGGCCGAGTTCCTAGACACCTGTGCAGATTACACTATCGCCTTGTCTGATCCAGATCTCCTGCTGGCAATCACTCAGTTCAGCCAGACCTATCTAGACCAGATCCCCAAAAATCATAGCGCTCGATTTGCTTGCAATCGCTCCTTGGCAGCAATGTTGTCCCAAAAATACATCTTGTCCAAAGATGTCTCTTCTTTGCTCGATCTCCTTCAACACGTCTTGAATAGCAGCCACGAACTCAACGAGCAAGCTGATATCACGCAACAAAGGATTGATACAGAAACGATGAGTGACTTCATCCAGGATGTCAGGAAGATAGCAGCAGCTCCACTGGACAAACCCGTCAGATCTCAAGCACTCGACCAATTACACCAGTTTCAGTCCTCTCAACATCAGAATAAACAATTCATGGTCATCGCAACAGGCCGACACACCACCATCATCAAAGTCTTTGTATCGAACCTTGGTTCCCCGCAACCACTCCATCATTCGCAGGTCGAGGCTGGCGTAACTGCTATCGAACAACGTCACGAACGAGAAGTGGCCGAATCAGCAAAGCGTGCAGATCGTATGAACAGCATAACTCAGGACGATCACATAGATCCTTCTTTTGGCCACAGAAACCTCGCTTTGAACCCCAACACCGGCAGAGTCATCGTGGACATGGAGACTTTGGTGAGAGAAATGCTTGGATGGAGTGTGGCCGAACCTGATCCAACATCTTGGGCCGAATTCGAGGCCAGGGAAGCTCGACTCGAACGAGAGAGCTTCAACAAGGAACGACAGGGAGGCAGGCATCCAAATCCCAGTCTCTGCCGCATGTGTCGAATCAACAAACCCCTTGTGCCCCTTGACGGAGGGGGGTGGACTTGGAACCAAAAGATGTGGATCCCCTTTGGAACTCATGGCCAACTTATGACTCGCAAGCACTGCTCAATCTGTCGCCTGATTCTATCTCTCATCACTACGGACGGAGATCAATTGCATCCCCGACTTGCCCAGATTGATCGAGAAATCCAGGGCACGCAATTCCACTTCCAACGTCTCCCAGATGGCGAGCTCATGCTTGGTGTCGAGTATGGGATGATTTCTGTTGGAACACTTCGCATGCTCAATTCTCGCAATGTCACCACAGCCATAAGACAAAACGTGGAGCGTCTTCTTCCCTTGCTCCAGGAGACACCAGAGTTGTCCGCATCTCAGGTCCAACATTTTACCTCTGGCGACCAGAAAACAGACTTTCAACAGCTCCATAGTTGGATCTACGAATGTCATGCCAACCATAGCGAACTCTGCATCGGTATCGAGAAAGGGTCCCGATATGAAGCACACATCCCCCTATATTTGATCGACGTGCAAAGAAACTGCATCGTCGCTGCGAATTCTGCACAACGATATCTCACTCTCAGCTACGTCTGGGGCTCAGTCGAGATGGACAAGACTTTAAAGGTCAATCTTGAACCTCGCATGCAACCTGGAGGCTTGGAGGTGGTTTCCCTCCCTACCACAATCAAAGATGCCATAACCTTGGTGAAAGCCATTGGAGAGAAATTTCTCTGGACAGACGCTTTATGCATTGTCCAAGACGATGCTTCACAAAACACTCGTGATATTCCTCGAATGGATATCATTTACAAGCAAGGATTCGCCAACATTGTGGCTCTGGCTGGATCAGATGCTAATGCTGGCTTGCCAGGCACTTCTCCTAACACCAGACCTCCGCAAAGCGTCGAGACTTTGTACATCGATCGTGGCTCCCAAGATATGGCTTTGGACGAGTGGAACAGCAGCAAGGCCAAAGACGCCATCCACCTGGTAGCAAGCCCTATCCCATTAGCTTTCGCCCAAGAAGCTTCCAAATGGAATACCCGCGCATGGATACTGCAAGAACAGGTTCTTGCTCGACGGAATATCTATTTCTCGCCCACTCACGTCTACTTCAAATGCAACGAACATGTTCAATCAGAAGCAATCTTAGAAGGAGAACCTAGCTCTATGTGGGGAGGAGATCAAGACCAAGACCAAGCCCAAAGGCACAAAGTTGTTGACAAGTTCGAAATTCTCAACCCCTTGACCGAACTAAGACGCATCATTGACGTTCCAGACGATGAACGCTTGAAACACATTTTTAGCGCATATGCTGAGCTCGTCCAAACATATACAACACGCAATCTCACCAAGGAAGACGATATACTAAATGCGTTTTCAGGCATGTTATCAGCCTTCACCGAAGTTTTGGATAGTAAGACCTTTTGTGGTCTACCGATCGCCTTCCTCGATCTTGCCCTACTATGGACACCAGCACAAACATTGACCGTAAGGTCTTCTTCTTCTCCTTCTTCCTCTAGTCCTAACCAGACATCTCCATCTCCATCTCCATCATCCGCACCTCCCTACTCCTCACCACCACCAGTACCACCACCATCAGCCCCCCTCCCGGACGAGGGTCGCGTCACTTCAGTATCCGAAACAGGATTCCCAACCTGGTCATGGGCCGGCTGGATCGGGCGCATCGACTACCGCCTCCTTAACCTCGACAAATCCCCACCCCCGGATCCCTTAATCCACGAATTCTTCATCATCCAACAAAGCAAAGTCCTCCGCCTCCTGGGTTACCGACGCGGCAACACCGATCCCTCCACCAAAGCCAGTCCCACCGACCTATCCCTCCATTTCACACCCGAGCAAATCACCACCAGCACCACCCAACCCGGTACAATCCTCCATTTCATCGCCCCCGCCATCGTCATGCATCATCTCACCGTCAACCGTACCCGAGAGCCGGATTATCTCAGTAGTAGATCACACGTCCACACAGAAACTACACAAGCTGTGGTACGGATTCATGACAAGAATGGAATTCATTGTGGGATTCTATTCGAACATGTTGATTTCCATCACTTGATACCGAGGGTGATGGATGATGGGAAGATGAAGACGAAGACGATGCTGGAGGCGTTGCGGAATTTAGGGGATAAATTGATAGTCAGCGTGTCACAGGAGAAGGATGTATATGCGGAGAGTGGGCGTGGTGGGTTGCACAGAGTGGAAGGTGATATTGCATTGTTCGATACGAAAGTGTATGCGGCGCAAGGGCCGGGGTCGAGTTTGGTTAATGTTTTGGTTCTTTCGCTTGCGAGAGATGATACTTTTGAGAGGTTGGCAGTGGGGCAGATTCATGTCAAGGCGTGGGAGGAGGAAGGGCCCAGGAGGACTTGGATTAAGCTTGCTTGAGAAGAGTTAGGTCCTGGAATCGAGAGACCAGGAGAGGAGAGGAGAGGAGAGGAGTGGAGTGGTGATTGAGTTTTCAAATGAAAAGGAGAGTTTGGTTTGATATCGAGTCAATAACGACGACGCTTTCGCTTTGGAAGCGACCTGTGTCGATTAAGGAATGTAGGTACTATAACGAAAACCCTAGCCTGACCTTTATTCCAACATAGACCATGCATACTGTAGTATTAGCAAGATTCCCCTGAATCTCCCCAGATTAGCTCGATCAGTATGCATCAGCATCCAATATCACATCAACACCCCCACCACCATCGCCCCTACCATATTGTCCTTAATTTACCCCTACTTCAGGTACTCAGCGATAGCGATCTTGAGATTTGGATTGACATAGTCCAAAGCCTCGAGCTGATTCAACATGACAGACTTGGAGGTCTTGTTGCGATCATCTGCATTGGCCACCACGGCCCACACAGCGTCTTTATGGGCATATTCAATCTGTGCGTCGCGAATGATGGGCTCGATCAGCTTGGTCAAGGCTCGTTGCTTGTTGTACAGATCGAGTTTTGGATCCTCGATGCCAAGCCTGACAACCACATCCGCCGTGACTGACACCTCACCAAGGTCCAGTAAGATCCCATTGAAGCCCGATGAGAGTTCGAACGGGTAATAGTCGTAGGAGGTTATGGAAGAGTCGTCATGGGTGATGTGGATACTAACGGTTGGGGCGAGGTGCCTCGACTTGGAAAGGCCCACGAAGCGGAGAGACAATGGGTGGTAGTCCAAGGCTTCCTCACGTTCAGGCTGAAATTTGGGATGGATTTCCACCGTGCCAGTTGCCTGTGTGTAGGTGATCAAGATTCGGTCCCAATCGATGTCTCCAGCAGCCTTGCCCTGGGACTCGCCGTGTTCCTCCATGATCTCAAACGCGCCGTCGGCTCCAACCGCGATCAGGATCTCGTATCCCTCTGGATTTCCGCCGCCATTGGAGGGCTCCATGGCATAGTCCAGTGGAACAATGGATCCTGCTGGAAGAAACAACGGGTACTGCTCCAGTGGTCGACTCAGCCAGAGTTCAGTGTCTCCCTCGTAGCTGAAGCCGGTGAAATAGTCCACATATCTGCCCGGTGGAAGCCAAGCTTTGGTTTTGGCCAGCCGCAATTGTCGATCCTGCGGCGAGGTGATGGGAAAACAAACCAATTGGCTGCCGAAATAGTAGTGGTTCTTATGCCGATATGCTTCATCCCGACCCGGGTGTTCCCAATAGAGCGGTTGGATCAGTGGTTCTCCTCCGATGGCGGCTCTGGCGTTCATCGTGTGTAAGTAAGGGATCAACCGGTGTCGCAGACGCAGGTAATTCGAGATGATGTCTCCCGCCAACCGAGGGAGTTTCCACGGCTCCTTAGCAACCCACATGTTTTTAGTCGAGTGAAGTCGAAGAATCGGTGAGAATACTCCGTATTGGATCCAGCGAACCAGCATTTCTTCATCTTTGACGCCGAGCATGTGCCCGCCGATATCGTGGCTCCACCACCCGTACCCAATGTTGGATGCCGTGTTGGTAAACTCTGGTTGGAACTCGAGACTCGCCCATGACACCACCGTATCTCCGGAAAAGCCGATCGGATATCGGTGACTGCCTGGACCAGCGTATCGAGAGAATATCAATGGATGTCGATTGGGAAATCGTTGGGTGTTATGTAGGAAATGATAGTGGTTCAACAGCCACAGAGGGTCGGCATCTTTCATTCGCGAAAATTGTCCCTGCTGCCAGTCAATCCACCAGAAGTCAACCCCATCGTCCTCAAGTGACGATATGAGAACATCGAAGTACACTCTCAGGAAGTCAGGATTGGCAATATCAAAAGGGATCGGCTGTCCTTTGTCAGTGGGCACATGGAGCGCTTTTGCAACTTTTTCGTAAAGGTCTTCGTAGCTGTGAATGCCTTCTGCGGGGTGTTCATTTAGAGTGACCCGAAGCTTCCGCTTATGCAAGGCTTCAATGAAAGCGGGAGGGTCAGGAAAGAGTTTTTTATTCCACGTATAGCCGGTCCAGCCGGACTGACCTGCTTTCTTGATGCGGGGATCGTCCACCAAATGCCATTCCATATCAATAACCGCGGCGGATAGTGGCACCTTGATTTCTTTGAATTTGTCGACAAGTTCGAGATAGGATTTCGCCGTGTAGGCATAATATCGACTCCACCAATTACCTAGTGCCCATCGTGGCAATAATGGCTGGGAGCCCGAGACGGCGTACAATGCCTTGACTGCTTCTCGGTAGTCATGGCCGTAGGCGAAAAGATAGCCATCAATTCGACCAGGCCCAGGACGTCTGGGAGCAACAAAGCCGTTCTTCTCAAACAACAAGGACTTTGAATCGTCAAGCGAGGCATAACCAAGCCGTGAAAGGATGCCATATCCCATGCCGACTCTGCCATCAATGCGATCTAAAGTGCGGTAAGTCCCACCTAGATTGTATTCTGCGTAATCTTGGTCTTGGCCGAATCGCCAGCACAGCTGAGTGTGGTTGAAAACCACCGCGGACAGTCCATATGGAGTGAATTCCTCCTTGTTGTAGGTCAAGTGGAATCGTGATGTAATGATTTCCAGGTTCCCATCGGTGTCCTTGATTGAGAAGTCTGGTACGGGCAAGTCACGATGCACAGCAAATGTGGAAGGACGGTCTTCAAAGATGCCATCGGGAGCCCACTCGTAGCGGATAAGCCCATCAGTGAGCACAGTAAACCTGTAGTTCTTGGGTCCACCAACAATTGCGGACTTTTTGTGAGAGGTCGTTTCCGACACTTGCTGTGGTATTATTCTCACCATGGTAGATGGAATTGTGTTGTGTCACAGCTGGATAGAGGTAGCGACGTTCCACTGGTCGCAGTGTGAATCTCCTCCTAGTCAACAGTAGATCTGCGGTCAGCTGTGGTCGAAGCAAGGCTGCGCTGTCAATGAGTAAGACCCTGCGGAGATGCGGGGATTGAGTTGTATCTATCAGCGCTTCTGACGTTGCACTGTAGGTAGATTACCTTTCTGGCTACATCATCATGATCATTAGGTCGTCGAAAAGATACCATGTCTCTTCTGACGCAGTTTTGTCTTTGAGAGGAAGAGTCTCAATCTACGTTCATTGAGGTGAGGTTGAAATCAGGTTCGGTGAGGAAGTCGCCCCCTTGCGATCTCGAAAATGGCAACTGCAACTGCACACAACGCGAAATCATGTGACACAGGATGCACGCTAGGACTTGGCATATTTGTGAGGTTTGGAATCCCTCCCTCGACGCCTTGACTTCATCGCCATGAATTTCACTGGCGTCGACAGTCCATTTCCCTACCACCCTCAGTCATGTCATTAGGTCCCTGGCAAAAGACATGGAGAGGTTTTATTCTTTGAGTCGTTCCAACTCCTGACACGCCCTAACACCCCCGGAAACTCCTCGACGAATCTCCCATTATGTTCACCTTCACTCCCTTGTTGGGTACGCAGTCAACATCCAGAGCCTCGCAGTCCATCCTCGAACTCGATGGAGGGATCAAGATCTTGGTAGATGTCGGATGGGATGAGCGCTTTGATCCTCGTCAATTAGCCGAAATAGAGAAGCATGCTTCCTCACTGTCCTTCATTCTGCTCACGCATCCTACCATCTCCCACGTCGGCGCCTTCGCCCATTGCTGCAAACACATTCCCGTATTCTCTCAAATCCCTGTCTATGCCACTGCCCCCGTCATAGCCTTTGGCCGTACCCTCCTCCAAGACCTTTACTCCTCTTCGCCACTGGCTGCCACTTTCATCCCCGGATCCGACAATCTCGGCGGCGACGATCATTCCCGCTCCCATATCCTGAGACAAGCTCCTTCCTTTGACGAGATCAACAAATATTTCTCCCTCATTAACCCCCTCAAATACTCTCAGCCCCACCAACCGACCCCGTCACAATTCTCTGCAGCTCTAGAAGGCCTCACCTTGACCGCCTACAATTCTGGACACACTCTAGGAGGCACAATCTGGCATATTCAACATGGCATGGAATCAATTGTCTACGCCGTTGACTGGAACCAGGCAAGAGAAAATGTCATTGCAGGCGCTGCCTGGTTCGGTGGCGTTGGTGGCGCTGAGGTCATTGAACAACTGCGAAAACCGACCGCGTTAGTGTGCAGCAGTGTTGGTGCGACCCGGATCGCCCCCTCTGGAGGCCGAAAAGCTCGAGATGATGCTTTGCTCGATCATATCAGAAGCAGCATTGCCAAAGGTGGTACGGTTTTGATCCCAACAGATTCCAGTGCCCGTATTCTGGAATTGGCCTGGATTCTGGAAAAGGCGTGGTCAGAAGAGTCGAATATCGCCACTCTCAGAGCCGCCAAAGTCCATCTAGCAAGCAGGTCTGCAAATGCCACGCTCAGACATGCCCGCAGTCTTCTCGAATGGATGGATGACAGTATAGTCCGAGAGTTTGAGGGTGAAGATGACAATCAGGCCCAACCACAAACACATCGAAGAACTGGCAGCCGCCAAGTCAACGGTGCTGCCAAACCCTCGCGACCATTTGAGTTCAAGAATGTCAAGATTGTTGAGCGCAAGAGCCAACTCGAACGTTTGCTCAAGTCGGATGGTGCTCGAGTCATCCTTGCCAGCGATCTCACGTTGGGTTGGGGGTTCTCTAGAAAACTTCTTCAAGAAATCGCGCAAAAACCAGAAAACTTGGTAGTATTGACAGAACGAGTGGACTCAGCTGCCGATTCCCAAACCCCCGGTCAAGTGTTGTGGAAATGGTATGAGGATAGACTGGATGGTGTTGCTTTAGAGCGTGCCCAGAATGGTGACCAGCTTGAACAGGTCCACAGCGGTGGAAGAGAATTGAAGCTGAGAAACGCTGAAACGGCGCCTTTGAATACGCAGGAAAGTCAGCGGTATCAACAATATATGGCTAGCCAGCGTCAGATCCAGGATTCACTACTCACCAACAATGAAGGCGTCCCAAATGATGCCGACGATAACCTTGATGACGAATCAAGTTCTTCTTCCGAGGATGAATCTGATGACGAACAGCAGGGTCGAGTCCTTAATGTGACTGCGGCATTAGGTCATGGAGCACGCAATAAGCTTGCGCTGAGCGATGAAGATCTCGGTGTTAATATTCTGCTACGAAAGAAAGGTGTCTATGATTATGACGTACGAAACAGGAGGGGAAGAAATGCTGTATTCCCTTATAGCCACTCTAGGAAAAGAGGAGACGAGTTTGGGGACTTTATCAAACCTGAAGACTTCCTCCGAGAAGAGGAAAAGGAGGAGCAGGATGCCGCGGCCGATGACAAGTCTGGGGGGATGCTTGGCCAAAAAAGACGTTGGGACGAAGCTAATAATACAAGGAATGGCCAGAACAAGAGGCAGCGTCAGCACCCTGGACCCAATGCTCCGTCTGGTGCAGCAGACGATTCTGAGTCGGACGAGTCGGATACTGAGCACGTCGTGGAGACAGAAGGTATTCAGGGTCCTGCCAAAGTGGTGTTTTCAACGACCGAGATTTCTGTCAATGCCAGACTGGCTTTTGTGGATTTCTCCGGCCTACACGACCAGCGAAGTCTCCAAATGCTGATTCCCCTGATTGGGCCAAAGAAGCTTATCCTGATAGGAGGTACTGGGGAGGAGGTACTTTCTCTGGCGAGCGACTGCAAGGAATTATTGGGCATCAAGGTGGCGGGAGCTGAGGAAGAAACTTCGACTGAGATCTTCACACCAACAGAAGGCCAAAACATCGATGCTAGTGTTGACACCAACGCATGGATTGTCAAACTTAGCCGTGATCTGGCCAAAACTTTGCAATGGCAGAATGTCAAGAACATTGGAGTTGTCACCCTGCAAGGCCAGCTCAAGGCAGAAAGTCCCTCGAGTTCAAACGTACATGACGATCCACTCGCCAAGAAGCAGAAGCTAGACACCAACGCTGCTCTCAAATCAACCACATCTGAAGTATCAGCGGTGCGTTCGGAACCGGTCCTCGATGTATTGCCAGCAAGCCTAGCAGCCTCGACACGGCCAGTGACCCAGGCTATTCATGTCGGAGACCTTCGTCTTGCAGACTTGCGGCGTCTGATCGCTGCTGATGGACACCTGGCTGAGTTCCGAGGAGAAGGTACTCTACTGGTGGATGGTATGATTACAGTCAAAAAGTTGAGTAGTGGGAAAATCATTGTGGAGGGGGTTCCAGTCAATGCCATGACTCCCAAAGTTGCTGACAACTTTACCAGAGTCAAGCGGAAAATCTATGACGGATTAGCCGTTGTAGCAGCAGGTTGATTGCTGACACAATACTCAAATTCAAATCAGGCCACCTTGGATGGTTTGCAAATAGGCTTTGGAACACCATGACTGTTTCTTTGTGGACCTGTTGTTTGACTGACTCTCGTTTTTGGGGGTGTTTGCCATCTCGAGTCATGGCCATGACTTGAAGGGGTATCGTCTAGATGCCCAAACACACTCATCTATGCTTCTCCCATCTCCTCTGACACGAATCCAATGCTTGTTTGTCGCAAAATCGGTCTGAGGGCCGAGTCAGGCCATGAACGAGCGAATTCAGGGAGTCATGGAGCTCCTCACAAGCATATAAAGACTACCCATTGCGCCCAATCGTTGGAATCTACCATCCCCTCGTCATTCCAATTGTGCAGATTTTCTTTTTGTTTCCTTTCAATCTCGGAGTATTGAGTTCAAGGCACAGGAGAGGAGCAAACTATCAGGGAAAAGACTCGGGAGAACAGGTTTTGGCAATGGCTCTTCCATTCATGTTTCCATTTCCTGCAGCGGCAGCGGCTGCTCCAAAGCCACCACCAGGGTTGATGGGTAAGACTACGTACGCCTACCTCACCAAGGATGGAGGACCTCCTAACCAAGGCAAACCGCCAACTGCTACGCTTCCACCTCCATACTCGCTGCTACCACCGCCAGGAACGGCAACCTTCCCTTGTGGAGGAGCAGGGGCGTTTATGATTCCTCCACAGGCAGGAAAGCCTGGTATGTACTGCATGCCCAATGGTCCTGCTCCTCCAGCAACTGGTCCCGTCCCAGCAAATCGTGTTTGGATACCAGCTGCAGCACCACCACCACCACCACCACCACCACCACCGCAGCCAGCTGCGGCGCCTCCCCCATGGGCTCCTACATGGCAAGCTCCTCCTGCTCCCCCTCCACCAGCACCCCCTGCTCCGCCAGCTGCTGCCCCAGCACCAGCACCAGCAATGGAAGCACCTCCCGAACCACCCGTGACTGGAAATCGAATCAACGACAATCTCATCGTTCTCCGAGACAGCGGCGGAGCAGGCTACGTCTCATTCAAGAACAATGCAGAATTCTACCTGTTCACAGCAAACGTGCTTCGAAAGTACGCAACCAATGACGCTGGACAATTCTATATCCCTGGAACATCTGGAGAGACATGGCGGAAACTCAGAGTGGCCTGCTCCATGTCGATGGAAGAGTTGATCGAACAGACGGATTGTGTCAAGGAAGCATTGCCCACGACGGCCCGCGCGGAGATCGGATTGATCGAAGCATACGACATCGGCAATGGTTGGTTCCAGCTTGGAAGTCGATACTTCCTCGACACTCCTCGATCTAAGTTGTCATTGGGTCAGCTTTGGGGTGCTGCCGCTGGTGAAGGCGGTCTTGCTCGTCCCCGATATCTTATTCGTGTTCCGTGAGTAACCAGTTCTTGTTGTCTTTTCTTTCTTGCCTATTTGGACGAAGATCTCTCTGTCATGTCCTTGGCATTCTTGCATTGGGGACTGCATATCTAAGCAATGCGGAAACTGACGCTTGGGTTTTGATTAGTATGAAATGAGTGTCTTCGGATTTCGGATATTGAAGGCTCGGAGGGCCCGGAGCTCCGGTTCAGTTTGTCATCGTGGGGTTTTCATCCATTTTGTCTATTGCTAGGGCTACATACGGGATACTTGGCTATGGACATTGTTGAGCAAAACTTGGTCTGGACGAACATTGCTTTATTGGAGATACGGAGTGGCAATTTGATAGGGCAGGTTTGACATGAACAATGTACAAAGTGGAATCGATCTGGCCTCAACTATTGGAGAGTCTTGGTGGAAGTGTGTATTTAGATAGTGGCAGCATGGATAGGTATCAAGCACTGTCCTTCATTGTGGGCGGAGAATTGCTACCGAGTAATTGAGTAAGATACTACCTCATCATCTACAGGGTCCTGTGGAGGGGATGGAGGCCTTCTCGGGCCGGCAGAGTACCCATTCTTAGGCCATGGTATCACTCTATGTAGAACTCGAACATTGACGATACATGGACTTCTCAAATGATGATCTCCCCTTTCCCTACGGCGAAATCTTCTGGTTACATACAAATGAGGCAGTACTCGCTATGTTTTTGTCTCCGTAGAATATTCATTCCTCTACAGAACAACTGTGCCTAGTTTTCTCTTTTTATGAGGTTGGTTTAAAGCTACCATATCTTCTCTTTGCTTCTTGGTCATTGTTGGACCGTGTCAGCAACTTTCCTCAGGCGTCAAGTACAAAAGACATTCCTCACAAGCATTGAAGCGACAATAAGGGGTTCCAATCGCCCTTGTTGGGGTCCGGTCCGTTCGATCTCTTTTGCTCCCTCTTGGAGGCTCGATCCGACGAGAGCAATGACCACGAAGATATCGGTTTGTCCTGTCGAGATAGGAAGATGCTTATCCGATATCTTCTCTGCTCGCATGGCGGCGTGCTTCCCGAGTGATTGAAATGCGCTTAACAACGGCAACTCTAGAGCGGCCCAGGCCCGCGCACTCTTCAAGTGGTCGCAACTCAACACGACGGGAGACTAGGGTGCCGAAGATGCTGTCGTCTGCGCCAGGTTCAGCATGAATCAGCGTGTTACCGTATATGTTAGGGTAGTGCTCTTCCGCACTATCAAATCAATGAGGCAGGGTCCAGTTGCTATCACCTCCGCACGAAGTGGAGCTTGGAAAGGCTGGATGGCGAGGTGACAATGTTCTTACGCCTCGCTTATTTGACCGGAGATCAAAACTCATTCACCGGTAGTTTTTATCATGAAAAGCGCGGATCCGAACGACGCAATAGAGGCTTGCGAGGGGCGGGAGGTGGCTCGACATCCTTGGAGAAGAACCTCGACTTCCAAGGTCTAAACTGAGAGCTCATGCAATGTACAGCCCTTCGGTGAGGCGCAGGACATTGGATCTTGGCTGTATCATATAGACAGTCGTATACACGCAACACTGCTATTGCGAACAGGAATAACTACCAAGATACTAGGTGTCACGCACGTAAATGGTCACCAGTTTTTGCAAGAAGACTGCTCATTCTCGTATCGATATCGTTATGATACTGCCTACGCACTGGTTTATCCAATAACCTTGAACATTCCATAGGTATCTCCACAGACCCAGACGTCCACCATACGTCCATCTTGAATTTTGAATATGCCGACTCCTGGATACTCGAACTTTTTGCCGGTTGACTTGAAGCCCCGAAAGTCCTTCATGTGTGTCGCTGACCAGTGCATACGTGCAATAATGGTCTCGCCGTCGACCCACGTCGCAACAATGCGCTGATAGAAATCGGGAAACGAGGCCTCGATCTCTCGCACATACCGCCTGAACCCATCGATATCAGTCGTGCCGTGCTCCAGGGTCCCACGGAACGTAACTTTTGGCGAGATGATGTCGTCGATGACCTCTGGGCTAGTGTCGAATTTGTTCCAGATGTCGTCGTAGAAGCGGCGCACCAGATTTTCCATCACGCTCCGTGGTGTAGCTGTGGATGCCATCTTTTGTCTCCCGTCTTCTCCGCCGAGGGAAAAGATTCGTACCAAATTGATGGATTCGCTGTGATCACTTTTTGTAGGATCGAGTATGTCTCTCCGTGTGTGTGTTGCACCAATTCTGCACGCTCATGCCCTATATGTTATCCCTCATATATACATTGTTTTGGTCTTTTCGATGCTCAGAATCTATGTTGAGCTCATCCAGATCCTATTGTTGGAGAGGACCCAGAGTGAAGCGCGTGTAACCGACATTCCTAGAAATGAACCCGTACCTAAGCGTCGTCGTTCGTATCTGATATAGACAGATATCGGGAACATCATTAGACCCTTTGCTCGAGGAGCTCCAGCCGCGGACGCAAAGTGGATACGTAGCGATTTCCGTGTATCAATGCTCAGTCTTAATCTCGTTCGCGTTATCCGCCCAGCGTCTCTTATCAGAGGAGATACCACAGAATGCAGATCAATAGGACCTAACGTATGGCTAGACCTGGCCCCAATAGTGACGGGCTCTCAGGTTAGGCGACTTGATAGTAGCAAATAGGAAGCATTTCTGGGCACGCCAAGGACATGTCTGCGTGTTGACCAGAAGGATAATGACAACCCGAAATTCAGGGTTATCCACAAGCGGTGTCCCTGCAGATAGGGTAGTGACCATCCGAATGTATTTCCTATACGAAGCATCCGTGCTCTGTGGATCGGCTGAACCATGTTGACGGGATGCTAGCACCAGGAGCCAGTCATGATCCGTGTATCTTGAGATAGAATACCCATGAATAGCCGATGTGATGTGACAAAAGTACTCTTTATACCCCGCAAGATTTGATGCTGGCTATGGGCAGCAATAGAGGTGAGACCAATGATTGTATATAAACATTGTTCCTTTTCAAGGATGCGCCTGCGTTCAAGCACAACACACCCACTTTGAAGCTCAATTCTTGCATGTCACTCACCAAACCCCCAACGCACGACAGCCTCGAGAAAAGCAAGATGACCGCACATGACCGTCCGGCAAACAAAGACGCAATAGAGGAAGCGGAGCACGATGCACCGTCCACCAAAATGACTGAAGAGGTCGACTTCGTGCCCGACCCCCAGTTTGAAAAGAAACTCATCCGCAAGATCGACCTCTTGACCGTTCCCATGATGATCTTGATCTATTTTCTCTCGTAAGGATCCCCCTTGTTGCCAGCGAATGGTTTGGGCTTAAACAACAACGACAGATTCTTGGATCGTACCAACATCGGCAACGCAAGGTTACAAGGTCTGGAAAGGGACTTGGGCCTGACTGATCATACGTATCGTATCGCCCTGACGGTTTTGTACGTTCCATATATCGTGCTGGAGATTCCGAGCAACCTTGTCCTCAAGAAGATTGGGCCGCATATCTTCTTGCCACTACTCATGACATGCTGGGGTATTGTTGCCACGTTACAGGTCAGCCAAGAGAAGAGTTCTCCTTGATTTACGCTCGGCTTCGTGACTGATGGATGGCTAGGGTATTGTGAAAGACACGACCGGGCTATATATAAATCGATTCTTTCTCGGTGCTGTAGAAGCAGGTATCGTGCCTGCGATCATCATGTACCTCTCTGGCTGGTACAAGCGTGGTGAGCTGCAGACCCGAATTGGATACTTCTGGGGAGCTGCGTCCCTTTCCGGAGCTATCGGTGGTCTTCTTGCTGCTGCCATTAGCAACCTTGCCGGTGTTGGCGGATTGGCCGGCTGGTCTTGGATTTTTATCCTCGAAGGTACGCTTCCCGAGAGCCCTGTCAGCGTGCGATGATGCACAAGACTTACCAGAACATCCAAACAGGGATCTTCACCGTACTCTGCGGCGTTGCCTCCTTCTTCCTCATAGCCAAGTCCCCAGAAGGAACACGGTTCCTAAGTGAGAAAGAAAGTGCATACTTGGTTGCCCGGCTGAGACACGATGCGGTGCATGCTAATGAGGTCGTGATTGACGGCGCCGTCCACCGCTTGGTCGTCGATGACACCTTCTCTTGGGAAAAGGTCTATTCGGTTTTCCTTGACCCCCAGATGTACGGTCTGGCTGTCGTTGCCTTCACCAGTGGAACTCTGGTATTTAGCCAGGCATAGTGAGTAGTCCACGTTCGGGTGAGTGCTCAAGCTAACAGAAGCGTATAGTTTCTTGCCAACGATTGTATCCGCTTTGGACATTGCCACCACTCCTGTGGTCGCACAACTGTTGACTGTGCCGTAAGTGTGGTCTTACGACCCGAAACAAAGCCAAGAGGTTGATGGCGGATTAGCTGACAATGAGTATCCTAATTAGTCCTTATACGGTCGGTATCATCACCACCCTCATCGGCTGTCATTACTCGGACAAATTCCACTATCGGTACCCTTCCCTGGCTGTTTGTACGCTTATCGCGATCGTGGGCGTTGCCGTCATTTACACCACGGAAGGATCGGTGGTGAGGTACTTTGGCATCCACCTTTGTGTCGCCGGAATCTACGGCTCTGTTCCTTGCTACCTCGCCTGGAGTTCAAACAACTTTTCTGGCCACTACCGCCGAGCGACCGGGGTGGCGACCATTTTTGTCTTCACCAATTCTGGAGGCATTCTCTCCACCTGGCTGTTCCGAGCGTCAGAGGCTCCCACCTTCAACACTGCATACATTATTAACCTGGCCTTTCTCTGCCTGTTTCTCCTCTCAGGAACTGTTCTGTCGTTTTATTATCGACGCCAGAACAACATTCGTGACGAGTTTGTCCGCAGTGGCAGGATCGATGAGTATGGTAGAGACAAGGAGGGCGATCGGCATTTGTTCTTCCGGTACATCCGTTGAGGAGATATCTGGCCATTTCATTCACGACATGGTCCTGGTGATGGCCATAAAGGGATGCTTCGGGAAACTGATGGCATACTGTTCATCTACCTAGGCAGCATCCTTACCTGACATATTTCGCCTCGCGAAAATATTTGATGCATGAACAAGTAAAGGCAGCGGGTGCGAGTAACCAACGACAGAACTGATCAAGCAGAGGGCTAGGGGACAGGTGCGCAAGAGTGGCTCATGGTGTTTCAGAAGGGAAGGGAGATATGTGGAGGAACGTGACCCATGCTATTAACGTGGCACGTGGGGATGGGGGGGGGGGGGGGGGGGTCAGAT